GCTTGTTATATGCACTTGATACACTAAGAAGGATTCCCTGGGCTGATCACGATGGCCTAATAGATAAAGACTATTGCATGTCTTTGGGCTTGTATTAGGAAGTCTCAGTTACTGTTGATCTTATCTTCAAAAAGATAGAGAAGGTACTGATTAATAATAGGATAATGCTCATTGCTGACTAGGAGGTCTTCTCTAATATAATAAATAACTTCTAAATGATTCCAATGGATAACTTAATAGGCAGCAAGTCCTTGATAAGTCATAGAGACAGAAGAATGATAAGAAATTTGAGACAGATCCAATGCTTCATTAGACTAGGTATGTTTTAATTCATCTAATAGAGATCACAATATATAGGCTGAAAAAAGCCAGACACTGGGCACAGTGTAGAGATCAAGATATATACAAAGTAAATAAGCTAATCTTCTAAGAAGCTTAGCTTGGCTATTTATACATACAATTTGTTTAGGGCCAGATATGGATCCAGTCTATGCTTCTAAACACTAAGTAAGCTGATTAATCATAATATGTCATCTATAGTAAGTACTTTAACCTTGTATAGTAACTATACAAAATGTCTGTCCACATCCATAATCAATTAGGAACCAATTGTAAGGGTCATAAGCATTCAAGCCAAAGCTTATTAATGAGTTATAGATATGTAAATATCTATACATCAGCATATAAATGGTAATTGGTCACAGTTTAGGTTTAAGACATGAGCATACTATATGACTATACTCCTGGGTTATATATGAAGCATGTGTTAGAATATGGTCCTAATACCTTACAATACATCAGCTTTGGCTCCCTCTCATTCTGATCTATTCATGTGCTTAAGTTTATAAGACTTTGAGCTATTGCCTTCCAATCCTTATTTGTGTTTTGCCCTTTTATTTATGTTGTTGTATTTAATCATAGCCCTCCATTAGAGCTCTTGTTGTCTTGCTCTCTCTCACTCTCATCTAGTTTGTCATCCTTTGCCAGTGTCTGGTATGGCCTCATACCTATTTTCTTTTTTTTGCATACCAATCAAATTCTAATTGCATATTAGCCAGCCAAAGATACTGATTCTGGAGTTATTTGTTCAGACTACATTGCATTTGACTAGCGTTCACTCCTTGCCAATTGTGCCAGTATTACTTTGATTGCAGCTATGCTTTAAACACTTCCAGTTATCCTAATCAATCATAAATAAATATTACCCCACTAAAGATTTCAATTTTGGAGTTGTTTTTATGCTCTGAATACTTTTAGTATACTTCCTTGTTAGTTATAGCATAGCTGACAGGTACCTGTACACTAGAATTAGCTCCTGTCTGCCTATGCTTGTAGGAGTGTTTCTTGGATGTGTTTTGTACTCAGAGGCATCATTAGCATATCAATAGTAAACTTAATGCCAAGCTTTAGACACTCTACCCCACCTGCCAGTATTATCCCAATACTAAGATTGTTAGGTGAAAAAAGTAATAGGGAAGGTGTCAGAATAAGAAGGCCATATTAGCTTTTTGGATCAATGTTGTGGTCAAATATAGTAAACATTAATAAGCAAGGGTCCACTTTAGGTATCAATATCCCACTTTTGGAAGCTTTTTAGTATTCTTTGACCATTTGGTAAATTTAGGTCTGACTAACCCCCCTAATCTGTTTAGAGCTCTCAGTTATTTATTAGGTGCCAACTTTGTATTTATGTTAGGACTGTACTCTAATATGCGCTTTACATAAGATCATAAGGAATAGTCATGTGGTGCACTCATGATTAGGACTTGTAGTGGAACAGATTTGATGCTTATTAACATGCTCATGCATAAATGCTTATAATACATAACTCATTTACAAGCTTTGGCTTAAACACTTACTTATATCAATTATGATCAATCCCTAATGCTTCTTGATATGGACAAATATTTATTATACTTAATATAAAGGGATAAAGTATAGATCATGGATGATATGTCTTAATCATTTAGCTTACTTAGCATTTAGAAGCATAGACCAGATCTAAATCCAGTCTTAAATAGCTTGTATATATAAATAGCTAAAATAAGCTTCTAAAAAGCTTAGCTTATTTACTTTGTATACAACTCAATCTTTATACTGCGCCTAGCATCCAGCTACCTTCCTAGCTCACATATCATGAACTCTACCAGATCCAAAGTATCTTACTTAGTCTAACAAAGCACTGAACTTGTCTTAAAGCCTTACTTGCTCTCATTATGCTACTATTTACCATGGACTTGCTACTTATTGAGTTCTTTCTTGGAATCCCTCAGAAGTTATTTATTGGATTAGAGAAGATAGTCCTATTGATAATAATTGTCATGGCACCATCAAAAAATATCTTCTATATCTTTTCAAAGACAAAATCAATTGTGATGAGTTCTTTCTCATTCAAGCATAGTAAAGAGCCATACTATTTATCCATTAGACTATTAATACTTAGATAACTTAGGGACCCTCTCTATATGTCTGTAGTTATATGATAAACCTAGCAGTTTAACAATATTGGTGCTACTAAGTAACACTAACTTCAATGGTTCTTAAGGTTTGTATCTTCCTAATTTCCACATATTTGGTCAAATACAATCTTATACCATTGCTTAGTTATCCAAAGTGCATATTTACTATTTCTTGTTTTTTATTAGCTCTCTAGAGCTTATTCTTGCTACTTATACTTGGACAATAGATACTGGCCATTTGGAATTTTGTTATCTTTGGTGGACTTTTATCTTATTATCTTTAGAATCCATATGGACAGTTTTCCTGCTTTCTTTATCTTTGCCACTTACTAGGTCTCGGTACCTATTTGGCACTTACTCTCATTTATTGTTCAATATTTTACTTGAGGCTCTATTTACTATAAAAACCTATATATGACTCTGGAATGGACCAGCTTTTATACTCTACATTTCAGAGCTCATTCATATTTGTTCTAAAACTATTGAAATTATCTTTATCAAACTCCAAAAACTCATCACTATTGTTGTTTGGCTTCATTTATACTCATACTTGTCTCCTTAGTTATATTTCTTATCCTCTATTGTATATTATTAGAGTCCCATGTGGCTCTTAAAGTATATAGTTGTTAGTTATGGCACTACTTTCCTTGTCGCCAAACAAGTCTATGAAACAACTAACCAAATGTCCAGTTAGTATTTAGCATAGTCCTAAACTGTCTGGGTACTATAACCCTACTCTCTCTACCAATTCTCAGTATACCCTCACTTTCTAAAGCTTGTGCTAACAATTCTTTGTGTATTAGATACTAGCTCTAGCATATCCTATACTAGAGGTTATTTTAATGTTATGCTTGGCACTTAGAGACATCTCTAGTATATCACCACTCAGAAGTTTGAAGGAACATTTTAGATTCCCATTGCGACATAATCTATCAGGCCCCTCAAAGTGTCTATACCAATAAGATAGCACTGTATAAATTAGGTGGCTCTATATAGAGTATATAACAAGATATCTGGTATGGTCTTCTAGAAGGCCAATATAACTAATAAATTATACCATCATTAGTAAAGGGACTTAATAGGGTTGAGGGATAAACATACCAGAGGGCTTAAAACTATATAAGTATGTATGCCACTACTTACTAGGTTAGATAGATGTTAATGGGCAGCACAAGAGTTGACACTGACAAGAGAATAGTGATTGTAGAATGACTAAGGTTTGGAAAACTCAGAATATTCCAGAACATATCTCAGAGTAGTATATAAGGCCTATAAGATAGGCTAAGAGGACTTTAGTCTATTTTTTTTGTACTTGGATAGTTATCATACTATCCTTACTATTATATTCCCTGTATTTCCTTAAAATACAAGCAGACCTTCTATTCTGCTTTATTTATTATATGATCTAGAAAGGAACCTACTAGTCTTAGGATTATTAAATAAGCAGTTCATAATAATTCATCTTGGGTTATCTGAAAATCTTGAATTAGTAAATACTATTAAAGTGCCAAAGATCCCCAACCTAAATCAAATTACTCAAAAACATAGTTAGATTTTAGCATAAAATATGCTAAATTTAGGAAAGGATTTGACTAAAATCTGTTCTCAAATATGCTAATTTTTGGGAAAACCTATATAGGAGCTTTGTGGGGCCCTACATTAAAGTATCTCATAAATCCACTAGCTGCCCAACCTATAGATAATATTTGCACAAAGCGGCCTGTCTTTTTTGGCAACCTGATGTCAATGATGGCACACATGGCTAATCATGATCTACCTGATATTACCATATAATAGTGACTTAACTACCCAGAAAAAGGAGAAAATGTGGGCTAGAATCTTGGGCAGCAGATATGACCCTGAAGCAAATGTATTGTGCCAAGACAACATAGAGAACTTAGCAGAGTCCAGAATTTTTAGGACATCATCAATTAACTTGACTGCTTCCATCTTATCACTGGTGCCTGGTTGTGCTTTGAGCATATCAAACATAATGAACCTTTGGTGTACAGCAAGGATCCAACAGTTTTGGGGGCTAAATATGTCAATTGTTAGATTTTTAGACATCATAACAGAATACAGGTTGCCTTTTCTCTGCCATTTAGGATGATAAGGTTTAGCTAGTTGGCCACTAGTTCAATTGAGGAGACTTGCCAAGAACAAATGTAACATAGTCATGGATGATGGCAGCAAATGCAGCACAGGCCCTGCATAGATGCCAGATGTTGAGAAGCGTCGGGACCTATGTCGGGGCTTCAACCTCCAGCCTCCGATCGACGTGGTCTCCGGAAATCCGCATCTTCAACCTGTTGACACCGTGACCATCTTGAAAAAAGCCTCAGCTTCCCACCACAACTCACTTTCGTGCTCCTCAGTCCTGAATCAAATCCTGTAATATCGACAGTTATTTGCAAATAGATTTTGTGGTTTGTCTTGGAACATTTCGGTCGCACCCTGACCGGCTCTTTTCGCGAGTTCCCTGGATTTTCCCGCATTCAACCACCGAATCGAACCCATTGATGCTCCCTACACCTCACAGAAATGCTGTCCGCTTTCGAATCGCTCGACAGCGGTACGCTCTCATATGAGAGTAATGGATGCTGCGATGCGCCTAGATTGAACCACAATCCTGGATGTTTGACCTGCTGCTCCAAACGATAGGCGCCGCGAGTGAAGGGGGAAGCCGGAACAGAGACGGTCATCGGCGAGAAGACCGTGCTGGCAGCAATGCTGGCGCAGACGAGCGGCGTGTGGCCCTTGACATAAACACACAAGCTGCCCCACCGGCTGCATGCAGTGTCGTCGGTGACGTCGCACGCCTCGTTCCGCCAGGTTTATCACATGGCAGAACCCTGCTGCGCAGATGCGCTTCGAGCCGATCCGGCAGCCCGCGTTCTCTCAGGAAGCTCTGGACATCAGAAGATTCTCGCGAGCGTAGCGTAGAGGAGCCGACGCTGCGCCGCGTGGTCTTGATGTACCAGTTTCCGCGCGCCGGCCAGGGGCGGGATGAATACTAGGGCGCGTCGTGACTCGTCGAGAGTTCTCATTCGAGCGCGACGAATCCTTGTTCAGAGCCGACAGATCCTCGTCACCCACAAGAAGCGCGTGCACAAACGCGACCGGGGATGCACCTTACTTGCTGCGTTGTGTAGGAGCGTCCCACCGCGTCCGACTTGGAGACTCTGAAGTGAGATCCAGCGGTGCCCGTGATGCAGATGCGCGAGACGCCCTGAGGGCGTTGGGCACGGCGGCCAAAGGGGTATTGAGACGCGGTTCTAGGTGCAGGGTGCAAGCTGTTCGAGCTCAACGTCCATATCCAACGTTCATGATCCATGGCCGGCGTCGGCATCGGTTACACCTTGACAAGGTTTATGGTCAGCATTTTCTCCAAAGTCGTTCAGAGGCCCTGAAGTGTAATAGACGTGGGTGGGGAGATAAGGCCTCCGCTGACCATCGTCGACGGCGCGCATCTTGGCTCTCCCCCTACCTCAGCGCGGAGAGCATCGTCTTGAGTCTACCCGGCAGCCCGCGTTCTGTCAGCAGGTTCTGGACATCAGAAGATCCTCCCGCGCGTAGAGGAGCCGACGCTGCGCTGCCTTGTCCCGATGCGCCAGTTTCCGTGCGCCGCCCAGAGGCGGGATACACACTAGGGCGCGTCGTGGTTCGTCGAGGGTTCTTATTCGAGCGCGAAAAGCCTTGTTCAGGCAGATCCTCATCACCCACAAGACACGCGCGCACAAACACGACCGGGGACGCACCCTACTTACAGCACCGTGCGGGAGCGTCCGACCGCGTCCGACTCGGAGACTCTGAAGTGAGATCGAGCGGCGCCCATGATGCAGATGCGCGAGACGCCTGAGGGCGTCGGGCACGGCGGCCAAAGGGGCGTTGAGACACGGTACCAGGTGCAGGGTGCGAGCTCAACGTCCGTATCTAACGCTCCTGATCCATGGCCAGCATCGGGACCGGTTCCGATAGATAGACCGACGACGGAGTCGTTCAAAGGTCTCGAAGTGAATTAACGTGGGTGGGGAGAAGACCCCCGCAAAGCATCGTCGACGGCGCGCGACTGGGCTCTGTTTCAGCGCCCGGCCTCTCCGTCATCTTCATCATCGTTCACTTGTGTGAACGGTCGAACGTCGCGCAGGGCGTGAGCCCGGCGTCGGTGACAGAATTGGGATGTGGGTCGCGACAATCGCGCGCGGTGCCTATCGATAGCGAGTGAGTGCGGCCGGTGGTGAGCACAGGTCAGTTCGGATCGGGAGAGCAGGGCATGGGGCGCGCGCGAACCAATTCAGCATTGAGCGCGTCGCTATCGCGGTGTACAGTATAGCAGGAGGGGCCTCCATCGCACACCGAGCTGCTTGTCAGTCTGAGCCCCTGGCAGGCGAATGTAGCCGACGCGCGGCACGGCGGCCTCTTCGATGACCCACAGGTGTCGTGTGTAGTCGGTCGCAGCATAGCCTGCCTTTCATCTATCTGTTTGGAGTACCGCACTTGCAATCCAGTGCCGTCCCCTTACTTAGATGGGCATGGGCAGTCGCAGGGTCGCCGGAACACAGAGCGTCAGTGTACTTACCATACCCCTACTGACTTGAAACTAGCCTGCGTTTCGACTAGCTCGATCGTGCGCGCCGAGAGTCGGGCATGGAGAACGGGAGTGAAATATCGAGGCCGAGGCGGGCTCCAGGCCGCGGGGCTGTTGAAATTGGGGGAGCGAGCGCGGGGGGAAGGAGACTAAGATAGATAGGGCTGTAGACATCGGGGCTTCGGCGGGTCAGCGACCTCACGCGGCGGGCCCGCGTGCACCGACGCCGATCAGGAATCAGCAGAGCGCACAAGGGGGCCGTGTCATGATTGAGTGCTTGAACCGTGCTTGAGTGTCCGCGCGGAGCGGTGCAGGGCGTCGACGCGACGGGGGGACGCGGCGCGCGGGGATCTCCAGCGCCGCTGCGCGGGCGCGGGCCCGGATCCGTGCATCGTGGACCGTGATGATGCGGGCGGCGGGCGCGACGGGCGAGCCCGTCTCGGGGTGGGTGGCAGATCCGAGCGCTGGACGACGTGGATGATGGAAGGCGAGCGAGGGGAACCCTGCATCGTGCAAGCGACGCGGCGACCGATTGGACTGGTTGGGTTGTCGGTTTGGAGTCGGCCAGACGTGGCGTGAGGAGGTCGAGGTGCCGAGGCGGGAGGAGGCACCGGCACATACTTTGCATGAACGCAGGGAGAGTCCGAGGGCGCGGCTCTGTGAATAGGGGCTGACCGCTGAGACGCGTCAGTGAGCGGGGAGGATGATGATGGGGGCGTGGGAACGTTCGACGGGCGGAGGCGCTGTGTCCGTCTCGTCGAGTCCTCGCTCCGGGCCACGCTCCCACTCGGATCACGGCCCTCTCCTCTCCTCTCTTCCTCTTCCTCTTCCTCTTCTCTTCCTCTTCCTCGTCCTCCTTCTCGACCACATCGCGCATCTCCCCCTCCAGGACACCCCCAACCGCCACCACGCTGCTCTCCATCATCCGCGCGCACCTTCCCGTCTTCTCGTTCTTCTCCTCTTCTCCGCCGCCGCCCCCGCCGTCCCTGCAGCAGCCCCTGGCCGCGCCACCACCCCCGTCTACCCAGTCCCGCCTGCCCCCACAACCGCCGCCCCCACTGCCGTCCCCCACTCCGCCAACGACGCCGCCGCCAATGGGCCGCCTCTCCTTCGAGGACCCAGACCCGCTTACGGCCGCGCTCGCACCCCCGCCCGATGAGACTCCCGCCGCCCGCGACGCGCGCGAGCACGCCGAGGCCGAGGCGCGCCGCGTGAGCGACGAGATCGACGAGCAGCTCCGGCGCGAGGGCGCCGCGCTCCGCAAGCGCAAGCCCCCCGTCAAGGTATTGCTGCTCGGCCAGAGCGAGAGCGGTGCGTCCCTTTAGTGACCTGCTTTGCATCGTCATAGTTTATGTCTGGTCGTCTGCTTGCGTTTGGACTTTGAACCCGCAACCCCTGTGTCTGTGGTGCTCATCTGTTTTTTTTTCACGCTGCTTGCACGCGTTTGTCCATTCTTCCATCTCATTCTGGGCCCCTTTTTCCGGCACTCGCCTCGCCTCGCAATTCGCACCGCACTGTACTAGGTAAATCCACGACCCTTAAAAGTAAGTCTATCTCCTCCCCGTCTCCCCTATCTCTATACCAGACACACAACGCCGGAGAGATTCCCCTCCGTCCCGCACGGGAACGCAGGCGCGCGCGCGAGTGTGAGGTCATTTGACGCGTCCAGCCTAGCAACGCAGCCACCGAAAGCTACCGCGCGCTTCCGTTCTCGCAGGCACCTTCTTTTCCCCGAACTCGAATCCAAATCCGAACCCGCAGGGCGGCGAAGCCCAGGGAGATCGGGTCGGGGCTCGGGTCAGGGCCCGTCGTGTGGGAGCTTCCACACTTCTTCTCCTGAGCTTCCGTTCGGCGGCCATTATTGAGAAGGCACGGGCTTCGACGAGGAAAGGAGAGACAGCGATCAGGGCCTCGTCGTTATCTTCTGTCGCCTTCTGTCTCTTGTCGTTTTGACGAGGAGCTTCGCCGTACTGTGTCGTGTCGTCGACGACGCAGCACCGTGCCAATGCGCCGCTTCGTTCGTGCGAGCTCGGTTCTCTATCGGGACGCGCACGACGACGACCGTGGCCGCGGGCGCGGCGCACGCCGCCTCCTTTTCTCTGATCAACAGCGCGCTCCTTTTCGTGTCACGCGGCGCAGTGTCCCCCGTCTGATCTGTCGCCCAATTGATCGAGCAGGGCGTCTCCGGCCGCTCGAGCGCGACCACCTCCATTTGGCTAGCGCGTGGATCCGGAGTCTAGTCGCCTCGTTGGGGGTTGATGCATGATGAGGCGCGCGCGGGCTGGCAGGTGCGGGTCGGGCTTGGGTTCGCGAGACGCTGCTCGTCGTGGACTGGATCGGTTTCGCGCGAACGGCGTTGTTCTGTTCTGTTCTGTTCTGTGTTGTTCTTGACGATGGCGGCGTCGCGCGGTCAGGAGTCGGGACGGGACAGGCGCTGGGTGAGTGGCTGCAGCGGCGATCGGACGCCGGGTTTGAGAGTGCCTTTGCCTGGCTCGATCGACGTCGTCGTTGACGGATGCGGCGTTGATGCTGTGGCGCCGGTTGACGTTGACGTTGGCTTACCGTCGCAGTGATCCGTCTCGAGCTTGTTGATGAACCCCAATCTGGGTCGTGATGGCTTGACTAGGTCGTTTCAGGAAGCTCGACGTCCTTCGACAGGCTGCACAGACTTTGGCCTCCACCCAAAGCCGACGTCACCTGACTTCCCTTCCTTCTGCTCTCCTGTCCACCGTGTACCGTGTACCGTGTCCGTCTGAATTTTGACGCTGACATGCTCTGCCCCCCTTCCTCGCAGACTTCCAGATGCAGTACGCCCGCACGACATGGCTCGAAGAGCGCTCGTCCTGGCGCGCCGTCGTCCAGCTCAACCTCGTCCGCTCCGTCACCCTCCTCCTCGACATGCTCGCCGCAGCCATGGCCGCCCCCCACCGGCCCCCCACCGCCGACCTCACCGCCCCCTCCACCATGGCCTCCACTTCCGCCGCCAACAACGGAAACGGCTACGCAGCGCGCGCGGACACCCCGTCCCCGTCGCTGCCGCTGCCCCCGCTCGCATTCACGGAGCGCCACCAGCTGCTCAAGCTCCGCCTCGCGCCCCTCCGCGGCGTCCAGATGGACCTCGAGCGCCGCCTCGGCGCCGCGGCCGAGGAGCCCACCTCCTCCACCATCGCGCCGCACGAGGCACTGCCGCTCCCCCCCGCGTCGGGCAGCGCGGGCGCGCAGGCGGGCCGGCGCCCGCAGGAGTTCTACGTGCGCTCGCGCGACGGGTGGAAGTCCGCGCTCGAGCGCTTTCGGCCGCGCGGTTCTAGTGGAGGGGGTGGGGATGACGGGGCGGCCGGGGTGGCGGCGCGCGCGGCGGCGTGGGCGCGGACGGACGCGGAGGTGGCGGAAGTGCTGGCGGGCCTTGGGGAGGATATGAGTGCTGTGTGGGAGGACGGGGTGGTTAGGGAGATGTTGAGGCGGCGGAAGGTGCGGATGGAGGAGGCGCCTGGGTTGTGAGTGGGAGGTTCTACTCATTGACGTGGCGTTGCTGATTTTGGATTGGGTGTGCCGCCGTCGCCGTAGTTTCTTGAACGATATAGAGCGCATCGCGAGGCGCGACTACGAGCCGTCGGACGATGATGTTGTGAGAGCGCGTTTGAGGACGTTGGGCGTGCAGGAGTACAGCTTCTACGTCGAAGAAGGTGCGCTCTCGCACCTCTCGAAGAACGCTCGCTAACTGCGATATCTATCCGTCGCAGGACGCACGGCAGGGCACGAGTGGCAGATGTTCGACGTCGGCGGCACGCGCTCCTCGGTGCGCACCCCCTGTCCCCCCTAACTTACCCATCGTCCGCTGACCCTCGACGTGCACGCTCACGCACGCGTATCACGTACCGCCTCGCCCGCACAGCGCGCGCACTGGTACCCCTACTTCGACGACATGGACGCGATCATCTTCCTCGCGCCCATCTCGTGCTTCGACGAGCGCCTCGCCGAGGACCGGCGCGTGAACCGCCTCGAGGACACGTACCTCCTCTGGCGCACGCTGTGCTCGCTGCGCCTGCTGTCAAAGACGCAGATCATACTGTTTTTGAACAAGTGCGATTTGCTGGAGCGGAAGTTGAAGGCGGGCGTGCGCGTGCGCGAGCATGTGCCGAGTTATGGGGAGCGGCCGAACGATGTGGGGACGGTGAAGAAGTGTACGTCCGCTTTCGTCGTCGTCTCGACAAGGGCCCGGGCTGATGGCTTTTGTGGATGTTTTTTGGGCGCGCGAGAGCAGATTTCCAGACGCACTTCAAGGAGATCGCGAAGCAGCACTCGCCCGAGCCGCGCCGGTTCTACGTGCACCTCACGTCCGTCGTGGTGCGTCCCTCCCGTTCCCCGGTTGCCACCGCGTACCTGCTTATCGAACGTATACTCTTCCGTTTTTTCCTTGCAGGACACAAAAGAGACGGCGGCGACGCTGCGCACGGTCGAGGAGGGCATCCTGCGCGATAGTCTCCGCCGCGCAGACCTTCTTTGAGCTCGAGCGGGGCGAGGCGATCCGGTGATCCGATGCCGTCCGCCTGCTCGACTGCTCGCCTGTCTGCTTCCCTACACTTCTCTTCTATCTATTATCTATCTACCCATCCATCCAATCCATCGTGGCCTGCCACTTAATGCTTATTATCCACCATCTATACACGATTATCTTCCCTCTCCCGTATGTTGTTGTTCGTCTCCGTCCTGATTCTTTGTTCCCCGTCGGTGTTGTCGTTTTTATTGTCGTTGCTGTTGGCGGTGGTGTTTTGCGCTCCACGTTGCGGCCGCGTCTTGTCTTCTCTCGATGTAGCAGTTTGGATTCCCCTTTCTCCTTTCTCCCCTCACACCTCGGCTATTTATTGGTTCCGCGCCCTCGCTTCCTCCACGCGGGCAACCCCACGCCCGCGCCCACGCCCACGCTCACCCCCACGCACGCACGCACGCACGCACGCACGCGCGCAAGCGCACTTCCACGCCTCTTGCGGTCACTTCTTTTCCATGCACGCACACACGCCCGGCCCCTGGGCGGTACGACCGGGCCGCGCTGTTACCTTAGTTCGCCGATTATCTGTCCCATCGTAATATCTGTCTCTCTGGCGCTCGCGAGTCTCTTTCTCTTATTTGCACGCTGCGAGGCGACGCCTCGGATCTATATATACTTACACGTACGACTGTATCGCACACTATCGCGCTGGGCGGGGAGGATCACGGAGGAGGGATGCGGGGTCGGTCAGTGCCCGGTGTACCTTACATGCTGCTAAGTATCGTATGGTTTTGGAATCGCACAGTGCAGACGTCACGGTGCACCATGGGAACAAAAGCGTTGAGGAATGGAACGTGCGATGCCCACAGTGGAACTCGGATTGCGGACTGCTTGTTTCCCTCCGTGGGGTTGCCGCAGCTTGCGGGCTAATACTCAGGGGCCCAGAGGTGCGGGCGCCGAGAAGCCGAGATTTGGTCGAGTTTGGCTGGGTTTGCACCTGATTTGCACGTGGGGGAGTAGAAAAAGAGTGACGGCGCCCCGTGCGCCGCGTGACCTCGCGACTTTCCCGTGATCAACAATCCCCTCCCCCTCCTCTGCCTCCTCATCCCCCGCCCAAATCAACACAAAACACACACGAAAACACACCCCGCCGCAGCGCACAGCGAGAAGCCTCGAAATCGCACCCGCCACACCGCCCCAGAGCTCCTGAGCACCCGCTCCGGATCACCAACTGATAACGCCGGCGCACACACGCACGATGTCCGCCGCACAATCCAACCATGACCCCGCCCTCGCGCACCAGGCGGGGCCCCAGCAGGGCCCCGCGGCGGCAGCCGCCGCTGCCGCTGCCCAGCCCGGTGGCCCAGCGGCTGGGGACCTCCCCAGCATCCTCGGCATGACCCAGGATCAGGTGCTCTCGCTCCTGCGCACGCTCCCGAATGTCTTTACCAAGGTACGTGCGAGGATCTCTGTTGGAACTGGGCCGCTGCGTTGTAGCGGCGGTGGGTGGTGGGTGGTGGTGGTGGTGGTGCAGTGAAAGGAGGGGCGATCGGGGCGGGCGTCGCACACGTGATTCTGCAAGGCGGTCACGGATGATGCACGTTGTGCTCAGGTGCCCGCCGATCGCCGCGGTCCCCATCGGCGCGCGCGGGGCGCACAGGCGCAGCAGCAGGCGCTGTGGACCACGGTGGCGTCATGCGCGGCGCTGTTAGTGCCTTATCAACCCGCCATCGTCGCCCCACGCCGCGATATCTCCGATATCCCACGCACGACGCAGACCCCGCGCGCGCGCTGTTTTGTTGTCCTTGCCGTTGTCGTGCGATTCCCATCTTCTGAGCCGCTTCCTCGACGCACGGTGATTGATGCTGATCGCAGACGCCTCAGCTCGCCGAACAGGGCAACCTGAAAGAAGCCGCCGCCGAGACGCTCTCCAACCTCTCCCAGGCAACCTTCCAGCCCCACGCGATCCCCGGCCAACAGCAGCAGCAGCCATCAGTGCACACCTTCCAGGCCGCAGGGCCGAGCGGCGCCATGCACACGCTCCCGATCACCGAGCCCGGGCCCTCGTCGCATCCGCGGGGCCCGCCGAACCTTGGCCAGCTCGCGCTCGCGGCGGCCGCGGGCAGTGCAGCGCAGATGAGCGCCGTGCGCCAGGGCATGCAGGAGGCGGAGGACGACCTCGACGACGAGCATGGCGAGGGCGGGGGGCAGCAGCAGCAGGCCCAGGGCGGGTCTGGCGGGGGGCGCACGCGGGGCACGCGCGGGACCATGGGCTCGGACGAGTGGGCGCGCCAGAGAAAGGATAATCACGTACGTGCTTTCCACGCCCGCCTGTCGTGCGTGCGCAGCGATGCTGACACCTGTGTGTTTATAGAAAGAGGTCGAGCGCCGGCGGCGCGGGAACATCAACGAGGGGATCAACGAGCTCGGGCGCATCGTGCCGAACGGCTCGGGGGAGAAGGCCAAGGGCGCGATCCTGTCGCGCGCGGTGCAGTACATCCACCACCTGAAGGAGAACGAGGCGCGGAACATCGAGAAGTGGACGCTCGAGAAGCTGCTGATGGATCAGGCGATGGGCGACCTGCAGCAGCAGCTCGAGGAGATGCGCCGCATGTGGGAGGAGGAGCGCATCGCGCGCCAGCGCGTCGAGGGCGAGCTCGACGTGTTGAGGAGCTTGCAGGCGCGCGGTGGCGTCGCGGCAGCGGCGGGGGCTGCGGCAGGTGCGGTTGGGGCCGGGGGCTCGGAGGCGGCGGCCGCAGAGACGGCGGGCGGAGACGGCGGGGCTGGGGAGAAGAGGGAGCGCAAGGTCGAGTGTGCGACCGAGGGGGACAAAGACTCGGAGGAGCCGAGGGTGGGGAAGAGGCAGCGCACGGATTGATCGCCGCAGAGTCATGCGTCTTGTCCATGTGTCTATGTCTCGCTATGTTGTCCGCGTCTGTGCCAGCTGCGGCATCGTCTGTATTCGTTCGTAGTTATTTCGCTGCGCTGCCGCTGTCGAGTTGCTCCTGTGTCTTTCTTTGTTCTATTCTTTCTTGTTCTTTCATTTTCGTTTTTTTTTTTTCGTTTTCGTTCTCTAGTATCTCCTTACTCTTGACTTTGTGTCTTTGCCCTGTCCTTCTCGTCTGTCTGTCTGTCTGTCCGTCTACTGCTAAACGTTACGGGGTAGCTGGCAGCGGCTGAGCGCTGTGAACTTGTATGATATCGCGCGTTGCGCCGTCTATTGCTCTGAAATGATGAAACTACGGCAATAAAAAGGGGTACAGCGAACTAAGGAGTGGATCATCAATTCAGCGTCGTCGGACAGGGGCCCTGTTCTCATGCGCGAGGACAGATGGACAAGCGAAGGAACGATCGCGACGGCCGTGATATGTATTGGAGGGGGGGGGGATATCCCATGCACCTGACGTTCGCAGCTATCCCGCGATCGAAGGTTCAGGCGAGGCCGGCGTCTCCGTGAGCACGCGCAAGACGGATAGCGCACGCCGTAGTCGTAGAACAGATCCCGCCCGTTCACATGCTCTTGAATCCCGTGTCTATCGCCGCCATCGGACACGCAGTCAGTCGAACAATCGGGCGACATCGGACGAGGCGCGGGACTCACGCGGACTGGACGTGCTGCACGATCTCGTCGCGGTACAGCCAGGACCCCGCGGAGCCCGACTTGGAGACGTGGTAAGTGCAGCGCGCGCACCCCCAGTGTGGACCCTGTTTGCGCATCTCGCAGTACACCCGCTCCTCGTCCGTGAGCGAGCGCAGCGCCAGCCGCGGGGCCTTCGGCTTGCCGTGCTGCTGCAGCGCGTGTGTGATCTGCTCTAGCCGGGCGCTGCGTCAGCCATGCGGCGGACGGGAGGCAGGCGGGAGAGAGGGCGAGAGGGAGGGGGAGGGGGCACACGTACGCAGGTCCGCCAGGTCATGAAGTCCTTGTCCGTGAGCGGCGACGCGCAGTCCGTCCACCGCTGGATCTCGGCGTCGCACGGCTCACAGACGAAGCGTGGCCGCAGGCCGTCCATCTCGGCGCTCGTGGCCGTCGACAGGTCGAGCGCCAGCAGCCTGAGCATCTGCGTGACCGCCTGGGCGCGCAGAACGCGATGGTGGACCGGTCGCAGCGGAGCGCGGCTGCTTTGGTCCCGATCAAAAGACAGGGATTGGGAGACGGGTGATGAGGGGATTTTGTCGGGCAGGTGAAGACGGACGTGGCGAGCTCGAAGGCGCCGAATTTGCCTAGAGGATCGACCTCGTTCACTGGAGTCGAAGATGACGCTGACGCCGACGTCGGCCGTTCGATAGCCGTCGGAAGCAGACTAAGTGAACGGCACCATAGTCAGGGACAAATAGTCTTTTCCTGAAGATCAGCTGAGAGAAACCAGCCTGATGGAATGCAGGAGTCGACATCGCTCAGGGCCGCTGAATCCTCCTCAGAAACATACGCTCTTGATACTGGTAGCTTTCCAGTAGCAGTACGTGTAATGGGCATCGGGTTCAAGTGGGTCAAGAGTCAAGTGGGTATAGGAAGAATTTGAGAAAAGTCATTTCGGACGCCGGAGTCAAGTTTGCCGAGGCGGCGGAGACGGAGGTCGTGGCGGAGGGAGGCGGCTACAGACAGTGGTGGCGTCTTCCGGCATTCTGGATGACATATTTCCGCAACATGGACAGACAAGCGCAGTCCGGCTCAGCACTGTCTGTGAGGGACTAATAACGGCCAAAAGTCTGGACAGTTCATAGAGGCGTTGATTCAAGGATGAATTGTCGATATTTGATGTCACGCGATTTCAGAAATGAGCGAACAGAAAATGTGATGTTTTGAACATTCTGTGTTCACGTCGGTCTATGAAGGGTTTTCTCAGACAAAAATCGAACTTTTTAGGCTCTGGTCGGTAATATATAACATTTTGTAACAATTACTGGCAAATTCCATATAAACACCACAATTGATGGCAAATGTGAATATTTGTCGACAATTGTCCACAATTGGCAGGTGGTCTCTTGTCAGCAATTGTCAGCAATTGTCGTCAATCAGGCACCGCCGGCAAGATGCGTCAATTGCCGACGATTGCTGGCAATCTGCCTTCGATCTCGTTGCCGACAATTGTCGACAATTGTCCGCTATCATGATTGCCTTTTGATCCTGCCCGATCTCAACATCACATCCGCTTTTTAAGCTTTCTTGGATCTTGCTGGATCTTGTCAGATATCGTTATGCCTTGCTACTCTATCTCTAAGTCATATTGGGGTGCACTATGCCACGCCACCCATGGCCCTAGCTGATTGTTAGCAATTGTTGCATGTTGTTGGGTTGAGGGCTGTGTTGTAGACTTGGAGATTGTTGGTAAATGTTGACAATTGTTGAGTATCTAGAAAGAGTTTTTGAGGGGTTGAAAATTTGTGAGATCTATAGAATGGAATTGGTAAATTAGCAGCTAGATGGGTCGTGCCCAATTGCGGCAATTTGAGATAATCATGGTTGGACATTGTCGGCAATTGCTGACAAATGCCGAGAATTGCCAGCGATTCCTGGCAATTGACAGCATTTGCCAGGTCTTGCTGAGATTTGTTGAAAAACAGATGTTTTTGAGGTAAAAGTTTTGATTTTTGTCCGGGTTGGTCCCTCATACAAATGGCGGTCCCTGCATCATTCAGCAATCCAATGAGAGAAATGTAAAATCTCCCGTTTGGAATCTGAAGGATGGAAGAATGGTAACTACCTCCCATAAGTGCATTGACCATGCTCTGTAGTGTTGGAATCAATTAGTTTTAACTCCATGTCGATCGATCGTGATGAGATAACTCTACGAACACAAACCTCCACATTTTGTGTGGTCTTACTTGGTGCCCCATCTCTCGCTTCGTCGCGTTGTCTGAACTTCGCCCACTTCGAATGACGCATCCTACCAGCTCCAACCTCCCCGGTCTAGGAAATGCAGGAGTTTATTATGACAGAAGTAATCTGTCTATTGCTGGAGAAATATATGTATCGTTCTTCCCTGCATTCTCTTTCTGTCGACTCTTGCGCTCATCTCTTTTCCTCACAAGGGTCTCTGATTGTCAAAATCCAGTCTTTCTCATAACATCAGATTTTTCCCATTTCATCTCAGTTCTCTCCGCCCGACGTGCCGCACTGCATTTTCAGTGATTTACATCATATACTATCTGTTGCCAAGGCGCGATGATCGAGAAGGCGGCATGTTTCGACGACCTTCTAATATCGTGGGGCTCTTTCTTGCCTCCATGCCATGGTTCCTTTGAGGCACCTTTAAGCTGGACCGGAATCAAGCATATGGCTAGGCTCCCCCGGCTCCCAACGCCGTTTTGACGGGTGACCGAGAACGCCAACGCAAAGCGCATGAATCGAATTGTGTTGTTCATTTGATTTTGGAGCGAATGTCTCTAATCCATCTACCAAACCGCACGCCTACGCTTGAGGCCGATAGGTACGTCACTGACCGCAAACGTGTACCCAACCCATAATTTCATGTCCTTTTGATTACGGTTAGGACACAACCTTCCGGAATGTCCGAGGAGACATCTCAGCATCCCTTCGACTATCTGAACAAATGACTTAGAAGCATGAGCTGCGCCTCCACGACATGCAGGTCTGCACGCGCTCAGGAAAACCTACAGGTGTCGCGCACAGCTTCTATACGGTTCGAGGAATTCTGACAGTGATCCCTTTTATTTTCAGTGGTGTATGGATGAATGGTGCAGTCTTTCGTGGACGCTCTTAGTGGACTCTGTAGGAGTTAACAATCTTGTATCCTCCATCGTTTTGAAGTATCTATAGTTGGATTGCATCCAAGAACGCCCATTGCTATGCACGATTGAAATGAAATCTGCGATACGCTGAACTCACACAATCGTATGCTAAAAAGAAAGAACCCCAAGTAACACCCTCACGGTGACTTTTGTCCACCTTCGCTCTCCCTCCGCAACATAGGACTTGGGAGACCCCGTTCCGTCCTGCTTTCTCCTCCCGGTACACCTCCAGGAGGCATAGGCATACCCGGTCCGCCCTGTATACCCCCCATCCGTATATTAGGCACACCCAGCTCGACCTCCGCGCCCTCATCTTCCTCGTTCACGTCCTCACCTGCACCCGCCATCACACCCATCTCGGCCCCGAGCCCGAGCCCTGTGGTCCGCCTCGCCTTCCGCGCGTGGAATGTTCGGCTGGCGGTAGCGTTCGAAAACAGCGGGATCAGATACCGCTCGTCAATAGTATGGAACCATTGCCCATCGCCCTCGTGGACCGTCCCCGTCCCTGCCTCCTCGTCGTGAGCGTTCCCGCGTGATGCCGACGCCAGCGGGAGGACCTCGCCGCCGTCCGAGTCGTACGACTCGCTAGAGGCGGCAGAGAACACGGACGCGGAGCGGATGGGCGAGTCCGACGATGCCAGCGCTTGGTGGTTGTATCTGCTGGGGCCAGCGTAGTGCGCGCCTACCCGTGCCGCAGCGTTCCCGTAACCCTGCTGCGATGCGAGGTACGCAGACGACGAGCTGCGTGGAATGCGATCTTCGTCTGCATAGCCGTTGCGTGCCCACCGTTGGCGGCTGTTCCACGAGCGCGACGGGGGGACTTCGTCCTCGCTACTCGAAGCGGCCTCATCCTCAACGCCTGTCCTAATACCAAGCACCTCGAGCATCCTGGCTGTCGTCCCGCCGAACATGACGACTGTGAGCACCACAACAACGAGCACGGTTGTGCGCAGGGTCTGAGCATTTTCCCCCTTGAATCCTGCAGCAAGCGCGACACCGACTGCTCCCCTTAGGCCAGCCCAGAACAGCATCATCTGATAAGAATGAGGTAGCTCGTCGGTACGCTGGCCCCGTGCGTGGCGGTGGAAGAAGTTGATAGCCTCGGAGAGCGGGAAGACGGCTGCGTAGCGGGTGAAGACGACAGCGATCGTCGTGATCACGATGAAGAGCGGCTTGACATAGTTCGTCACCTTCTCGGATGAGGGGGGACTAGTAAAGAGGGAGAGACCGAGGTATATGAAGATAAAGTTCTCGGTAAGTTGAGCGAGGGTCGCAAAGATGTATTTGGTCGTGCGCTGCGTCCGCCGGGACATCGTGTGGTATGCATAGTGCTTCAGAGTGATACCACAAAACAGCAGAGATACGATGCCAGACATGGAGATACCGTTAGAGAAGAAGTAGCAGGTGTATGCTGAGAGGGCCACCAGGCAAGACTCTATACCTGGATACAACGTAAGGGAGGAGTGCTTGAGGATCAGCGACATGGCGAGGCCAAAGCAGACGCCGAGAGCCATAGATACACTGAACGAGAGCAAGAAGATTCCAATGCCGTGGAAAATTGACGAGAGGAAGATTTCTGTCCCATGGAATTGTGATAATGTTCTGCAATTAATCAATAGATATCCGAAATTTACGGAGTGGGTGATACTTACTCGTACATAACGATACTGACTGCATCGTTGAGCAAGCTCTCCCCGAAGATGACGGTATAGAGTTTGGGGTCAACCTTGTATTGGTTGAATATGGCCAATATGGTGACTGGGTCAGTGGCCGATAATGTAGTTCCGAAAATGAGACATTCCAGCAAGGAAACGTCGAGTGACTCGAGACCGAGGAAAGAGTATATATACACTAAAACACTGTTCTGCGGGTGATATGTGTTCGTGTTACAATGGGGAAAATTGGGATACAACGTACCCGACACCGACAGCAGATATGAAAGTGCCAAAGAAAGCGAATGTCAAGATGGAACCAAAGTTTCGGAAGAAGTTTTCCTTTCAAGGTTGCGAGTCAGATAGCACAGAGGTGAATTGCGATCAACTCACTTGTTTCAACTCATAGCCAGAGTTCAAGATGATTGGCGGCAACAAAAGGTTGAAGAACAACGTGTGTTTGAATGTCTGTAGACCAAACATCAATGTGATTTCCAAAAAAGTTTTTGAAGAAAAGAAGGATAGGTAGCCCATAATCTCAATGCCTGGCAACAAGAATAATATGGGGATAGAATGCGGTTTGGACATTCCAAAATCCATATCTCCGTTCTTATCTCAGGCACCAACATCAGGCGTTCTTGGACTGCCTCTCTCATCTTGAGCGCCCGACTTAATGCGCTCGTAGGACTCGTCAACTGCGCAAGCTGCCACGTAGCATTGAAGATTTGGAGACCAAATGGCTGATAGCTTATTGAATGTAGTCACACGTCTCATGAATGGACACACGACGTCCTCGTAGAGCCCATCCTGGTCCAAGACACGCCGCCTGCATACACCTGGGAGTATATTTCTAGGAACACTCACCAGCATTTCCCTAATGAGATGTCCTGGTGCCAGTCGAACGACGAATCCGACCAGCATACCCGCTACTATAGATACCAGGGTCTCGTGCACGGCACGAATGCGCTTGATTTGCAGGTAGTACGACGTCCACAGGGAAAGGACAAGGAGCATGCAGACGAGGAAGAGCGACCATGACGAATAGAACTCTTCTTCCTCTGGAACGGGTGTGGAGGAAGCTGAGGGTGACGCTGCCAGCGTTCCGAGTGAGATAGACATGATCCTTGCAGATTTCGAGCACAGGTGTGCGCGCTGCGCCTATACTAGTAGCTCGATGGTGGCGGCGTTGTAGAGGAGAGAGTTGTCGATGAGCGCTGAGCGCAATACTTCCCCTCCCCATTGCCCGAATGGATTGATTTCGTAATCACAGCAGTCAGAATTACATATTCGCAGTCTCCGACTCCGTATCCCCGTGGCGATTCTACAGGATCCTACACATGATGCTGCATGCAGTCCAAAATACTATGTCGGCGCTCCTTAGCACTATATAGTCTCCGTGGCACCTTGAAAAAATAGTAGTCGCTATATTTGAACAGTCTTATCTTCTGATATCTCTTCAACAGCTGGCAACAATTATCATCGACAGACCCTACTTCATGAATACACTATATACTAGCCCCACTCCACTCTTTTTTCCTCTCAAATGATACTCCCATCTTGACGATATTGAAACTGCTTTTCCACGGAAGAATGAGTCCTCCGGCTGATGGATGAATGCCTATGATTCTATCGTATGTCAGATGTTGCCAGCGACACCGTACATACAGGGCGCATTCTCTGAATCTACCAAGCAGCTCCAAGCAGGCGTGCGTAAGGTACCGTGACACCAAGACCACCGTACCGATCCCTCGATCGATCGACGACACGCACGTATCATTCCCCAGGGGTATATGCTCGCAAGACGACAGCAAAAAGATGAAAAACGAGGAGAAAGGGAAAGATGCCAGGCGAGTAGGCAAATAAAATGAAATAAAACTGTTACGGCCAACAACGTATAGTTAAATAGGGGGCAGGCGGCAGAGTGAAGAAAGAATATATGCTCGGGTGCGTCCACTTCCCACCGTATGATAAATAACATGCACTGGCTTTCATCATCCGTGTAAGTACTCGTGCGAGATGCCGATATTCACCGTCACCCTCTTTGACACTCCTTCCTTCACTCCTTTACAAGACCGCGACCGCGCCGGCAAAGAGGGAGCCGAGCATAGCGCCCGCCATCGCGACCTTGCCGTCGAGCGAACGCGGCGCAGCGCCGACGAGTCCGCTGGAAATGCTACCGCCCGCAGCCTGTACAGAACCCTGGAGGAACGAGCTTCCGCAAGTGGACTCGATACCGCTGTACAGGTCACTCTGGCCCGAAAGGAGAACCGAATTGGCGATGCCAGGGGCGTAGGGGACGGACGCCTCGAAGGTCATGTAAGCGGTCATAACAGAACGCGTGCACGTGGTGCAGAGCTTGGAGGAGGAAAGAGTGCCGTCGAGGAAGAGGAAAAGGATGTTGGACTCGCGGTAAGTGGTCACGTTGGGGATAAGCGCGACCTGGGCGGTCTCAGCACGACGGGAGACGCTCTTGGAGCTGATGGAAGTCCAGAGTGTGTCGGCGATGGAGGACTTGCTGCCGCTGCTGCTGGTCGACACGCGGACGGAAGTGGCGTTAGAAGAGACGATATCAGAGAGTGTGGTTACGCAGTAGCGCCCGCTGTCATCCTTGGCACAGATGGCCGTCTTGAGGGGCGTGAGTGCGTAGAGGACATCATAAGTGCGGATCACGTCCTGGTTGGAGCTCGACGTAAGCTCGGCAGAGCACGCCGAGTAAAAGCTGGCGAGCTGGCTGCGAATGGTGCTTTCATCACACGAAGTAGAGCTCCCGCAGACGTTATTAAGTGCGGTCGAGATGGTCGAGGCGGATGGGGAACCTGTCGCATTAGAGCTCGGGCCAAAGTCCGTGGTCGCGCTGACCAACGGGGCGAGGCAGGACGAGAGCGTCGAGTTCGAGTTCAGAGTGGTGAGGAAGGAGCTGCAGCCGGAGCTGATACCACTGGGAATGAGGGGGTTGGATGAGGTCTGTAATACAAGGTGGTAACATCGTCAGAACAGAATCAACGTGAACAATAAGACGATGTGATATTGACCGACGACTGTGCCAAGGCTCCGGTGGCGAGGAGGGAGATGAAAGCGATAGATTTCATTGTCAAGAAAGACAAAGGAGTGTTGAATGAGCGACTGAGATATGTACGACGACGAGGTCGAGGTAGGGGAGCGTGTCTGAAGCGTTGCAAGGGCGTGCAAAAAGTATGCAGTCAAGAGGCGCTGGGAGATGTGACTTGACGGTCGTCACAACAACCCCAATTCGAACCTCCCCGCGTGGCTTGGCCCTTTCTTTCTTTTCCGTCGGCCACTGCAACCCGCGTCACTGCACTCACCGCCTTGCGAAAATCAGAAAACAAACATGTCGCAAGCTGCCTCTTCCGGATTTCACAGGAATGCATCGTAATACCAGACCCATCTTGTGTGGAAATTTATGTGATCCATCAGTGATAGGCTAAGCATACGATCAAATGCAGAAGGATTCAGAATCTGGGGTGGGCAGGGTGGACCCATCGACGCCTGAGCCTATGTCTATATATACGATTTTCTCTAGCATTTTTCTCGTCCGCAGTCCAAGTGTCACGCAACAGTATGCACCGTAGCGAAGCGATGTCGCTGAACATAACTTCAATCGAACCAACGTGCCAGGGCAACACCACGGGCTTGGTCCCAGCACTGTCTCAGCCCCAAAGAAAAGGGATCTGAATGGTAAATTGGTAGCACCCGCAACCAACCCCGAGAGACAGAAGATATACAAACTGCACACCTCACAGACATGAAGAGGCCAGTTTGAACGGGGAACAACAAAGACAATCGTAGAACCTAAAACAAAGCAAATGCCAGATGAACTTCCTCACAGTGCTTCTTCAGGAGAAACGATAGATAATCTTTCAGTTGCTTCTTACTGTGTCCAACGCACAAAAAAGCTATACCAGTTGCTTCGTTGCCTCTACAGACTATTATGTTCGGGGTCGGATAAATCGTGCATCAGGTTCGCTCGCAATACTCGTCGATGCGTCTATCAGCAAGACGCGCTCATTGGGCTCGCTGACGAACATATCTCCGACGAGCAAAAGAAGAGTCCCGCCCCCGGTCTGTCACTACACCAACAATCAGGATAATGATCACATGAAAGCGAAGGCGAAGAGACGCTCGTACGAGAGGTGTCAACATTCAGTATGTGCGTGTTCAGCGTGCACGGAAAAATAGTAGCATTCAGAGGTCAATACTCACACGATCATTTCATTGATATGCGACACGATATGTGTTCCAGAACCATGATCTCCCAAAGAAGCGGACTGGCCACTCGAGGTTGATGAGGTACTTAGCAGCGCAGCGTAAACCGCAACCGAAATAGAATATGAGTACCTCTTGCCTGGGTTGTTTGGTGATTGATGGGGATGTTGGAGTCAAGGTTTCTCTGAGGCTTTGAGAAGCGATCTTGGTTTTTGGATACCAAGATGGTGACAAGAATGCCTTGGAACAGATGCTCACCCCTGAGAGACCAGATCAGACGCGAGCAGGCGACGCCCTGAGACAGAATCGGTCGACGTGCCAGGAATCGACATACACAAGTCATATTTTCAAGGGTAAGGAAAACGTGTGCTGGTATCGCATAGAACCAGGGTCGAAAATGCTCCTCAGGAAGACTAATAAATCGATGGGGATCAGTTGGTCGGAGAAAGGCTTGACATGCTATCTAGAACATACAGTCTGCTGAACATACCTGGCCGTGTCCGGGGTGATTTCATAGATCAACTTGGATGTGCGGCCCACATTTTGATCAGGAAGTGTCTTCCTTAAGCCGAGCTCGGTACGAGTCGAAGAGGGCCGTGAGATGAGAAGATGGTGCGCGATTTCCACGAAGTGTCTCCAAAGTGATTATCCTCCCCTTCTCCATCGAGCGTTTATTTTGCCCGTTAGTTCAAGCTAGTTGGCGAATCTTCATTTAGTAGGAATAATATGCCAAGTTCAATTGGGGTAAAGAAATGAGCATACTAGATCTCCCCTTTATGCGATTGCGCGCGGGGATGCTGTCTGTCTGTCGGACCCTGTATTATCACTCAAAGGGGATAGCTCGGACCATTGTGGTCCAAGTAGGATGTGATGCTGTAACCGACATCTGTGAAATCACCGTTCGATTCCGTTTGGAAGGCTGGCTACGAGATTGTCAAAATAAGTACCAACATCCCAACTTCTGTCGCCCCCACGACACCTGCCACGGCCAGCACCACCCACCCAGCCGTGATGAACGGCCGACCAAAATTTTGCTTGTCCTCCTGGCCCTTGGTCGGCAACGGACGCAGGTGTTTGCTCGGCCCATTGCTGTCTTTGTACATGTCTGCAAAGTCGTGTTGCGAATGCCGCGCGCGGAGGAAAGAGCACAGCAAAAGCATCCCAGCAAGAGCTGCGTATAGGATACCTACTGCGAGTTCGGATCCGGATTTCACACGCAAGGCAGCAGGCAAATGAGGCGAGTTGAGTCAACGAGGGCCTCGAGGGGCTATCAGGTGCACAGGGAACGAGAAAGGGGTGAGCTCACTTCGGTAAAAGCGTCTGTCAAAGAGCCTCAAAACCGTCAGCGAGTATCCGAGGTTGACAAGGGCGGTCCGAAGGTATGCGCCATTGAAAGTGCGCTGTCGAGCGCGAAGCTCCACGAGTTCGTTTACATCCTCAGCAATGAAAGATTGGGCTCGGTGACCTCTTGAAATTTTGGGGAACATATCAACGAGTGCGATCATCAAAGCGATAATTTCCTACCTGTATCGATGGAGGCGCCTCATATTCTTTGCATGATCTCGGAGGACGTCGAAGTGTTCAGTCGACGCTTCGGGGTTCGGGGACGGTTGTGACTTCATCGAGGCACGAGGCGCCACATGCAGCCACGTGAGAATTGTTACTTGATGGTCCTTGTGGGTCCACTTGCACCTGTTCCACTTCCGCCAAACGTTTAGCTCATCTCCCCCGCAAAGAACGACACAGGCGTCATCTGCTGCCTCGATATACTAGTCCGTGACCCTAAAGGTAGTGGATTAGGCTATCGAAGATCCTTCCATTGACCCTCATACGGTTCAACCCACTTTACACGAATACACGGCAGGAGGGCGGCTAATCCGCTTCAACAGGCCTGCTTGCGTGAATCTTCACAGCCCAGTTGGGACAACAAGATACGCCCCTTCTCATCGATCGCCTCTAGCCCCAGCTCGGCGATTACCTATCGCACTGATGAAGCGATATAATTGCATACTCCCCTCTCACCCATTGTGATGCTCAAGGCTTGTAGGAGGACAGCGTGCAACCTTCTAGGAGTCCGTGCCAGGAGCTTAGGTCAGATAGCTTCACTCCATTCCATCTGTTCAGCATTCATTCATGTCTACCATAGGAGTCTTCCGACACCTTCGTAGGCGCTCAGACGGATTGAAGTCACAGGCGCAGAGGCGTAGTATGTCGCTCGTATCGCTGCACTCGTGTCTTCCTTGTTCATGCACTTGTATTTGTACCCCCTAGTCATCGACCATGAATGCACAACAAGTTACGCTTGAACCCAGCTCCTTGTATGTCTTCACACAGCCGCTACTTCACGGCGCCTTTCATTGGGCCTTCATACATACCGACGCACATAATCATGCAACCATACATCACTGGGCAGAGCAGGATCGAGGTCCCTATGCAGAAAGCTACCGCATGCAGGATCTCGCTGCAGGTATGAACAAGCTCCGCAATGCGCCTGTCCTCGGATACTTCAAAGTCGAAGGATATGCCGCCGTAGACCTCTCGATCTTCGCGCGTATATGCCAGGACACGTTCCCCTCTGGGTGGGCAACCGTGCAGCAAAACCGTGCGCGCGGCCTCTCTTGCCGCACGTGGGTCGTGGCAGTGTTGGCGGGCATGAAGGCACAGAGGCTCCTCAGCCGACGAGATTCAGCGGAAGACATCGAGCGCGCGATCAAGACCCGCAGTGCCGAATTTGATGTGATCTACATGAACGACTTCCTCTGGCAGAGAGCATATCAAACTGTCGTCATAAGCATCTGACGCAGCTGCATTTCAATCAGGAGCGGCGTTGACTGGATTTAGTACTATATGACGCATATCACTGGGGGAGGGGGGTGGAGGGGGATGTCGGTTCTTGCCGTATCCTCGAACTTTATTACCAGATACATTGTAAGACTACTTGACCTCTATAATTATTTGCTAGTATTGATACCATTACCAGGATCTTCGGCAACAGTGGGTTTTCTCTATACTAATTAGATACACGAGAGCTAGCTAAATCGGATAGTAGAAAAGCTGAATTTTAATATGACACCATAGCCAAGTGGTTACGGCGACAGATTAGAAATCTGTTGGGCTTTGCCCGCGTAGGTTCGAATCCTGCTGGTGTCGTGTGCAATATTTTGGGGAATTTTTTGTTTCGCTATTGACTGCGAAGGCCTGAAGACCGAAAATGCCTCTATTTCTTGTAAAGTTATATTGTCGAAGGTCGGGTAAGTTCTCGACTGAGTGTATATCTACACAATTCTTCAGCATGGTAGGTTTCTCAATGAGATCCACAAGTCAAAAACTAGTTTCGAACTGTGGTCTTGAACCGACATTTTTTGACATGAATGATCATGCGGAATGATCAGAGTAGGGAAGTATTGCATTAGCCCACTATCATAAGATATAACTACGCTACATCAGCTCGTCTCACCACTTGCGCTTCTCGGTCGCCTTCTTCTGTGCCATCTCGCTCTGCTCCCGGAAGTACTTCTTCAGGTGATTGATTGATTCCATGAATGTGACAGGTTTGAACCCTGCATTTTTGGGTACGACGGGGATATCGAAGAAGCGGCGGACGGCGCTGCTGCGCAATACGACGGTCTGGAGAAGCATGGCGAGCACACCCGTCAGCACGTAGAGGTTCAGGCCCTGGAATGGCCGTATGAGCTCTGTTTAAACGTCTGAAGAGAGGTGATCGCTCACGGCCGGGAATGCGCCCATAAAGGGAATACTGAATACTGAGATGACTCTAAAGAAGTTGATCATATGGGCCATGGTCTGACGATCGCCAGCGAAATCACTGGCCCCCAGCTAAAACAATGAAACATAATCAGACAACCACAAGGGCTCGTATTCGTGCAAGAGGACGTACCGTCAACTGAGCGTTCATGCACACAGCAGCGGCGATGGGCAAGATATAGTATGGCTCCGCCACCGTCAAGTCAGGGAGGAAACTGACCCCACTCCACATGAGCTGCTGAAGCGGCAACGTGCACAGGCCCTTCACGGCGAAGAACATGCCTAGCGTCACTGGTAGCTGCACGAACGGCGTTGCGAGCATTGGAAGCATACTGACGCCCGCCTCCTCGTAAACCTTTCTCTGCTTTAGCGCGACCTTTTGCATTGCCAACGGGTCTCGCGTCTCGCGCGAGCGGTTCAATTCGTCCTTGATCTGCAACAGACGCCCTTGGTATGGTGCGAGACGGGCAGAATTCCGGAGCTGCTGAACGGAGAAGGGGAGGAGCAGCACACGGGAGAGAACGGTGCCGGCGATGATGGTATAAAACCAGGGCATTCCGGTGGAGACGTTGATTATCTCCAACATCCATTGACAGATTCCTGAGGGGGTCCAGTGCGCGAGGCCGAGCGCTGCGAGGTCCCCATACTGAAGCGGTGCTATACTGATAAGCGTGTCGGAAATCGACGACGAAGCGGCGATTGGTGCGGAAAGGTCGCTATCCAGGAGGATGGTGCTGTCTGCAGGGAATGCCTCAGAGAATCCGGAGGTCGCGTTTGCGGGCACGGCGGCTTCCGGCGGAGCTTGCTCAAAAGTAAGCTCGGGAACGGAGGGCTGTGGTGGTGGTGGTGGAGTGGGTGCGGAGGGTTTCGAGGAAAATAGCCAGAGGTTACGCTTCGCTGAGGGCGCGAAAGCGGATGGCCGTGGAAGCGGTCGTATACGCTGCACATCATTCAATGGGTGATTCAGCATAGTATGGGTTGACATACCTGATGGTTAGATGTGGATAAAAGTCGTGCATGAGGACTTGGAGCGAACGGCCTATGCAAGAAAGAAGTGTCAGAACGTTGAAGCTGACGGGTGCTTCATTCAATGTCTGGAACGGAGCCTGCTACATTTCCCTCAAATAGGCGCACAGGTGACTGATACCTGCTCTTGAACCCAAACATCCGAAACTCAAAGGAAACCAATAACATACCGCACACCCACAAGCCGTCGACACTGCATTCTGCTCAAAATTCCAACGCTGTTCATTTTGGGAGGCTTCCTGAGGACCACTGTGATCAAGCTGAGAAGTGAGAGCTGATGAATACGTGGCCTCGACTCGCGTTGTGAACGAGCGTCAGATCCAGGGGGAGGGGGAGACCGACTCTCGTGTCACGACAAACAAAATTGACATAGCAGAGGCTCGCCAATGCCGTCGCCTGCCGAATGTGCCGACCCGTTGCCGGCCCCCACCGGGTGCAGCTGTGACCAGTCGAATGTGTTGGCTGTTAGCCATGCAATTATTACCCTTGATCGAATAGGAGTTGAAATCAGATTGCTCATTGAACAGCATACTGTGCTGTTCATTCCCTATGTTGAAATGTCTAACAATATCTATTGTGGATTTTCATGCTAGGGCATTGGGAACACCACAGTTTGACAAAGAATTCATCAAAGAAGTCATCCAAATAACGGCACTAGGAACTTTTGCACATCCTTCAATTGAGTACTGCACCATTTGTGAAGAATACGTGGAGGCTCCAAATGGGATTTTTTGCCATATTTTCTGGGGATAAATATACAAACTATGTCAAGTTGTAATTCGGTGTAAGCGAGAAAGCTAAAATACCATAGTTTGACCAGGAAGTGGGCTAAGGAGGCCTGTGAGGCCTGGTAAGGGACAATGAGATACGAACACTCTAGGTACTTGATCAATAGTAAAATTAAATATAAATTGTTTTTGTCGATAGATGCAAAACGACACAATACCATCAACGGGGGTCGAACCCGCAACCCCCACCTAACTACATCGTAGGAAGGTGATGCGCTACCATTGCGCTATGACGGCGACAACAATAATGAATTTTACCCACATTGGTAGAGCATGTTTCTTGCTGGACTCCGCCTCGATACCTTCATTTCTCGCTCACATTCGTTCAAACACCCATTTCCTCAAAACCTGCTTTATTACTGCGATATGACGGGCAAATCAATCAGCACGGGGACGCTCAATCTCCGGTTTATGCAGAATGCGCGGCGTAACGAGGAGCTTGCACAGGCCGAAGCAGCATCAAAAGTTCAGATCCAGGACGAGTCGTTCTGGGAGGTGTCGAGTGCAGTACGGGAAGCATGGGGCATTGCTGCTGGCGCACAAAAGGATTCTCAGTGAGTATATGCGCACAAATCTATTAAACTGTCCAGCTTGCTGAACCATTCGCGTTTCTTTTACGTGTTTCAGTCTGGCCGTGGTGCACGAAGCATCTTACATCCCATTCCTCTTCCCATCTGCATCCACGTCTGCGGACACAACTGATCAGCCAAAGCTGAGAGGACGTAGAACATGGAATAAACATGGAAAGGAAGTGACCGAAGCCGTAGGCACCCTGCTTTTACTCGTGAAGACTTCTGGGGAAATACTCATTCGAAAATCTTCTTCACCGTCAATCAGGACACCCAGCCAAAACCAGAAGATTCCTCCGCGAGTGCCACCGAAGATGCATCCTCCACTTCATCTCGCTCCAAACCCTTGAGACATCTAACGTCGATCTCGGGCATGGGGCCGCCTGCTCGCAGCACCAAAGAAGGGCGCGAATCCAAAAAGCCTACATCGCGCCCGGCGCAGACAGCACGGGATGTCATCCGCGAGAGCGGTCGCGTCGGGACTGACCTACGCAGCTCACGAACAGAACCCACATCTACGCATTCTCTGAGTCCCATACCCTCCGACACTAGAATGTTTATGAAACCTGCTGGCGTCGACGAGCCGAGTCTAAACAAGGGCAGGCGTCCACCGAAGACTGAGGAAGATGGTGGCATTGTATATGGTGCCCGAAGTAAGGAAAAAATTCCAGCTTTGAAGCGGGCGAGGACCGAGCGCGCAGAGGTGAATATGTTTTCAGGTGATGTGAGAGATGAAGAGGGCAAGTCTCGGAAAAAGAAGAAAAAGAAGGCGGAATAAATGAGATGGCGTGCAGGTATGCCTACTCTGCCTCAAAACCTCTGTCTTTCGCTTTTCTTCGACCCATTTCCAACAGAAGCCCCATTTCCAACAGAAGCCAGCTAGATCATTGTGCTCTAGCCATCAATTCTTTCTATACTTGGCACAAGTCACAGCCGCCTTGTCCCCTATCTCTAGTCTCGCCGTAATATTCGCATCGGCGTCTTCTCTTGATGGTCATATAGCAAGTCTTCTTTACGTCTCACGTCGATCTTAAGGCAGTACGCCGTTCACTCAGTCGCACCCTGTGACCTGCTGGTTCATACGATGCGTCCATGGAGCCCGTTGATACCCGGATTTTCGATTCCAATTCTGTGTTTGGTCACGGGCGTATCCTAGATCCTGTTCTCCTCAAAAAGTTGTGGGCGTTCACGAGAAATCACACATCTCTCGTTTGATCTACCTTCTCTAGTCACTCAGGGGCTTCTACGCGTTCTAGTGCTTCAATTCCGTCTCAGTTATGACGCAGAGTATACAATGACAAAAGACGCCGCCGAGACCGTCCTGCCCCGACCAACCGAGAGGGCAGATGAGCATCAAGTGACGGCGATGCCGCAACATTCTTTACATGGGTCGACATGTGCTCGCAGACTACAACCTCTTTGAATCACCTGTCCAACTCACCGCGGGCTGCATCAGCGGAGCCATCGATACTCATTACGCATGCCTGAGTTGAACGGGCGAAGGAGCGGGGAACTCTGAGGTTGTTTTGATATGTAAGATCACTTCCTGTTCCCCCCCCCCCCGGCAGGGAATGCAAGTATCATGCTACGTACAAAGAACTCACGTTATATCACCAAAATGTCAAATACTATCAATCAATTGCAGTTCTCCTGACCGCTAGACGACAGTGGCAAATCGTGGTAGATGATAGATGTGTTAAGAAAACAAGGTCGTTCGATAGGTCCCCCTCCATAAATATACAATCTTCAAAGTGCCAACGTACATGAATACGGTTACATCCACGCGGCACAGTGAATGTTGCCGACACCCAAGGAAGGGATCTCAAAAAGTGAGCAAGGTAAATCCAAGTACATGATTGGCTGAGCAGACTGAAGAATGGATTTGCTCATTCCACGGTATAATCAAACTCGTCTCCCCCAGCAAGAGAGACATAAAATGAGAGTGGGCACCAGCATGCCCAATGGAGAGATGATGCGGTTCTATGTGAGCTATAACCAGCCCATCTACCGCGATGTGCACACGCGATACCTGTACGCAGGCTTCAAGGTGTAAACTCGGCTTTTCGGGAGCGAGTGAGGCCATGTCTTCTCCCGCCAAAGTCATGCCGACACACCCAGCAACCCGTGATCGAGAAGAGCCTGGCGGTAGCCGGCCGCGTAGCCTCGTTCGTAGCCATCTGCGCACCCCGTTTGGTACGCGCAATCTCGTGCTTCGGGAGAATTCGCCCGCGAACGAAAGGGGCGAATATATGGCGACCAAGCACGCGCACGACGGGGGGTGGGATATTGGCTCCTTACACGAGGGAAGGGTGAATGAGACAACACGGGGGTGGGCGGGACCGATGTAGAAGGGGAAGGAGATGAGGACGGGGAGTAGGAGAGGTATGGCGGCGGTGAAGAGTCGGACCTTGGAGAAGGGGCAAATCGAGAGGTCGATGGAGACGGCGCATAGGAGCGGGCATAGGAAGATGGAGGACTCGGACTTGAGAAAGTGGAGATGGAGCACAGAGAGAGACCTGAGCTCGCGGATCTTTCCCTTGTGGTTTCGTAAAGAGACGCGGTATATTTTTCACACGAATCCCCTATTCGATGACGAGAACAACGTCAGTCTTCGTCCGATCATCAGGGAAATACCCACACACCCGCTTCATCGTCTTCGGACTGCCATGCATATGGTGACTTGGGATGCATCCGATCCTTGTAGGGATGGAGGCAGACTTGAGCCTCCTTCCCTCTCGTAGAAACCTCGCTACATCCCTCCTGAACATCGCCGCATCCCTCTGGCACGTCCAGAAGGCTGTGACAGAAACCAAGGATTGGAGACAAAGCAGAAGGGGTGTACGAAGCGGAGACCAAGTCATCGGATGGGACATTTGGGAAAGGTGGAGGGTTCAGGATATTGGGAAGGTATGGGCGCGCATATGTGGGCATTTGCTCTGGCGGGTGCCATATGGGGCATACCGCCGTGGTATTGCAGAGCGCATCGATGATACGTCCGTGATCCTGCAAATGTGATCACAATATAAGAATAACTTTCGATGTCACAGACCATAATATTTGAGTAGAGCGCATTCAGGCAGTAAAAAACGCACCAATTCGCCGTCGATGCTCTCATCGTCAGACCTTATTAATGTCTCCTCATCCTGTTGGAAAGGGCAGTATTCTATATTCGTTGATACTATGCGCTAAATGACACAAACCTGAATTTGATTCTTTTTGTGTGACCATGGGGGAATAGATCTCTTGTTCGCGGCGAGGGTAGCTTCATATCTCGAAGCTCGAAGCGTTTGCCCTGCAACCTCATTGGTATACAGGTCCAATTTAGCAGCAGGCGAGGTGATCAGATCGTCATAGGACCACGTAGCCAATGCGGAAGTCATCATGTACGAGATCCCTGTCTAAATAATGACAGGATCGACTGATATTACAGCCAAGAGTGAGTGGCAAGAGAAAGTTGGATACGAGAGACGCACATTGTCTTTGGTTTATATCCCATGGCGCTACATATGCTGTATTGTCTTCGACGCTTTGCCCCGTATCGCTCATTTGTCTTGTTGTCGACGCTTGGATGATGTGGCCCGCTTAGACGCGACGCGCCACCATGCAGCACCGTGCCACAGAACGCATTGGTATCACGTGCGCGACAAAGCAACGGGCCCAGGCAGCCCGCTGCTTTGTTCTCGACGTACTTCCAACGCCGAGATATATGGCTTGTTCTCTTTTATGGCGGACCTCTTGATGCCAGATAGTCCGTGTATGCGGGATGCGAAGATATGAGTAGGTCAGCTCAGGCATGGCAAGTTGGGACTTCTCGGATGTAAACGACAGATGTCGACTCTGAGGCCTTGAGGGTGGAGCGTGCTTGATGCCCGGAGTGAGGTTATTATAGCAGAGTCCAGCCATCATGTATATCGGTGAGCACGATCACTTAAACAATCATCAGGGCCAAAAGAAATCTTGCCTCTCATGTGGTCGTCGAACAGAACAGTCTCTAGGTGTACATACAGGGATCGCAAGCGGCGGTCCGGATTAAAGGTTAGACAAGCCCCATAACAGAATATTTCGCAATCCACCAGACCCTAGGTCCATACGAATAGGAGGAAATAGCCTATAGCGCCCTTCACCTCGTTTAGGAATACAGGCCGATCGATTAGACTTCACGGTACAAGTAAAACGAACTCGGGGATAGCCACCAAACGGAGGTTCCGAAGTAGGACTCTCACGAAGAATGTGCACCTCTCGAATGAGGATTAGAGTGCACCACTGCGGAGCGCGTCATCGAACCCTAGCATGATAACCTTCTGCGTCTGCTGACCGCTCTTGTAGGTGGGAGATCACCTGGTGACTGTGGGCAGCCAGTAGGGCTTGCGAGGTGACCGCCGTTTAGAACGCCTGCCATCCGCCAACTCCAGGTACCCACTGAGCATGACCCTCGAACGTCTATCCACCGCAGTAAGTATACTTGTCTAAGCTTAAGCAACATTACACGTAAGTACGTGGCCATTCTCCCACACGTTTTGTGAAACCTGAACTTACAAACTGTTCGGTCCCTCTCGGATCCCGCAAAAAGCCAATCACGCACCAACCTTCTGCGCAGAAACGGCGGCCGCCAGAGGCACCGAGCTCAAGTCGCCGCCTTCGAGATCTTGATGCCCACAATCCAGTACGATACAACCGAGTCGAAAGACATGCGGAGGCGCTTCCGTAGATGCTTCGCTGCTGTCCACATCCGGCCATCCGCGTCTGTCTAAGTTCGAATTCTGAATCTGCACCACTGTTCGCTCGATGCGGGGCCACAATGCGGCACGGTGCAGGTGTTAGTTTGCCAACAGCCGAGATCCAGCTAGGCAAGGTGATACTTGGGGCCGTCGCTACTGGATGTTATTGGACGCGTGGCCGCCTAAGTGATCCAGGTAAGCAAACCGGTACGCCCAACGTGAGTAGAGTTTACTCCGCGATCGCGATAGGAGCCGATGCGTGTGCGATCGAGTTGCATGATGGCTTAAATCTAGATATAGCACTAGACGTCTCTGGAGGAGGGGTGGTGACCACGGAAATGAACGAAGTCAATGAGTCTCCCTCAGCATCGGTCATGATCGGAGCAGACTGTTTCGTCTGCATTTCAACCGACCTGAATCAAACCAAATCGACTCGGATTCTTCAGGCGCAAAGGTTTGTTTGATCCCGTCGCCAGATATCCGTTCCCTATTATCCCTGACCGGTCAGCACTGTCCTTACCCGACTCATATTCTGCCCGGCTTATGTATGATACAAGGCGACAGTGCTATGGTCCACGCAGCGAACAGCGTCGACACAATGAATGTTGGATATGCAAGCGTGCAAGCAAGCCGGAGCGGAACACGCGCGCGATGCACAGCGCGGCGCGCGGATCTTCCGTCTGAACGCGGTAAGTGTGAGCAGTACGTATCATATGGCTGTCTTGTGCAAGCGCGCCCTAACATGACATGCGCCGTGCGATGCCGACGTGCTCCGCGGGTATCACTCCACCTACATATGCACCCGCTGCTCACCTTCGCCCCTCGATTCCCACAGGCCGAAAAGAACGAGGAAAAGCGCAAGCTGGGCCCCTGGTCGCTCACGACCCGGAACCGCCGGCCCCGCTCGAAAGCATTATTAGGGACGTGCGACGAAAAAGGAGCGACGATCCATGCCTCGGTACTACATATGGTCATATCAAGCTCCCAAAAGAGCTGGACAGAGAGCGACAACGAGCCACGCACTGGCAAGAATGCGACGCACATGAACAGCGACGGACATGCACATTAAAGCGAGGAATCGTGGCATCGCATCGCGCGATCAGCGGAGGGACCCCCCTGCATCTTCTCCGCGTGCTCCTTCCGCCCCGATCGTCTCTTTAGCTGTCCTATTCCATCCAAAGCCACCAGACCGTCCGCCGCGCAGTTACCGCATGGACAACAGTGGAAGAGACAGTAAGCAGAGTACCCACACCGACTGTACAGCAATACATTGACGCGCGTTGACAGAACCGTGCCGCTACCTCGACGTTTTTACACCACGAGGGAAGCCGAACCGCCCTTCTCGATACAAACTACATGACATGCCGGCAGCGGCGTCAACCGTGATATACGATCCACCTCCCTTTTTTCCAGGAAAACGCACCATTTGCTGTCCCCGGGCCCGGTGTTGACCCGAGTGACGGTCTCGCATCGCGTTACCGACGTACACGCCAGTGTACAAATGGCAATCGACGCTCCCTAGGCGAGATCGAATCGCGCGGAAGGGGCGATCCCCCGCGCGCAGATAGGCAGGTGGGGAACGGGGTCGCCTTCTGGGGCTGGGTGCACTCCACGAACCAACAGGGGTCGGTTTCCATCGGTCACAGATGGCACGCGGGGCGGTAGAGCGCCATCTGGTGACACGGGCGTGCACTTTGGCAGATGCCTCTGCGCGCGAGCCCTCTCGCCATGTGTGTTCACGCGCGATCTGATGCCCGGCAAGGGCGTGGCCGCTTCCCATAAACCTGTGCCACCAAAATGCAGACACGCGATTGTGCTTGTGGAGAACGCGCCGGAAGAGGAGAGAGAGGAGGTCGTCGATTGCTGCTCCGGGTTACATCACGGGCAGGTAATAGCCACAGCGGGCCCTGAAAGCCTCAAGCTAGGTTTGAGGCTGTGTCCATGCCTGAAGCTTCCGCGTTCGCGCCACCCGTTTGAATGCCGGTCGAAGATGGAGATGCAGTGCGCAAACAGAGGTGAGGGTGCCGGCTCGGCGGTACGGTCGCATACCCATGGCATAGCGTGAGTGAATGCTGTTTCCGCGCACCCGTATATGGACAAAGGACGTCTTTCATTGCGCTGATCTGGGCTCCATCTCACTCGCGCCTGCGATCGCGAGCGCCTGTTTGGCCACAGCCCCCAGGAGACATCGACCGACGAGCCCTGCAAGTCGCGCCGCCCGGATCTGCGCACACGGGGCCCGAGTCGCACGACGGACGCTGCGCGTGTTTTGATGGGGGAGTCACTGTCCCGTCGCTCGGGTTCGCTCGGGCTTCGAAGATGAGATGGACATCGGATGACGTGCGGATCGAGCACCGCGTCGGACCGCATTGCACCGTGTCGTGCCGATCGCTCGTCAGTTTCGATGACACGCCGGGTGCCCGTACGTTAAGCGCCCGGCGCGTGGGCCGTATTCGCTCGCTCGTCGCGTCAAAGTCCGAACTCCGCACGTGGAGGCGGAGACACGCCGTCGACGTCAATGACGAGGAAGCCCGGAGAAGATAGAGGACAGAAGGCGCAGGGACAAGAAGGCAGACGGGGGTCCGCGCAGACGAAGCACGCCGCATCCGAGGTCGACCTTGATCTCCGGCTCCCGAGCTCCGAAATGAAAACAATAACAACCATAATAAAGCCAAGCGCGCAGTCGGGCGCCAAAGGACCAATGGAGCACGAACGACGCGAAGCGAAGACGAAGACAGCGCGTTCGTCATGCAGCCTCCCAGAGCATGACGCGCAGAACCACGGAGCAGAAGAGATGCGCCAAGGCGCGGAACGGGACAGACGATCTTCTCTGCAGCCTCGATGCCGAGTACATAACGGATTCCAGAACGCGAAGCACCCGCAGAGAACCACGCCCACAATGAAATGACATGAACGTATACCGGCAGACCGTGGATCGCGCATCACGTCTACATCGCGAATCCCGCGCGCCATCAACGGACGTCACGTGTCGTCGCGCTTCGCGCTTCAGGAAGAGACGGAAGCGGCGAGCAGATACACGCAGGTACGTCGGCGCGCGGGCTAGCAGCGCGGGATGCGGGCGCTCTCTTTTGATAGATGACCGGGCGTGCTGCGCGACGGGTCGAGGGTCTGCCGCACGCGCCAAGCACTCGCGCATCGACGCTAACGTGATCAGCTCGGTGCCAACGAAGGCGCGGTGGAGCGCGAGGCGGCGCACAGCGAGAACAGGCAAGCGCGCTCGATCGACGTCCATCCACGCGCGAGAACGCGAATGCACTCACGCTCGGTCGCTTCTGGTAGGGGCGTGCCAATGCGTCATCCTCTGCGCGCGATCTGCAGTCCCCGCGCCCACGACGTCTGGCCGATCACCACTCGCAGGACAGCCGGAGCACAAGCCGGGACCTCTCGCAAACAACGTACCCGCGAGCGCTCGACGAACGACCGCCACGCTCGCACCCACCCACATACCAGGCGCTGTCCAATCGGAACGCGTTCCCAGAGCCTTTTTCCAAGGACGTCCGAGCGCCTCTGGAGCAGCGGTACGCGCCCAAAAGGGCAGCAATGCGCACGGTGCACGAAGCACCCTCGAGAAGGATGCGGTTCTCGCGCCTCCGCGCCGCGCCCCTTCGACGCCTCTAGCACGCGATGGACTGGACGCAAATTGGATCGCGTCGACGGCTGGGGCACCGCCAGCTCCACGCCGGACAACCCGAGCTGAACGACAGCACACCGAGGAGCCGCGAGCGGGCCCGCGCACGACTCCGGAAGTCCGGGCGGAGCCCCGCACTCCATGTCCATCGGGCGGCGAAGCGGAAGCCCCGCGCGCGCATGGGAAGAGAAGAGAGAGGATGCGCTGGCTGGCAGGGCATCATACTCCCGACGTTCGCGTCGACGTCGACGTCAATCCCAATCCAACCCAATCCAATCCGACTCGATTCGATTCGGTCCAATCCAATCCAATCCGACTCGATTTGATTCTGACGCGTCGCACCCACGACGTTCCGGGAGTATCGAGTTCGAGCGCGCGTCGCGCGCGGAGCGGTGCTCGAGGGGGATCAGAGATCTGTTTTCCGACCGCAAGAACCGATCGGGGGTCCAGAGATCAAGGGATGCGGCGACAGCAGCGACGGCGGCAACAGACGCGGCACGAGGATAGAGCCCAGGGATCTATAATGGGCGGAAACGCGATCGCGAGCCGGCGCTCGTTCGGGCTCGTGGGACCATTGTTGTTGTGCACAGCGCACGAACGCGCGCTCGAGTCTCGGAGCAGCAGAAACGACGCCTTGAGACCTGAGAACGAAGACAGCGTGCGACAATCGGATACTTTTTATGGTGTTTCTGCCTCCGTACTCACCCCATCGTCCCCCCTTCCCAGAAACGACACCCAAAAAAATCAGACGAGCCTATTTGCACGCACGCACGCACGCAGAGCGTCTCAGACTCGCCTCGAAACGCGCTCGAGCCGCCCGAAGCGACGTGCTCGCCGCGCCAGCATCTCAAGGACACCGCGTCGGCTCCAGAGCCTCGCTGTACGCGTCTAGCCTATGGAGTGACAGGCACGAACGAGCGCAGACACCGCCGCCAAGGGGTTTGCGGCCCAGACCGAGGGACTGGGGGCTGCGCGCGAGCCTGATGTCATTGCCGCGCCACGGTGCCCTGGGTAGATCCAGCCCGCTCCACTGTGCTCTGCCCTGTTCTGTCATTTTCTGTGCCGCGGCCTGAGGTCCCGTCCTGCATGCGGCGCAAAGCGGAATGAATAAATAAACGCGACGCACGCACGATGGAAGCGCGTAAACACGAGCGAAGCTGAGGGCGAGGGGAGCGCTCCTCCGTCGTCGTCGTCGTCGTCGTCGTCGTATGCATTTCCAAATGAAGACGCGGGCAGACGGGGGCGGGCGTGGACCGTGTCGGGTCGGTCGATCGGTCGGGTGTGCGATCGAGAGGGAAAGAAAGAAGAGAAGGGGAGGCGAGAGAAGAGAAGAGAAGAGAAGGGCGGGCGAGGTGCCGTGATGGCACCCAAACCGGCCAGCCAGCCAGCCAGCCAGCCAGCCAGGCAAAAGTCAGCACCCAAGAGACTCGGCCCCACACCCCGGGAGCCATAAATAGCGTCCGAGTCGACACGCATAGAAGGCAGACGACACTGACGCGTGCGCGTCTTTGTTTGTTCGAAGAACGGGAAGCGAACGGCGAGCGGCGGAAGAGAGACGGACGGACGGACGGACGGATGGATGGACGGATGGATGGAAGGCGGAAGGGTGACGACATCGATCGTGCGTGCAGCGATCGTGCGACCCGCTAACGACCCGCGACCCGCTCTGGGCCCGCGTCGGGAGCTGCGCGTCGGCGTGAAGTTCCGAGTTGCTGCGTTCCGTGCGACGCGCCTGTCGCGCCCGTCGCGTCCCTGCCATTTTGCGTCATGCCGCACCACGCCGCGCCACGCCGCGCCACGCCATGCCACGCCATGCCACGCCACGTCCTGTCCTGTCCTGTCGCGGCGCGTCGCGTGCCTTCCCTGTCATGCCATGCCGTCTCGCGTCGCGTCGCGTCGTGTCGTGTCGTACGCGCCTACCCACGGTCCCTACCCTCTTGCCGCCCACGCGCTCCGACAACCGCGTCGCTGAACAACAGACAGACAGCGACAGCCGTCCCAACAACAACCGACGACGCGCGGAGGCCGATCTCGACAGATCTCGACGTGCGTCCGGCACGCCCGCCGCCCGTCCCGTCGCCCGTCCCGTCGCCGTCGCCGTCGCCGTCGCCGCCGCCGCGCTACGCGACACGTCATGTCGTCTCGCGGTGGGTACGGCACGAGCGCACGCTATTGGCAGACGCGAGCCGCCGCAAGCCAGCCGCAACCAGATCGCCGTCCATGTCCCGCGGCGACCTGGCTCGCGCAAAGAAACACCGAGGGCGCACGACCCGGCGTGGACGCCCCGTGTCTTCCGAGTACAATACAATCGTTCTCGCCGACGCAAGCAAGCCTTCGCGATCGCGCGCACGCAGCCCGCAAAAGGGGGCTGGGGTCCACGAAGGCAACGAAGCGGGACGCGCTGCGGGGGGCGTAGTGTCCCAAAAAGCCGACGTGCAGGGCTGCTTAGACAGTATTTCTGGGCTGCGGGCTGCGGGCTGCTGCCAGAGATCCCGAGCGGCGTGGCGGATCTCGCGGACCGATCGCGTTCGACATGGCGCTGCTACCGTAGTAGCAGTATCTAGTAGCATAAAGTAGCATGCACGGATGCCGCGCGCGCTGTCCGGGATCTGGAGATAAGCGACGTGGGTCCGCGAGAAGCAAGACCAGCAAGAAGCGGAACAAAAAAAGAGGCACGCGCTGTCACGGGCCGACGCGACGTTGGACGATTGAAACGGATGGCAGCACGGTCTAGTACGATAGCTCCGTTTCGCAGGTGCTCCATATTGCGATCGGAATCGGCGGCGGCGCGGCAGGTATATTCCAAGCGGTCGGTGAACAACGCGGCGAAATGAAACGAAACGAAGCGGGGGTGAATGAAGATCGAGATGGCGAAGCGGCGGTGGAAGATTGATGGGCGACGATGAATCGATGATGATGATGATGGGGGGGGTTGATGTTGCTGATGGCGGTGATGGAGATGGCGGTGATGGAGATGCGGCGACGCGAGGGGGCGTGTGTATGTAAAACGCGCACGGCGCCATCAGGAATATCAGGAATCAGGGATATCAGGAATCAGGAATCTGAGAATCGCACGAAGGCGGGCTCGGAGATGCGGTCGAGCCGTGATGCTGATCGTGACATCGCGTGCGTGCGTGCGTACGTACGGTTGGCGGTAGTCTCCGTGGCTGGCCTTGCACAGAAGAAAGTCGTTCTGTGTACAAGTTGGCAGGCAGGCAGGGCAGCTCCCGCAGTGCATGGACCCGAGCGGGGGGGCGAGCGGGGGAGGAGCAGAAGCGAGATGGGGGACGGCGGGTGCGGGTGCGGGTGGGTGCCCGATATGGCATGTGAGGGAGCGTTGTTTGGACGGGGTTGATCCTGCCGGTGGTGGGGACGGGTTCGGTCCGCTTGCGCAGCGACTGATCTCGCGGACTGGATCGGGCGGAGGGGGCTGAGAGGAGAAGCGGGAGGGAAGCCGAAGCCGAAGCCGAAGCGGGGGAAGGCGCGAGGGAAGGCGCGAGGGAAGGCGCGAGGGAAGCAGGAGCAGGAGCAGCAGCAGCAGCAGGAGGGACCGGACAGGCAGACGCGTGTCCGGATTCGGTATAAAGTGGCCGATAGGTACGGAAAGACCCTCTCGAGGCGGGGCCGTGTGCCGGGGCGCGGGGCGGGGCTACTGAGGGGCAGCTTCCGTATATGAGCGTTTTCTGTCATGGCATGGCTGGATGGAGATCGCAGCGAGCGATCTGGCGGCACGAGGCGACGGCCCTGGCCCCTGCCCTATAAAGCTGCTGCAGCCCTCCACGCACTGCTGTACCTACCTACAGTCGCTCGCAATGCACCAGTACAACCTCCGCCCCGTCGCTGCCCCGTCCCCCGACCACCCCCACCGCCCAGACCCCTACCCCAGCTACGACTCCACCCCGTCCCCCGCACACCTCCCCCCCATCCAGCACCCGTCCCCCTCCGCCCCCGCACACCACCCCCGCCCCATCTCCCCGAGCAGCCTCCCAAGTGCGTCGCGCCGCGCCGCGCCTTCCTTGTCCGCTGACCCCCGCCCCACCACAGATCTCGACGTTTCGGCCCACCCCCCCGCCCCCCGCAACTACCCGCCCCCGCCCACCGGCCACGAGCTCATGCGCCTCTTCCCCCCGCCCCCGCCCGACCGCTACTCACTCCTCAAGCCTGGCCCCACCAGCGTCTACTTTTACCACCAGGAGCGCGCCTTCTTCGCCCTCCCCGGCAAGGAGGTCGTTCGCCTCCGCATCGACTCGGACTTTGAGCATCCCTCGCGGCCCCCCTACTCCCCGCAGTATCATTCCATGCCGCCCCCGCCCCCGCCATCACACCAGCAGCAGCAGCAGCAGCAGCAGCAACAACAACAGCAGCAACCACAACATACGCAATCACATCAGCAGTCCGCCCAGATGCACCCACAGCAATCCCCATATTCGCTCCGCTCGCATCCGGACGCGATGCCCCCGCCGCCCCCGCCCCATCCCCACTCGCAGCAGCGCGCCATGCACTCGCCCCCGGGCTACCCCCACATGGCCATGCACGACGCACCCCCGCCCCCAGTGAGTAGCCTCCGCGAACGATAACCCCAGCCGTGGCTGACGCGCGACTTTTCCGACCCCAGAACGATCGTCGCGCGGACGAGGCGATGGGCGAGCCCGACGAGGCGTGGCGCCGCCCGATGCCGTACGCTGAGCGGCGGCGCGCGGGCAAACACACAAAGCGCGTCGTCGTCAAGGCGTGATCCCGTCCCCTCCCGCCCCGCCCCGCCCCGCCTCACGCGACGCCCCCACTCGGCCAGCGCGCGCAACACATGAACACGCGCCCTCTGACCGCCCCTGTCCCGTTCCTCGTATCATCGCCACCAACGCCTAGACTTGTCCGCGCTTTCCGTTTCCGTCCCGTGTCTGTACTTACACCCGTCTCCCCATCTGTGTCTTTATCCCGTCTGTCTGTCGTCTGCCGTCTGCCGTCTTGCTTACCCGCTTGCTTACTCACTACCATCACTACTGCCATTTGCTGTCCATCGTCTTTTGCGTCTCCGTGCCCGCCGCCTGTCCGTCCGTCCGTCTGTTTTTTTTCCCCGCCTCGCATCGCTCCGTTCTCCGGCTTTCACCCTTGTCGCCATCGCCATTTTCTTCATGTCGTCGTATTCAACGCCCGCGTTCACGTCCACGCCAAACCTGCTGTATCATCTCTCTCTCCCTCGTCTCTCTCTTTACCTCTCACCTCCCGAGCACGTGTCCCACCACCCACGCGCCGACTCGCACACATAAACACATCACACATGACTGTACGTATATAAAGTATACAACGTAGTTTGGTGCTGCTTGCATGCTTGCATATATATATATACCACGACACTGCGCGACTCTCGGGAAACAAAAACGGAGCGGGAGCGGATGGTCATGGGGATGCTGGTTTCGGGCGTCTTGGGTCGGCCGAGTCGAGCTCGGGACGCGGGACGCGAGACGCGAGGCGCGATCTGGTGGTGGTGATGCTGGCGGTGATCATGGCGGTGGACAGTGGCGGTGGCCAGTGGCGATGGCCAGAGGTGGTGGCGCGACGGAGATGATGTGCGGCCGCGGTGTGCGGCGGCGGTGGGTGGCTATGTGTGGTGGGTGGCTATGTGTGGTGGGCGTCTATATAGGCCTATATGTAATGTGCGGTATGCGGTATGCGGGCGGCTAGGGACAGCTGGGTGCGGGCGATCACGATCGGGCGGGCCGGTGTGGTGCCGGTCGGCGTCGGTCGGCGTGTGTCTGTGGCGGGCCGTGGCGGGCCGACGGCGGGCTCTCGTGGGCTCTGGTGTTCGGTGCGCTGCTGGTGCTGTCTGTGCCGAGCGTTCGACGCTGGATGCTCGAGAGCCTGTACGTACGTAGGTATGTAGGTAGGTAGGTACTATCTGGCTAGGATGAAGCCTATCCTCGCGCTCATCCTCGTCGCAAGGCACCGCGAGCGATCGCCCGCCATTGGCAAGTCACATTAGCGTCGGCCTGTGTAAGTCTGTCATATGCTAGTCATATTCGCCAGGCTGGGCGGGAGGAGCACCGATGCTGGTACTGTGCTGGGGGCCACTTGCTTGCATATGCAACGCACATGGGTGCACATGCGCGCACAGAAGCGGATCGCGGTGCATTGCCGAGGGTCGGCCGCCGGCGTTCGCAGGTCTGTCGTCGTCCGGTCGTCGATACTACGATAGCTCGCTGCGCACCTGCGTACGCTGGGCTACACCATTAGCGCTGCATTAAGCAGGCGCCTTGGATACGGCGAGCATGGTGTGGTGGGCGGTGGCAGCCGAGCACCACTGAGCAGTGGCCGGTCGTGGGACTGGGGCATGTACGCGTTCGTAGAGGAGCTGGCGGGCTGTCTGCCTTGTATATAGTGCGGAACGGACACGCGGTGTGCGGTTCTGCAGTGGTGGCGGAGACGGAGACGGAGAGGGCGGCTGCTAGGCGCGATCGGGCAGGTTCTTTGTTCGCTGCTTGGTGGATCGTGCGAACCGGATCTGGTGATCCTCAGGGCGACCGTCACTCGCGCGTGCGGGCATTTCGAATTGCGGCGGGACATCGAACAACCATGCAGCGGCCCGCCGCGACGCGGCGCGACGCGAGGTTATGTTATGTTATGTTATGTTATTAAATAACGAGCGATGTTTTTGACGGGCGAGACGCGCTTGCGCGGGTTCCGGATCTGCAGCGCGCGCGAGATCGTTCAGCCAGAGGGGGTGAGGTGAGGTGCCCAGAGGTGCTCGGTGCGCAGAATAAAAGGGCGGCGTATTTGAGTTTGGCATTACCTCTGCGGGAACGTGGGGCGGCCGAGGCGTGGCGGGGCTCACCGACTGGAGCACGGAACACAAAAAGAAGGGAGATCGAGGACGTGGGTCTCTGGCGGAAATGAGTTGCGTGACTCGCGCGATCGCAACCCGCGAGCATCTCCGTCTGCGCGGCCGGCGCTTGGTGCGCGCCGACCGCCCCAGGGAGGAACGATGCAAATGAGGTGGAGACGGAGGTGTCGTCGAGCCTGATGCGTACGCGATGCCAGTTGCCGGCTCGGGATCAGATTCCGCTCTCTGCTAATACGTATTGTCGCGCTGCTGATTGTGCGGCGGGTGTGTACCGCGCGCTATTAGGCGGCGTGCACGCGTGGATCGATCGCAGGTAATTTGTGCGCGATGACATCGAGCGCCGTGAGTATCGTACGCGAGCGAGTACTAGGTAGGAAGCAAAGCCAAATTGTCTTCTCAGCGGATCAAAACAGCGGTGGCCACCGAGCGCGCCAGCTCTACTAGTTCGTCGCCACGACCCTTCCGTCCTGTCAATCAACTGCGCTATTCTGGTTCGTACGTGGGAGGGCATCAGACAGCCAGATAGACCGGCGCCGCGCGAGATCAGACATGTCAGACTGTGCGATGTCAAACGTGGTCGCTGTTTCTCGTTGGGCGCCCAGCCCCAAGGACAGGTGCTAGCAGGCAAAGATAGGTGTGAATAGGCAAAACAGGCGTGATAGATGACGGTTTGCGTGATGTGCGTCGACGTGGGAGCAACGTGATGATCATGTCACTGTCGGAAGGCACCACCGAGGCCCCGAGCAGGCAGGACCTTGGAAGCATTTTGAAGTTGGGCGCCCAGCGTCAATGGAGCAGAGCAACGTTGGGCCGCAGGCGTCACGCGTCCGACTGGGGCTCCCGGCCCTCCATAAATACGCACGCTGCGTGCTGCCTGTCAAACCACCGCGCCGTCCTGCGTGCCGAGATGCGGACAGCCAGTGCTCCCGGATGGTCGGGGCAGTGGGATCAAATGATCACGCGCAGCGCGCGAATCCCCACAGCGGCACGCGCGGCAGACGACAGAGCCTACAAGACCTAGATGCGAATATACACGCAAGCGATCTGTTTGATCTGATACAATCCGCCGTTCCCTGGCAGACGACCTGTGGGCTCGCGCTCCCACCGAGTTCGGCAATCTAGCTGAGGAGTTTGGTTGGTAGTAGCCGGGTTGCCGCGGCGCCGCGGCGGGCGAGAGCTCCGCGCGGGAAATTTTGGGACGCGATATGGGCATGAAGGTACGTGGGCGCCAGCACGCGTCACCGCCCTTCCCTGATGCGGTTGGTGCGGGGTGTGCATACATGGACCCACAAGCGTTATCCCCGACCGCGGCGAGACGGGTAGCACCATTCCTCGCTTAGGACAAAGTTATTGAGCTCGAGAAGATAATGATGACAGTTATGTACGCGGGACACGCACCTGACTGCGCGCGCGCACCCCGATCGATGACCGAACCCGAAGCCCGTCGAGCGTGATGCAAGACGGAGCGCTGGAGATGGTGCATAGGCGCGCGATATGGCATCGCGTCCCACCCCGAGACTCTGCTTCGGCGACAGGTATGTGCGCGCCTGAGTCATAGGATGCGCGGTCGTTGGAAGGAGTCGCGCGTGCAGGTCACGTAGGCAGCGGCCTCTTCGTTTCGACTGAATTACTGTGCCCTTGATGCAGCGCGAATGTATTGCGAGGATCAGGGGATCTTCTTTTCCTGATGGTATGCTCGGGAGCCGAGAGGGCGTCGCAGGCCGGTCCCAAGAAAGTAGTATCACGAGCGGTCTTCCACCAAGCCTAGAAGCGTACTATACTGACTTGGTGCAGAGTCCGATCGGGGTATCGAATGCACCGTAATCAGACTTTTCACGACGTCTGGTAAAGGGGGTATACGTACGATGCAGATCTTCTCGCCGCTGGCGCTGCATTCTGTTATGCAATGCGTGGCATGTGTCTTCCAGGGGCTCCGCGACGCAGAAGAGTGTACTGTGCCTGTCTGTCAGCATGTCACAGCGTCAAATCGCAGCCGCGAGCAGGAAGTGTCGTTTCTTGCGGTTCCTTGTTGTCGTTGGGCTGGCGAAGGCGCAAGCACATATTGAGCGACGTCGCTGCAGCCCAGCGACGAGTTGCAACGGGAGAAGGGGATCGACCAAGAAGCTCGGTCCCAGTCCCCGTTGTGTTCGGTGGATGTCGTGCGGACTTTATGTCTTCGTATACTAAGCTCCAAGCGCTGACGTTGGCATTGGCAATACAATATCGAAGATAATAGAGAGTACATATCTAGTGTCATCGGCTCACTCGGGTTCTCTGCAAGGCTGTGCGTAGAGCGGGCCGTTGAAGGGGTAAATCGTTAAAGCTGGGCTGCTCGAGCCAATCAGAATACATCCAGATGCCCACGGTTATCGCGATGGGAGATGGAGACGATTCGGAGGTAGAGCGAAGGCGTTTGGAAGTCAGAACGTTTGCGAGATCGAAGTCGGATCAAGATCACACAGGCGACAGATGTCATCTATCCCCGAGAGTAAGGTAAGGGCAAAGAAGAGCCTGGAAGAGCGTGCGGTGCCTAGATGGGTGTAAGGGCTTACCTACAACTGTTACAAAGATCGGTACGAAACATCGGCGAATTCATAGAACAGCCTGCTGCGCTGCGGCGTTGGCCAGTTCGACTCGTCTAGAGGAGTGATATGAAGATCTGCGGTACCAATAGAAGAAACAGAGTGTGCACACCGTTTCGTGGTGCGTTGTTTCCCCAGTAGGTCTGGCTCGCAAGACGACACGTAAACGTGTCATTGTATACAAATATGGCCGTGCTGGAGGGAAGATTATCACGAGGTTATACATGGACGGATTTGATCTGGCTGTGCGGCTTGCGTGAGGGCCAAACTCACCTGTACGGGTGAACCTGTGCCAAATGTGTGCGCAGTTTCGCCGCTCAGCCGAATCAGGTGAATGTGGAGGCCTGGCAGGGAAATCAGGAGTGCCTGTGGTGACGGTGATAAACAGCAGCCCGCCTTCCTTTCTCATAGATCCAGCGCCACCAATTCGTCGCAGGGACTACATGTCCGCATGTATGTGGACTGATGGGGAAAGAGCGCACCGGCGCGAAGGCGGGATCCTATCAAAGAAGGTTGCATGTGAGCTCGGTACGGGATGACGCCCATCGACGCGTGACGAATTCATGCATCGCGGCTCGCATTCGCATTGCGACACGGAACTCCACAGTAATGGGATGATTGCGATCTATAGCCTCGAAGTGCATGTTTGTCCGGATGTTCTGGTATCAGATTCATGTGCAAGGTTCATGGCATGCGGCCAACATGCCACATATGGCACGACGTGTCAGTTGGCAGGGCGTGATGCACATGTTTTAAAAATAAGCCAGCAAGATGTCAAGAGCGACGGGAAGCGCGAATATGGAAGAATTGAACCTGATGGACTTGAATCGCAGACTGCTTGACTTCTGCGTGCACATGGTCTCGCGCAGAAAGCCGACTGTTGCTTCAGGCCTTCAGGCCTGAAGGCCGGAAACGGTAACCAGGCAGAGTTTCCCACCTATCACCGGATCCGGACCCGAGGGGGAGGTGCGAAACGCGCCTCAGGAAGATCGAGGAGCGTTGGGAGCAGGAAGAGGGGAGATGGCCGAGAGGAGATGAGGGGCGTCGTCGATTCGTCATCATGCGTCGCATGCAATCGTGGTGGTAAATGCCTGCCTAGGGCGATACCGCTAGCGCGCGAGAACATGAACTTCTCATGGTGAGAGAATCAGCATCTTTGCTGCGCGAGGATGTTGAGGTAAAAATGAGGCAAGCAGGCTATATACTCACCATTTTGTCAGTGCTGATACAGGAAATAGAATTCGTGTGCCGGGATTGGTGGTTCGACCTCTTGTCATAGATCAAAGCGACGATTGTAAATAGGCATGATGTCGCATACACCTACGATGTCGGAGATTGTTCGGGGAAAGGAGTGGAGAACCCGGATCAAACAGAGTCCGGTGGGGACCCACATAAACGTGTGCATTGAGGAGTCGACGTGAACAGACTTTCCCCTTCCATAATGTGGACCTACGAAGAATGTTGAGCTTAAGCGCTCAAACCTGTTCGAGTTAAAGATAGGTACTTTTCAACAATGAGGAATGATTATGATTAGCAGCAGTTAGCTTAAATGAGATCGACCCTGCAATGTCGTGACGATAGACTACAGTCCGCATTTGTGATTAGGAGGACCAAAAGCCTGTAATCTAGGATCAGTTAACCTCCTGCTTTGACATAGGCGCACTGAAATTTACATACGCTTGATGTGCTGTCATCAAGCTGGTTTGACAAGTAAGGCTTTGCTTATCCTAATGACCTGATGGACGTAATGAAGCTGTCTATATCAAGAAGGTCGAGGCATGCCGGTAAGAATAAGGTTACAATCCAGATGAGAAACCTGGTTTGACACCGCTTGATGGAGATGGAGATGGACAGAACAATGAGCAACAAAGCTGCCGAGGGCGCCGCGGTCGGCGCCGCAATGCAGTGCGCAGGCATCGTCAGTCAAGCAATAAGGCGACGTTTCGAGTTTCTGAGGCCGGCTTGTCCGGTCAAGGTAAATGAAACAGGATTTGATAGACCCTGAGAGAAGAAGCGGTGATGAATGTACAAGAGAACATCTTCGAAACGTACCTGTCCAACCCAGGGCCGTCCCACAGGACAAGGTTCGGATATAAGTAGAGAGCGAAGTCGACAGGCCGTAAGTTACCGTAGAATTGGAAATGAGTGAACCATCCAAGAAAGTCCAAGAGCGATGTGAAGCGCAGATGAAAACGCGAAGGGGTATAGATAACAGGTTAACGACACGCTAGCAAGAAGTAAGACGGAACGACATACCGATAAAACTCCTGCCAAAAGCCCCGGTTCTAGCCTAGCCTGTCGTGTGAAGCAATATACTTGGATAGTGATCTGTCGTCGGATGCCGGACGGAGAATGTATGGAGTAAAGAAGATTGGTGGCAGAGGGCGAGATGCGAAGTTCGTGCATGCATCATGTTTAGCTAGAAGAGTCATGTTATGTTCGAACGCTATCAGAGGGAGACTGAACACGAATAGACTCGAACAGTTCTACCGAAGGGACATTTCAGGCCCGACAGGTTATTTCTCAGGCCACCAGCTCTAGCTTGTGAATGGCAAGCTGAGAGGACTTTATCAAGGCCTCGACCACTCTGGATTCCCATAGTAGATTCGGGGTGTGTAGTTGTTCCCGAGGAAGGCATAGAAGCAAAGAAGAGGCAGAGCTTCCTGAATGTCGTCTTGATAGCATCGAACGACGTTACGGGCCGATGTCATCTTTACATTGCAGATGAAGGTTTATAAGTTGCACAGGAAAATTTGACAATTTCAAAACAAAGACATCGGATTTCAGAAAACAAAAAATTTCACGAGATACAGGCTCAAGACGAGGGTGAACTCAACGCCTGTCAATGCCACGTCCGAGCAAGCACAGAGATCCATGATGATCTTGACACAAGCCAAAGAAGCACAAAGGCATCAGAGAAAGTAGGACCAAGCTGCAGTCTTCAAGCTTCAGGATTGAGAGGAGTGCTGTGTGGCGTTGGGCCAGCTTGAAGACGGCGAGGTGGAAAATGAAAAGCAACGAAAGTGCAACGAATGTAAGCAAATGACAGTAAGCCAGATTAAGACTCCGCGACTGTGCGTGCCGGATCGTGCCGCTTATCGACATGCCTGCGTCCACCATCGCCTCGACTGCGAGCAAGCCAGTGAACTTCTCCATCTCCTGCTCAGTGTTCGTTTGCGCACTCGTCACTCTCGCCATTTGCCTTATTGCAAAAACCTACACCAACATCATGGTATGAACCTTCAACATATGCCGAGAACGATTAGCATCTCACACACGCCCGCGGGCGCTCACTTCTGCCCTGGCTTCGCTTGATCAAGTCCAAGACAAGCAAGCGATCCGCCGAGGAGGAGAAGATCCTGCAATTCTGTGGCATAACAGGCTCATCGTATGTCCGCTTCAATCAATTCGAACCACTCTGAATATCCGAGCCTGATCGGCGTTCCTGTGCGATGTGCGCAGGATGGCGCACGCAAAGCGCTACCTCGACAAGTACAAGCGCGTAGACATTGCGGTGGATGCGTACTACAGCGAGGGTGCTGCTGCCGCATCGCTCGCGCGGCCACGGAACGAACCATCATCGAGCAAGCTTGGTCAGCTGTTTGACCGGTACAAGGGTGTGTACGATATTTATCCACACACGCTTCCATGATCCTAAACTCGATGCATGTGCCAATGGGGACGAAGACACGGATGGCGATAATATCACTGTGGATGGGACGCTCAAGCTCTGCGAAGACCTCGGCGTTGACCCTGAAGACGTCGTGCTGCTCGCCGTAGCATACGAGCTCAAATCGCCACGCATGGCTGAGTGGACGCGCAAGGGTTGGATTGAAGGCTGGAAAAATGTCAAGTGCGTGATTGCTCAGCTCATCACCCTCTATGTTCTTGAGTTGCTGCCAGCTTACTACCAGCCCGAATTCAGTGCAGACACGACAGCGACGATGAAGACGGCGCTGCTGCGCCTACGGGACAAACTTGGATCCGATGCGCCATACTTTCACCAAGTATATGCTTATACGTTCGATTTCGCGCGTGCGGAGGGCCAGCGGAGCCTCAGTGCGCCCCTTCCTCCCATATCTTATCTTTGCTTCTCATCGTTGACATTTCCATGTCTTTATCTGTTGGGATCGGTCTCACAGGTCTCGAGACAGCGCAAGGATTTTGGGCGCTCCTTCTCCCGCACGGTCTGCGAGGCGGCGCGCTGACCCACATAATCCCGCGGGACACCGATGGCGACGATGGTATGCGCGGATACGAGGAGGGATGGAGGGAGGAATATACGAGTTGGTGGTTTGAGTTCCTCACCGAGCGGGGGGGTAAAGGGGTCAGCAAGGATACGTGGATGATGGTGCGTATCTTCCTTACCCTTACCCTTCTCCCTGCTACACGCTGCTCCGCGCGTTCCGTCGATTCTGCCGATCTCACCCGCTTGCTTGCTTGTCGAACGATCTTCTATCGCAACCTTGATCTGGGTTGATGAACCAAACTAACCGAACGACGCCACCGCAATCCGTAAACACCCTTGCACGATGGGCGCTGAACGTGAATATGGGTGTGGGAATATGGTATGGACTCAATCATATGCATTCAACTCCACCCCGCTGTTCTCGCCTCTTGCTCGATTTCGCTCTCGACCTCGAACCCTGGACCACACCTGTACCTTGGGACATTCCGTGGGAACCTCGCTCGGATCCTCGGTCACGGCATTCGGTGCGCCCTCTCGTGTCTGGCTTCGCGCATGCACACGCACAGTTTTTGGACTTCGTGCGCACAATCGATGCGCAGTTCGAGAAGTATGATCTAGAGGGTGAGTCATCCTCGCTTCCCTTACTCTCGCTCTTTCCGTCTTGTCCTCTCTCGAACTACACATTCTCGTTGCGCGCTCGTGTTCGCATTCTTTTGAATCTCCATGCTGCTTGCCTCGGAGTTGCGTGCAACTCCATGGTTTTCATCGTCGTTGGGCGCACGACGGGGTTCGACAGTCGTACCTCGCTACATCGCCTCGGGACTCCGTTCCCGGTACCACTTGCTCGTTTCGTCCGTCTCTAGCTTCCTGCCCTTCCAACTTTGTTATTAAGCTTCGTTTCGATCATCATCACCACCCCAATCTATGCGCTCTCCCGCGCCCATCGTGCGTCACCGGGTGGCTACCTTCCTTTCTGATTCGACCTCCTTGGCTTATCGCATTCGTACACCCCTTTCGTCCCTTGCTTCCTCATCGCGTCCCCTTCTCTCTCATGCTTCCTTTCCTTCAGGACATTACCTTCCACCTTCTGTCCTTCTCTTCGTTTCTTTCTTACCGCCTTCTTTCATCCATTCCAATCTCAGCTCCCCTCTTCCTCCCCCTTTGCCCTATTTCGAGTGCTCGTGTTCCTGCTTGCTGCCAGACCGGATGAATGACTGTCCAACTGACTTATAAACAATCACGATCGTGATGCTGACTCATGGGGAGGGGGATTCCTATTTTTTCCCTGCCCTCCTCGCATTTGGCGCTCGCGAAAATCTGCCATCGTCCTACCGGCAACATGTGCTCTGCACACCTCACGCCGTGTAGACCATTGCTGACTCCCTTCCTCGCTTTTTTCTCAGCCGCGTGGCCTTCGACAATAGACGACTTCGTCGAGTGGGCAAAGGAGCGGTTGGCGTCCAGGACCGCGTGAGGCGTTCGCATTGATCAGGCGTTGGTGACATGTGGCAGTTTCGGGCGAGGCCTGGATGCGCCCTGTGCGTGGCGTTGGCTGCTACATGTCAAATCAAGTACATACGTGTTGTACCAGGAAGGTTGTAGGCTTAGAGGGCCGTACATTTCTGATCGCGGCGAAGTGTCACATTCGTCGGTTCGACATCCTTTGCGCATCCTGCTTGTACATTTGTCTGTCTTCGTGTGGCTTGGTTCGTTTCGGTTCATTTCATTCCATCTTAGTGTAATAAGTTCTCTGTCACCCTCGCCATCGTCGTCTCGTCGCTGTTATTGCACTTATTTAGTAGTCACTGGCTGTTGTATAAATGAAACCAAGGATCGGTACTGCGGCGAGCACTATGGATATCTTGCATAAAAGCGGTTAGACAGCGGTGGACTCTTCACATGTTCTCGTCTTCATAGACAGCAAGTCCAATGTACATTCATAGCTGGCAGCAAGCAAGTTTATTGATAGAATACACTAGGGCCAGGCAGGCTGTGCGCATCTCCTCCTAAAAGGAGAAGGAGAAGGAGAAGGATGATCCTTTCATCCAGAGTGTCATGTCCCCCCATCGTTCGCACGAGCATTCAAAGTTGCGAAGTCCTTAGTTCGCACAATCAGACCCTCGAAAGCACGGACAGCACGTACGTACGTGCCACATGCAGACGCATAACTGTATGGAGTGCATGCCGGACTGCGGGATTGCCGGGCTGCTGGGGCCCGCCCAAGTGGAAACATCGGCCTGACAGCAGGTCACCTCAACTGTCATGCACCTTTGTACGACGATGACCCGGAGTCTTCGATTCTGTTGGAGGTGATTGCTTGATCAGTGTCATAAGACTTCGTAGAGAAGGACATTAAAGCCGGTGCTCAGAGCATCGCTGCGCTGCACCGCGCCTAGAAGATCGAACGGTCGAACTTCGTTGTACGTCCATGGCTATAATAGGTTGCTTGGGTTCGGCGTTTCACGGTCGGGGCGCGTGCAGGACGTCACACGGCGGATAAAGGCAGCAAGTAAACGCATCATCTGGATTGTATGCGGCGTGTTGCGTGATATACGTGTGGTGTATGATCGGAAGGAGGCGCAGGACGTGATTAACTGAAATGGGTCGGAGTGGAATGGAAGGATGCGTTTCACACGCAGAGTGCGGTAGATGACACTCGATGACGAATGGAGAGGAACGAGAGGGACGAGAAGGACGCCGGGACCAGTGGCGAAGGGATCGTCGCGTTCTCAGGCGGGAAAACCTTGATTGGATGATGATGTGGATTACGGCGGCGGGTGCAGTTGGAGGAGTTGGAACGGTCAGGGAGAGAAGGCAGGGATCAAGGACGGCAGGAACGGGGAGTCCTGGGTCGTTGAAAGGCGTAACGCGCCAGCACCGGGGGACGCAGCTGCTGCAGCGGCCATCACACGCGTGGCATCACTTTGTTTTCCCACCGGGTGGTCCATTTCGTGTCGGTCATTTTATTGACTCAAAGAATGCGAGAAAGCCATGGGAAATAGATAAAAAGGCTTACGCTGGTCCAGTGCGAACCACAGATTGGTTACCGTCGTCTGCGATCCATAAGATGTCGAGGTATGTGCTCGCGGACGTGAGACCAAACGACTGACTGAGCGCATCCTGGATCGATTTGCGGATCCGGAGCGGGTCTGTCGTTGGAGGGGACAGCGAGAAGAGGATATAGTGGTATGTTTGAGGGAGAGGGAAAGGGCTGTGACCCATGTTTTGTTTTGGCTTTTGTGGTGCGAAATGAGCAAGGAAAAGTTGGAAATTCAGCCGATGATAGGTTCGGCGTTTGCCGAAAGGACAACGGCTGCGTCACTGCTCCGCCTTGCTCAGCCCGTCGCAAGCCCCGTCGCCCATTGCCCGTCGTCCTCGTCGTCCTCCCTCGACTGACCAACGAGCAGGCAAGTAAGTGTATAGGAAAGTAAGTCAGGACTCCCGTACATATACACGCACTACGCAAATTTCGACCGTGCATGGCCTCCAATGGCGTACCCACCAGCACCAGCACCAAACACCGCTCCTGCGCCGATATCGTCACCGCTGCCCGTATGCGCTCCCACGAGAAGCGCGCACGGCGCACCAAGCAGCCATGGATCACGCTTAAGCTCGCAGTTGGCATCGCGGGTGCACTTATCGCGTACGCCTGCTATGTGTATATTGGGAGACTTTGCGTGCCTATGATCAAGCGTAACGGATCAGGAGACGCGTTGGGTGGGAGAGGGACAGGAGGTGAGTCTTGGCTCTCTTTTATCTGTTCGGATAGGTCCGTGTGATGGTGGGTGGTGGTACAGATCGGAAGGATGATGAGTTGCGGGTTTGATAGCTTGCTTACCTGTGCTCCCCGCGACAGTGGCGTTTCTCGTAGTGTTTCTCTTGCTCGGGTTCATGCTCGTCTGGGCTTATATTAAGGTGGGCAATTATTATTTCCACACCCTCCTCGGGATGCGAACCATCGCCTTGTCTCCAATAGGTTGTGTTCACACCGCCAGGATTCGCAAAAGATGTGAGTGACTCCTATGATTTAATTAGCATTCGCGCACTCGCGATGTCTTGTGGATCTTGGAGTATTGGCTTCTCCGCAAAGACAAAGTGCTCTACCTTCTCGCGGTATCTGTCTCTGTTTTTGTGTGTGGACGTGCGGGCAATGCCTTCGCGCTTCGTCGGCGCAGGCGAACAGACTCCTTACGGAACATGAAATCTAAAAATATTACCCTGCGTCGTTTGTCGCCGTTCCTTCTTGACCCTGGCAGCTTTTCTTGATTTGTGAGCTTGTTGTAGTAGGGCGCTATCCCACTGCGGCCCGGCTGGTCGGGCGATAGGAGGTGCGCAGCGGATTTCGTGTCCATGGATGCAGCACCTACGTCGTACTTGCGCTCATATCCCTGGACGTACATGACATCACTCACATATTCGCATTCCCACCCTCACCATTTATGTCCTGCCTTTTCACGGTTCAGATCCTCAACTCATAACTTCTTTCCCTTCCCTGCAGCATGTCACATCCGCATCCCCACCTACACCCTCTTTCTCTTACTCCTATTCTTACAGAGGTGCTCCCGCACCTCTCGACCCGACCTCCCCCAACGCCGCCGACGGCGCACATGACGATGCCGAGACTGAGACTATAGGCATCCCGTATGCAGCGACGCGTCCCCACGCCTCGCACTTGCCTGCAGTCATAGTTGACGCATACGACCTGAGTTACAGCAGCGTCGATCGCCGCCGTGCGCGCGAGGCCGCCTTGCCGGCGCTGAACACTGGCGCTGAGCGCGGCACGCCCCTCGTTCAGCCAGAGTCGTCCATCTCTGCTTCCCCCTCTGCCGAGCCAGAACATGAAACAGAGGAGGGAGGTACCACGCCATCGTCAGCGACGCCCTCACCAGCGATCACATTTGCCCCGCCCGAATCGCCCTCTGCGTCGGCGTCGACGTCCCACACACCGTTCACCTCTCACGACACGCCCGCCTCTCCCTCTACACACGCCGAAAAGCGCTCCCGCGCATCGCGGCACCCCGCCCACCCACACTCGCAATGGCATACGCAAGGTGCCGGCCATCGGGACCAAGACCAGGACCGCAAGCGGTACAAGGGCCGTGGGCGTCAGGCGAGCGACCAGGGTGCTGAGCGGGCAAGGTATCAGGATGCGGATGCGGAGCGCAAGCGTGAGCGAGGGAGGAATGGGAATGGGGAGAAGCGGGAAAGTTTCAGCATGGCCGTCATGCGGCGGCCGCCTGGCACGCCTGTGCTTGCGGAGGAGTTCCGGTATTGTCGGCGGTGCAATTTCGTGCGGCCGCCACGGGCGCATCATTGTCGGGCGTGTGGGACGGTACGTGGATGTCTCTGCTTTACACTTTCTACATTTCGTGTCTTCTTTTTCTATTCTTTGATATCATCTATCTCGGGGCGTCTTTTGTGGCATCTATCGATGTCAACGGGATGAGACAAAGCGGAAGGGGTTCCATGCCGGGACGTTTCAGGAGTGGCGACTCGGACACTGGGCCCAAAGGTCTTTTATTCACCTCGCTGAAACGTTCACTGGGCTACTTAGGCACAGCCGGCACCCGGTCTGTATTTCTTGGTGCCCCATCGAGGGTTATTACACCTTGATGGGGATTTTTTTTTTTCACTTCACTTCTGCACCATTCCTATGCAGTCTGCAAAAATAACTTGTCGTGAACCGCGCGCTAATCCAGTTTGGTGACGTATCTCCATAGTGCGTGCTCAAGTACGACCATCACTGTCCTTGTGAGTCTCTCGGGCAGTTGCTGGCTATCTGAGCCCCAGACGATCAATCCGGCCGCTGACAGATTTTTCTTCGAACCCTTCTCGCAGGGGTTGGACAATGTGTCGGTGCGCAGAACCACAAGGTTCGCTCGCTTTTTTCTTCAAAAAGAGGAAGGCATTTTTAACGATGATCGGGCAGTTCTTTGTTGACCTTATGTTTTGGGCGCTTTTATTCTGCTTGTGGACGTTTTCGACGCTCGTCGGGCTCAATGCGCGCGCCAATGCCGCGCAGGGGATGAGCGTGTCCGTTGACCCACAGCATATCGTCGTCATCGCTCTGTAGGGCTCTCTTCCCCTCGGAATCCTATCTTCTTAAATGCGGTTCTGAACAGGGCGGGTCTGTTTGCGCTATTTACTGCGATCATGCTCATCACGCACGTCACACTCATCTCGGGCAACTACACGACAGTGGAGCACATGTCGATGCGGACGATGAAAGAGAAGGAGCGAGATATGTTGTCGCAGGTGCATCCCATATGGGCCATATCGTGCGTTGCATCTCTTCCGCTCGCTCTACCTATTTGCTGAACGAAACCATTCATCTTCATCTCTGAATTTCCGATATACATATGCTATATTTTGCTATTCTTGGTGCGTGCTCAGTGCAAAGAAGCGGACGGTGAGCGAGTGGGATAGGGAGTGGGGAAAGATGGAGACGGAGGGAAACTTATGGTACCTTGGGAGCGTGCGCGCGCACTGGGAGCTTGTCATGGGCACGAATGCCTGGACGTGGTTCCGTGAGTATCTTGCATCATCCGTGGGAAGCAAGCACTGACGCATGCCGTGTTCTCTTTGTTCATCATTCGCTATTTTCGTCGTTATTGTTCTTGTTGGGCCTTCTTCCTGTCATCGATTTTGCGATGCTGCGATGTTGTCGATGCATCGTCGTCGGCGTCGGCGCGTTCGTCCGACTGTCCTCGTATTGCGCGATCATGACGCTGCAGTCCCGGTCGGTCGGGGCACTTCGGATGGTGTCACGTTCGAGAGGAACCCCCGTTTCGATGCGAAAGGCCGATGGATGCCCAGGCGGGAGTGGCCTGCGGAGTTGCAGTGAATGGTGGCCGGTATAGCGGTGAGACTGGACGGTGACTCCCCTTCGTTTCGATATGGGTTTTTATTATTATGGAGGTGGCTCCGTTCGGGCCGTGTAGCACCACCCTGACATTGGATGCTGATTTATGAGTATGCACAACCTATATACGCGACTTGATGCTACTATGTATCGGCTGTCCACGGCGAACGGTTGCTCCTAAGGAGGTGTGGCACAGAGCCGCAGCGCCGGTATAGCGGAGTGCGGGTGAATTTCGAAAAGGAGGGAGCGGCGGCGACGGGCGCTTGTTCAGGCGGCTGTATTGCTCCTGTCTTCAGGATGCTCCGCCCGGCGCCGACCATATATAAACCGCCGTCCGGTGCCGGCGTGGCCCATCGATCGCCCTCGCTCGCTCTCTTCAACGACGACGGCAAATTTCTGTCTTATTCTTCGCCACATCCTATCTGTTCCGCCAGCACACTCTCCACACGACAAATCCACTGATACGATGGCTCCATCAGCATTCGCTGACAATGGCGCACAAGGGGCGCCTGCGAATCCAAATGGAAAGGCAAGCGGCAAGTCGGGAAGTGGCGGCTCCGTGCATCTATCTTCGGCGGACGTGATTCAGTTGGAGCATCAGTTCGGTGCACACAAGTGAGTGTTTTTTGCTTGGTTGGCTTCTCTGTAAATTGCGGATCGGCGATTGGCGAACGAGGATTGCGGGGAACGGTGGCCCGCCGGCCCTCTTTGCGATTGGGCGCTATTTTGACTGAGCCCGGGGTACGATGATCTGTTGTGTGATGCGAACTCTTTTTTTTTTCTCGCGTCGTGTCTTTCGCGAACGATCAAGGTCATGGACCGTGAGCCAGCCCGGCCTCGGACTTCCGATGCTTTTGGGGGCGCCTGGTCGGGGAAATCCTTCGGAAGTTCGCCCACTTGAAAGGGATGTGACGAGTTTAGGGCACAGTGTGCCACCTCTGATAGACTGTGGACGAGGGGGCAAGCGCTGCGCACTGTTCCGGTCCCACTCGCGCAAGGCGTTGTGGTAGGCTGTGTCCCAGTTCCTGACCATCTACCGGGCATTGGCACACTCGGAGAAGACCTTGCCACAGCCTACCCTGTCAAGCATCTTCATATCGCGCTTTCCGTGCGTGTGATCCATCACCAGTTCTCGACCAGCGTGTTTTGTTCATCTACGGTCGCAATCGCTAGAACGGACCTGCTGCTATGGTACAGGGGGCGCAGTCAAATGGCTACTATTAGCTACCGCTACTCATGTTCGCTTCATTCGGCATGGATGTTGATCATTTTACATCTTAAATATAGCTATCATCCTCTTCCTGTCGTCTTCGACCGCGCATTGGGAGCCAAGTGAGTAATTTTGAACCCACATGGAACTACACTCTGGCATGTGGTTGATGGTTCCGGAGTACAGGGTATGGGATCCGGAAGGCAATGAATACATCGACATGCTTTCCGCGTACTCGTAAGTTCACGATCTGTCCCCGCTGCTTCCTGATTCATTGACTCCCGTTCCTTTCTCTCGCTTAGTGCGGTAAACCAAGTGCGTCCTATTGGTCTTCTTTTTCTTCCATTCGAAATGTCCGGTCCTGACATCATCTCTCCTGACTTGGTTTAGGGCCACTGTCATCCACGTATCGTTGCCACCCTTGTGGAACAAGCGCAGAAACTCACGCTCTCTTCTCGCGCGTTCTACAACTCGGTGTTTGGGCGATTCGCGCAGAAGGTGACCACCCTGTTCGGATACGACATGGTATTGCCAATGAACACTGGCGCCGAGGCCGTCGAGACCGCCGTCAAGCTCTCACGCAAGTGGGGCTACGAGAAAAAGGGCATCCGCGACGGCAAAGCAGTTGTGCTGAGCGTCGAGGGGAATTTCCATGGTCGGACGCTCGGCGTCATCAGGTGCAGTGGCTGCGTTTCAGGCGTTACTGCGTGATCGCTGATGGCAGGTCGTATCTCAAGCATGAGCACAGATCCAGAAAGCCGAGGAGGATTTGGGCCGTATCTCCAAGGAGTAGGGCCTACGTTCCAGGACGGCGCACAGACTAGGACCATTCGGTATGGTGTTATCGAAGACTTGGAGCGCGCGCTCGAGCTGTACGGCACTGACGTCGCAGCGTTCCTCATCGAGCCTATTCAGGGTGAAGCGGGGTAAGGGTTTACCGGATCATCAGAAAGGACTGGGAACTCAGCTGAGGTTCACATTAGGATTGTTGTGCCCCCTGAGGGCTACTTGTCAAAGGTCCGTGCGTTGTGCACGAAACATAATGTGTTGTTCATCTGTGATGAGATTCAAACGGTAAAAAAGAACACACTACATTTTTGAGCGTTCTCACACATAATTCCTTTCTAACGCCCGTCTGTGTCTTCTAGGGGCTGTGTCGTACAGGAAAGTTGCTCTGTTGTGAATACGACAACGTGCGACCGGACATCATTCTCCTCGGAAAAGCACTATCAGGAGGAGGTAAGCTTCTCACAGCTGCGGTTCCGCTGCGTGCTCAGGTGCATTCGACGTTGACGCTGATTGAATCCTCCTCTTTCAGTGTACCCTGTGTCTGCGGTCCTAGCCGATCGTGACGTCATGCTCTGCATCAAACCCGGCGAGCATGGGAGCACCTACGGCGGGTTTGTCACTGCATCAGGCCTTCGCATATCATCCTAGTAACTGACCACGACATCTTGGGGCCTTGTTTTTCTCACAGAAACCCCCTCGGATGCGCGGTCGCAATGACGGCGCTCGATGTGCTGCTCGAAGAGCAGCTTGCGGAGCGTGCGGCCGCACTCGGAGAGAAGTTCCGTGCGCTCGTCCGCGCGATCAAATCGCCGCTCATCAAGACCGTACGTGGTCGTGGCCTGCTGAACGCGGTCGTCATCGATGAGACCCAGAGCGCGAAGGGCCGCAGCGCGTGGCAGCTTTGTCTGCTTCTGAAGAGCAAGGGCCTGTTGGCCAAGCCGACACACGTCAACATGTAATTCGGCTCCCGGAAAATCCGGTTTCATTGAGCAGTTCATCCAGTATATACTGACATGGTTATTTACAGCATCCGATTCGCACCCCCCTTGGTCATTGAGGAAGCGGATATCGTCAAGGCTGTCAAGATTATTGAGGAAGCGCTCTCCGATCTTGACAAGGTATAACTCCCTATGTTTTTCACCTTTCGGCCTGGTCTGATCGTCTCTCTTGTAGTTGGATGACATCCCTGGCGAGGTTCAGAGCGAGAAGGGGTTTAAGGATGAGATCAGCAACTGAGAAAGAAAGCATGAACAAGCGAAAGAAACGAGGAATTTTATCTACTTATTTCAAAACCCTAGCGCCCGCTTTGACATGTAGCAGTAAACTGTCGTGTGTTTCCATAGCATCTTCAGCACACTTTTTCTATCGCACTCTGGTTTGGTATTTTTTGACCGTGCGAGCATTCCCATCACCGTCATCATGGTAAGACGATCGTGAGACGAAACCAAGAATCCTCGTGTGCTCTTCAGAGATTGGAATTGAATTACGGCGAGCCAGACATTCGTACTATACCATTTTGCTAGTAGCTACTCCTCGCTAATCGAAAGAGTTATGCGGCACTAGAACATGCGCGTGTGTATGCAGTTCACGATATTATGAGAGTTGTAAAGTAGCATTAAAGGAAACATACTATAAGTCTTGCTAATGCTTCATTGCATCGGAATGTATCTTCGATGGGAAGCAGCGGAACGTCGACTATCATTCTGTACAGTGGGAATGACATTTCTCAAAGCCCGTATACATTCCTCTAAGGTGTCGCAACATATAATCTCTAGCTCCTCTAGCGGGTTATCGATCTCCGCCCAATGAGTGAACACCTTCACAATTTTTTCGTCGAAATATGATGGCCCTAGTGCTTTGTCGTAGTCGACCTCCCGAAGATGAGGGTTTTCAACGCGGGAAACAAAAGCACTCGTGCTGCACTGAATGCCTGGCCGAGAGAAGGCTCCTGTTTTAAGGCCGAAATGAGATACATAGCCGCCTGACCCGACACATCCATCGTCTGTACACGCTCAGCATTGCGCGAGAGGTTCAACCAGTATGAGGGTTCAAAGCCAGCATCGGAAGAGATGTCGACTGTCAGGCCCTTTATATTCTCAAGCAAAACAACAGCGCAAAGGATGTAGAACAGCGAGCGAAGGTACAGACCTCCAGGAAGTTCAAAAGCGACATCAAAGATAATGCGCGCATCTAAGACGTGCACAACCTCGCGAGAATGTCGTCGTATGGCGACCTTATCATTCTGTGAGGTGACGGCCACGTCCAGATACATGATGGGAAGCGCGATGGTCGCTGCGGCCACATGCGGTATGATATATGCAATGATTGCATTGTGGGTGACAAGCGATTTTGAGAGCTGCAGTGGCAAAGATTTTGAGGCTTGTAAGAAATCAATGGAAGTTGTTTGCGGGCCCGGAAATACGGAGATCATCGAGCTGAGAGAGTGTGGTGGTGCGGACGGTATTCTTCCCAGAAATCAAGGACGATGAGAGGACGTTAATGAGGTGTCGTGTCGAGTAAGAGGGCATCCGATCGAGGAGACCTAGAAGCTATGCACACGAATGTAGTTGCAGTTCATTTGGCTGAGGTTCATCGAGCAATATTCGGGAGGCGACTGACGAGGTTGGCTGTGAAGAAAGGGTAATCAGAAGGAATGTGACAAGCTACGATGTCAAAAGAGCGCAGGCGTGGAGTCTGACGGGAAAACAGGTCCGGAGGAGCAATCCTGATGAATTTTGACGATGTGCAGCGTTGCGCAAGTGTTGGAGTATGGCTTGTATAGGCGTATGCTGGCCAAGAACGAGCGATATGAGCCGTGCCGTAGTCTAGTAACGATGATCACCACGCATCGGTAGACAACGCTACATCGATCGGAACATTGCGAGTACGACGTATCATTTCTAAGGTCCATTCGATGCCAAGGTCTACGTTGATGCACGACCAAAGGCGGGGTTGTGAGAGTGCAACGTTGCGCCAGTACCTGCAGATATGCGTCGCGACGATCCACCCAAGGTGAAGTCGGGGGTTATACTAGTCTCCGGAAAAAGTGAATTCTGCGTCAAGGTAGGATGGGTTCAAGATGGCAAGCCAAGTGAAGATGTGCATAAGTATCTCGATCGGAAGAGAATTGATGCGAAAAGGGGATGAAGCATCTGGGATTCTCTTCCGGATAGTAATGGCGATCACGCCAGATTCAACTGCAGCCCCGACTCGAGGGACACCGCGACGGAGGAGAAACATACTTGTTGAGCAGATGGCAGAACTAAGTGATGAATGATACTAAGTGGTAAATTGCAACACTAGCTGTTTCATCAGCCATTTGACAATTTCAGGGATTGTATGTGTGCGCTACACACCTGAGCAAATTTTACCATGCACAGAAGTCATGGAGGGATGAGACAAAACCTGATGTGCAGTCAAAACTTGAACTTCGAGTCACCGACACACTCCGCCACACCTCCTTTCGCTTCCCGCGGACCCTGCCGGTCCTCAGTGGTGCATGGTGGCGTTCACTAGTTCACCATTGAATGTCGCCTTCTCCTCTAAGAATGCGGATTCGCCTTGCTTTCCTTGTGCATGTGAGGTAGTTCATGGTCTCGTGCCGGGGAAAAAAAAATAGCAAACGACAAGTTCTGATCGACTCTAACGTCGTGGTGTTTCTTGCTTCCTTCGGCGGCCCGGCGAAACTGGCAAAATGATCTGACGAATGTCCTCTGACCTCCTCTGACCTCTTCTGACCCCCTCGACATGCCGGCGCAACCTCGGGATTGGCCCTTGCGTATACAAGACAGTCGCTGGCTATATTTGCCTGGGCAGGAGGAAGGTCAGCAGAACGACGTCGAATGCAACGAGGAGACGCGTCCATCGGGTCTTGGCTGATTGGTGACAGCGTATGATCATATACTTAAGGGCGCGCCTTGAGCACAGTCGACACTAGTCTTGGAGAACGCTGCCATGGTTCATCTTCTGAATCTTTGGGGTCAAGCTTGCCTACTCGTCTTGGTCACTGTTTGTGGCGTCCGTGCGATTGGTCAAGACACTTGCGTTTCTTTCCAAACCCAGTCGTCGAGTTCCTCGTTCTCCGTCATCAATAAGGGCCAGGCAGCTCCTATCTTGGTCTCAGCAGACGAGTGGCCGGGCGTACAGCGCGCTGCATCTGACTTCGTTTCCGACATCCAGAAAGTCTCCGGCGTTGCACCTCGTTTGTCCAATGCGACAGCATCTACAGCATCTGCCAACTTAAAGACGAACACACCTCCGATTTTCGTTGGTACGCTCGGGAAGTCGTCGCTAATAGAACAGATCGTGAACCGGACTCACCTGGATGTCTCCTCGATTGACGGAAAATGGGAGGCGTTCTTGGCTAAAGTGATCGAAAATCCCCTTCCGGGCATTGAGAAAGCGTATGTTATCATCGGCGCAGACAAAAGAGGGACAATTTTCGCCCTGTACGACCATTCGGAACAATTTGGTGGGTCTGTTTCGTCTATCGCTTATTATATGACACTTAAATGGATATCAGGCGTCTCTCCGTGGTACTGGTGAGTTGTAGTTCGCAGAGCTCGCTCTTGAAAAATCTTGCCTGACAAAAGCTTCGAAGGTGGGCAGACGTCCCGGTGACGCAACATGCAGATATCTTTATATCTCCCTCCGGTTGCTCGCACGGCTCCCCCACTGTCAAGTATCGTGGTATCTTTCTGAACGACGAGCAGCCTGCGCTTCAAAATTGGGCCATGGAAAAATTCACCAATGGCACGGGCGCAGCTTTGACTGGCTCTCCGTTCAACCATCTCTTCTATACGAAGTTGTACGTGTTCGTTTTCCACAATCAATAATAGCCGTAGTCTGATTTTCTTCAATGAAAGGTTCGAATTACTCCTGCGTTTGAAGGCGAATTATCTTTGGCCAGGTAAGCTGTTTGCTCAGAATTATTATGTGCTTGAATCTTGAATTTGGCGTTTAGCCCAGTGGAGCAGGTGAGGACTTACTCGCCTAAGTCATGAGCGATGTGTTGAGTTGACATCTCCAACAGCGCGTTTGGAGTGGACGATCTTCAAAATCAGTTCTTGGCAGACCTGTATGGCGTGGTTATGGGTACGAGGTATGTCTGCACGAACTTCTGGCGTTCGAAGTTCTTCAACACCTATTTTGTATTTTCCCGATTGAATTCTCTCCAGTCACGAGGAACCGTTGATGCGAAGCATCCCTGTCGAATGGTCTCTTTTTGGCTCAGGTCCTTGGGATTATTCCACAAACGCGCAAAATATCTACAATTTCTGGGTCGTGGGCGTCGAGAGGTCTAAAACATTTGAGTCGCTTTACACCATGGGAATGCGTGGCGACGGCGATCGTGAGCCTATCTGTCCTTGTCAGTGTCCTGTTCGGTATTAATCAAAAGCAGTGCCCGTGTCTACTGGGACTAGCATTGCTTTGCTCGAGCAAATCGTCGCAGACCAGAGGCAAATTCTTTCGGACCAGATAACCGACACAAATATAACTTCGATTCCACAGATGTGGTGTCTCTGTGAGCATACTTTGCGATGTCCTTGCCTACGATTAAATAATATGCTGTCCAACCAGACAAAGAGGTACAGGGTTATTATGAGGAAGGTATGCGAGTTGACGACGACATCACGCTCCTATGGACCGACGACAAGTTCGTTCATTGCTTTGATTATTTGATTTACTCCTTGTCTAAATGTAGTGTAGCTGGGGCAATATCCGTCGCTTGCCTATCGCATCTGAGCGGAACAGAACTGGAGGTGCTGGCGTGTATTATCATGTAAGTGAACATCCGACCCTCTCTTCCAGCGTTAATTGATTTTTTGGCCAAAGTTCGACTATGTAAGTCTTTGAAAAAGCTGGCAACCCCATCACTTGTTGAAGCCGATTAGGTTGGAGATGTTCGAGACTTCAAATGGATCACCGTACGTCTACTCAAAGGATAATCAGCGTCAACTCCAGAGATAACGAACTCGCAATGCTGCCCATACAGAGCACGCAATTATCTAAGGTACTGGATCGTGGATACAGAAGATGGCAAGAGAGAGACCTAACTCGCAACCCAGGTTTACGAGCAAATGTCCTTGGCCGTTGATCGTGAAGCCACCCAAATATGGGTCGTGAATGTTGGCGACCTGAAACCCTACGAGATGGACATCGAATTCCTTATCACATACGGCTGGAACGCGACGCGCTGGTCAGCGAATAACCTGAACAGCTTCGTCTCGAGCTGGGCGCAGCGGGAGTTCGAGTTGTCGGCGAAGGACTCTAACACAGTCACCAGCATTGTCGCGAACATGACCATGTTCCTGTCGAGGCGCAAACCGGAGCTGCTCAACAGTACGACTTACAGCTTAATCAATTATCGAGAGTGAGTTCATTATTAGACATCTATATATCGAATCGCTCATGTCATTTCGGATACGTCAGGGCCGACAATGTCCTCGCAGCCTGGGATGCGCTGAACCGCTCAGCATCACAAATTTACAATAGTCTTCCGTCTGCGAAGCAACCTGCGTTTTTCCAGCTTGTGTACCATCCCGTGCAGGCTGGCTATACGCTGACGAATTTGTGGATATCGGCCGGAATCAACAACATGCGGGCGTTTCAGGCGCGGCTGAGTGCGAATGACTATGCGGACCAAGTTGAGCAGCTGTTCGAACAGGACTATGACCTTGAACAGGAATATCATTCCATCTTGAACGGTGAGCCGATATGCACAGCAGAAAGCACAGTCAACGTTGATGTCGTTTACTGGGGCATCGTAGGAAAATGGGACCAGTAAGTTTGCGACATCTGTTTCTATCAGTGACCCTGTTGACTAATGGCCGCTTAGTATGATGGACCAGACTCACGTCATGTATTATTATTGGCAAGAACCAACTCAAAACACGTTGGTAATTTCTGTCTTTGCTCCTCACGGTTTCTAAAAACATCATCGCAGAATGCCTCCTGTTTCGAAAATACAGTCACGGAAACCCAATATTGCGGGCGTCATGAGAATAACGCCGGAGGGAACGCTGGGCACATGGTCCGTACTACCAGTGTTCAGTTAACCATTGATTGTTACTGAACGCGCACAGGCCAGGAGATAATCAATATCAATGCGCACAAGGCTACAGCTGTCCACCTCCGTCGATGTCTCTGGATTTCTTCGATCCTATCGGGGACCGCTATGTAGACGTTAGCGCGGGTGGTCCAATCCCCTTCACGTTCACGGCGACAAGCAACGCGTCGTGGCTGAAGGTTACTCCATCGCAAGGCTCGCTCTCACCTCAGAATTCTGAGCAACGAGTGACGATCACAGTGGATTGGAGCAGTGTAACAGGTGTTCAGGCTGCACAGATCTTGTTCAGCTCTATAGCTACCGGTCAACCGCCGGTCTCTCTCCCTCTAACCTTCACGGCCAATCATACGATAGTTCCAAGCGGGTTCCAAGGTGATGAAGCACGCTCGAACCAAATTTCACTCGTGACTTATACAATCCCATAGGCTTTGTTGAAGGCGATGGAGCTATCTCAATCGAAGCTGCTCATGCCACTCGCAATACTACATTGGGAGAGATTGCATGGATGGAAATTCCAAATTATGGACGCACGCTATCTGGTGTCACACCTTGGCCTCGACTCGGCAACAATGAAGCCAACTACACCGCCGGCAGTGGCCCAAGCCTGTCAGTTCAGCTTCTAAAACATGCCAGAAATATTCACACCCCTACTTCCTTTCATACAGGGAATACGACTTCTATAACTTCAACACGATCGGCCAGGCAGGGAACGTTACCGTCACGGTGCTAGTGTCGCCGTCCTTGAACGCAAATGGCGATGATAGGCCACTGGCCCTCGGTGTACAGGTTGACTCCCAAACACCACAAACAACGTATTTCATTCCTTTTGCCGCGCCTGGGGCGGAGCCAGCTGCCTGGGATGGCCTCGATGGGTGGGTCGCAAATAGTATTGTGCCTATCGTAGGGACCTTCCTGGCCAATCCGGGCTCGCATACGCTGAAGGCAAGCTTTGTCCTCTCACTCGCGGGTCGAATCTCGGTCTAATTTGTTTGGCTAGTTGTGGATGATCGAGCCAGCTGTAGTGGTGCAAAAAATCATAATTGGTACGCAGCACTTTTCTGCTTTCATCTTTTTTCGTATTGTTGATCTGACGGTTTGTGATAGATACGGGTGGGGTTCAACCTAGCTACCTGGGCCCACCTGAGAGCGTGATTATAAACTGAAATTTACTTTTGCCATTCGATCAGTACATCATATTCCCATCAATTGTGTTTCGAAAGATCGATGCTCACGATGATCGCGACATTCGCAAGGATCACAGCTGTTGCGCTCAACCAGTGCTCAATCTATCAAAGCCGCCAGAGCCCAATCACATCTACCGATGTATTAGCCAGGGACTTGATTGCTCACTTATCAAGTTTGGGGGCGAAGCTGGAGTTCTCATCGTGGGATTACTTTCATGATCTTAAGTGGGGAACAATATCCTTACTCGAAAGTCAAATTGGGAAATAAGGTGCGTACCTGCGCGTTCGGTGCTCGACATGAATTCTGCATGCAAGAGGTCATACACGATGATCGTCCAGAAAAATATCATATCTAATGAGTGCACCGAACCACCGCACAATCATTGTGAGCTGGTAGAAGATCCCGACGATTGCGACGTACACCACCAATTCAGACACAAAATTGAACACTTGTAGAGAAGGACGCTCCTCTCGTTTTAAATCAGACTCACGTCCAGTATGTAACGTGGAAGAAAATGCTTGTCATTGAGACAATAGGCTACAATAGGTCTACTAGGAGATTCGGATGGCAGAATGGGAAGAAGAGGCGGTAGGCGTCGCATACCAAGATTAATAGGCTGTATGGCAATACCGCTGGAAGAGTATAGATGACTTGATGTATAATAGCGGATACAGCTAGGGACCTGCAATCGCAAGCCTATATAGTGAAGAACCACTGGCCGTTTGCGCTAAGTTGTCGATGAAAGAGAGGAGAGCCATGATGCCGAAAACACGTGATAGTGCACAGAGCTACCCCAAAGGTTTGTCTGTACTTTACGTTGCTACCTCATTTGCTCCTCGAGGTCGCGTTAGTTTCTCATGTCACTCGCTGCCCAGGACGGTCTGCGGCACAGGCCTACAAAGGTGTCGGAGGCACCATCTGTGGAGAGTGCTTTGTCCGGAGATCACGATAAAGGCATCAAGGAGGAAGTCGTGTGGGGAAAGACCCCTAGCGGTGAAGGTACGCTGGCAGCTGCTGGCAAGCTCTACGTGTCGAATTGAGCTGAAATATATATATATGCGTAGTATTCCGTGTACCGACCACGCACGACGTCGTGACCGCCTTATTACACCCTGCGCACCCAAAGTCACATCTCGACATCCTCAACATTGCCCTTTTGGCTCTCCAACTCGTTCTCTTCGCCACACTGCCACGTACTCCGAGAAAGATTTTCTTCTTCTTTTACTTTGCCTTCTGGAGATCGGCCTATGACGCTGGCTTAGGCTACGTTCTGACGAAACAGAGCAAGAAGAAATGGATCGTCAGAGAAGTGCAAAGGCTGGGTTGGTTGGACGAGGAGCGCAGGCCCGAGGTCAGGAACTGGATCAAGAATCAGCTTGTGGGTAAGATGGGCAAGGACTACTCCTTTGATGTCGGTTTTCTCTTTTCCTCTCCCAATTATCGAAATTCATGATCATTCACAGGAATTGCCTCTGGAATACAATACCTGGCTGCTCTTCCGCCAGGCCGTAGATGTCATTTTGATCAAGCACGTGCAGCTCTCTCCTCAAATGTACCCATGCTAATTGCGTTTCCTAGTGACTTTATGTCTTATTGCCTGTTCACTTTTGCTTGCTTCCGCGTTCCCGAAGGGCTTTCAATATTTGTACACGCTTTGAGGTAACGCGTTCTATGTTGTCACTAGCTTTGTTTTATCTGATGTTCATATTACTTAGGTGGATCGGAGGCGTCGTTCTTATTGGCTTCAACCTCTGGGTCAAATCTGAAGCTCACCATGTTGTCAAAGATTACGGTTGGTACTGGGGCGACTGCTTCTTTCAGCGCGGGAATCTTGTCTTCGATGGTGTTTTCGAGTTAGCCCCTCATCCGATGTACTCTGTCGGTAAGACGACTCAGCTTCATTGCATGTAGTGTCTAACGGATTCTATTCCATATAGGTTACGCGTGGTTCTATGGTTTGTCGATGATAGTGGGCAGTTACCCAGTTCTATTTGTTAGCCTGGCAGCGCACGCAGCCCAATTCGCCTTTTTAGTGATGTTTGAGAATCCTCGTTAGTCTCGTCATCTTGCATACACGTCGAACGGCACCTCATTTACTATCTGCAGACATCGAGCGAATGTACGGTCAGCGAAAGCCCCTTGCAGAGCGTGTCCCATTACAGCGCAAGGAATCGCCGTCGCATGTGAACCTTGCTGAACACTCGAATCGTGGGCGTTCATTCTCTGATCCGTCTGACATACTCTCGACACCCTCTATCACTGATGGAGAGACGGCCACCGAAACTGAAACGGAGACCGAGTACGACGGCACCGTGAGGCGCCGAAGGACGGCTACGACGGCACAACCCGTCATCACGAAACAGAGGAGCAGGTCTCCCATATCGCATCACGATCTTCTGAACAGATACTTCAGAAAGGATACCATATTCATTCACAATCTCGACGTTTTCAGGTATGCTTACTCGTCCGTTTTGCAACGTATCTGGCGGTAATGAAGTTCTGTATCTTTCTTGCCAGGGCCTCTGACTTCATGCTCCTCCTCGCAATGTTCTACCCACTAGCGTCGATATTCATTCCATCTCTATCCCACCGGGCAACGCTCGGTCTCCACTTCACGCATGCGCTTTTCTGGTGTCTTTTCCATTGTTTCGGTCTTGGACTTGTCCTACAGGGTCAAAGCGAAAAGAAGTCTCTTGTGAGGCACTTCATGAAGCACTATCATTATCCGCAGCGTGACGGTGGTAAGGGTGCAATCCAAGAGGCTTTCACGAACTGGAAAGTGATCTATAATTTGAGCATGTGCATGACATACAGTGAGTGTGTACCCGACGGCTGGACGATCGATGAACTTCTGAACTGGCTTGGTTCGCGCAGTTTCGTTTTTTGGACTGGTTTGGAAGACATATTCAATTCCAAACGACTGGACTGTGGGGAACGAACTTCTTCGCCATACAATGGGTGCTGTGAGCGATCGTCGCCATGTCATCCTTTTTCAAAATATCAACTACCATCTCAGATCCTCATCGCCTTGCATATTTGGGCGTCGAAAGAGTCGTTTGAGGTTCTCGGTGTGTTCGGTACGTTGATTTCCCCACTCGAGGCATAATGCACTTACCAAAGGCAATATAGGGTGGTTTTACGGAGATTTCTTCATGGAGGACTTCCCATCCAACCTAGATTACTCTGGCATCTACCGGTGAGCGCCAAGGCCCATTTGTTTTACACATATCCTGATAACCTGATTGATAATCCTTCAATTATTCTTGTAGCTACCTCAACAACCCGGAAATAGTTTCTGGTGCCGCGTTCTTTGGCCTCGCTCTCATCAGCGACAGCAAATTGGTCTACGTGCTTGCCTTTGTACGGCACCTCTCGTATTGGTGGTTCCTTCGCAATGTCGAGAAGTGCGTATCGTCTTCACACTGCCTTATAGTGATTTTAGTACATCGCTCACATTATCTGAAGTCCCCATATGCGCAAGTTGTACGGTGATTCGCTCCGTCAGGATGCTGGATTTGTCAAGGTGTTCAAGAAGGTTGCACGTAAGAACGCGAGGCTCCTCGAAACGCGTGCCGGACGTCATGGGCCAGAGATTCGGCGCGTCGCAAGGGAAGTTAAGGGCACATTCGACAAAGTGTACGAGGAGACCGCAGAAGTCGTAGAAGAGTTTTTGGCGAAATGTATGAGGACGTTTCTACCGGATGGTTCGAGCGCCCGGCTCAAAGCTGATCCTCCTCCTGCCCAGCGCGCCCGAAGATTTCGGAAGTCGTCCAGGACACGAAGTTCCTTCTTCAACAATCCAGAGAGAAACTTGTGATTACGTGCGTCGCATCTACGCATTTCCTCCCTACATGATTCTTATGGATAAGTCTTCAGGCGCGTCGCCAATGATCTGTCCTCATACGAGACGGACAAGTACAAAATCTCTATAGTTTCCAACCACGCGGGCGGTCGGTTACGCTTCCACCTGGGCCAGCAGATCACAGCACAATGGCAGGCTCCCGTCAATCACTCTCGCCGCGATTGGATTGGAATATATCGAGTATGCACTCAGACGGGCTTTGTACCCAGATGCACAAAGTTACTGACTATGCTTGACACCTAGGTTGGAGCCAATCAGTCGAAACTCATCACTAAGACATCGTCGTTGGGGATGTGGGTGCCTGTACACAATGAGGAGTGGGAAGGAGACGTGCCCATTGGCTCGGACAGCAGCAAAAAGGAAGGCAACGAACCTGAGAGCGGTAAAGTGGTGTTCCAGGGAGATGCATTACCATGGCAGATCGGAAAGTATGAGGTACGCTATCGGACATCTATTGTAAATTTCCAAGGTGTTTGGTCCTTACGCATACACATCGCAAACAGGTTCGCTATCACCATGACGGCAAATATAACGTGCTTAGCCTTGATGGCCCTCTCGAAATTTACGGTACTACATCCTATGCCTTGCGATCTCTGGCTTTATCACTGATGGGCTTTCTGCTTCTATTGTCGCAGTGAACAAACTCGAGACGCTAGACTTCAGCTCAGTTCGATCGTCGCTGATGAACATCGTACCTCTTTGTCTTGATTCCGACCCTTCACTCATTCCTCTATCTTGCCGAGCCGATCTCAACACAGACGAGAATTCAGAAGGCGAAGAATATGAGAACGGTCGCACCCGCGATGATTTCCGTTTTTGGTCCGAGCGTCAAGCAAAGAGAATTGCACGCGCGATCGAACAGGTGTTCGAGGTAGAGTATACCCCTGAAGTAATCATGGCGGATGCAAACTTGTCTGCACTCGCTCATCGGATTTTGGCATCAAAAGAGATATTGGAGTCTTAACTTACTTGGTGGGCTATACTCACGTTATCAGAGACCCTTCATTTTAGATACGGTTCTGCATAAGAAAGGAACTCAGAGGGCGCGGTGGATAGTTTTTTGGCATACTTATAGGAGAGATACCTAGATTAGTTGGTCATATATACCACAAACTTCTTTGTTCGGGCGCCTAGTGAGAACCTGCATACTAACTTACCTACATGCGCTTAAGGCGAGCCGTTCAAGCCAGTCTCTGTCAGCTTGATCAATGGTAAGTGCTTGTTATCTACTCGACGAGCCAACTCTTCGAAAGACTTCATACGAACCAATCGACAAGTCGGCGACATCAAGTATCCAGCGTCGAAGTATTCTCAGCCGGGCGTCTAACTACATCAACGCATATTTTCCCGCGAGTTTTCTGTGTCTCATATGTCATCGAATCCCTTCTGAAGATGCACTCTGAAGTCAAGCCGGATCAGCAGGCTCTACGATTTACGGTGAACAAGACACAGTTCTACCTCTCACAGTATGCCGACGCCGCCGCCAAAAGCTCAATGTGTTACACTCTCGGTGCCGTCCTGGTCAAAGGCGGTAAAGTCATCTCAAGCGGGTACGACCATCACTGAACACATTACGATGGTGCCGACGCTCGCACTTGCGGACATCGCAAGCCCATGTCCATGCACGCCGAGATGCACATTATCTTTAGCGTGACGGGCATGTCTCTTTCGTTCCGCACGCAGGGTGCGCGGGTCGTGTCGGATCCACAACGAGAAACAGGAGACACACTTAAAGGGTCGTTCGCCTCCGCTCTCGCCGGCGAGGGGCAACGGGTTTTATGGAGTGGATTCTTCGGGTCGGAGGACACACGTGCAGCGACAGAGTGTTGGCAGATTGAAGCGTGGGCGGAAGTTGCAAGAGCGTCACGGTAGCGGATATGGAAGCGAAGGCGGCGACGCGAGGGTGGGGGATCGAGATGATTCACGTTCGCCTCTTGGCAATCAAAGTGCTATCGGAACAGGAGAGGTTGACAGAGGCTGGAACTCCCGTCGTCGTGATCCACGTGTAAACGGGGCGGACATCTACGTCGCACGGGTGACGAAGAAGGGGAAGGGAAGTCCTATGCCCTGTTGGCGGTGCCTTGAGTAGTATCGCTGGGCTGGTGTGAAAAGAAACTTTCACTAAGACGCATATCAGGGAAAGTTCGAGGTGGTAAAGGTGAACAGCGCAGAGAAAGAGGTGTATGAGATCCGCGCAGATCTTCGCCTGTATTCTGGACTGGTGAGCCCGTTTGTCCACTATCAGCACATCGTTTACCGATACGTCTTTGCGGGAACTGTGTACTTAACAGCTCGCGGAATGTATCATAGAATTACGATGTGTCTCACTGGATTTGAACATGAGACAAAATTGTACATCTTCCCTGCCGGTGATCAACATGTGTTCTAACTCTTTCAAATTCTCAACAAATTATGTTAGCTGAGGTGAACCCTGCCGAATCGCACCTGAGGCCAACAAGCAATCTGTCCTTTCGTTTCACACTCGTTGAGGTATTGTTTAGTCTTCCTGTCATTTCCTCGCTACGCTGGGCCTAATACTGACGACCTTCCCTACATCCCGACACGTAAGACTATACCTTGTCTGCCGCTGCAGAATTCCTCCATGCATGACCGCTTTTTTCTCACCCTCTCCCCTGATCATCTCATAATTCGCGACCCGTATGCCCCCCGTTTCAATATCATTTCTTCCGCTGTCGTGCGCGATTAAGCGATCTTCCTGGACTTCGGATATACCATGCAAATGATCAGTATACAGTTCAGAGGTGGTGATGACAAGGCTGCGCGGCTCCAGTAAGAGAGAAAGTGAAGGCGTAGTATCGATCGTGCGGCCGTGCTTGCTATCATCGGGGCTCGTAGACGGCGTATACTGGAAGTAGTGCATGATTGTATGTGAGCCCAGGGAAAGGGTCGCCACAACCGGATGGTAGGAAGGGCCATCCTCGTGAGGCTGTTCATGTAAGCACGATCACCAAAGGAGTGCAAAAGAGGGAACGAACCATGATTCCCTGTCCTGACTGATACTGCAGATGCGAATAACATCGATTATGAGACTATTTGATGGACGGACATAAAGATGTGTACCTCATTCAAAATAACATGGTTTGGGCGATGATGCGGGGAATCAGCAAACGCGCCAGTGGCTTCAATACGTGAGATAATATCGGGGCTGAGGCAAGATATAATTACTGAGCACGGTAGAATGGGTGTACGTCGGATCTTACAATTCGGAGAGGAAGGGCGGTAGAGCGTCCGGGATGAGAGCATTCTTGGGCGTCAGTTCGCCACCTGTGGCATATGCGCGAAGCGCCCTCGTCAATATCGATTTGACGGGTTCTGGAGGTACAGACGGAGAAAGTTTTGATTGTCTCAAAGTTCGCATCCCTCCGGGACGGCCAAACACTAATTGGCAGTTTTTTGTTGTTGATCATTTGAATATACAAGCGACCTACCCCATGTCTGTAGCCTGCAATATGTAGTGAAGACCGTGAGGAAACGAGATACGCCCAAAAGCGTGCAATGAGATCAAGGCGAGTTTCCCATAGGAAGCATATGGGAGCCCACCGACGATTGGAAAGCTGCTTCCATTTCTTTTTGGGGGTTTCCTGTATCTTTCGAAGAGTCCCAAACAGGCTCTGATCAGCCGGCGCCTTAACGCCTCCTCGGATGGTAAAGATACACACATACCTTACGCAGCAGGTAAGTTTCCTCTTCCTTAGTCACGAAATCGGGTATGTAGTACGTATTATTCGAGCCTGGTATCAAATGAGCCTGGAAGGTTGTTTCGTGCATGGTAAATGATGGATAGTTGGGTAAGAGTTTGAGACGTGGGCTACGGCAAGTTCAAGAACGACGCGTGATGAGCTTGCGTGGCAGGTAAGGGTAACGTAGTTATGGGTCCACGACCACTTATCCCATTTGGAGCTTCAAATTTTCATCAAACAAAGAAAAGACAAGTGGAGACGCCGATTAGCGTAATTATGAATTGTTTTCACGAGTGATAACTGATTAACTAGACGAGTTCCATACTCAAGGCGATACCGCGGCGCAAGACTATAGTAGTAAAGCAGTGAGCATATGAGAAAATGGTCATAGATGTGTCGTGTGCGAAATATGAAGCATCGAAAGCCAGAAAAGTGAGGAAACTAAAGAAAGAACAAGATAAAACCCAAACACCTGTCGCTCGCAGGAAAAAAGAAGCAGTTCACGCCCTTATTCGCCAGCCGTCCCCCTTCCGGCTTACCTTCCCCACACCACCGATCCCCTCGCGCACGATGAGCCAGAGCCCCGTCGACGAGACTACATCTTTGATTTCTTCCGCCGTGAGCACCAACCCGTCCTCGCCGTCTGCGATCCAACTCGGCCGCGCGATCCCGTGCGCGTTCAACGTCCGCCGGCGCACCTTCATCTGGTCAACCACGATGTCTGGCAGCGGGAACGGCACCTTGAGCATTGAGACAACCTTAGGGTGGTGCGGTGTCGGCGACAGCGTCGCAACCTTGACACGGATCTGCGCCTGATGTTGCGCTGTTTCCCCCCCTTCTCGCATCCCTCGCATCCGCCGTACAATAAGCGTGCAGGTCCACGGCGTCTCAGAGTCTTCAGGGTCGCTCTCCTCACCGTCGTCAATTTCTACCGCGTGACTCACACCCGCTTCTGTCGTGCCAAAATCGCTGCCATCGGCACCGGTCGACACACTGTGGCGATCCGACGCCATAGACATGCGCTTCTGCTGTCGCGAGAGTGTCAAGACCGGCGAAGCCTTATCCAAGGACGTTGTCGATGCTGCATTGGACGAAGTGAACCCCGTGCTACGTCTTCGGCTCACGTTCCTGCTACGCGGCAGCGATAAATCCGCCGCGGCAGACTCGCTCTGCTCCTTTCGCTTCCGTGCGCCTGTCTTGCCGCGCGTCCAGATGAACTGTACCTCGACTTGCGCCGAATCTTCGGGCGGCAGGCGCGAGTTACGGCGCTCGTCTGAGAGGCTGATGTTGTTCATCACGCCCATCATATTGGTCAGAAGGCTCTTGTCCGACCCTTTGATCCATCGGCGCACGATCCACGCATAGCTATGTGGTCTGCCGCGTGGGTTATTTGATGGAGCGCTGAGGGAAGGCTGGATACCGAGGCAGGCGGGTTGGAGGATGATACTGGGCGGCTGGTAGTAAGATGGTGCGACTCCATCAGGTGGTGGACTGAGGGGTGGAACAGTGGAGCTTGCAGAGAGGAGAGATGAGCGCTTAGGATGACCCGATGGGGCGCTAAGGGTCTTCGAGCGCATAGGTTTCATAAACGAGGAAGTGATTGGTGACGGGGATGGGGACACGGGCGGAGACGTGATTGAGCTGGAGGGGGAATGGGATACAACTTTCTTCTTGAAGAACTTGCCAAAAATCTTCTTGGCACCTGATGCACTCGGGGGAGGGTCTCCATGATAGGGGTTTGATGCAGAGTTAGGAACTGGTGTATCTAGGCCAGCAGACGAGACAGAGTAGACAGAGGACATTGGGGTATGTGGATGTTCTAAATTGGCATTGAGAACGTCACGGCCGCCGTCGATGCTCGTCCGTGTGCTAGAAGAGGGTGGAGGGACCTGAATGCTCAGAGTGGAGCTTGTCCCAAATACCTCCACCGGTTCGAGGATTGCAAGGTTGATTATCTCCAGTCCACGTCTCATGTACTTGGCCACTTTCGCGTCCGTTCCGGCGTCGACAACGACATTCGTCATGACGTTGTGAGCCTGGAGATTGTAGAGCGGTATGATCATACGACGCGATCCATTTGTCGAGCTGGATGCTACGGAGGAGAAGGATGTCGTGGATGAATAGCCTGAGTACATAGATACATCTGATCTGTTCGAGGTAGTTCGAGTGAGAGAATTCTGCTCGACCTCTTGATCATGGGACGTATTAGAAGATAGGTCGATGGATTGACGTGGTAGGGTAGTTCGTTCACGCTCTCGGAATTGTGGGGGGACGAGCTGAACTTGTAGATTGAGTGGGTGGTTTGATTTGGCCGGCGGGGGTCTCACGATGATGAATGTCTGAAGGGGTTTGAGAAGATGAGGCTGAGGCAAGCAACGTATGCCTCGGCATCCTCACCTCATTTGTTTTTTTCTCTCTCTTCTTGACCCCGACCTCGTCTACCGTTGGTTGGCTCTGAGCCTGGGGTTCTTCGGCGGGTTGACGAACGTCCTCGTCTATGATTGCATCAGGAGATTTCCTGTCCTGGTGCATCTGCAAAGCAGGAAGGAAGGAAGAGAGTGTTGCGAACATTGAGAAGGAAACATGCAGAGCAGGTGCGAAAGAAAGTAGAGGAGTCGAGCGCTGCGGTTTTGTGGAAGCCGGTGCGTCATTTTCCGCCAATGAACCCATCCTGTTACCCTCTTTATTACGTAAATTCTTGATCGTTGCAGTGACCTCCGGTGGTCACTCCGGCAGTCCGTAGCCGTGCGCACAGATGCTTCATATGAGAACCGTCGAAAGTTGATCGCACAATAATTCTAATGTGCTTCCATACACAGACTTGCTCGCCTTCAGGTCTGTATTTGCATGACTTGACAAGGGCGGTAAAGAGGCAATAGCCCAAGTCTTCAAATCTTGCTGACGATCGAGGAGAGATCGATCGTCATCCTCGACAGTCAACATTTTACGGTACAATCTGGGTCAAGTCGCGTGCACAATCTCTACAGATCTTCATGTGATTCCCCATGTGTTCTTCATCCATTCGCCCGGCTTGATAGGGCTTGATGCAGGAAAGGATTCCTGTAGAACATGAGCGTTTTCATTCAGGCTATCGAAGGAGAAAGTAAGAGACCGGTCTTCGCAGGAAGCAGAATACAACGGCATTGATCTCAAGCTGACACCACTGACACAAGGATTACCGGCCTCAGCGCCGATTTTGACCAAGTCCGTAGGATTTGGATGAGTGATGTTGGATGACTGTATCGGTACCTTGTCAGGATCGCAATGCTGCCCCCGACGGGACCGAGACATTTGGGCAGAACATCCAGATTCGGTAACAGGCGATCGATATCCTCCGATATCCTCCGATCGGTCACGAGCAGGAGCCGTCTGTTTGAATCCTCCAACTTGTAAAAGATTGAACGATCTCGTACGAGATAAGTAAATGGAGCTGACTTGATCAAACAGGTTCACGAGATCAGACCACGTGACCGCCAATGTTACGATGTGTGCAGCTCTGAGCCCAACACTGCCCAACACCATTGACACGGTGATGGCCCAATTACCCGCCGCAGCAAGCAAGTCCTGTCTTGCGATTTGGCAATAGCATTCCGCAGCATCGGAAGCAGTGCGTGCGGTAATCTGTGCTTTACTTTGGCTGAAACGCTGTGGTCGAGTTGTGGTCGTCGTCCACATATTCATCACTGAGAGATATTGGGTGGAATAGGCACCAGCCTAGCCATCAAAACATAAAATACATTGTCAGCATCAAGATCTCGAAGGCTGAACCATGTAGGGCCGCGTATGCACTATGTAACACTAACAAAGTACTCATACCTAGTCATCTATGATCGCAAGGAGCGTTCCACTTCGCCGCCGTACCGGAAACGCCCGCATTTCTGTCAGCGAGTGCGTACCTCGAAAAAGGGCAAGTACTAATCTATACTAACACATCGTGCTCTGTGGTATATGAGTCATTTAGCTTTCGCACCGGGAGGCCCGCATCCGCGATTCAGATGTCTGCATCAGTCGTGGTCTGGACAGGTGGCCGACTTACGAATCGCCCATGGGATAAGCGGCAAGTCGATGGTCTGCGACTCTGCGTTAACCATAAGTCGCTGTCATTTCTGAGAGGGAGACAGTCATCCAGCCTGTCATAGTTCCGTTAGGCCAGATGTCCATGTTGCGGTTCGTTATGTCGCCTGGCTAAAAGGACACCGATGCATTACCGAGGCCATCCCATGATGACGATGTCGGTGACTCAGTACCGCCACAGCTGTATGTTCTGTCATGGCAACTAATACCTAAAGAGGCGACCACGTGGGATCGGGATCAAAGACGGGATAGATGAGATCGCAAGGGAACTCGACTGTTCAAATGGGATCAGGACTACAGGAGACTACAGGTGACTCACATACGCACTCAAGATCCTGATAGTGTTCACACCGGAAACGACGATAAGACAATGATATCAACTCCGTTTGTGGTACACAAGACAGCGTTGAAGGAGCATTCGCCAGAAATTGTACCGACACGGATGGGGCAAGACTCAGGAAAGTCGAATACGGCCCTTGGCAAGGAACATCTAGGTCAGAGCCCACGCAACGAGCGGATCAGTGGTAATTCTTGAGATAATAGACGCAACGCTTACCGCCATCACGCCTGTTGTATACAGACATTTAAGGAGATTAATCAAGTAATGTGTGAACATATACGCACACTAATACAGATGCCGAGAACAATCAATTCCTGCAGAGGTTCGAACAGACACTGCCATTGGCAAGAGCCACACACCCTCCTGGAAACATGCAAGTTTGACTCCAGTAGGTCTACCTCGTAAGGTCATACCTCTATCCCAGACATCTCATAGTCCATCGGAACATCCTTTCGTTCCATCCATGCAGCATCGTCGGTCCCCAAATTCACCCCCTTCCCACAATCCAGCCGTCGCCGAACCGGCAGCTCCTTCAGTTCCACGTCCCCAGGCCACCGCACCACCACGTAATGCTCCCCGTGCCAACCAACGAAATGTAACGAAGGCAGCGTGATCGCGATGTGCCGTGCCCCGGAATTCCATATATCGGATTGGATGTGGTATTCTCTTTCCGACATCAGGTTGTGCTGAGGCCGGCGGACGTGTGACCCGTGCAAGTGGAGTATCGACAGGGACGTGAACCGGCGGAATGATTGCGCGAAGAAGTGCTAAATGTCACACAAAACCAGTCAGCTGGTAGAGTTCTAGGGATATCGTACGCACCAAAGGTGTATCCCAAACGATGGCAGACAGGTGGATCGCAACCATATCTCGCGGTATGCTCTGTACCAGACCCTCCACTGACTTTGAAGTCAGATTCGCTATCCGTACTCGAAGCACTCGCAAACCTGTCAGCTCAGGCAGAACACCCAGCATCAATTCCCAAGAGCATCCTCCCAGGTCCAGCCGCCTCAGACCCTTTCGGCCCCTCAGGAACTGCATCACCGACTGGAACAATGCCAGATTGTCGTCGTGCCCGACGAGAACAAACCGAAATGCTTCCAGATGCGGCAAGAACGTATGTTGGCCATCGATAATATGGTCACTCCCGAATACCACCGACGCCGCGCCTGGTTGCTCGAATGTGCCGTGCAAGGTAAGGCTCTGCAAGCGGTGCGCATGCGCGATGCGCGCGAGGACGACATGCGAGATCCGAGTGTCGAACAGGTCCAGCTGAGTCAAATTCTGGATCGTTGTGGACTGAAACGCGCTGTCCCAAGAATGTGTCCGTTTCAGATATGCGCCCAGCACGAGGTGTCTCAGCGTCGACGCGTTGTTGTCTAACACTGTGCGCACTTCGCCCATGTCCGCGAATCCGTCGTCGTCCTCTGCACGGAGTGTGAATTTACGTAGATGCTTGAAACGAGAGACGCCGACGGCGTCAAAGTGCCATCCTCTGCACGCAACAAGGTGAGCAAACGGTCCGTGACAGACTGGAAGAAACATACATCAGACCTAGTTTGTCAAGATGCGGGTGGGTGCTTAATATGGCCTCGACCATGTCCGCCTGCAATTCGGGATACCCGATCCATTCGAATTCCTTGAGGGCAATGAACCCAGGAAGAGCTGTGCGAAACAGTCCTAGGGACAAAGCGAATATGTTTCGACAGCTGGAGCATCACTCTATCGAGGGAGACTTACGACATATGAGATCTAGCAGTTCACCCTCTTCATGAGCCCAGTGCAGCCTCAGCGTCTTGATGTACCTCGCAAACACGGGATCCGCCTTGACTCGATCGAGGATGTCCAAGCCTCGATTTTGACCTTCTTGGTCCTCACCAAAGTATAGATCCACGGTTCGGAAGATCACGCGAGCGGCGATGTCACGATAGAACGAGGAGACGAAGAGCCAAGTGCGAAGAAAATATCGAGGAATGAACTCGGCGATGTTTTCCCAGATTTCAGCGGGCACCCTTCTTAGCACAGGAACATTTGATGTGGATATCTGAATCCTAAAGTCTGAGTCAAAAGGGTGAATACGCTGTTCAAGCACTCACAAGCCTATCACGCCGAATATGAACTGGGATGTCCTTTATCGACGGGTCGATCTTTGCTGCAAGCTGGAAGTCTGGGATTGCGTCAGAATAGAACTACTTGAGGACACAGTTCAGAGAATGTGTCAAAATAAACAAGAGGGAGGCTCGTCGAGCGCGCAGTAATGGAGGCTTTCATGTATTATGTGGACTTTGGCGTGCGAAAAGGGACTCGATATGATGGTTGTTCGCTTTTGCGTCATTTCAAGACACGCAAAAAGACACACTGAATGGAACTGAATCTTACCTTGCTCACTCTTCATAAGCAACCGCTGTCCGGCCTCTTTCCTAGCTTTGCCTCGAGCAACAAGCGCCCGAGCAACAGCATCCTGCGGCAATCCGGGTGTCCTCAGAAACACGTCCAGATATCTCTCGACTTCGTCGCCATATCTTGTTGACCCTCTGTTCATGAATGACGTTCATTCTCGAACGTGAATCCACTTACCGCCCCGCTTCCAACAAGGCCAGGGCCTGATCGAGGAGTAAGCTCGCTTTGCGCGTCTGCGGGAGCGACTCGATGGCAGAGAGGACAGTTGACGTGAGCTCGTCGTGGAGTGCAGACGGTGACATATGTGTGAGGGGAGAGACAGTAGAAGGATGGGTGAGGCAGGCGGTAAGAACACGGCCCGTGGGCATGAGAATGCTTTTCTGTAAAGGGGAACGGCCTGCAGCGAAATGTCCCAGTATCCTGTTGACGATGTGACACCGGGATTCAAGCTCAACCGCTCAACGCGCCGGTCAGGTATGAGACAGAATGCGAACACAGGAGGGGGGCAGGTTTCTGTGTATCAGAATGCATTTCTTGCTTTGAAGACAGAGGGTTCCCCAATGTCACGGTTTAGGACAGAGAAGGTTGTGACGAGCGTGTGACCTTGCTCTACTAATGCCCTTCCACGTTCTGACAGCCCACATCTTCGTTACGAAGAGAGGACTGAGAAATATGCCTGATACACTCTCAAGGTAAGTGCACAATCCTATTTCAATGCAGTCCATCCAAACCATTTCTTATTTTGCTCAGCACTCCTGCCATTCCACGGCTGCCATCCGACGTTGCAGACGAGTTCTCCGGCCCTGGCTCGCAAAGTACGAGTGCAGCCTCTGCTCCCTCTCACGTCCATTCTATCCCCCCCGAGATACTCATCCACATCTTCGTCTGGCTCATCACTTTCAATCCAATACCCGCGTTATGATCACGGAGGGGGCCGGCACATACTCGACTCGCCTGGATGGTGCCGACGACGCAACTGTGCAAGCGATGGCGAGCCGTAGCGATTGCAAATCCGTGTCTCTGGACAGAGATCAATTACAGGGGCAGCGGTGTCCACTGGGCTCTGGAGATGACGCATCGCGCCCATGGCTGTAACCTTGGACGCAGACTGCATGCCGCTCTCAGACTACGTCGTCGAACACATCGACCACGTGCGGCATCTCGAGCTTAGAGATGGCCCTATGGGCGACGTGACTACGGTTCTGACACGTCTGAACCGCCCCGCGCCAATGTTGGAGTCTGTAAATATCTTTTGTGATGTGCGCGGTACCTTGCAGACCTTTTTGCACACACCACCCCGCGCCTGCGCCACGTTTGTCTCGTCAACTATTACGTCCCTCTGAATCACGCCATTTTTTCGGCAAGCCTCTTCTCGCTGAAGTTCATCAATCACTTGTTTACTTATGCCGAAACCGACTTGCCACCGAAACAATACACCTACGGTGAGGTACCTGATGTCCTCGAGCGAATGCCGGCCCTCGAGGTTCTATATGTCCATCGTGTCCTGTCACTTGGCCCTGCCTCGATGGGCACCTCCCGCAGCATCTCCTTCCCGCGTCTCAATGAGCTGAGTCTTGGAAGTGTGTTGAACAGCTGTTGTTCGCTTGTAGCAAACCTCGCCCTCCCTGCCCACACCTCGGTCCACATGATCTGCCACCCTTTCTCACACACCTGGGAGGACTGCCAGCTGCTCGTCCCATTCATGGCCAAGCGGGTCGCTGCGGCAGCCGCGATCCATGTTGTCGAGCATCTCGCCATATACTCCTTGTCGGACATGGATATTACGCTCACAATCGGGCCTCTTGAAGCGCGCAGGGCCCCATCCAGCGCTCTGCCTTTTAACGTTGTCATTACTTTTTCATTGAGCGGCGGTGCGATCATCCGCAGGCTGGTGGAGGCCTTCTGCGCCGTGCTTCCGCTCGGCGGGCTGCGAGAGCTGTCGGTATTCACGGGCCTCGAGAGCTGGTGGAGGCCACAGCACTGGCAGGAAATGCTCCGCCCCGTGCAGTGTGTGGAGACGGTAAACGTGCGGGGCACGGCGGCCATGCACCTCGTCAGCTCGCTCGCTTGGGAGTCGTGTGCGGGCGAGCCGGCAGAGGAAGCGCCATCTCTGCTCTTCCCCGCGTTGGAAACCCTGGCCATGTGGGGATTGACCATCCACGATGATACGTCAGAGACACTGTGTTCAGACTACGAGCTCGTGGGAGCACTCGTCCATCGCACCCATAAAGCACCGCTCGAGACGCTGAGGTTTTTGCGGTACAATGTGCAGAAGAAATGGATAGAGAAAATAGAAGCCATCGTGCCTACAGTCACCTTGGATTTTGACGCTCAGTTCCCGTAACCACGGCAGTGGTCAGGATAAGTAGCATGGCACGTCGCACTTTTTCTCCCACCGATCCTCAACGTACGTACGCGATCTGATTCTAACTCAACTGAGTGGGTCCATTCGTCTGCGGCGTCGATATAACAAAGGATAGATCAGGGACGCTCTCAAATCATCGATGTGGAAAGCAAAGTCTCATCTAGTCCTTCACATTGCCCGAATTCCGGGCTGTGCATGTGTAAACTCATACAAACGAGCTGATGTGGGGGCCGCGCGAGGCGCGTCCAACCTCATCCCCGCATAGCCCAGTTGCACAAGCTGCCCCAGGCCCGCGGGCTACGACAATGATACACCCCACCATTGTCGTCGCCGAATGCTACCTACGTGAGGCACGAACGGGCAACGGCGCTCGCGAGCTATAGTGTGCGGGGTAAATGACCTAGGTTCATGAGGATTAATCTCAAGTCAATCTCGGATCCCAACCCCTCACACGAGGTTATCTACGGGAGTTCCACGGAAAACTCTGGGCTAGGCTCCCTAGGCGCGCACGAGACACTTTTGACTGCAGGAAAGATCAAGCTAGCTTATCTACGTGCAGTGTACAGATACTACAAGAAACCCTACAGTACAGACGTAAATTACGTATCCTCAGAACCAACATCTATCTAAGACTAAAGCGCTGAGTGACACTTTGCCCCTGCTCCTTTACTTCCGGACGCCCCCAAACTTTCCACATTTTCATGGCCTCCTCGCGGTAACAGATAGTAAACACCATCGTCCCATCTGGGCTCAAACAACTTTGTCCTACGGTCCCGGTGTGTGCGGGGACACTGACAAGTCTCTTGCACGCGGGATACGAATGAACCGTGACAGAATTCGTGAGCGGAGACGGGATTGGTTTGATGATAGATGGCAACATTGCCTTGGAGGACTCCCATGATAGACCGTGTGTGCTTAAAAGCTCCTTAGAATGGGGTGACCAATGTAAGGAGAAGATACAGCTGTCCAGAGCTATAGTATGGAGAGGTGTTGGCGATGGTGCGGAAGATGGGGATGACACTCTCCATATTTTAATCTCTCCGTCCGGATAGGTTCCGGCTGTGGCAAGAAGATCAGGTTTCCAAGGGCACCAGGACAAGGCCTTGATATAATGGGCATAGGATCTGAGCAAAAAAATTCCATGTATAAAGGCAAACACGCACTTTGACAGGACTACGATGTTTCATTTTTGCGAACCATTTTGTGTTTTCACTCCGCATGTTACGTGCATCCCAGACGTGCACGATGCCCTTCCTGTCTGAGCTCGCCAGGAATCGTTCGTCAGTACTCCATTGCAATCCATACACATCACCCTTATGCCCCGAAAGCTTATGCACTGCGTCTTCTGTTCGACTGTCATAGAGCAGGAGTTTTCCATCGTTTCTACCAGCCATAAATTCGTGTCCCTTCCAGCTGATAGCTGTCAAGCCCATCCAGTCAGTATTGGGCCACTGCCGCACGCGTTGCCGTGTTTCTGCATCCCAAATTTGGACGGAACCCGTAGTCGTTCCCATGCACAGCAAATTCGATCTGTCCCCTCTCGCAAATTCGAGGGCACGAATCCGACCCATAGTTGGTCGTTGAAGGCTACAAAGATGGGCAATCTGTCGTGTGTCAAGATTCTGATAGTATACATCTGGCCCGCACGCGACAGCGATCACGTTGTTGCTGGACCACGCAAGAGGGTATGCCCATGGGTCCTGCGGAATGCCAGGACCATCAAGCGCGAGAATGAACTGTCTCCGTTTGCCTAGATGAGCAAGTGCGGAAGTGACATGGACTGTTTTCGGGGTATGGAAGAGCTGAGAGGCACTGCGCCGCAGAGCATTCATCATCCGTCCATCATATGTGTTCGTTGTATCCGTAAATTTGAGAAAGCGGTCATTCGCCAGGCCAAGGACATTCGCAATTCGCTGTGTGCGAGGAGTAGTGTCTATAGGGAATAGAATGTCGGGACGAACAGTGATAAAGCGGTCAGCCTAATGTAAGGGTCATGAAAATGTAAGCTGCTTCAAACGGTCAGCGATATACAAGCTTACCCTCGGTTCTGTGTTGTGATTGACATACTCTCCCCTATGAGCGTGATCGGGAGTGATATCTATAGTACCTATAGTCGATAGGCGTTGTTTCTTCGTCGAGAACTCGTTGGAGATCGCGACCCGCGAACGTCGCTTTCTGGTGGGTGTCTTGCACTCCATAGTTAGGCCAGCCTGTTGAACAATACTGAGGCTTAAGCTTTAGTTACATCATCTTATAGATGTCGAGGCGACGTACTCTGACATAGGGTGTAATACTTGATACAACGAGAAGAGGTGCCTCCAACTTGGAGGACGCCTACTTGTTGAGTGAGACAACCACGTGATCCATTGTTAGGATCAGAAGCTGTTGCCAAACAAACGCTCTACTCCCGAGGCCCTCCGAGTTCGATCACTGTTGGAAATGATCGGATAGCGAAAAAAAAATGACAATGCCAAACTACTTCACATACATGCTAGTGCGACAAATGGAATAATAAAAAAAGACAACAAACAATCGAACTTACAACATTACCGAATCCCGTTGGGTTCCACCACGCTGCGCTGCCTCCTCAATTCCTTCTTTTTCCCCCAAACGTCCCAAACCTTCAACTGCTTATCCTCAGGCACAGCAAAAATTATCTTCAATCCATTAGGGCTCATGACGCTCCCAGCAATAGCTGATGTCGCGGGGTATTCGGTTTTGACGCGAGCGAGGGTTGGGTAGGAGTGAACGGCGACGCAATTGGCCATTCCGGACGACTGGGAAGATGTTGGGGTTGCCACAGATGTGGTTGCGTCTAAAGCCTTGCCCGTGCTATGTGTGCTCAATAATTCTTTGCACTGGGTGGACCAATGAAGCGACGTAATTCGAGCATCGAGCTCTAGGACATCTGGGTTAGGATTTTGGGATGTTGACCCTGTAACGTTCCATAACCTGATGGTCCCTGTCCCATTAGGCGCGGCATCACCCGTGGCTAGCATCTTCAAAGAAGACCACGGACACCAAGCAAGACCCTGGACGCCAGTGTCAAATGGACAGGTAGCATACCGTGAAGTGAGAAATCTTACCTTGACAGCCCCAACGTGTTGCATCTTCCTCCGCCTCTGAATGAGATCTCCAACATCCAAAGGCGCATTTTGGCGCGCATCCCAGCAGTACACCGTGCCACCGTTGTCCGCACTCGCCAGAATTTTTCCTTCGTGGTGCCAGGCAAGGGCAGAGATCATCGACTGGTGCCGCAGCACCTTCTTGTTCTGCTCTTTCATTTTGGCCGTCTCTTTGATCCTGGTGTCGAAGTGTCTGATCGATCCTTTCTCTCCTCCCACTGTCAAGACGGGGCCGTTCCATTTCATCGCTGTGGCTGGCTTCGTCCACCAGCTCGTTGTCATCTTTTGAGCAGCTAGATCCCAGACCTGCACAAGGCCCTTGGACGTCGAGAGCGCCATTGTGTGAGGGTTGTCTTCGCCGCCGCAATCAAGGAGACGCAGGAAGCCGTGATGGTCCTTGACTTTGGCCAGTCCAACGATATCTGCATTCGTGGCCAAGTTTTTAATGTTGACTCGATTCCCGCGTCCAAATACCAGGATGTTGGTTTGAGACCAACTAACAGGCCAAGTCGCTCCTAGCATCGAATCCGTGACCCCCGAAAAATCAACGGTGATTTTTCCATTCCTGAGATACTTGTTGGCTGAGGTATCTGGAGCTGATGGTGGAGGTAGCGACGGCGAGCGATAGGAGCTCGGCGGGGTTGAGTAAGCGATGGTGTTGATGGCACTCATCGTAGCCTGGGAGAACGGTGTGCCGGCACGAGACACGTCGACCATCGATGCGGTGCGGCTCAATGATCGTCTTGATGAGCGTCGAGTGAGTGCTCTGCCTGGTCCTGCATCTGAATTTCTTTCTGAACGATCAAACTAAGATGAAGTGGGTGAGTGCTATCGGTGGCTATCAAAAATTGAACGGAAGGACGAACGGAGCTGCTCAAAGGCGTGATGGCAGGGCTTATTAAGCTCGTCCAGTCAAGGTATGATGAGTCAATACGCGACAACTCCTGTGGTCGCGGCCGTTTTCTGTCAGCCTCATCGTCGCTTCCACTCGAGAGCGGGCGTTTTCTCGTCGTTGTTTCAGGCACAGGCGTTGTATCTCTTCGTTCGGCGCTGCTGTTAGACGTGTTATCAGCAGTGCTAGCATTAAAGTGATCCTGAAGCACCTCGGTTCGACGGTGGTTGACCCCGAGGACATGCCGACGAGAACGACGATGAAGAAGAAGTTGAACAAGCCGCCCACAAGCCGCAGGTGGCAGATGCAAGACCAAAAAGGCAAAAACCCGAGATCGATTACATCAGCTAATGAGCGCGATGCTTATGCTTGTTGACGCGTTTTATCACGGTCATATGATTTTCACGTGGATCCTTTTCAGTCTCTTTTTGACACGTTCACAGTTGGGATCTCAGCAACCTGAACGGGTGGGAGGCGGGAGGCGCATTGCGATAACATTCTCGGTGCAGGTGCGAGGTTTCGAGGTTTTGAGAAGAGCCGTCTCACAATTTCAAGTGTGATGGATGATATACTTACTCGGTCGAAAGTGTCAGTGCCTAGGTGACGCATCCGAGATTCTCTCGCATTACATTGCTCTGGGATTCCGACACTCGCCTGACGACGATGATCCGTACTCGCACGCAGCATAGAAATGGGAGCTAACATGCCGACTCCAGCTCTGCAATGCAGTGGCCGGCTGTCTAACACTGGCACGTCGGTTTGGGCTTTCTCGGGATTCCTTTTTGTTTCAAAGGGAAGCTCAGGGCTCGCTCTGATGCTGGAAGGGCTGTGCGTTGATATTGATAGGGCATGTCTCAATTTATGTATGTATCTGATCTAGCGCGGCTCTCACAATCAGTTCAGCAACGGGTCTTCGGAAACGACTACTCACATGCACAGTGCCTTCATGGGCCGTTCAAATGTGAGATAGTCGTGAGACGACTCGACCAAAATGCTAAAAACCCCTGAGACAAACTACACGCTTCGCCGACGAAGGGAGACGAGTAGTTACGGAAATACAAATGGGCTTCTTTATGCAGCGCGTGGTCGCCCAGGCGACGCCGACTGGACCGATTCTGGCACAATTCGAGATCATGAAGCGAATCATGTGTCCTGGCCTGCGCACCGTCGATATGGGACGAGCATGAGCTGTGTGGAGATTGTACAGCAAAACCTGTACGCACTTCACTCACAGCCACCAACTTCCCTTACAGTGTATGTCTCTTCATCGCGACTCACCCCACTGACAGGTCGAGGAAACTGACAGCACTCAGCACTCAGACCTCCTTTCGACATTCTCATGCTCCTGGAGAGCCCAGAAACCTATTGACTAGGCTTTTAGCACACACCCTGTTCAACACTTTTCGAGTAGTCTGTGCATACAAAACAGCTCTCAATCTCAAACGCCCAGTCTGTTCTCGTTGGGGGCGCTGCCGGCGAGATCGGCTGGACGGTTCGACATGGGGGTGCTCAGGCGTCTTGAATCTGACGCGGGATCCAGTTCGAGCAACTCTGAAGCATCGTTGACCGGACAAGCAAGTGCGTCATTTTCACACAATCTCGGCCATGCATCTCGTTGATGGGATTCTTGTGGACAGCGAGCACGTCGTCAGTTCTGAACACTTCGTTGGCATACCCTTCTTGACGTTTGATTTTTCTTGCCTTGATGCTGTAGACTTTCTAGTAGCATTACGACTTCCCGGTACGGTTGACAGATTTGCAACTGACGTCGATGTGCGAGCTGATCGTATTTCTAGGGTGTCCGACACCCCGACGGCCTCATTTGCGTGAGCTACAGTGCATCTCCATCATCCCGACTCACATCCGAGAATGTATCCCCAGCTCGTCCACTGCCGAGACCACATCCACGCCAGTACCGACCGTTGATGATAATCAAAGCGTGTCCACCTCGGATAGTGGTTCTCAGAGTCTTTCGGCTACATCAGCGACTACATCAGCACCGTCATCCTCGACTTCAGTCGATACTTCCGCCTCCTTTTCGGCCTCTCCATCGACTTCCGTAGCTTCATCCGCTTCTTCATTTTCTTTGGGCTCATCGGCTTCCTCAGCTTCCTTCACCGACTTCTCAAGCTTATCACTAACTTCATCGACCGTCCTCACTACTGACTCCAGTAGCCTGTCGACTATCACTTCCGAGCCTCCGGCTTCAACGACCTTCTCGACTACCTCAAGCTCTGCGACGACCTCATCTCCATTTCCGTCCCTGTCCCCATCTTCCGCGTTTTCTGCGTTTTCCACTTCCGCTCCCTCGCCATTTGCGCAGATATTCTCGGTGAGTGACACTGATTTGCCTCTTTCCGCGCCGTGGAGCTCAACTGGTACTCGAGTCGCCCACGACCACAGCGGGTCCGCCGTCCGTCACCGAAAGCCCTGCCCCAGATTCGACTGTCCAGCCATCGTGAGTGACTGCGCCTCAGTACCGCCCGCGACCGCCCTTTGACCTGACCTGGGATTGCACAGCGTTGCCTCGTCCGATTCCATCACGGAGACGCCGTCCGCGACTGTCTCAGCGACGAGCTCATCCGCCACGTCGGTCGGCAGCATCTTCAAAGTCGTCCCCAGCTCGACTTTCGAGCTGAGCAGCCTCACCCCCAGCCCCAGCCCCACCTCAGCCGACATCGGCAGCGCAACCGGCAGCAGCGCACCGCGCACCAATGACTCGTCTCGGTGAGCTCCACGTCTCCCTCGTCCCCCGCGCCACTCCGCACCGCTCACCGTCCCCGCGCGCGCGTATCCTACCAGCGCGAGCACCAAAAACGTCGGCGTCATCGCAGGTGTCGTGAGCACGCTCGCGGTCCTCATGATCATCCTCGTCGTCTGCGTTCTCATCGCGCGCGGCCGCTCCCGCCGGCAGACCACGAGCTGGCGCGAGCGCCTCCTCCGCGGCCGCGCCTTCGCGCACTGGCGCGACTCGGGCGGCGACCCGGAGATGCAGCAGCAGCAGCAGCCGCAATACGCCTCTGCTCGCGGCGCACCTCACCACGCGCAGTTTCCGTCGGGCCCGTCCGTGAGCGAGGCGAGCGTGTACTCGCAGACCTCGGCTCCCCAGCAGCCCCTGGCTACGTTCGCAGGAGACGCCGGCTGGGCCGGGTTCGGCGCCGCCGCAGCGCGCGGGGACCACGACCCCGGGGGCGGCGGAGGCGGCGGGGCGCTCCCCGCGTCGCTCACGCCGGGCGTCCTGAGCATGTCGCCCGTGGATAACATCGACCCGTTCCTGGACACGCCGCCGCCCGCGCACGGCTTCGCTGTCGACCCGGGCTACGGGTCGGCGCCGGGGACGAGCCCGCCGCGCGGAGGGCTGCTGCCCATCGTGGTCGTGTCGGATGCGTACGACGTGGGGAGCCGCAGCCCCGTCTATGTCGGGCGCGCAATGTGATACGCGCAGCGTGGGGCATCACTCCTGTACAGGACGGATATCTGGTGCGTGCGTGTGCGCGTCGCTCTAGGGTGACTGACTGATGTCGATGCCGCGTCCTGCAGATCCTTTGTTGCTCTGTTTTGTTCAGCCCGCTTCGCTTTCTCGCCGTGTTATCAATCGGGGGGTATTTCTCCACTGCCACACCACGTAATGTAAAGGAGGTAAGGAGCTCTGCACGTACGTTTTTGTAGCTGTTATTTCCGATCTCTACTGTGTTGTATTATGAAGGTGTCCCCAATGGTCCACGCTCTTTTACTGATACTTGATGCGGCGTGCCGATGCGCACCGTTCGTCGTAGGAGGAGAATTTGATTGTACAAGCGAGCAAGCGAGCTTCTACACATAGTGTTACAGCGAAGCTCTCCGGGTTCCGATTAACATGTCCAGCGAGCAGAGCAGACAGAAGACATAGCATAGCGACTTCCAATAGCAAAAGGGAGAGATGTCCAAGGCCACTCAGATCTGCGAAAAAGTAAGGACAGGGAAGTGTTCACGGAACAGTGGCCCCGAGCACGAAGAGTCGATACAAACCGGCCCTGCCTCACCACGGGCTCCGCGGTCACAAGCCGTCCGCCGCCGACTCCTCGACGGAGACCGCGGTTGGCTGCATGAACGGCGCACCCAGTTCTAAACCCGCGGCTGGGTGGCGTGCTGCTCGCGGTCTTGCCTGCGCCGGGTCTCCACCCACAGGTTGTACGCGACGGTCGTGATCAGCGCCTCGTCCTGCGACATCAACCGCACGGCCTCGTGGACGTCGAGCAGCGTGCCAACGTACGCCTGCTCGTCCGGCATGCCCGTGTTCTCCTCCCGAACCTGGCACGATCGAGCGATCGCCGCAGGGTGAAAACAAAAATGACATGACGAAAAGGAACATCAGTGTGTCCCCGCGCAATGGGGATAGTGAGGAGGACACGCACGGCATCGTGCGGGATCTGTCCGACGTAGTAGAACGCGATGTATTCGCCGCCGTTGTCGAGCGCGCCCGACCTGCGGCGGTACGGCCCGAAGCGATGCGTGGTGATGTATATCGGCTCCGTGTTGAGTGCCGCCGCGGTGCGCGATGCGCCTGCACTGGACTGCCCAGGCGCAACGAGCGCGCGCGTGGGGGTGCACAAAGGCATGAACTCGGCGCGGTAGCCTGACTGTAGGCGGGCGGGCGGGCGGTAGGTAGGGAGCATGAGCGGGTCGGGCGCGCGACGCACCTCCTCGTACGCCTCGCGCAGGGCACACTGCTCGATGCTCTCGCCTCTGTCCTTGCGCCCCCGGGGGAGAAACCACTGGCGCGTCTGCGTGTCATGCACGACGACGACCTTGGACGTCGTCGGCTGGATGATGACCATGGATGCGGCGAGCTGGAACTCGCGCGCGAACCAGATGCTGTTCGGGACGGCGGCGGAGGAGCAGTTGGACAACGGTGGCGGTGGCGGCGGCGATATTGACGGGAGTGTGATGTGGGTGCGGTGCATTGGTTGGTAGATCAGAGCGGGGTGCGATGGCGAGCGAGGTATGTGGGGAAGGACGTGTTAACACAGAGAGCTGACGCTATCTTGCGTTGGGAAACAGTCACTCCGACCAAGTGACGCCTTGTGACGCATCATCTTCTCGACTCCATCGAGCTCCGTCGCTGTCGAGGACAGTGAATATCTTCGCTGACTCTGCGATCTTGCTCTTTCAGAAGTAAAATATTGCGACTCTTTCACGAGATCTCCCACGAGAGAAGGGCTTTGCGATATCAGTATCACTCCGCGCACATTCCAATTAGAGAGGACTGATATTCTACAACCAGCAGTGATTACGATGTCTTCGCAACATGGCGAGGAAGACGAGGGTCCTCTGAAATCCTACGACAGGCACACTGAATTCATGCTCCTCACCATGCTCGTTACGTTAGTCACCACTATCAACTCTGGCCCACCAGCTTGGAAACCACCAAGGACCATCACTGAGAAACCACGGTCGAAGCCTGCTGCACTCAACGCTGTGCCCGCAGTCTTGCTGCGACGCTCAGATGTTGTTGCAGCTGTGGTTGACTATGCTTCCGTTGGATTTTCCGATAGGATGATGAAAGTATATGTCACGGAAGAACGTCCTGTCACTTTGAGTACTTCTCTTGCCTTTGCAAACCTGGAACAAGGTGTCAAGTGTCCAGAGGGAGACGACAGTCGCCACGTCTTATTGCCAACTGCAAAGATCAGCGTCGACGGCTGGCAAGGGCTGAAAGCGCCGTGAGGACTATCATCACTGAGAGTTCTCCCTTTCTCACCAGCATGGAAATCACAGCGCTCATTTTCCTATCGGCGAGCACATCGCCATCCTTAACGAGTATCTCATGGCGATCAATCAGCCAGCGCAAGACACAGACATAGACAAGCGTCACCTCACATGCTATATCACCGCGACGTCTTGGTTCAAAATGAAGAGCAGAATCAACCTCTCGTGGTCCAAGGCGTTCATTCGGAGCCTTAAGACAATGTCTCTTGACAGGATCAGAGGTACATTCAGGCCCTCCCGTGTTGATCAAAAACATGATACAGGGTTCATCGTGTTTCTCAACGAACGTGGGCTATACCACATCTCGCTCCTTGCGAAACGTGATCCGACACTGTCGGGTAACTCTGATCTATTGCAGCTCGTCCAGGTGGGCCAAGCCGTGTACAAAGACAGGGCTCTACCTTTGTATACCGAGGAATCATGTGTCGGATTCCATCAATGCCTCGTCAGCACCCTCGTGTGTTACCAGGCCGCGCTCCAGGAGATGGAACAGTGCTGGCGGGCTTATCATCTAGCAGACAAGATCTTGATGCATTTGCAGGCAACACGGACAGAGTTGGCGACGCGTGAGAGCCCTGACTCGAAGGATACGATGGTGAAGTTGTCGGGATCCCCTTTCTTGGTTCCAGATTTTGATTCCGTCCTCAGTCTCCGCGATGACGAAAGCCTTGCGCAGGAGTACAAGGATAAGATCGAAGGCCGGACGCTCGAGGCGGTGGAGAGATTGTAAAATCTGAGGAATCAGTCGCGAAGTCGTACACTGAACTGCGTATAATCGCTAGGGAAGCCTTTAGTCATGGCAGAGCGCTCTATGCCATGGGACCCGCCCAAATCCTCGAGCATCGCTTTTATGTTCTCTCCAGTTCCCTTCTACATGTCCTAGACACAAGCAATCTCACCAGACGCCAGCAAACTCCAAACATGGACGAGGATCTCGAAGCGGAGCTACAGGCTGAAGCAGAGTTATGGGCCGCAGTAGAGATACGTGATGCTCGTGTCTGCAACAATGTGGTTCGCACAGACAAAGCATACCTTGCCATCAGGTGGCTCCGTCTTCGATACTCACATCACATCGCGATCCAGGAGCTATCACAGTTTGCTAAGGCATTCAAAGGACCAATGCGCATTCAGCTTCTTGCTTCCTCGAGAGTCAGTCATGATCTCATGCTCCCAGATTGGAGGCCCGTCATCGACAGGCTCTATGGAGCGCGGTCTCAAGACGTTTGCCGTCGAGGAGCGTTTGAAACGCGACACAGATGCTCAGATCCAAGGCCGCTCCCAGATTGCGCCCATCCTCGAGGCATTCCGCACGGCTTTTGACGAGGAGCCGAAACTGAAGCTTACAGGCACGGTTCGCTGTGAGGCAGCATTGGCGGCGGCGATGGTCAACGTGGAGGCTGCGGACGTCAACGGCGAATGGCAACCGCTCGCAAAGGTACGTCCTCGCCATGACCCATGTCTGGTCATCGTATAACCCGCCGCAGACGTTCGACGCGTTCCTCGCGTCGGTGTCCAGACCGTGCTGTCCCGTCTGCTGGGACGTGATGGCATTCCTGAGGACGTACGCGGCAGAGACGCAGGCTCTCAGCCTCGGTATCGAACCGGTTCGTTCGTCGGGTTCTCCTGTCGCGATCTTGGCCACACCCATTGATATCGCGGACCGGCCAAGCGAAGCCGATTCTGCGTCCTTCGAAATGCGTGGTCGCCATTCCAGCGTGTGGCCTGCGGCTTTGCCACCGTGGACGCCTGAGGTGGCGCTCGACGAGATGGTGGAGAGTCTCAGAACACGCCTCCGTGAGCGCATCGATGACGTGAGATGGGACACGGGCGAGCGCGAAATGGCCCGCTTATGCGGAGGTTGGATTCAAAGGAGGGGATTTCACAAGCTCTAGAGGGATATGATTATATACCGCGAGGGGTTCCTTGTACCAGTGTCAGACGTGTGCCGTACCGTCGATAGAGGCCAGAACTGCGTCCGTGCACGAATCATCATCCGAAGGACCGGAGAAGCCACGAGGAGAACGCCCCCGCCGTTCGGGTTCGGGTTCGGGTTCGCACGGATGTCAGACGTGCGGTATCTCACACGTGTCCCGCTGAACATGATCAGAGAGGCTGCGAGCGACGTCGACCGCAGCGGGTCGGCGGTGAGCAGGCGGCTAGTGGACAAGCGTGAACGGCTCTTTCTATGCGCAGGAGATAGTCGAGCTATGAAGGCATATATATGATCTACCGCACGGGTCGTCTCAGCTCCGTTGACTCAGACGCCTTGCGTGGACACACACACGTCGACGCCCAGCATACGCTCCCGCGGCAGACCACCCACCAGATCAGAATGTGGCATCTGCATATACAACGCGTGTCTTCATTGGTACATCACAACACAGGACCCAACAACCAAAACCGCGACCGACCGAGCCAACCGCCCCCCGCCCGCCCCTCCCCCATCCACAAAGAAAAAAAAAAAACAGACCGAGCATCGAGTACCCCAGGCGCGGCGCGTCACCTGCGCTCCCACCGCCCGCCGCCCGCGTCCCCGCCGCCGCCCGCCCCAGCCCCAGCCCCAGCCCCGCGCCGACCCATGAAGAAGCAGCCCTCGTACCCAGCGACGCCGATCGGGCTGAGCGTATCGCGCCAGCGCCCGACGAGGTTCCCGTGCCGGTCGCCGACGAGGTAGCCGCGGTAGAGCCACCGCCCGCGGTCGCCGTCGACCTGCGCGCGAGCACATAAAAAAAAAAGCAAGGAAGGGAGGGGGGCACGCACGTATTCTTTCGAGATGCTGATGAAGCCGTCGTCGGGCCGGATGCGGCCCAGGAGGTTGAAGACGCCCCACGAAGAATGTCCCTGTGTGTACGCGCACGCGTACGCGATGCGCACACGCACGCGCGCGAACGGGCAAGCGGACGGTCAGAACGACGCGCACGCGCACGCGGGAGCTCGCGGGCGCACTGACCTCTCCCACGACGAGCACCTCGCGCACGCGGCGCGCGTACTCCTTCTCCTCCTCCGCGTCCGCGTCCGCGTCCCCTGCCGCACCTCCTCCGTGCCCGCCGCCGTGCGCGCGCGCGGCCTCGTAGCGCGAGACGCCGGCGCGCGTCGGTTCCCGGACGAGTGCGGCGTCGCCCGTGAGCTGTATGTCGACGCCGGGGGGGAAGAACGCGCGCAGCGGGTCGCCGATGGAGAGCGGGCGGTACGCGTCGTCGTCGCCGCCTTCGCCATCACCTTTGCCATCACCTTCGCCTTCGCCTTCGCCTTCGTTTTCGCCAACGTCGCCGCCGTTGCCAGCGTCAGCGTGGCTGTTGCGGCGGCGCGGGGCGTGCGCGGACGGCTCCGGGGCGAGCAGGTGGTACTCGCGCAGCTTCCACGTCTGCGGGTGGCGCGCGACGACGCTCTGGTGGAGCGTGGGCGGGGCGGCGCCGGAGAGGAGCGCGGCGTACGCCGTAAAGTCGGTGTACTGCACACGGGGCGCCGGACGGGGTCAGGGGGTCGATCGTGAGAACGCGGGGGGGAGAGACACCTGCCGTGAAGAGGCCCTCCCAGACGCCTTCCAAGCTTCCGAGCTTGAACGCGCGGGCGGGCGGGTCCGCGTCCGCCGCGGCGTCGGGGGGAGCGCCCGCGAGCGCGAGGCAGCGGTGCCATTCGCTGTCCCACTCTGCGCTCATGGGGAGGTCGGCGGAGATGGCGGAGGGGGGGAGCGGGGACGCGTGCGGGGTGAGGAGGGTGCGGGGTGCGTGGGGGCGGTGGTTCGGCGCGAGGGCGAGGTAGGCGAGGATGGCGGGGGCGGCGAGCGGGGGCGGGGCGAGGGGCGGGTAGGCGCCGTGGCTTTGTGTGGGGACGGGGTGGGTGTGGTGTGGGGGCGGGCGGCGGGGGACGTAGGGGGTCCAGGAGGGCTGGCAGATCGGGTACTGTGTGGGCGGGTGTCAGCGGGGCTGCGTGATGGATCTCCGGGCTGGTGTACATCATCGCCATTGTGTCTCGCGATGTGTCACGGGTGCGATCGCGGGGGATCGTTTGCCGCGTGATTGGGCGCGCGTGTGTGTGTGTGTGTGTGTGTGTGGGTGTGCGCACTGACCTTGTGGGCGGCGAGAGCGATGATCTTGAGGGTGCTCATGACGCTGGGGAAGTTGAGCTCGTCCAGAAAGTAGTCCTCTGCGGGGCGCGGGCGTGAACGGGCGGCGGCGGGGGGCAGGAGGAGCGCGCTGGGGACGGCTCACCGGGGCGGAGGAGGAACCAGAAGAGCCACATGGCGACGGCGGAGAGCTCTGTGTTGCGAGGCCACTGGTTGCTGGCGATGGCGATGCGGGCGCCGGACGCGCCGGAGGGGTCGAACCAGTAGTCGCGGAGCCAGGCGTCCATGTGCGCGTACTCGCGCAGCTGGCGCTCGTTCCTGCCGTCGTTCTCGAGCATCATGACGTACACGGTCCAGAGCATCTCGCTGACGAGCTGGTGGGTCTCGGGGTCGTCGGGGTCGGCGGCGGCGGAGGTCGGGTGGACGAAGCAGCCGACGTGCATGCGGATGCGCTGGAGGAGGACGAAGCGGCGGCGGAGGTCGGCGGCGAGCTGGGCGGGGGCGGTGGCGCGGGGGCCGAGGCGGCGGAGCGGGGCGCGTGCGTCGAACTTTGCAGCGAAGATGCGGGCGTGGAGGTGCGGGTTGGACGCGCTGGAGAGGGCGGCGGCGAGCCGGCGGTTGGCGAGCAGGAGCGGGACGAGGTCGGCGGGCGGGCCGATGGGGTCGGCGGAGGCGGCGAAGAAGGCGATGTGCTCCAGGACCTCTTGCGGGACGATGTCGAGCGGGGAGGGCGACATGATCGCGGTCGAGGCTGCGTCAGCGCGCGCTGGGTAGCACTACTTATCGGCCGCGAACGTGACCGGCGGCGAACGTGACCGGCGGCGTGGTCGCGCGCCTGCCCTAGACATCACGTGTGCTTAAGTTTTCTCTTGTCCATCGATCGCGTCCCTCACCGCCCCCCACCATGTCTTTCGATCTCCTCAAGCTCGAAGCCCACCTCGCCGCCCGCTCCTACATCGAGGGGTACGTCTCTCTCTTCGTCCGTCTCGCTTTTCCGTGATGAGTATCCGCTATGGTCCGTGTTTCCAAGAGGCGACTAGACACCGCTGCACAAGCATGCCGACAACTCAAATCCTTAGCTTTCTGATCCATCCTCGTCCTCCGCGTCCTTCCTCGAGCCTTCTTTCCTGACTCGTTTCTTTGGCCCCCAGCTACACCCCCTCCCAGGCCGACGTCCACGTCTTCAAGGCCCTCGCCGGCGTCCCCGCAGCCGCCACCTCCCCCCACGCCTTCCGCTGGTACAACCACATCAAGTCCTACTCCTCCGAGTTCGACTCCCTCGCGGGCTCCAGCACCGCCGGCGAGGCCTTCACCGCCGCCCCCGCCCCCGCCCCCGCTGCTCCCGCCGCAGCCGAGGAGGACGATGACGACGAAGTCGACCTCTTCGGCTCCGACGAGGAAGACGACGCCGAGGCGGAGCGCGTCAAGGCGGAGCGTGTCGCCGCCTACCAGGCCAAGAAGGCCAACAAGCCCAAGACCATCGCCAAGGTCCGTCCCCTCCGTATCCGACGCATCGTTTGCGGACGCTGATGCCCTCTCGCCCCGCGCAGTCCGTCGTCACCCTCGAGGTGAAGCCCTGGGACGACGAGACGGACATGAAGGCCCTCGAGGACTCCGTCCGCTCCATCCAGCAGGAGGGCCTCGTCTGGGGCGCCAGCAAGCTCGTCGCCGTCGGCTACGGCATCAAGAAGCTCCAGATCACCATCGTCATCGGTGAGTCGCGATCGCCCGTCGCCTCCTCCTGATCTGACCCTGTTTTCCAGAGGACGAGCTGGTGTCGCTCGACGAGCTCCAGGAGAAGGTCGCCGAGTTCGAGGACTACGTGCAGAGCACGGATGTCGCCGCCATGCAGAGTAAGCGCCTCGCTCTCCGTGTTCTCGGTCGGTCGCTGATTCGGTTCGTGTCGCGCAGAGCTGTAAGAGTTGTGTACTACGATCGTCGTCGTGTGTCTGTATCCGCATCGGGGTTTGAGCAGTTTGAATCTATATGTTGTTGTACTATCGGATCCACATCGATGTCTGATGAGCGAGTGCGCGCGCGTCGCGGCTCGGTCGTCCCGCATGATTCGAGGCACACGTCGTTATCGGGACAGCGATGAACGGCGAACACGCGAAGAAACTGGCTTGACAGTTACGGCACCACCGTGCACAACGCCCCGCATTCCAGATACATCGACCGCTTATTACCACTGCCCTTGCTACGTACACAGTACACAGTACACAGTGCACAGTACACAGTACACGGTACACACCCCGATCTTCGCATCGCGGCCTCCTCACTGAGGGACAACGATCCGCACAACGCGCTCCCCGCTGGCACGACGGACCGTGCGGCGCACGCTGCTCGGCGCTCGGAGCCGGCTCGGGGTACGTGTGCGCTACTTACTGATGGCGGGACGGCGCGGCACGGGTGGTATGCGAGTTCGAACGAGGGCGGGAACGCGTACGTGGGGGGCTGCGGGTGTGGGGGCGGGGGCGGGTGGATAGGCGGGGGCGGGCGTCGCTGTGGTGGAGAGACTGGCTCGGCGCGGGGACGGGATAGGTCTCGAGGACGCGGTTGCGAGCGACGGGCGGGCGGGGCGGGGCTCTGCCGTGCGAGGCTCGCGGGGATCTTGTACTAGGTAGGCAGTGCACCGTGGACGCGCGCACCTCGATAGATGGAAAGCGGTCACTCGTCATCTCCTTGTCACGTCGAGGGCCCCACTCTCAGCTTTCGTTGGATTTAGATCGCGCACGTACGTTGGGGATCGGCGGGTAAGAACAGAAGTGCGTGCTGCGCCGATGCCCTCGATTTCCTGCCGATTGCTTGTGTCTGATGTCGTCGTGGCTGGAGCTGGGCGTTGGGATCTGATGTGACTGTAGGCACGATGGCTTCGATTTTCTCTATTCGCTCCTTCTGCGCATTGGACTGCGAAAGCCTCAGCGTCTCGAGCGGTGCTTTCGGCAAGCGATGGGTGAGCGCTTGACAGCATGCATCGCGGCTGCCGCAGCGACCCGCTTGGCCATGAATGGGACGAGCAGCTGGCAGTCCTCTCAGGTGTCTGAGACAGGGTGGCAGATCATGTGGACCAAGGTGTGAGTAGGGAGGTCGAGGTTTGCTGCGAGCGAGCGGCAGCTGTTCAACACACCTCCGAGACTCAGCCCATTGAGACGCGGGAGGGAGATGCTGCGGGAGGTGCCCATCGAGGCAGGGCCAGGCGACAGCACACGATGGACAGCAGTAGAGCAGGATCGCGCGCTCGTCGCAACTTTCTCTGTCCCAATTCCCCAAACCGTGACATTGGGGAACCCTCCGTCCTCGACTCCTCGCAAAGCGAGCTCACTCCTCGGTCTCGCCCGGGACGGTGAGTGCGTTCGCGTTCAAGAATAAACGTCAGTCATGTACACAGGGTCAACAAAATATGGTGATAATTATATGATTCTGAGGACACCTGGGTCGTCGCAGGATGCCGCTGCTCGGGCGCTTGTTGCTCGAGGCAAGGCTAGGAAAGAGGCCGGACAGCGGCTGCTTATGAAGGGTGAAATCCATTCGGCGTGCGGTACAATTCTCGACACCGCGAGCGCGAGCGCGCAGAGCGAAGCTCTCCTGCGTGGGTGCGATGTGGATGGGTGGTGCCTGTACTCGTGCATGGCAGCGAGCAGCTGGACGTAAGGACGAGGCTCGCGGCGGGCTTGTACTAGGTAGGCAGTGCGCTGTGGACGCGCGCAGCACGTCGCGGCCGTGCGGGGTCCGGTACGGTCGACGCACGGGAGTAGGGCCCAGTGCCAGGCCTCCCCCGATTGCCCGCGCGCCTCCCCTCAGTTGAGTCCACACCTGCACAGCCTGGACCACTTCGGACAATGTGGAGGGTTCGGTGAGATTTTGGTTTTGCACGCCGATGATTTGAAAGCGGCCGCATTCTATCGGTATTCAGAAGTACTTGTGGACCCACTCTCGTCCAGTTCTCGTCCGTGTGTCAGAATCAGAGCGCGTACTTACATGGAGGATCGGGATCGGTAACAAAAGTGTGACAGAGAGTGCTGAGACGCTCGATTCCCTACCTATGATCATGCATACGGCCAAAGTAATCGAACGGTATCGGGAACCGAGCGTCAGACTCTACGATGACAGTAGGCACGACGGCTTCAAAGGTCTCTATCCATTTCTTCTGCACATCGCAATCCAAAAGCTTCAGCGTCTTGAGCGGTGCCTTCGGCGTGCGAGAAGCGAGTGCTCCCGCGAGCTCTTCATCTGATCGCGGTGTCCCTGGCGCGACGTCGTGGATGCCCAACAGCTCCCACAAGGCGAGGGTTTTCAATGCCGGAAATAGCAGAGTCGGTGCTTCATCTGGCGGCTCGCCCGCACGCGATTCCATGCTGAGCGAGCTCACAAGATGCCTAGCTGCCGAGCCCCGCACGTTTACCGTCTCCACTCGCTTCGCGGGGCGGAGCGTCTCCTGCCAGTGCCCTGGATGGAACCAACTCTCCTGGCCCGTAAATATCGACAGCGTTCGAAGCTCTTCCAGCGGAAGCGCGGCGCAGACGGCCTCAAACAGCCACCGGAGGACCTCACCGTCGGGAGATGGGAGATAAATGTCAACATCGAGAGGCAGAGCGCTGAATCGGGTCGTGTGCGGTTCAATAGGTCCGAAGGCAAGCCTGATGGACGTAATCCACAGGCTGTTCACGTAGAGATACTCGATGGGGTGTATCGTGGCTGCCGCGGCGATCCGCTCGGTGATGAATGGGACAAGCAGATGGCAGTCCTCCCCGTTGTTTGAGAAAGATTTGCATATCATCCGGATCGAGGTGTGGGCAGGGAGATCGAGACTAGCTGCAAGACGGCGACAGCCACTCAGACCGCCTGCAAGACGCAGCACATCGAGGTGCAGAAGGGAGACGCTGCGGGAGTGGCTCATTGAAGCAGGGAAAGGCAACGGGAGGGGGTTGAGATGTAGGACCTCGAGGTCCGGCATTCGCTCGAGGACGTCAAGTAGCTCATCGTTGGTGTATTCCGGTGGCGTCCGATCAGTCATCCTCATGTTGATTTTCAGCAAGACGAGGTTTGCCGACAATACGGTGTGATTTGGAGGGACGTAGTAGTCGCCGAGCCAGACGTGGCGCAGGCGTGGGGTGGTGTTTGCAAAAAGGTCTGTAGGCAGCGTGCTCGTGCTCCTACAGTAGATCTCGACAGATTCCAACATTAGCGCGGGGCGGTTGAGGCGCGCGAGGACCGAGGTCAAGTTGCCTTGCCGGCCATCTCTAAGCTGAAGGTGCCGCACGTAGTCGATGTGTTTGACGACGTAGTCCAAGAGCGGCTTGCAGTCTGCATCCGTGTACACATCGATAGGCGCTTGACAGGCGCGACGCGCCATCTCCAGAGCCCACTCGACGCCAATGGTATTGTGATTGATCTCTGTCCAGAGACACGGATTTTCGATTGCTACGGCGCGCCAACGCGCGCACACATGTGTCGCTGGTACGATCCAGGCAAGTCTAGTATGCGACGACACACCGCCCGGTGGTCCGACAACAGGGTTGAGAGTGATGAGCCAGAGGAAGATGCAGGTGAGTATCTCGGGAGGGATAGAATGGACGTGGAAGATTGCAGAGGCTGCGCTGGTAGTTTGCGAGCCAGGGCTGGAGAAATCGTCTGCAACGTCGGATGGCAGCCGTGGAATGGCAGGACTGGTTGTGCTGAACAAAAATAAGTAAGTTAGATAGACTGCATTGAGAGAGGATTGTGCAAGTACCTTGAAACTGTATCAGACATCTTTCTCAGTCCTCCCTTGGCCAGAAAGATGTGAGCTGCCAGAACGTGGAGAAGGGTATCAGCGGTACTAGGAGAGCAAGGTCACGCGCTCGTCACAACCTTCTCTGTCCCAAACCGTGACATCGGGGAACCGTAAGTATCAGAGCCGAGAATGCGTTCTGATGCATGGAAACCTGCCCTCCTCCTGTGTTCACATTCTGCCTCATACCAGACCGGAGCCCTGAGAGGTTAGGCTTGAATTCCGGTGTCATATTGTCAACAGGATATCGGGACACTTCACTGCAGGCCGTTACAGGAAAGCATTCTCGTGCCCGCGGACCGTGCTCTCACTGCCCTGCCTGTCTCGCCCACCCCCCCCACTGCTTCCACCCACAGATATGTCATCATCTGCACTCCATGACGAGCTCATATTAACCGTCTTTTCTGCCATCGAGTCCCTCCCGCAGACGCGCAAAGCGAGCTTACTCCTCGATTAGGCCCTGGCCTTGTTGGAAGCGGGGCGGTGAGTGAATTCATGGTCAAGAATGAACATCATTCACAAACAGAAGGTCAACAAGATATGGTGATGAAGTCGAGAGAGATCTGGACATGTTTCTGAGGACACCTGGATTGCGGCAGGATGCGATTGCTTGGGCGATTGGTGCTCGAGGCAAGGCTAGGAACGAGACTGGACAGTGGCTCCTTGTGAAGGGTGAACAAGGTAAGACTCATATCCATTCAGCGTGCGGTCCAATTCTCGAATACGCGACCACGAGCGCGCAAGGCGGAGCTCTCCTGCGTGGGTGCGAGGTAGATGGGTGATGCCTATACTCGTATGGCAGCGAGCAGCTGGACATGATGACGAAGCTTGCGGCGGCCTTGTACTAGATAGTGCACCGTGGACACGAGGACGTCATGGCGGCCGCGCGGGGTACGGTACGGTCCATGCACGGAAGCTTGCGAGCAGTGATCACAGGATGCTGAAACCTAGCCGGACACGTCCGCAATTCGGCCGATGTGGAGGGATAGATGAGACCGTGTTTTGCACCTCGATAGTTAAAAAGCGGTCACGTTATTGTCCTGTCAACGCCTCAAAGGCATGGACCCGCTCTCAGCTTTTGTTAGATTCAGATCACGCACGTACATTGAGAATCGGTGGGAGAAAACAGAATTGTGCCATGCTGCGCTGAGGCCCTCGATTTCCTACCGATCACTCATGTTTACTGCCGCGGTAAAGGAACGGTATCGGGAACCGAGCGTCAGAATCTACGATGACAGTAGGCACGACGGCTTCAAAGGTCTCTATCCATTTCTTCTGCACATCGCAATCCAAAAGCTTCAGCGTCTTGAGCGGTGCCTTCGGCGTGCGAGAAGCGAGTGCTCCCGCGAGCTCTTCATCTGATCGCGGTGTCCCTGGCGCGACGTCGTGGATGCCCAACAGCTCCCACAGAGCGAGGGTTTTCAATGCCGGAAATAGCAGAGTCGGTGCTTCATCTGGCGGCTCGCCCGCACGCGATTCCATGCTGAACGAGCTCACGAGATGCCTAGCTGCCGAGCCCCGCACGTTTACCGTCTCCACTCGCTTCGCGGGGCGGAGCGTCTCCTGCCAGTGCCCTGGATGGAACCAACTCTCCTGGCCCGTAAATATCGACAGCGTTCGAAGCTCTTCCAGCGGAAGCACGGCGCAGATGGACTCGAGAAACCAGCGGGGGACCTCACTGTCGGGCAATGGAAAACGAATGGCGACGTCGAGAGGCAGAGCGCTGAATTGGGTCGTGTGCGCTTTGAGAGGTCCGAAGGAAAGCCTGACGAACGTAGCCCACACGCCGTTCACGTAGAGATGCTCGATGGGGTGTATCGTGGCTGCCGCGGCGATCCGCTCGGTAATGAATGGGACAAGCAGATGGCAGTCCTCCCCGTTGTTTGAGAAAGATTCACATATCATCCGGATCGAGGTGTGGGCAGGGAGATCGAGGCTAGCTGCAAGACGGCAACAGCCACTCAGACCACCTTCAAGACGCAGCACGTCGAGGTGCAGGAGGGAGACGCTGCGGGACTTGCCCAGCGAGGCAAGGCCAGGCAACGGGAGGGTTTCGAGATGTAGGATCTCGAGGTTTGGCATTTGCTCGAGGACGTCAAGTAGCTCATCGTTGGTGTATTCCGGTGACGTCCGATCAGTCGCCCTCATGTGAATTTTCAGCGAGACAAGACTTGCCGACAATACGGTGTGATTTGGGGAAACGTAGTAGTCGCCGAGCCAGACGTGGCGCAGGCGTGGGGTGGTGTTTGCAAAAAGGTCTGTAGGCAGCGTGCTCGTGCTCCTACAGTAGATCTCGACAGATTCCAACATTGGCGCGGGGCGGTTGAGGCGCGCGAGGACCGAGGTCAAGTTGTCTTGACTGCCATCTCTAAGCTGAAGGTGCCGCACGTGGTCGATGTGTTTGACGACGTAGTCCAAGAGCGGCATGCAGTCTGCATCCGTGTACACATCGATAGGCGCTTGACAGGCGCGACGCGCCATCTCCAGAGCCCACTCGACGCCAATGGTATTGTGATTGATCTCTGTCCAGAGACACGGATTTTCGATTGCTACGGCGCGCCAACGCGCGCACACATGTGTCGCTGGTACGATCCAGGCAAGTCTAGTATGCGACGATACACACCCCCATGGTCCGAGAACTGGGTTGAGAGTGATGAGCCAGAGGAAGATGCAGGTGAGTATCTCGGGAGGGATAGAATGGACGTGGAAGAGTGCAGAGGCTGCGCTGGTAGTTTGCGAGCCGGAGAACTCGTCTGCAACGTTGGATGGCAGCCGTGGAATGGCAGGACTGGTTGTGCTGAACAAAAATAAGAAGTGGGTTGGATCGACTGCGTTGAGAAAGGATCGTGCACGTACCTTGAGATTGTATCAGGCATATTTCTCAGTCCTCCCTTCGTAAGGAAGATGCGTGCTGCCAGAACTTGGAGAGGGGCTATTCAAAAATTCTCGCGCTTAGTTGAGCAAGGTCACACGCTCGCCAAAACATTCTCTGTCCCAAACCGTGACATTGGGGAACTCCTTGTCCTCGAAACCGTATCAGAGCGAGAAATGCATTCTGATATAGCTAGTCTGCGATCACAGGTCTCTCGTCGCACGTTGAGTACGAACCATTTGGCAGCTACACTGCCTACCTCCTCCCCGACCCTCTGCCATTGATATCCCCTAGCAAACGTCCTGTCTTAATGACAGGCAATCTCGTCCACACTACATACCGAAACTAGCATGCTCTGAAGTCCGCCGCGGTGCTCGGGATCACCCAGAGAAGAGACAGTCTCACACCATCGGTGCTTTAGTTAGCGTCTGGGATTTATGGAGCGTCGTAACTTTCACCCGTCCGATGCTCTGACCAAACATGCTCGGTGCATCACTCATGTAAGTCATCGAGCTTTCTCTGGTCCAGTCTCATGTAAGTCATCGAGCTTTCTCTGGTCCAGTTTACCATCTCGACCATCTCGCACAACTGACTAATGACTCTCACTCGTATCCCTGTGCTTTTACGCGTAGCATGGATGTTTGAGAGTCGACATGCAAGCAAATCAGGTGAAAAGATTCGAAACTTTGAGAGCCTTTCCATGTTTCTTGCAATATTGTCAGGCGATTTAAAGAACACCCGCAGAGGAGCTTCAGGGCCCATCCTCATTTTCCTCTCCCTGTTCCTTTCCTTCTCATTACTCTCCGTTTATGTCTTACATCGAGCACGGCATTTTCAATCTTCCCGACTTCATCCCTTACTGTCGGTATCCCATCTGCACTAACCCCCATGGACACGAAGTCGCCGCAGCCTCCGAGTCCTGGCTCCTTGCGAGTGCTCCCATGACTGCGAAGAAGTGCCGGGAATTCAAAGACCTCAAAGCCGGGAGCCTCGCAGCCATGTGCTATCCTGACACGGACAAGGGTCGTCTGCGCGTTTGTGCGGGTTACCTGAACTACCTGTTCAAGCTGGACGACTGGTCGGACGAGTTCGATGTCAAAGATATCGATAGCATGAAGGATTGCGTCATAGGCGCGTTGAATGATCCGGTCGGGTTTGAGACGAATAAGGCGGTTGGGAAGTTGGCCAAGTGGTAAGTCTGTCCCCAAATTTTCTCATACACAGAAATCATCTTCGGGCAGTTTCTGATGGCTTTATAGTTTCTTTGGGCGCTTTGTACAAGACGAAGGTCCCCACTGCACTCAGCGATTCATCGATACGATGGTGCCCTTCTTTCGCGCAGTGACGCAACAAGCTCTTGATCGTGAACACAACAATATCCCTGACCTCGAGTCGTATATTGCCCTCCGACGGAACACCAGCGGATGCAAGCCTTGCTTTGCCCTCATCGAATACGCCGCCTGCATCGACCTCCCCGACATGGTCATGAAGCACCTTTCCATAGAAATCCTTGAGAATGCGACAAATGATCTAGTGACATAGATCAACGCGAGGTTTTGTCTATCTTGCTCGTTCAGCTTGTGTTTTGATCCTTGTGTTCGTTTATCGGGATATCTTCTCTTACAATGTCGAGCAGTCTCGAGGTGACATCACAACATGATCACCGTCATCATGAATCAGCAAGGTCTTTCGCTGCAGGAAGCGATTGACAGCGTTGGTGAACTTTGCAAAGACACCATCGATGCCTTCGAGTTTACTCGCCGCTCGCTTCCATCTTGGGGCCCCGACCTCGATCGCCAGGTTCAGTTGTACATTGACGGCGTTCAAAATTGGATCATTGGCTCATCACACTAGAGCTTCGAGACGAAGCGGTACTTCGGGGACCAAGGGCAGGAGATCAAGAAACAACTTGTTGTGAAACTTCCTCCGAAGAAGAACACTGAGGCATGTTTTTCTAATTGTCCTTGGGCAATTTCCAACGTTTGACGTTCGATGCTTGTTTCAAGGTCTCTTGAGTATCCAAGTTAGGACGCTTTGAATGAACATCGTGCGTATCTCTCTCCGGGATGACCGAGGGCATTTGGTCTGCATGTATGCTATCGTTTATCCTCTCCCGGTTTTTTTATCCCAATCCCAACAATCTCAATTTCTACCTTTCGAAATAATCATTTCACCGACAACATCATCGTTCATCGACTTTATTTCATCAACTAATGCTCAGCTAGTCAGCAATCCCTCATTGCCCCAAAACTATCCTAGAAAAGCGAAAGAAGACTATCCGAGCTGCAAACGTCTCTTGATTAATGTTATCTCTTCATCGACAAGGACTAGCAGTTGCACGCTGAAGCGCTGTTCCTGTCACTAAACAGCTAGTCTTTCTATGCAACCAAAAGAGCTAGACTAACTCTGCAATGCAACCTCTCAGCTCTTCTGCGACAGTATCTGACTGCTCGGGATGTTGGACTGGGCGGCATGTTGAGTTGTAGGGCATCATATACGTGTTTCCCTTCGCTCGTGCAATAGGAGTCTTGAAGTTGCCATAGATCATTGACGTGCATCATCACTCCAGATACTAGCGATGTCATCAAAACAGGCGTTTGCAACTTCCTTTGCTCACTTCCCTACCCCGTTTATTACCTTTCATTATGATCTGCATCCGTATCCTGTTCCTGACGCCTGCATTCTCCTTATCTTGCGATGCTCCATCAACGCGTCGACCTTCGAAACCTGAAAATGATTGGCGCTCATGAAGTCCTTGCGCCGTATAGCCTTGCACTCTCATCTTAGTAGCTAACATTCTTAAATAGAAACATAGAACATGAACATAGGCTAGGCGATCTTGTTACCGAACCAAGACGATGGAGTATTTGGAACGGGTCCCCAATGCCCGGATTATGGGTGGCGCCATCGTGAAGCTCGAAGCAAGACATGATTTCGATCAGGATATTCTAGTTGGAATGCTCCAAGCGTGTGCACACAGCCTTGCGCAAATGCCGCATGTATCCTGTGCGCCATCATCTCTTCTTTCTCTGTGTTTGTCTATCAACACGGCCTTGACCTTCTCTCGTCGGGGGAACCGTGTAGTAGGGAAATTCCACGTGGTTGATTCTATGAATGCCAACGTGCCTCGTTAGAAAGATACTTTTCTCCGCACGTCCACAATACGATGGCAACGATCCAAAAGTGCTAACAATTTCAAAGTGATGGGAGATTCCTCAGACGAGTCGGGATCTGTCGCATGTTCACAGACTGAAAAGTACGTGCCCTATACTGATTGCGCGCTTACCAGCAAAGATATTCATGTAATATGCAGTGTGCGCGTCTTGCTTCCAAATCCAAGTATGATCTGCTGTCCAGTGTCATTGAACGAACATTGCCACATAACCAACCGCTGCGGTGCAGCTTCATTTACATTCGAACAGAGTATCGCAGACGAGAATAGTGAGACATATGAGTGATCCTGTGTCTAGGCTCGCGTTTCTGGCGCGTGTCACTCGCTATATCTACTACGGTCTCGCATTGACATGCTAATATTACCACAACACCCCCTTCACCCTCTTCAGCACGCAAAATTACGCTCAGTATCGATGACGAACGACAGTGCCCTGGCTGATTCAATGGCTCAAAGAGATGCCACTACTACTATAGCAACTGAACTGGAAAAGCCAGATATTGTACGTTCGACTTTCTCTTCCTTCATTGAGACCAATGCATGCTGGATCATCATCGAAAGTCTTTGTCTCTGTTGAAGAAGGACAGAGGGCGGACGACATGGGAGCTGTCGGTCGGCGAGGTCCCGATGTTTGTATGCCTTCAAGATGGAGGTCAGCACAACAAGCAACACAAGTTCTCCCACCCCCACCCCCACCCCCGCCCCGCTCCTCCACTAAACTCACATCCATTCACCCCATACTCCAGCGAATGCCAGAGAAATGAACAGCTATGAGCAGTTCGCGCTCCCGTTCGAGCTGCACGACATCACGGGCGCGGAGGCTTCGCGGCGATTGCCAACATAGTGAATTGTTCGGTGCTCGGCACCTAGCACTCTGGCAGCAGATGGCACTAATGAGGTTCAGAAGACACAACACTTCGCCAAGACTCAACGCAATGCCCTCAATCTCTTTCTAGAACTCAGTGATTTTGACCAGAAAATCATTGGCCTTTACGCAAAGGCCAATCAGGTAGTCAGGTAGGTATATTCTCATCTATCGGAGGTTGAGGTCTTGAGGTCGTAATATCCCCCGATACTACAAAACTCGGCTTCCTCCGCCTGGCTCTTTCGTCGGCTCCCCTGTCCGTGCAAAGAGACAGTGCCCTCCATTGTGGAGCGCCGGCATGCGGCCCGGTCTGTTGGACATTCCTTTGTTCGCGCTTATGTGCGTTTGTGGGCGCGTCGGGAATCATGCCATCGGAAGAGTCCAATAAGAGTACATCTGCCGCCATGGAAAATATATTTATCGGTCCCATCAGAAAAATTGCACTATTACGCACGCTGATAGACGAACCGATAGCGCAAAAGCGAACAAAGTCGTTCGTTAATCCAAGGCCTGACCGCGCAGCTCTGGGATGAGGAACAGCTAGCGTACAGTCTCAAGAACCTTGAGCTTCAAGAGGTGCCCAGATCCAAAATGCCGAAAGATTTTTCGGCAAGGCCCTTGCTGATTCAATCTGGGAGATCTACTTGCGAGTTCAAATACCCCTTGTGAGCCCCAAGCGCAACGTGTTCGATCGATTGAGCGGAGGCACAAGGCTGGTATGTCTGGCGATGTTTGATGCTGTGGTCGCGTACGGCACCCAGCAGAAGAAATCGGTACCGCTAGGCGTCGGGTGGCGAGGTCACAAAGAGAGGACAGCCTCCGACCTGTGGGCTATCGGTGTGCGGGGAGATCGTATCAGCAGTATCGATGCAGCGCGGGTAGACCCGAGAAGCCAGCTCACCCGTCCCGATGTTGTTTTGCCTTCAAAAGGGCGGTCAACACAACGAGGAGGACAACTCTCTCACCCCCCCTCCCCTTCCGCTTGCTCACATCCACTCACACCAAACCCCAGCAAACAACAGAGAAATGAGCAGCTACGAGCGCCCGTTCGACAAGGCGGCCGACGATGCGATGTTTGCCGCGTATATGTCTTCAGAATTCTTTGAACTCCCGTCGGAGGAAACCGACTCCACAGACAGCGGCATCACCCACAACGCTGTTGTCTCCGATGACGACCCACAGGCCACAGTCCAGGTGTGTTTATTCGAAGTCGGTTGTGGCACGCCACTCATCATCACAGGCCCAGAGCATCGAGCTCAGTACAGAAATCAGCCATGATGCCGGCGAACATCACTGCTTTGAGCTAGCAGTGAGCAACCTTTCGCCGACAGATACACGTAGGCAGGACAACACCAACCGCGGTAAGCTGACTCCATACGGACCTGTGGCGCTCTAGATGCTCATTGTGCTGTGTGAAAGCCTGCATATCGATGACCAGGCCACCCTCAGTGTTGCTAGTCGTCTCCGAACCAGGATCTCCCCCTCCTCCTTCGGCCGTTCCTCAAGGGAGTCCAGCGGTGGCATCCGGACCGCTCCCAACCATCAGTAGAAAGAGGCCAGCATCGGATGCAAACCGCGCAGGTCGGCAGCCGGCACCAAAGCGTTCAAGAACGAGCAAGGGTGGATCGCGCTCCCAGCATCCACGACGGACAGCAAATCCGGTCGGACAGCCTCAAGCTTGTCCGGACTACGAGAGCAATGCCCTCAGCCAGCACAACCTTACATCAAGCACCTCCAACTGCGAGGATAACATCCTCGCAGATGAAATAGTCCCCGACACTGTAACCGTGTTGGGACGAGGGCCGCCACCGTCGCGGCCAGCAAAAAGGACTCGACAGGGGAACAAAAAGAAGACACCGTATCTCAGCACCGAGTTCAATTGCCACATCTGCAAGACCGGCTTTGTTAGGCTGCCCGAATTGGAGCGCCACAACGGGACCGCAGGGCATGCAGAGCAAGCCCGTCAGGAAGGCATTGAGGTGGTCATCGAGGTCAACGACTCGTTGAGGTGCCCAGTACCGCGCTGTAAGATCGTCAAGCCGTACAGCCGGCGGGACGCGCTCATGCGGCACATGCGCGAGAAACACCCTAGAGTCCCGATTCCCCGAACCTGAGGGGCAGGAGCGCACGAAGGAAGACAGGGAGGGCGAGATTCCGGCGAGAGTGACGGCAGTGGGAAAGGCAAAGGCAGAAGGGAAGGTGGGGCCTTGGATGAATGGTGAGCAGTCCCGTTGCCGTGCACCCCTCACTCGCAGTCCTTTATGTTGTTTGTTGATCGATGGAGGCTCACTCACCTTGCCACTATTCCTTAGGTACTGGATGTCCTCGCACTCCTCCCTCTCTTCCATTCGGATCGATGCGGATATTGTCGCAATATCGCATCCTGAGAGTGCCTTTCTATCGCCACTGGTCTGCAACTCTACGACCTTAATGGTTCCCATAAAGCCCTATGGTCCCGTTAGTCTCCTGAAGATGGCAACATTATCGATGCTGCAAAATTGACATAGGAAGGTGTTCTGCATACCCACAACCTCAGGTGGTGCGAGTCTCCTACGGCCGCAACCTCGAGTTCTTGATGACTCTGAATCAGACGCACGAAACTTGAGACGATGGTATCACGACCAAACGTGGGAGGGGCGAGCATCATCGATGAGCGCGCTCGTCACGAGTTTGCTGTGTCACGCGTCGAAGCGCCATCCTGCTCTCTTTCGTGTTGCGCTCGAGGATAGCCCTCCATTCCGGCATGCTTTTTTGTTCGAGGCTTCGTGCAAAGACGTCCTGATCCTGAGATGTGCCTCCTTGGTGCCGAGCACCGTTGTGGTCTCGCTTGGTTTGCGCTGGGTGGCCTGACGCCTTGCCCGTCCTCTACCGCCTTGCCCTGTTGGAAGTTTTCGAACAACCCGTTCGCGACCTCAAGATTCTACCCCCTGCACGAGAAGATACACATATGACAGCGGAAGTGGCGAGGGTGCGCGCTCTTCGGTATGCGTGCACCGTGCTCCTCGCTCTCATCACCCCATCCATCCGCACGACACACACCATATCATCTCCTCCATCGACGGCACCAACATTCTCTCCACGCCCATCCATGGCGATCTGGCCAGCTCGCAGAACCTCGCCGCAATCGCGCGACCGTCGCTCGAGCAACCATCTGAGCCCACGCCGCTGTGCCCGAGAGGCGTCCAATGTCGCCCCGCTCCACGCAGCGGGCCCTCTGGCCTCTCAGAACTGTGCGACCGCGCGCCATGCCCACCCTCGCTCTTCTCCCTTGCTGCGCCGCACCAGGCCGCACCGCAGGCACGTCCCGGAGCCGCGCATGCCCATGCGAGTCGCACGCAGTGCTCTCGCTCGCTCGTTGTTGCCCGTCGTCCGTCATCCGTTGTCCGTCGTCCGTCGCCCGCCGCCCGTCGCCCGTCACCCGTCGCCCGTCGCCCGTCGCCCGTCACCCGTCGCCCGTCGAATTCAGCGAGCACTTCGACGACGCCTCGGAGAGACCGTCGCGTCGAGCACTGCGCCTCCAGAGCGCACGAATCGCTGGCTGTCACCGCACCTCTTTTCCCAGACACGATGCTACCGGTGCGACGAATGGCCGATCGACTCCGTCGGCAACGCCGGCGATGTGAGAAGCGAAGAGGAACGGGAGGGGGAACGGGAACGGGAACGGAGAGGAAGAGGGGAAGAGCGGAGGGACCGATTTACGAAGACGAACGCGTCGCGCTCGTCGGTATCTATCGTTTGCGTAGCCACGACCCAGGTTCTCAATACCCTCCTTCAGTCGCTCCCGGCTTCCCGGCCCCCCCAATCTTGTAGCAATACCGAGACTCCACATACTACATAGCTTACAATACGCTAGCCGTCGCGCTCTCGCTCATCGTTCCGCAGAGAGAGGGTTCGATAGAGAAATAAGCAAAAGAAAAAAAAATCCATCCATCCATCCAAATCCGAAATCCGAACTATAAACCGACCGAGTAAGCAATATAGTACACAGCAGCGAGTAAGGTATAGCACTGGACCGCCGAACGTCTACCGCGCGCGAAAAGAAAAAACAACATCAACTATAAAAGATCGCCGCCTTGGCTCTACTAGCTGCGCACGCCGAACGTGTTCGACGACGACGCCGTGCCGCCCAGCCCACCCGCACCCGCGCTCGCGCTGCCCGCCGTCGACCCCGACCCAGACGTCGCAGAGAAATACACTGACTCCCTATTCGCGATCTCCCCGACCTCGCTCACCACCACCCTCCCCGAATCCGTCGTCCCCGTCCCTGAGCCCGAGCCCGTCCCCGCCCCCGACGCAGGCGTATAATACCCCGTCGCCGTCGACGGCCGACTCCCCCCCTCCCTCTCCTCCTCCGCACCCGCACCCGCACCCGCACCCGCACCCCGCCCACCCGCGCCCGCGCGCGCGGCACTCGCCCACTCCCCGAGCTCCGTGACCGTCCCGAGCGCCTCCACCGCGCCCAAGCTGCTGCTCCTACTCCGCCCCGCGACCCCGCTCGCCATCGACCCCGACGTAGACGAGCCAGCCGCAGACGAGCCCGAGCCCGTAAACGCAGTCACGTACGCGCTCGTCGGCGCCGTCGACGGCCGGCTGCTGCTGCTCCCGCCCTCGCTCGCACCCGCCGCCGCACCCGCCGCCGCCGCCACCGTAGCAGCAGCAGCAGCAGCAGCAGCAGCAGCAGCAGCAGCAGCAGGGCCCTGCACGGACCCATAGCTCAAGCTGTTGCTCCGACTCGGGCCCTCGCTCCGCGTGCTCCCAGATAACGACGTCAACACCGTCGCCCTCGTCGGCGGCCTCGACCACCCCAAGCTCCCCCCGCCTCCGCCCCCGCCCCCGCCCCCTCCGTTGCCCCCCACCCCGCTCGCCACCGTCCCCGCCCTGCTCCCCGCCCTACTACTCCCCGCCCCAAGACTGCTCCCAGCCATACTGCTCCCGGCCCTCAGACTCCCGCTCCCCGCGTACGCGCCCCCGCCCGCGCCGCCGCCGCCACCGCCGCCGCCGCCGCCGCCCGCCCCCGCGCGCTCCCACTCCCGCTCGCGCGACCCGACGCTCTCGATCGTCGGCATCCGCCTCACCACCCCGCCCAGCACCGCGATCCGCTCCTCGGACGGCACCGCGCGCCCAAACTCGTCCAGCGTCAGGTACCCCTCGTGCGTGTCCAGCAGCCGGTGCAGCTGCAGCGCGCTCGGCGCCGCGCCGCCCCCAACCCCGCTCGCGGCGTACGGGTCGTACGAATCGTGCAGCCCGTCGAGCGGCGGCTCCGGCGCGCCGGGCCGCGACAACCCCCGCGCGTACGCGTACTCGTCGTACTCGTCGTACTCGCCGTACTCGCCGTCGTCGTACCCCTCCCGCCCGCCGTACCCCCCGCGCCCGTACGGCTCGCGCGCCGCCGGTGCCGGCGCGGGGCCGCCGAGACGCAGCCCGTGCTCAATGTCGCGCGTCACCTGGCTCACGAGCGCGCGGAAGCGGTCCGCGAAGCCCTGCAGGTCCGCGTCCGCGTCCGCGTCCACGTCCGCGCGCCCGACCTGCTCCATCTCGCGCCGCGCCGAGGCTGACGCCGCCGACGCGCCGCCGCTCGCGTCGGTGTCGGCGTCCTTCTGGGCGTCGAACATGCTGCGCACGCGGCGCAGCGACTTGACGCCCGCGCCCGCGCCCTCTCCCTCTCTCGACCCCGACCCCGACCCCGACCCACCAGACCCCGACCCCGACCCGTGTCGACTGTGCCGGCTCTGGCTATGACCGTGGCTCTGGCTATGACTCGCCCGATACGTCTCCTCCGAGTCCGACAGCTCCGGCGACGGCCCCCCGCGCGCCGCTGCCACTACCACCGCCGCCGCCGCCGCCGCCGCCGACGCCGACGACGAAGGGGCATGACGCCGCAAGTGCACGTGCGCGGGGATGACGGGCGCCCCGCCGCCGCCGTCGCCGAGGTTGAGGTTGAGGTCGGGTGCGAGGTCGGGCGCCGGGGCGGGTGCGAGGTCGTACGCCGGGGCGGGTGCGAGGTCATACGCGGTGAGGCTGGGCGCGACGGCGGAGGAGTGGGAGACGCGTCGGAGGACGAAGGAGGGCGGGCGGTGGAGCGGCTGCTGCTGGTGCGGGTGCGGCTGTGGTTGGTGGTGGTGGTGGTGTGGGAGGTGCGAGTGCGGGTGTGGGTGGAGCTCCGCGGAGCCCGCGAGCGTGTGCGAGCTCGGCGTGTCGGGGGCGTCTGGGTCTGGGTCCGCGTCCGCGTCCGCGTCTGGGTCCGCGTCCGCGTCTGGGTCCGCGTATGCGAGCGCGGCCTTATTCGGGGAGTGTGTGTGTGTGCGCGCGCGTGCGGACGAGGACGAGGACGGGGGGGAGGGACGGCGGGTGGCGTGGTACGCGTGTGCGGTGGCGTGGTAGGCGGTCTGTGCGTGCGGAGTGAGGAAGGAGGGAGGGAGAGGGTGCGTTAGCGACAGGCGGGGCGGGGCGGGGCGGGGCGGAGCGCGGGGTGCAAGGGACGAGGTGTGAAGAGGGGAGGGGGCGGCGCGTGCGCGTGTGCGTGTGCGTGCGAAAAGAATACAGGGGTGCGCAGGGGGGGGAGAGACGGGGTGCGCGCGCAGGCGGACGGACGGACGGGGGAAGGCGCGAAGGCGCCCTGGTCGCGCAGAGGAACGCGACGACGACGACGACGACGACGACGACGGCGAAGAAGAAGATGGGAACTGGGATGGAGACGAAACGAAAATAGGAAGGGGGGAGAGCGCAGCACCGAAGCCCCCGCGCACCGAAGCCCCCACGACGAAGACGAAGACGAGAAGATGCCAGCACTCGAACACTCGGACACTCACCAAGACGACGAGCGTGAGGACCGCGCGCGCGAGCGCCGCCGCCAGCCACGCGCCCCACGCGGCGCGGCGCGGGCACGCGGGGCCACTGCTCCCGCTGGCGGCTGCGCGCCAGACGACGTCGATGTCCCAGCTGCAGCGGCCCGCGAGCAGCGGGGTGCCGCGCCACGCGCAGACGAGGGCGAGGTTGGCGAGCGCGGGGGCGGCGAGGCAGAGCGAGGCGAGGGCGGGGAGGGCTGCGCGGGCTGCGCGGGCTCCGGCGAGGGCGAGGCGGGCGCGGAGGTCGCGCGGGAGGAGGGCGGGGAGGGTGGATGCGAGGGTGGATGCGAGTGCGAGGAGGGAGGGGAGGGCGAGGGCGAGGGCGACGGATTGGCGGGTGGGGGTGGTGGCGAGGACGTAGGCGAGGAAGTAGCGCACGGTGGTGTAGACGCTCCATGCGCCTTGTGCGGAGGCGGCGGTCAGCGGGCGCGAGACGCGAAGGGGGGTGGGAGGGGAGAGCGCGCACCGATGACGAGCTGCAGGACGCGCTTGAGGGCGCGCAGGCGGCGCAGGCGGGCGCGCACGGCGCGCTCTCGGCGGGCGCGGCGCTCGTGGGGCGTCGGGGGGTCGCCTGCGAGTGCGAGGCCCATGTCCCAGCCGGGGCGCGGGCCCGCGGGGTGCGGGGGCTGGCGGGCGAGCAGGGCGTCGTAGGCGGCTGCGGCGAGCAGGGGCTCGGTCGGGTGGGAGTATGAAGTCGGGGACGCGGCGGTGTGGAGGGTTGCGGAGGAGAGGGAGGAGGGGTGGCGTGTGTGCTGTTGGAGGGGCTCGTCGTGGGGGAAGGGGGAGAAGAGGGCGTGGTGGAGATCTAGCGCGGACATAAGGCAACGGTATTTATGTGAGCGGGACGAGTTCGTGTATCGGGAAGGCAGGGCGTAAGACGGTCGTCGGTGGACAGAGATCAGACGGGGGCAGCGTCCATCATGTCACCGTCGTCCGCGAGAGCGCAACAGTCGCGTCCGCGAAGTAGCCCCATATTTCCAAATCAGGCGCCGCGATCAATCCCAGTCCCCGACGTGGGCACTGCAGCCTTCCCGTCGCCGCCGCCGTCGCCGTCGCCGTCGCCGCCGCCGCCGTCCATTCCACGCCAACGCGGCTGCCTTCTGACGCAATCAGGCGTGGTCCGCTGCTTCTCCGCTGATCCTCGCCCGCTGCATCTTCAACGCCCTCCCCGACAGCACCCGTCCACGTCCTTCTCCCCGGATCACTCGGTCTGCCCGCCCACATGTTTTCCAACCTCTCCCCGACCCCCGACTCTGGCACGCACACACGCACGTCCTCGCTCGGCGTCCTCCCCCGCGGCTCAAATCCGCACACTTAATTACCGGCGCACCAACACAGACGTCCCCCCGCCGCACTGCCATCCATATCCATCTCCCGCTCCCCATTCGTCCATCGCTGCATATCGACCAATAACCCCCGAGTGCGTTCACGCGCCCCGGGGCTCACGGATCCTCGCTCGCTCGAGAGTCGGCCTCGCCACAGGGACACGCACGCACGCACGCACGCACGCACGCACAGCCCCGCACGCGCATATTCGACGTCCTGAATGATATGCGGTGGCGGCGGCGGCGGCTGTGCGACAGCGACACCGTGGCTGTGGTGGCGTCGCTCTCGCCCGCTCCGCTCCCTCGCTCGTGTTTATGTCTGCGAGCGCCCGGATCACGCGTCGACAGGCCGCACCGAGCGCCCAGGCCCGCTCCCCTGGCTTGCTCCGCCGTCTTCCAGTTTGTTAGCCCCCCGTCGCCCCGCGTCGCGCGTCGAGCCGCAGACGCTGCTGCGACGGCCTGCGACGTCCTGCTGCACGCCCATCAACTCCACGCGCGCGCGCGCACCCGGACAGCTATCGTGCCGACTCCCGAGCGCGCGAGCGCGCCCGTCCGTCCGTCCACCCCGCTCGCAAACAAGCAAGCGCGCGAGCCCCTCGACTGCGCGCGAGCCCGCCCGCAGGCCTGACGCCGACGGCAGCGCATGGACGCGGCGGCAGCACACGGACGCGGCGGCAGCAGCGCACAGACGCTGCGCATCTATCCTCGGCGGCGGGAGCGGGGGCAGCTGCACGCGCACGTGCATACATGCATGCACACGCCACGGACAGAAACACGGCACGGACGCGCGCGGCGGCGGCGGACGCGGCGGACGCGACTGGTGCAGATGGTGCCGCCCGACCGTGTTGAGCGATGGCCAAAGGAGGCCGACACGTCCAGACACGTCACGCGCAAAAGCACACGGCAAGAAAGTGGTATCAGGGGGGGGGGGAGATCTACGCGCTAGCGGCGGGTGGCGGCGTGGTCGACGAACGTACCCCGGCGCGTTCATGTTTGCGTTCGGCCGAACCGGATCGCGAGGTCGATTGCGGATACGAGCGGCAAGACGTGCGAGCCGGGGATACACACGGCGACCACGCAGAGGGAAATCCACAATGGCGGCACAGAACGGCGGAGCCTCGAGAGTGGAGGCGATGCATGCCACACTATGCCACGAGCTCATTTTCTGAGGTAAAAGGCAGCGCAAACCTTGTCGGTATCGAAAAGCTTTCCGCCCACGTCACCTCGCCCTCTGAGCCGTCGAACGCAATTCCGCGATCATCATGATTTCCTCTGCCATTGTGGCCATTGCGTTGATCGTAGGAAGCGCGTTCTCCGTCTCTGCCCAGTCGTACGTACCTCCTGCGTCTTGTCTGCGAGCGCGTATGCTGACGTTCTGGCCGAACGATAAAAGTGATGGGGTAACCAGCCAGTGCCTGTCCACGCTTGCCGGCGTCGCGGCCTCGTGTTTCAACGGAGCGGGGCTCGTCATCCTCGCCCTCGCCGACAACAATGCCTCTCTCGTCACCCCTATCGACACCTGGCTCCACGGCTTCTGTTCGCAGAGCGCCTGCACGAACCAGAGTCTCGCCAACGTCATCAATAACCATCAATTTGGGCTGCAATCCGCCCAGAACGGCAGCACCGACTACATCATCTCGGAGGTGACGCGCCTAAAATTTACGAAATCTGACTGCAGATTCAGACTCAGGAAGTCAAAAGATGTCTAAAAATGCCCCTTTCAGGATTTTCCCACGAGAAATTGGGACCCGCCAATTTTTTGGCGAATTTTTACGGGCGCTAGATGCCCCCAAAAAGATACATGTGACACCATGTGAAGTAAACTAGTTGAGAACTGCCTCGATGCTCGTCATCGCACCTTGAGAAACAGTGCGATGACTTTTCTGCTTGCGAATAGCTCATTCTACCACCTTCCTGGTCAACCCTCTGCGATATGCATCTATAAAATGCCATGAGCAATTGAAGAAGTGACAAATGACCTCGACGGGACAATTGTCGAGGCATACAAGCGCATGCTTCTTCGCGTCATCAAACCTCTCCTTACAGACTTCACAATACCTGTACTTAACAAAACCCCAGTACTTCCAAAAAAAGGGAATCAATAAACAGAGAGAAATAAAATTGAAAATGGCAGAATAAGCAGTTTACTCATCATCTCAATTGGGTTGAGCTCACAATGGAATTTTGGGAGAAACATACAGATGTGACCGTGAGCGGTAATCTACTGTTCAAGAAGGGAGACTTGATTCTTGACATCGGCCTGGTTTGAGAGAAGACGAGCCATGCAGCAATGCTCATTCTCAATTGAGCACACCAGCAAGCACTTAGCCCATATGCACATCACCTTGACAATTTTTTGGCGATAAAATATAGGTATTTTTAGCAAAATTTTTGGTGGGTTCATACATTACTCATTGAAAGGAGTCGATTGGTGTATTTTACATGATTTATAGACCTTTTTTGTGGGGTCAGCCAATTTTTGGAGGTTTCCGGGTCAAAAATTTACTTTTTCTGGACTAACGGCTGGTAGGATTTTACTCAAAATATTTCCACGACATCTACTCAAGCATTGCTATCGATTCCGGTGCAACCGGGAAGCCCTAGAAATGGGTGTCGAAATTTGTCGACTTTGCTTGTCCGCGACTGTAGCAGCAGCGACGTGGTGGCGCCGTTCCCTGGCAAATCGACTTTGACCTCGACGATCACGCTGGAGTCCGGGTCCGTCGCCCTTGCTCGTAGCGGCAATGATTCTGCCAGTAGTGTTATCGGTTAAACTTTTTGATTTGTTTTTATGTCGGAAAAAAATCAGTGGCGTCGAGTCTGGATATACGGACGTGTTGTTTCGACGGTCTCCAAAGCTTCAGTTGGACGAGTATAACGTGAGGAAACAGCTTTCAAATCTGAAGCTTCGCCTGACATGGATTTGTATCCATCTCATGTGTCGCGCCTCGATATCTCTATCGGCATTGTACTAAATGAAAGCCTTTTACTATGGACTCTGCGGAACTATGACAGCTCAAACGACGGCAGCTCGAGTGAGCCTGCAACGATAGATCACATACTGGGCAGGCCAGACTTGTAGCAGTATACCAAGGAAGCTGTGGGGAAGGCCTCGAACAGGGGGATCAGCGAGGATGAGAGGATCACCACGCTTCTGCTCTCCCTCCCCTATCTCTTTCCCTTCCCTTCCCTTCCCCTTCCTTCTCGTCGCCGATGCTGCCGACGGAGTCGGCGCGTGTCTGGGGAAACGGGTGCGAGGAGCGCCCGTGCCTCGTGCGCTTTGGACGGCGTCGTGCCTGGCCCCGAGGCGAGTCCGAGACGCTCGCCAGGTTCGGTGGGTGACGGATAACAGGCGATGGGCGACAACGGGCGAGAGAGAGAGCCCTGCGCGCGCGTCGCCTGGGCATAAGCGGCTCGGTCCGTGCCCCGCAGTGCGGCCTAGTGCGGCGCAGCGAGGGGGCAGAGAGGCGGGGAGGGTATGGCGCGCGGGCGCTGAGATTTGAGAGGCTGGAGCTCTTGCTGCGTGGAGCGGGGCGATGGCGGGGTTCGTTCCAGCATGGGTTCAGGACGGCTGTTCGAGCGACGGACACGCGATCGCGGTGAGACTTTACGAGGTGGCCGGACCGCCGTGGAAAGACATGCCAGCGCGAGCGCGGAGGGGCGAGCGCCGCCGAATGAGCATGCGATCGATAAATTGAGAATGAAACAGGCGTATAGATGGCGTGCGCTGCGCGAAGGGTTGTAGGAGGATGGGGGGGTGAGAACGAGCTGTGACCATACCGTCGAGCTTGCACATCTGCCGCGTGAGTCGGCCACGCGACAAATGCGCGGAAACCATCTCGTGCAGGGCACAGATCCGTGAGGTCGCGGACCGGTTGTTCAAGACGGCGAGGTCGTAGAGAATGGCCAGGGTATCAGCAGCTCGGTGCGGACCCAGCGAGACGATACACAGCACCAAATAGGCGCATGTTAAGACAAGGATTAGCCAAGAGCCCTTTTCCACGCACAGAGCCTAAAGAGAAAAGGTAGCAAGATGGACGAGGATGCAGGGAAGTCTTTCGAGCGCCGCGTGACACGGCGGACTCGTGACGGGCACGCTCATCGATGCCGGCGCCTCTCACACTTGCTTGCGGTCTGTCGAGCATCGCGGCTTTGATTCGATGCGATCGTGGACTCCAGTTTGCAGCTGTGAAAGATTCCTCACACCACCAGGTGTTGTATCCATGAAGAGCACTTTTCTTGGTTAATTTTGCAGGAGCGTCGCTGATGCTGCCATCTTCAGGAGACTAACGGGACCATCCGGCCTCATGGGAACCATCGAGGTCGTAGAGTTACAGACCAGCGGCGATGGCAAAGGAATTGGAGGAAGCGTGTTGCAACGATACCCGCATCGATCCGAATGGATGAGAGGGAGGGGTGCTGGGACATCCAGTGCCTAAGACACAGTGGCAAGGGGAGTGAGCATACGAACGATCTATGAGCAATATAAAGGACGGAGAGAGGGAGGTGCGCGGAAACAGGACTGCTCACCATTCTTTGAACGCCCCACCTTCCCTTTCGCCTTTGCCCTTCCCACTGCCATCACTCTCGCCGAAATCTAGCCCTCCCTGTCTTCCTTCGTGCGCTCCTGCCCCTCAGGTTCGGGGAATCGGGACTCTAGGGTGTTTCTCGCGCATGTGCCGCATGAGCGCGTCCCGCCGGCTGTACGGCTTGACGATCTTACAGCGCGGTACTGGGCACCTCAACGAGTCATTGACCTCGATGACCACCTCAATGCCTTCCTGGCGGGCTTGCTCTGCATGCCCTGCGGTCCCGTTGTGGCGCTCCAATTCGGGCAGCCTAACGAAGCCGGTCTTGCAGATGTGGCAGTTGAACTCGGTGCTCAGATACGGTGTCTTCTTTTTGTTCCCCTGCCGAGTTCTTTTTGCTGGCCGCGACGGTGGCGGCCCTCGTCCCAACACGGTTACAGTGTCGGGGACTTTTCCAACTGCGAGGACGTTGTCCTCGCAGTTGGAGGTGCTTGATGTAAAAGTGTGGTTGGTGAGGGCATTGCTCTCGTGTTCCGGAGCGGATTCGAGCAGTCGAAGTGGGTCTGCTGCTGATTGGGGCTGCTGGGACTCGCTCCATTCGTCCTTGCTCGTCCTTATGCGCTTCGGCGCTGACAGTCGACCCGCGCGGACTGCATTCGATGCCGGCCTCTTCTTGCTGGTGGTCGGGAACGATGCGGATGCCGTTTGGCCCTCTTGGGCAATGGAAGCAAGAAGGTGGGGTGGGGAGAAGGCTGGCCCGGGGACATATGGCAACACCGAAGGCGGCCTAGACATCGAACCGCAGGCTACGATACATGGGCAATGAACATCTACAACATTGCTAGTTCGCATGGGGACAACTTACTATAGCGGGTGTTCTCCTGCACACGTGTAATCGCAGGCGCAAGGTATTCTGCACCGTTCATTGCTAGGGTTCCACAGCACTCATGTTCGCCTACAGCGTTGTCGCTAGTTTCTGGGCTAAGCCCCATGCTCTGAACCTGTAATGATGAGTGGCGTGGTACGGCCAGATCTGTATAATCGTACCTGGATTGTGGCTTGTGTTGCGTCGTTGAGGGGGACAGCGCTATGGGTCCAGCCACTGTCCGCCAAGTCGGCTTCCTCTGACGGGAGGTCGAAGAACGCTGAAGACATGTAGGCGGCGAACAACGCATCGTCGGCCGCTTTATTAAACGGGTGCTCGTAGCTGTTCATTTCTCTGACGTTTGCTGGAGTTTGGAGTGAATAGATGTGGGTGCAGGAGAGGCGCTGGGGCGGGGGCGGGAGAACCTGTGTTGCTCGTTGTGTGGACCTCCTTTTTGAAGGCAAACCAACATCGGGACGGGTGCGCTGGCTTCTCGGGTCTACCCGTGCTGCGTCGATACTGCTGATACGATCTTCCAGCACACCGATGGTCTATTGGTTGGGGGCTGTCCTCTCTTTGTGTCCTCGCCACCCGACGCCTAGCGGTGCCACTTTCCTCTGCTGGGTGCCGTACGTGACCACGGCATCAAACTTCGCCGGACGTACGAGAAGCTTCCACCAGCCTCGTGCCTCCGCCCAATCGATCAAACACGTTGTACTTGGGGCTCACAAGGGATGTTCAAGACTCGCGAGTAGAACTCCCATATTGAATCGATAAGGACCTCGCTGGACGGCTTTTTGATCTTTTTGACCTGGGCACCTCTTGAAGATGAAGGTTCTTGAGATTGTACGCTAGCTGTTTCTCATTTCAGAGCTGCACGGGCGAGCCTTGGATTGACGAACGACCTTGTTCGCTTTTGCGCTATCGGTTCGTCCATCAGCGTGGGTAACAGTGCAATTTTTCTGATGGGACTGATGTACATATTTTCCATGGCGGCAGATACATACTCTTATTGCACTCTTCCGATGACAAGACTTCCCGACGCGCCCACAAGCGCACATAAGTGCGAACAAAGGAATGTCCACCTGGCCGGGCCGTATGCCGGCGCTTCACAATGGATTACACTATCTTTTTGCACAGACAGGGGAGCTGACGAAAGAGCGAGGCGGAGGAAGCCGAGCGTAGTGGCGTCGGAGATTATTGCGACCTTGACCGCCGGCAGAAGGGAGTACATTTATCTAACTGGCCTTCGCGCAAAGGCCAAAGGCCTCCTGGTAAGGTGGCCGAGTCCTAGACAGAGATTGAGGGCACCGCGTTGATATAATCATTGGATTAGCCCTGTGTCAGTGCGTTCTGCTGATAGAGCGCTAGGTGCTGAGCACCCCATATGTCACTGCGTTGGTCATCGCCGCGAAGCCTCCGCGCCTCGAAATCACGGGCAGTCAAACGGGGGCGCGACCTCACCCTGCATCCCGTCGACATCGCTGTCTATTCTGCCTCAACAAATCTCTTCTCGCCTTCTCACGCAATCAGGTGTTGACCGCTCTTTCTTGCTGCGCGCCCGCTGATCCTCGCACTCTGGATCCTCAAGGCCTCAAAGCCCTCGCCGACCGACAACTCCCATGTCATCCGCCCTCTGTCCCTCCTTAACAGAGACATGGGCTCTCTGGATCACTCGGTCTGCCCGCCCATATGTTTGTCAACCTCCCCCCGACTCCCGACTCCCTCAGACTCCTGACTGCCCCATGCACATCCTCGACGTCCTCCCCCGCGGCTCAAATCCGCACACTTACCGGCGCATCAACACAGACGTCTCCCCGCCGCACTGCCATCCATACCCATCTTCCGCTCCGCATTCGTTCATCACTGCATATCAACTCATAACCCCCGAGTGCGTTTACGCGCCCTGGGGCTCACAGACCCTCGCTCACTCTGGAGTCGATGGGCTCGTTTGCGCCTGAGCACGGGAACACACGCACGCATGCACGGCCTCGCACGCGTATATTCGACATCCCAAATGATATGCTACGGTGGTGCGACAGAGGCACCGTGGCGTCGTGGCGGCAGGCGCTCGAGCAATGACGTCGCTCTCGCCCGTTACACTCACTCGCTCGTGTTTATGTCTGCAAGCGTGAGCGTGGCTGGGATCACGCGTCGTCAGGCTGTACCTCAGGCCTAGGCTCGCACTCGCCGCCCTACCCTGCCCTGCCCTGTCGCGCCGCATCGTTCATCACAGGGGCTGCCCGTCGACATCCTCATCGAGCACGTACGCATGCACCCGGCCAGTCATCGTTCCGACTCCCGAGTTGCGACTCCGACTCCCGAGTCTCAAGATCTCAAGTCCCGGATCCCCAGCACTCTCGCACGGCCCATTTTCGAGCGCGCGCGCAACACGCGGATCCATCTAAGATCCCGTCGTTCGCCCGCTCGCGAGCACGCGAGCCCTTCAGCGAGCCCGTCCACGGCACCTCAGCGCCCGACATGTTCACCGCGTCCGACACGTTTGAGTCTGCCACGTCTGCCACATCTGCCCACCCGCTCTCGGCTCCCCCCGACGCGCGCGCGAACCGCACATCGGCAGCATACACGCGCACGGGCAGCGGCGGCGTCGGATATACATAGTGGTATGGTCGCGACTGTACGCACACAATACATATCTGGTCGGTCGGAGACCGGAGCGCGGACGCGTGAGGGCGCACGAGGGGCGGGCGGCTGGCTGCGCACAGTGACACACACACGTGGCAGCGCACGGGCGCCGCGTCCGTCGTCATTGTCGGCGCGCATGCAGCGTCCGCCGCGCCCGTTCGCGTTCGCACGGCGCGGCGCGGCGCTGCTGGAGGACGCAGAGCGCGGCACGATGCGCAAGGGGAGGTGAGGTGGCACACACAAAAACACATACGGCAGTAGACACCGCGTCGTCGTCATCGGCGGCGGCGGCAGCAGCGGCAGCGGTCGGAGAACGCAGAGCGCGGCGCCACGGGCAGGGGAGGCGATACACAGACACGACAGCACAGACACACGGCAGCACAGACACAGCAGCGCACGGGCACCGCGTCGTGCTCGTCATCTTTGTCGACAGCGGCCGCCCGCGCGCGTGTCCGCGATCGTTGCACGGGGCCGTCGTAGGACGCAGAGCGTGGACGCGCGAAGCCGCATGAGAAGAGGGGGCTAGGGGCTGGCAGTACAGGGCATGCACCGTCCAAGACTTGCGGCTGCATAGACTGCACCCCGCTCCAGCAGTTTGGGAAGACGAAGGGAGTGAGGTCGACGAGGCGAGTGTGAAGACCTTGCCGACCTTGTGCACACGATCGCTGGTTTCTGTGCCGGTACATAAGTACTCTGACCTATATAGCTCTGGACTATCCCTGGTGGTTTATCCGAATCCATACGAAACGCAGGCATAAAAGCTCTGAATAGTTCAATGTCTGGCCACAGACCAGGGGAGTTTGTCATACACGGGACCTTCACAGAATTTCAACCTGATGCTGTCCAGAAGAGCTTGTAGATCCTTCCGCTTCGTGATTACTTGGAACAGCTCCCTTCGGAACAGTTTCCCTCAGAGATCATTCTTATAATAGTAGATCAGGTCGAGAGATCGAAGGCAAGGAAACGGAACAGCCGTCGTGCGGCGTGTGTGGTCGCCAGAGGAGGTCTCGATAGGACGCAGCGCGTCGATCAAGCACGATGCCCATATGCCGTCATGGAGCAAGATATGCTGCAGTTGTTGACATTGAAGTGGCAGCCAGTACCTGGCTAGTGCAAAGCCGCGGAGATCATCACAGGGATAGTTGATAGACAGCGTCGAGAGATCAGATCGGCAGAGGGCTCTATAGATCGTGCACAAAGGATCCAAGTCTTGAGTATGGCGGAATTTATAGTTTATGTGAATGTAAACGTCGCCTTCAGGGTGTTGCGCTTGTTGTGCAGAACGAGACGATTTCCAAGTCTTGATGTCGAGGCTGAGCCAAGCGGACACACTGAGCCCACGCCAAGGTTTCTCGTTGTCAGAGTTGCCGCTCACAGTCCCGATGACTGGATACAAAGCGGCGAAACCATCGGTATTCTCGTTTGCGTCAAGAGAAAGCTTGAGGACAGTCGTCGGTAGGATTTGAATGCTTCTGGTAATGACGACACAAGCCTGCGACGACCCTTGCAACTCAATTTCCGAAAGGTGAGGAAGCTCGATAGGGTTTGGCCTAGTATGTTCATCGATAGACCCTCTTCGTGGAAAATGTAGAAAACAATCGTGGATGCATAGAACTTCGAGACCAGGCATTCTTTCCAAGCCATCAAAAACCCGCAGCGTCAGGGGTATGAATTGCTGCTCACGAAGCTCTTGTGGTAGACGCGGGTCCAGCATGGTCAGATTCATCAAGATTGGAGAGGCCCAAGAAATGGTGAGTCCAGAGAACTGGAGGATGCGGAGGCTCGGCGCGTGTAAAGCAAATAGATTCTGAGGAACCCTCAGTGCCTGTTTGAATGTGAGCGAGAGAGATTCCAAAATGGGGGCAGGTTCGACGAAAAAGCCGCAAGAGACCTAGAAGGTCGTCCACATGGTCTGAGATTTCAAACGTTTCGATGCGGAACGGGAGAGGCAAGAGCATCGATAGATCGAGGGGCTTCACCGGCCTTTATCGAGAGCTTGGCGCAGACGAGTGTACCATCAGAGGTGCTTCCTTTGCACGCCTCAACATCTCGGCCGGCCGTTCCTCTCCCGGGGCTGGGCTAGTGACTGTTCCCCGGAGGTAAGCATAATCCAAAGCAGCCTCGCGCCAGCGATGGCAGACACAAGATATATTGATGATGCAGCGGACTCTGTCCTCCGGGAAATGCGTCGAATCGTGGCTGCGAAACTAGATGCGTGCCAAGATTTCGGGTAGAATGCGAGACACTGACGACATCAATTGCGTAGCCAGCAGACGGCTGATAAAACGCAGCACAGGTTCAGTAATTCAGCCTCCACAATCTGTCGTGCCTTCTGGCGATTGCCATTGTGTAGATCATTGATGATGGCATCCAAGGTTGAAAATTTCGGGCGCGCGATCTCAGCCCAACAGTCGGGAGCCCTGGATGCCACAAAGTGAACGCAAGTCAGTCGAACCTCAGATTGAGTTGCGGCAAGGCAACATACTCGGGATTCAAGGCATCTCTTGCAGATCCAAGCTTCAGCCCAGTCAGCTAGCTAACATGGAAGAAACCACAGGCTAGATCGTTGAAGGAAAAGCCAGACACAAAAGACAACGCCTTGTGTCGGGCGCGAACATACGCAACCAAGCTGTTCAAGTTGAATATCTCAACATCGAGTACTTCGAGTACTTGCAAGGGACTGGTTGTAGGGCTCGTCACGGCGACAGAGTTGATGAACGCGTTGAGTGTCTTGAGCCTAGCGCCCATGGAAACTGTCCAATGATCAGGTTTGCTGCCCGATGTGCGATGCAAATATGCCACTGGCTAAGTAAACGCGGAATAGACTATTGAAGGTCGCTGGAGAATGCACCTCGGATCCAGCGCATCTTTGGGCACCACAGTAGGTTTGTCGGACATGATGGCTGTTATGAGGAGTAACGGGGGGTTGGGTTCGTAGCGACAATGAATGCAAGATGTGGCAGCCGTAGTGACTAGCTTTCTATATAAGCGTGCGGACTTCAAAAACACTGATTGTGTTGCCGGATAATGTTCTCAGTAATATTAGTACGCACCACAAGGGTCGGTCATGAATGGCTGTTCAGAAGATGCTACGTGTAGCCAGTCAGTGTGGTCTCCTCTGCGTGCGTGCGGAGTCGGGGTCTGAGTTATTGTCCGATGTTAATCTGGTGCGTGCTTGCACTGTGCTCGCAGCTGCTATGTTACTGTAGTTGGTTGGTCGGTCCGCAGGCTTTTCGAGTTTTGGGTCTGAATTTAATGCTTTTATCATTTGTTCTAGTCAAGACACCTCTTCGCAAGACTCTGCATGAGGGGCAGGACGGCGACAGATATCGTGTCATAGAATGTTGGACATGGCGCGATATCAACGCAGGACCGGCGAACCTGGCGACGCTCAAGTGGTGCGGAAGTTAAGTATGTACAGTATATGCGTTAGAGTCAAGCCCTGGGTTACAGGTGAATAAGGGACCTACACGAGATATGGATACGATCCAACGAAGGATCGTTGTTGGCCGTCCTCTTCTAGCCTTTTCTGTGCCCCTCTCCTTTCTCGTCGACGATAAATATCATGAGGCCATGCATCGCGTTCAGTATGGGAACAGGATCGCGAAAGCCCGTGATTTGAATTTGGATTTGGGCGGCCGTTTGTGCGGAGCAGCTTTCGCATTGAGGTGCTCGCTGGATTTGACAGGCGACGGGAGAGATGCAAGGAGGAACACGGCGCAATGAGGAGTGCTCTTGAGCGACCTCACACATGGTGAGTTTCCTTCCAGCGCGTGTTCGAGATAGGCGTGTGGTTGCGGGGAGAAGGGCGGCATCACCAAGTGAGCGCGCGATCGATGATGGGAGGTTAATACTGGATTCAAAAGATCAATGCTGTTTGCATACCGGAGAGCGTGCGCTCCGCCATGTCTACTTAGCCTATCACCATGGGATGAAGGCGACGCTGTGATCCCACACAGATTGTCGAAAAGTACATTCGCAAACGAGTTGTTCAAGTAGCCGAGCGCGAACCGATGCACGGTACCAAACATACACGTCTGAGGACAGGTCGACACCGAGACCAAGCCGGAACGTGTTTGTCTGCGCACGAAACACAGTTACAGCGGCAAAAGCTTGTCAAGGTAGGCCCAGAAGGTAGTTTCGGGGTCTCGCGTCGCGTGCTTGGGCCTACCGGAACTCCCCTTGTACGCCGTCGCTCACTCCAACGCCACTTCGCCCAACCGAACCCAACCGACAATGATACGATGCATTGTGAAGACAAGATGATGTTGGCGCTGCGTAGGCCATCTGCCAGCTTGCAATGCGGCGACAGCGGTAAGCGTTCATGTCGAAGCAATCTCCGCGTCGCCCTACGTCGCCTGATCCCAACCTAATGCTTCGATACGCTTTCAGCCCCCAATCCACTGTTCAAAATTGTGCCCAAAGCCATTTACTGTGCTTTCTGTCGCGAAATATCAGTAATATATCGAAAGAAACGTCGAGCCTCAACATGGGAAGCGTCACAGTGCTCTGGTACGTATGAGCAAAGGAAAGCCGAGAAACACGACAAATACCGAAGGATACATCGCGCGTACAAGCACACGACAATCAAGTGACGTCAGAAGGAAATCTATATGTTTATTGAGCAGGTGGCAGCGTAATCGATGGACGTACCCTGGCCGTTTCATATTCGACCAAACCGAACCCCAGGGTCTATCTCAGATGCAAGCAGCAAACATGCAAAGCGGGGATACTGCCTGCGCCAGCTTTCTTCGAGAGGCCAAACACAGCGACCAAACAAGGGAACATTCACAATGGTGGAACAGAATGGCGAAGCTTCGAGAGTAGAGGCGATGCATGCCACAGTATGCCACAAACTCCTTTTCTTATAAAAGGCAGCGCAAACGCTTGTTGGGATTAAACAGCTCCCCGTCCCCGCATCTCCCGCAATCACCTTTCTCTCTGCCCCGTATCACATCATGATTTCCTTCGCCATTGTAGCCATCGCGTTGATTGTAGGAAGTGCGTCCTCCGTCTCTGCCCAGTCGTACGTGCTCCTTGCATCACGACTTCTTGTGTCCGTGTGTCAGTAGACTGACATTTTGTCCCAATCATCACAGTTCTCTATCAAGCCAGTGCCAGTCCACATTTCTCAGCGTCGCGGCCTCTCCAGAGGCGTCGTGTCTCAACTTAGCGGGTCTCATCCCTTTCTTTAGCATCGACCACAACGCCTCTCTCGTTGCTCCTATCAATACTTGGTCCACAGACTTCTGCTCTCAGAGCGCCTGCACAAATCAGAGCCTTGCCACTGTCTTCGAGACCCTCATTCCAGATTGCTCTGAAGGCTTTGATTCCAGTCAAACGAACTATACCGTTGAATCTGCTATCGCAACGATACAAAGCATCTACCCTACGGCACGTAAGATGGCCTGCTTCAAAGAGTGCGCTTTCCACTATAAGTTTGTTTGTCGTCCCCGTGCTCACCTCCTCCTCGCAGCACCTCTGTGAACCAGCTCTGCCTTACTGAGCTATTCACTCGCATCGAAGACAGATCTGGCACGCTCACTAGCGACAACCTTGCCTTTGTCATGTTATCCCTTGTCATCCAACCGAGTTCTGCGGACATTGATTTCGTTACGAGAGGCGTATGCAGCCACTGCGGGCAGCAGATGTATCACACATTGAATATCGACTTCCCTGGCCTGCTCACATCAGATGACGTTTCTGACAACCAGAACTTGTGTGGCACGTCCTTCATCAGTATGTCATGTCTTGTTCATATGACTACGTGTGGGCTCTGACACTCCACTTTGTAGATATTACCGAACCCTTTGTGGTCACGCAGACTGCGAATGGCCTCACGTTGGCTTAGAATAATAGGGTTCAAAGACTACTTGTGCGACGATGCTGCTGTTATTAGTGTTATACATAAGTTGCTTCAAGCTGTGCCTGAGTACCATCGTTATTCGTTGGATGACTTAAAGTTAGAGCAATTTGAATCAGTGAAGAGGAATCGAATGGGCCCAGCATTCGACGTTCAACCAAAGAACGATCTTCCCTGCCAACCTTCCCGCCAGTAGTAAGCGTGAGAAAACAAATAGGGCTTTCCGATCTCGCAAATCCTCCAGCGGCATCCACTCCATCAACACCAGGCTGTTATTCGCATTGAGCATGTCTAACAAATACCGGGACGCAAGTCAAAAGGGTATATCCTCGAGCGACTGATGAATGGCAGAATTTGATTTACTAACTAAGGTCAAGCAGCGTACGGTGATTCCAGTGGAGATGCGAGTTTTTGACTCTGCTTCTAGTCCTTCCATGTTTTCAGCCATGGTTGATCAGCAGCATCGCGTCTCCGACGTGAGTTACAAAAGGGTTCAAACATTATCTCTACAGACCGTCATCAAACCTGAAGAGCAATGCAATCATGATTCACGACCTTACCAACTCTGTTTTCTCAGACAACAAACAATCTATTGTCATCTCGGCACTCGAGAACTCCATCGAGATTTCCAAATCACGACCTGTAGCTCTTCGTGGAATTGCATTGGGATGGTGATGAGAGAGACTCGACGGACAAGGTAGTGGTGACGATATTGTTGACAACGTATGATGGTATGCAAGCTGATTCTTTGATGATGAGTCGAATATGACAAGTTCGTCTCCCTTTCACAGAGACTATATATATTCTCTTCCATGCCAAACCATAACGTTCAACATCGGCTGCATCAGAATCATAGATTGCGTCATTTGAATTCAATGGCGATGAAAAGCGCAGCTGGAACCCGAGTCATACATCGGCAACAAGTACACAATCGATGGAAATGTGCCTCAGTAGTACATTATGCAGGATATCGTAAGAGCTAATTAGTTCTGGAGTGACGACCCATCAATCCTTTTCTTTAATCCTCAGTTTTCTACTAGCACATTCTCCGTGCCAGTCGCTAAAGCCTCTCCACTGTAGCTGTTAGATGCCTCAGCTGAGCATCACATGCTCTTCCACTGTGGTCTTTTAGATGCTTGCGGGGTGCATCGGTGCAAGTCGCATCAGACCCTTTTGGTCCTGCGATCCTCAAGGGGGCCTGACGATATATTTAGCTGGATTCATGTTCTCTTGGGAGCCGGAGGCCCTCGATGTATTTGCGCGATGGACAAGCTTGCTTTCATATGCATTTTGTTATGATTGACTACTAACCCTGATGATATAGGACACTGGACACCATGCTTTGCTTCGTTCATTATGAGTCAGAATGGATGACCTCCTCCGTATCAAATTGCAGCCAGTGTCTTGTCCGTACAGTGGCACCTTCGGATGACATCACGGAATATTCGCAGTCAGCCTCCTCCCTCGCTGCACCACTGCTGCACCTTCAAAGTCCGCGGATCGGCCTCTAAATTCTGTAGAGCCACATATCCTTCGTCGCTCGTTTGAGATTGGTACCACTGCTCTTCATTAAAGCTATACACGAAGCCTCGAAATCGCTGCTTACACTTGCACAATCAAGAATTCATACACCAACCCCGCCGACTCCCCTGTCTCTACTCATGGATCGCACACCGAAAGACGGCACCTTAAATCCAAGGTGAATTCTATGCTCGCACCTATCGAATGTATCGTTTGACCTGAGCTGACTGGTGGCATCTGCTACCAAGCAGCCTTCCTGACTATTGGTCTGTCGTGGCAGCACCAAGGTTGACAGCTCTCGACTCTCTACTGGGATCCATCCATGACAGCAGAGAGTCAACGAATTGCTTGCAGATCATTGACGCCGATCTGTACTCATTGGATCTCTTGACATCCTCCATTCGCACCCGGCACAATGCCTATGTCCCAGTATCCCGCCTTCCTTCCGAGATACTAGCGCAAATATTCCTATTTCTCAGCTTTGGAGCTGGCTCAAAGCTGGTGCGAGAGACCTCCCCGGGACACATGGTGCAGCACAAGGCTCGCGACTTGGGATGGATCAAACTCACCCATGTCTGCCGTCACTGGCGTCAAGTTGCTCTTGCACACCTCTCTCTCTGGACAACAATCACCAACGACCTTGGGGCGAAGTGGGTGCCTTTGATGCTCGTTCGCGCGCAATCTTTACCAGTTAATATTCAATGGAACCCTTTGGCGGAAACACTGGGGAAGGCATCACCAGTTGAGGTGGACTTCGCACCTCATTTGTCCCACATCCGTACCCTCCAAATTTCAGATACTATTGACCGCCTTTCGCAAATTATCCATACTCTACTACAGCCTGCTCCCATGCTGGAACGTATCACGATCTTGGATACAGCCTTGGGTAGTTCTATATTACACGTTCCTGCAGATCTTTTTGCCTCAAATGCCCCTCGCCTCCGCACGGCTAGATTTATTGGGCTCATCGTTTCCTTGGACATTCCAATCTTGCAGCACATTACCACGCTGGATATACGGTTACGGTCACCATCTCCTGAACGTTTGCCATCGACTGATCAGTTCTTCAATTCCTTGTCTAAGCTGCATTGCCTTGAATGTCTGCGCATCGAGCACTATCTTCCACGCTGCCCAGATGGCATCTCAGTTCGCAGTCAGACCCGGCATCCCCCTATCATGCTTCCTCAGCTTTCGAAAATCATGTTGGAAGGGCCACTGCGAAGCTGCGCCGTCGCTATTTCCAGCATCTACGTCCCACCAACGGTGTCCATTGGCCTCATTCCTCATGCAGAAGGACCTGCCGATGATCTTCGAGCTTTCATTCCTGTCCTTGAGACGGTGAGCGGCAAATTAGGTGGTGTGGAACCTATCCGTATGCTTCAGGTAACGGACAATCGTGACAATGGGGTTTTTAGTGTTTTTGCATGGCGATTTGTGTGCGACATCCCCGACGATAAACCTCTGAGTAATTTTCCAAAGCGTCCTACAATCAGCATCAATTATCGCGCTCCCAACGAGGATAGGCCAGACGCTCTCAACAAACTATACCCGGTCTACAGGTCTCTTTGTCTTCCTGTAGTGTGGATGCTGGGGCTCACATTTTATCAAGATGTGAAGACAGATTGGTTTGAACCACCACTCCTATCATGTCCAAATCTGCAGCGCATCTTCATGTGGGGCCCTAGGCTGAAAACGCATCTATGTGATGCACTAGGGCCGGTCTCAAACTCTGGATCTCAGGGCGACGCAAAAGTTGGAGTCCATTTTCCCAATCTCCGTTCGATCCACCTCTCCAGTGTTGAAATTGACAACATGACTCATGAAAGGAGTCAGTTCAGAAAGCGGTTCAAATCTGTCCTCGAGATGCGTAGGGAGTTATCAGTGCCACTCAAGAGGCTTGATCTTAAGAACTGTTCGGCTTCGACACGTCACCTCAATCAGCTCAATCAGCTTGTGCCGGAAGTGTTTTGTTCTGACGACGGCCTCTAAGTTGTTGATTTACAAATAGCAGGTCCTTCGAAGGAAGGCTGTGGGTGTATTTATGTTTTTGTGCTCCTGTAAAGTAGAAACCGTCTCTAATATCATACAACATGTTCGGGTGATGGAGCGAGGCATTGGTATTCCACAATCTCGACTGATACCATAGGCCTTTTGATCTGTCGGGTCCGCCGTTCGGATATCTCGATTTCTCAGTTATCCAATTAGATTCTGCTTAGATTCTGCTGCATTTGATCACCCTGTTTTTCAGCGCAATGAGGGTATACCAATGCGAGCGTATTTTGATCAACGCACACTGTCACATCATTTCTATGATTTGCGTAAAACAGCATTAGTCGGAGAATTTGGATAACAGAGACACAATACCTTATAGCAAAACCAGGTGTTAAGATAAGAGATGCAAAAGCTACTAAAGATAAGAAGGAGAAGATGCGACAGACGCGTCATTTCGAGGACTTCCGGATTTGGAATTTATTCTCTTACGTTCTGCAACTCGCCTGAAGTTTCGCCTCCATGCGAACATAAGGTTGTATCTATCTCCCGTACCTGTGGTATCTAGACTCAGCATCAATATCTCCACCAACACTCCGAGATGGACAGCCTTTTACGATGGAGCCTGGAAAACTCTAGCAGCTCAAACGATGGTGGTCACACTGTACCTGCACCACGAAAAGATTTGGACCCTGCAATAATAGATCACATTCTGGGCCGGCCGGACTCAGAATTGATGAAAGAAGCTTTGAAGAAGGCAATGGATGAGGAAATCAGCGAGGATGAAAGGATTGCCGCGTTGGATGATATCGAAATGGTACGCCTGCCAAGCGTCTTTCTGTCGATAATACGGGCTTATATACAGTAATCAAGCTCGTTGAAAACATTGATAATGCAAACGGTCAGTCATTTTTGCCAAAAGCCTGCCTTGGTGCTCGACCGATCGTCTGTGTAGATCTTTCGAAACTTAAAATGTGGGATCCTCTCCAAAAGCTGCTGACATCACCTACATCGACGGAGGATATCAAGGTGCAGGCCATGTGGGTGATAGGAACAGCTGTTCAAAATAATCCTGCTGCACAGAACGCTGTACGTATCTTGGCTATTCTGCCTCAGCAAAGCATATTGAACTCTTTAATCGACCACGATGTCAGTATCTCTCTCTAGACCCTCTCTCTGTCATCCTCTCGTTCCTTTTGCCTTCGGTCAAATCTGTGCAGCTCAGATCTAAAGCGGTATATGCCCTTTCTGGCTTGCTGAAGCTAAATGCTACTGCGGTCAGCCAGTTGGATCATGCGGGCGGCTGGGATGTGCTCCGATCGGCTCTCGAAGGTTCGTCTACATTTATATCTCCGGTATCCGTCCCTATTGCATAGTGCAAGGGACTGTGCATCTCGTCTATAAAGACCTTTTGGGAGGAAACCATTACACCACGTACCTCACTGTCGGCTGCGTGTGCGATGTTGCTGATTATCTGCCTAGACTCAAATATAAGCGTGCGACGCAAAACTGCCTTCCTTCTCAACACGCTTTTGGTGCCCGTGAATGTGCCGTCCCATCGATTGTCGCCATCATCATCCGGATCGAATCCATCGCGAGCTCACGCCGGAGCAAGCACCAGTGCTACGCTCCACGCACCTGAAACGCCAAATGCGCCTGTGCATCCGAACTCACACGCATCTATGCTGTCCAACCCGATGTCTGTAGCAACAGCACCGGCCACCCTTCGGGCGCTGCACGAACACAACATCCTTCCAGCTCTCATCCGCGAACTAACATCTCCAACACCGTATGGCGCAGACGAAGAGAGGGAAGGTGATGTTGATTTCGAAGAGAAGGTTATCAGGTACATCTCCTATCCTCTCGAAAGTCCTCATTGCCATGAAACGAGCTGATCCTTGTTTACAGGCTGTTACATACATATGTGACATCACATCAAGGAGAATTCTCCAAGGAAGAAAAAGAGGCCTTGCATGAATTTTTCAAAACTAAAACTGGTGTTCCGGACCGCCACGACTCGTTTGGTTTAGAAGAGAATGAGTTGAAGGCTCTCATAAGATCGGTCGAGGCTTAGACTTTATGTGTCTTGGCGGTTCGCATGTATCCGGTTTGCAGCTCAAATAAAACGAATGAGTGAGAGTTGCGGCACGGTTGATCCTGGGAGGCTCTCTCAAAACAAATTCTTCTACGCTGCCAGTAACTGCTGGACTCCTGTAGCACGATTCCAAAAGATGTATCTCAAATATTTTTGTTTTTATTTTCTTTGGCAATACCCGGAACTAGTGCGGTCTTCGATATCTTGCAGCTGACGGCGCATTGTTTATTGTGGCTCAAGGGAATCCTACCATCTTTGGACAAGTTTCATCTATCATGGTGTCAAACTGTATGGTAGGGAGGGTGAACAAGAGTTTGTTCGGATATTAGAAGCGCAGAAGGTTACACTGGACAGGCGGCAACAAACGGCAACCGATATTATTCTCGCGGAGATTCAAACTGACTGTACCACTTATAAATCGATTTTTTCTCCTTCTCCGACAAGCGTTCTCTCCCCCTTTCAACCCTCACTTTCCACCGTAAGCCTCAAGTGAGTCTTTGTTAGATTAGATTTCCGTCTTCCGATGTGATGATTCTATCATACCATACTTTACCACATTCCGAATACTCGTGTGGAACACTATAGATTTCAGCCTTGACTGATCTTTGCCTATTCTTTGTTCATCGTTATTTCGTTGACTTTCACTGATCACCGTCATTCTAGGCTTCTATTTGGAGGGTGGATTCTGCTGGGAGACATTGTGAGTGCCCTTCACCATCCTTGTTCTCCTTTTCCCCGTCTATTTTCTTCCTGTACCGTGATGAGATTTCTCGATGGGCGGACACGAATGTACTCTGCCCGCGAAGTCTTCGAATGTACAAAACGGAGATGGGGAGGGTACTTGTTGATACGCATCGAATACCTGAGACAACAATTTGAGTGTTTTGTTGGCTTTCTTTTTTTGTTATCTTTGTTTTGTTTTGCTCTAACATCAATATTTCTACTAGATATGCTCTGCATTGTAATACTCAATACTCATGAACACATTTAATCGTTAACGCAATCTGTCTCGATGTTCTCGATGGCTTATAATGTTAGCTGCATGCGATCTGCAATGATATCTAGAATATTTCCAAAATAGTCTCTGGTCAATTTCGTGAAGTAGAACATAAATTTCGCAACTTGCTCCTACAAAAACACAAAGCTGGCGCTCGGAACATAACATCCATCCGTACTGGTATACAACTTGTGAGATGGCTCTTTTCACTTCATCCTCGATATCCGCGATGTGCCGTTCACGCCAACGCACCCCACATCCCGAGCCCGGCGAAGATGCTCCCCAACCCGATCAAGAATCCAACGTACGCGACGACATGCACCCCGATTTTCGGCAGCGCCATCGGCGTATGGAGGAGTGAAATTGAGAAGTGAAGAAGGAAGACAAGGCTGAAAGTCACATAGAAAGCGCCATTGGTCGTGAAAATTGGAGGGTGCGAGGAGGCGGTAAAGAGGAGTGAGCTACGCGAGAGAGGTGCGCTGAGGTAGGCCGCAGAGAGTAGGAGCAGGAAGCCAAGCGAGAGCGCAATCGACGCGATTCGGAGCAGGCAAGAGACGAAGACGGGGATATGCTAGATCGATGTCATCAGGGTAGCGGCGAGAAAATGTTTGAGAGAGACGTACGATGAACGGGATACCGTACATGTCTTCCAACTCCTCCCTCGCTTTGAGCGTGATGAGCGTGTCTAGATCGCGTTCTACCTCGAGCACCATCTCCGCTTCGCTCGGCCATCGTTGCATCGTAGGACGCCTCTCAGGCTCTCTGACTGTGGAGTCTCCTCTCCCGGAGTCGTCGTGTGCAGACGCCGCACGAGAGGAAGACCCGCCACGCTCACCTGATCCGACGCGCGGCTGCTTTGTCTGCGCGCGCGTAAGCGCTTCAAGCTCGTGCACGCGTGCGGCGGGGACGAGCGCGTTGCGATACAGACCGATCTGCTCGTACCCCTGGGCGACGCCCACCGCGACTTCTGCCAGAGACCACCCGAGCGCGAGCCACCACACACGCCAGAACGCTGGGTCAGCCGGGTTCGGATGCGGGTAGTCCATGTAGTGCCGAACGCGGAGAATAGGAAGCGCGGCGAGACGTAGGAGGTTACGGAGGAGGACGTGGAGGGCGGTAGAGAAGATGGTGGTAGGCCCAGGTGGGAGGCGGAAAAGAGCCGAGGAGAGAGTGAAGATGGGTGTGCTTAGGAGGTGTGAGAGGGACCATAATGAGATGGAAAGTAACAGCTCCGGGAATGGGGTGGGGCTCGAGGGGTGAGGAGTGTGCCAAAGGAGACGCGGCAGGAAGGCAAGTGCGAGCCAGATTAGGATACATGTTACTGGGACGAGCGTGTACCACGACACGAGCTGCTGATAAGATCCTGCGAACGTTCGTAAATATATTGTGAGGAAGTAAGCCTGGGAAGACTCGCCTATGTAGATTCCTCTTTCCCCCAAAAACTCTTCTTCATCAAAAGTATCTGGATCTTCATAAACGCGATCCTCCGGTACCCTGGCCAGTGCGCCATTGCAATACGTCTCCGGGCTGTGCGACTGCGTCCTGCCCAATATTCCAGGCGGTCCGCTGATGACCTCAGTCGCACCGTATGATCGCCTAGAGATGCCTGCAGCTAGACGAGATGGCTGAGATTCAGAACCTAGCAATGCGCTCTGCCCGTTCTCAGTGTTATTTTGCGGCGATCGCTCGCGACCGAACCGCCATGCAGCTGCGGCCATAATCAGTTTGCCTACGCCCATAGAATGCGGTCGTGGCTGTCAGTAAGTGGGAAGATGTGGTCCTAGAGTGATAAGAACATTCGGCGACGGCTTGTCCCAAGCTCTACAATGTGCAGAGCGATTGGACTTTCGAGGCAATATGTTGCGCAAGGTTGCGCAGTCGTGCAGACCCTGGTCACTCTTCTGATAACTTCACCGTAATAGCTGTCCGTGATCGTGAGAAAGTAGTTTTCCTTCATCAGCCTCCCAAAAGTCCTCAAAGTTACTATCGGGGACCAATGCTATGGAAGACCTTGATCGAAACCGCTGCAAGGTTATCTCGTTGATCGTTTAGAGAATGTGAGTGTACATAAATGGTATTGTGACTACAACTTGCCTGGGTATGATTTCGTCTAAAATTATTGTGTACAAGACAATCCAGTCCGCGTCGCTCCAGTGCGTTCCCAACAATTTTAGATAACTAGATAATCACTCCGGTATAATTAGTCATCTCGATGCTCCACCATACTATCGCAATGCTCATGGTAGTGCGATATGCAGCGTTGAGTGGTAGGTCTTGTCGACAGGACTTATTCTTGTCCAGCATCCCGAATAGGGTGCTCTTATACCCTCATGTATATCTCTGCGGCATCGCATGTTTAATTGATACTGATACATTTTTTGAATGATTCGCAATCGATCAGTGTCCCAACAGGCCTAATCTCCAGCACGAGCATCTAACCTCGCACCGTCAGTTTGCTCAAGGTTGTTCATTCTCCTACAATACATGCTTCGCACCCATCCCGATGGCGTCAATGATAACGGAACAATCACACACTACTACGGCCACCTGCGGCCAGTGGTTGACGAGTCCAGAACCCCGTCGAGATTTTCTTTTTCCCCCTTGTCAATCTCTCGCATGGGCACCGGTTGCGACGCAGCTTCAATTGTCCACGACATGCCCGTATTGGTTTCCCTCTAGAGTCAGACCAGACCGACGGGACCCCATTATCCTGTGCTGCGCGCTCACTTCTAGCGTTGATACACAGGCCAGGGTTCTATGGAGTTGTCGTATTCACTCGTATACAGCGTCTGGCTCCGTCCCATAGCGCAATTTTCCTGGGCTCTGCGACGCACCGTATGGGATTCTGACCTCTCGCCGCGTAACGATGGTAAACTACCCTTTCCTTCATTGTTACCATGACCCCAACTGCATTTTGACTCTGCCTTCTCCACCTACTTGATTGATCTCCCTCTCCCCATTCCTGTGTCAGTCCACTCACCTTTTCTACCAGCTGAGACGGTTGCTCCCAATGTCAATGCACATTCATGTTTGATTACATGTTCCACAGCACCCGACACAAGCAGCACATTCACTGGCGGGAACGCGCTCTGCGAATGAAGGCGCTAGAAGACCATGTCAACCTTTGAGAGCTCTTCGTCTCGACCTCTGCGTGCCGTTCTCTGAAGCGCGAAGCGCTTTCGTTTCAACGGCTCCCACACTGATTTCTTTCTAGGTGCTGTTTTCGTGCGTCGGGACTGCTTGTAAGTTAGCTGCACTTGTAGTAGGTGTCGGGTCAGTCGTAGAACATAAGTATATACTTGGGCTATCATACTCTCGTCTGAGTGCTTGAATCGAAGAGCTTTAAGCTCAGAGAATCTTAATTGAATTTTGAAGCCTCAAGCATTATCAAGGTGTATAAGGTGGAGATACTATATAGATTGATTAGTTTACAAGCTGTCCTTGTCTTCGCAAACTTGCTGAGGTAGCATGTCAATGCAGATGTCGAACACAATATTTTATTTGGAATTATCTGTGAGGATGATATATGTGAAGAAAGAGCAAGGGACGATTGCAGATCCATATGAATCATACACCGTGACTGGTATCTATTATGTGCGATATGTTGAAATTAGCAGATGTGAGCTGTTCAGAAGCATAAATCTACTCACCCGCATCTTTGGGCGGAGGCCGTGGCGGAGGCTCATTGAAATGCGAAGGAAGCTCCGGAAGCTCGGTCGCATTGATATCCAAGCGCAGGTCCTCCCCGCCTATGTTGATTCTATCATTATCGTCGTCGTATTCGTCTTCCAAGAATGTATGCGCCGGAGGCCCGTCATCTTCAGACAGACGGATGTTGCCTTCTCTGCGCCTCCACGTCTTCAGTCTACGTGACCGCCGATTTGTCATTGGCAAACTAAAGAGAGAGAGCTGGAGATGCGTACTGGTGCGATACCACGACTCGCAAAGAGTCCGCACGCCTCCAGAGAACGAATAAGATGCAGACGGTCACTGTCGTGAAGAGAAGGAGGGAAGGAAAGTTGCCTAGCGGTTGAGGCTTGGGCGACTGGCGCGGCTCTGAGCTTGAAACATTATCGCTGGTGAGTGCATTTCCAGTGGTATTGAAAGCCTACAAACCTCCTGGTTGAAGAGGTGGGGCCATAGTATGTATACGATGTCGAGTGGTTGGTCGTGATCGTCACGTCCTGGGAAATCCCGAAGGGAATGAAATCTGGCTTTAAACGGCAATTAATCTCCACGCTCATGTGATCATACCCAGAAACTGTATATTTTCTTCACGACGTTTGTTTTCTGTCGTTCCTCCTCTCGTGTCGACGCCGTTGTACGCCGTCTTGTTCTAAGCGGCGTAGCTTTGTCGCTGTCACTCTAGGAACCTTGTCCATCGCACCTGCCATGTCGGTCTGATATTGCTTGGTGAGTGCTATTCCTTTTTTGGAGGCCTTCACGGCTTCAATTTTTTCATGACGAGACATCATACAATCAGTTATCCCTGTCTTAACACGCGATGTCGAGAGTTATTGTTCTGATCCTCTATCTCTGATGCTCGAATCCATTTCGGACAATTGGCTCATACCAGCCTTTCTCTCATAGGTCCCAGCAACAATTTGCAGAATGTCATGTCCGCCCAGTCCTGGAGTAGAAATCTATCCTGTAGCTGGCCGTTTGCGAAGACCATTTCTTGTTGTTCTTTACGATAACTTTGTTACGAAATATATCTTGGTCATTTTCCTCCCGAGAGCGAACTGCATGTGTTCACGAATCATCTTCCGAGATCCAGTTTGTGCAATCGATGATGGGACGGCGAAGGAGCACGCAGAGCCCTAACCCAGATATCCACGTGCAGAAAATTTAGCAGCCACTGAGCAGTGATCAAAATCTCACCTCTTTTCCTCTCTCTCACTTCCTTGCATCTCTCTCCTCTCCCTCCCATTCTCCATAAAAATGTCCGTTGGAACTCTCTACGCATCTCCAGCCGAGGCCAAGCGCGTGCGTAAACACCAAATCTCGCCGCAAGGCGGGGTCATGCCCTATCTTCACGCTCGATCTGTGCTCACTCGATCTCCTTTTGCTCGCATAGATCCTCGTGGTCGCTGCCTTCGCCGGGCTCACCGTCGAAGTCAAGGAGCCCAAAGCTGGTCTCATCAAAACACCCACTCTTGAGACTGCGGACGGTTTCTCTGTTTTCGAAGCGAGTGCTATTGGCAGATATCGTGAGTCAGATCTCCGAGTCATTTTCCATCTCGACAGAGTGCTGTGGATCGAATCGGTTGATACATCGTGCTCGTTCTATGCGGGAATTCCCAATTTTTTTTATGATCCATCCGGCGTGGATGTTACAATTTCAGATTATCTTCCACTCTCTCCTATCGCCTTGATCAGTCCAGGGCGCGCGTCATTTGCACATGCTCCATCACTTTCTCAGAACTCGATGACATGAATTGGCCTCTCTGAGATCTGGTGTCCCTTCGGACGGATTCTAATAGTATTTGCTCTGGATGTCTCATCTCATTGCCCCGAACCGTTGCACTTTCATACATTTTCTGATATGTTCCAAACAGTTGCTTCCCTCGCTCCCAACTCGACATTGATCGGTTCTGAGTCCAAGGAGGCTGCCCTTGTCGACCAATGGGTTGCTTTCTCTGACTCATATGTTACCGCCTACAACAACTTCATCGTCCGCCTGGTCCAGGGTCATATCACCCCCTACAGCAAACCCGTGAGCCAAACCTCATGTCTTTCCAATCCAGTTCTGACAGTCCTTTCCCCAGATTCACACGAATGTCCTGGACCGCCTGGTAGGCTCCCTGACGACCCTCGAAAAGCACCTTGCGACGCGCACCTTCCTCGCGACCGAGCGCATTACCCTCGCCGACATCACTCTCGCCACTGCCATTCAGAGCGCTGTTGCCTCTACCGTCGATGCGTCCCTGCGCTCCAAGCTTCCTAACGTATTCCGCCACTTCGAGACCATTATCAACCAGCCCTCACTGAAGTCCACGTTCGGCGAGACCACCTACACCGAGAAGGCTGTGCAGTATACTCCCCCTCCCAAAGACAAGAAAGAGAAGAAGCCCGAAGAGGCCGCCGCCCCGAAGCCCAAGGCCGAGAAGAAGCCCAAGGAGCAAGCTGAGGACGACGACGATGACAAGCCGTTTGTTGAGGAGCCCAAAGCCAAGAACCCATTGGACTCGCTGCCCAAGTCCTCTCTTAACCTTGAGGACTGGAAACGCGCGTACTCCAACAAGGAGACTCGTGGTGCCGGTGGCGCCCTGGAGTGGTTGTACCAGAAGTGCGTGTATCTGCGCACTTTGCATCTTTATTGTTCTTCTCTGACGATCCTTCGTTGGTCCATCTCTAGCTTTGACAAGGAGGGCTATTCTCTCTGGCGCGTCGACTTCAAGTACAACGAGGAGCTGACCCAGACATTCATGTCTTCGAACCAGATTGGTGGGTTCTTCAACCGCCTAGAGGCGTCGCGCAAGTACCTGTTTGGCTCCGTGGGCGTACTCGGCGAGACAAACAACTCCATCATCACCGGTGCGCTCATTGCGCGCGGGCAGGAGATCCAGCCCAACGTCGACTGCGCGCCGGACTGGGAGAGCTACTCCTACGAGCGCCTCGATCTCGAGAACCCGGAGCACAAGGCGTTCTTCGAGGGTGCGTTGGCGTGGGATCTCGAGATTGACGGCAAGAAATGGGTCGATGGCAAGAACGTGAGTCTCAACTTTTAGAGCTGATGTCTCTGTCTATGTGCTGACTCCCCTTTCTCTAGTTCAAGTAAACGTTTATCGTGCACATCGAGCGGTGTTGTAGCAGATCTTGTCTTCATAGCAATAACCTTTCCAGAACCTGTCATCATTATTTCTCGCCTGGTGTTTCTGTTTGTCCTTGTGTTGCAGCAGTAGAATCTCAAAAATCAGAGAAGTTGAGAAATTGTATCGCTTTATTTTTTCTAGTGGGGAATGAATATCTATTAGCTTTCCTCCAGGTGCGTAGGAAAATCAGCGATCCATTCAATGCTCGTAAGTCATGACTGTATGGAATGCTGAGGCGTGAGGTAGACAGGAGGGCCTGACCATGTATCATGAAAAGTCCACGCTAACAACAGTGTCAACGGATATAAAGTAGAATTACACAGACAATTGAAACACAAGAAGCCTACCGAACACTTTGGCTACACCTGGCCAACAGGCTCGTACCCGCCTCGCCCACTCCTGTTCGCGCCTAAGCCCAATCCCATCATGAGCGTCTGCCGCAGGCCCTTCCTCCCGCCCACGCTTGCACCGAGTTCCTCGCCGTCTTCCTCTCTCCTGCGCCTCGCTTCGCGGAAGCCCTCCGCGGGCACCTCATATAACCGCTCATACTCGACCCCAAGCTCCCGCCCGACGGTCCAGAAGTCCTTGCAGTTGGCAACGACACCCATGTCGAATGGGTTCGCGGCCTTGGATGCGCGCGCGAGCCCGTTGGCCGCGCCGCCGGACGTGAAGCGGTCCAGACCAAGGAGGTGCATGAGAAATCCGCTCCCGCACCCCGCGCACACGCCGTGCTTGTGCCCGTGCCCGTGCCCGTGGTCCAACGTCGGCGTGACCTCGTCAGAGCTCGGATTCTGCCCGTTTCCATGCTGGTGCCGATGTCCCATCTGCGACGCGAGGCTCGCGCCCCCGCGCCCGCCCATAAATCCATACCGCCCAAGATTAGACACCTCGAGCGTGGTCATCTGCCGCGCGACCTGCCAGAATTGGCTCGCGAGGAGAACGATCGTCCAAAGGAGCTGCACCGTCGACCACATCGCGACGGAGAAGAGGAAAGTGTCGGTCGCCGTGAGGGTGCAGATCGCTGCAGGGAAGAGGCAAGACGGGGAGAGGGAGGGTTGAAGGTCGGGTGCAGAGAAATCTGTGGGAAAATCATTGGTGAAGATGTGAATGGAGAGATTGCCTGTGGTGTACGTACAGGCGAAGGTGAGATAGTCGAAAAGGATAATCCCGAGAACAAGTGTTGTTACGAAAAGAATGAACTGTCGATGATTATGGACGCCAACTACAAATTCATGAATGAAAGGCTGCATTAATTTCAAGATTGTTCATCAGACTTACCACAGTTCCAGACCCATGGACAATGGCTATGAGATGTGTTAAATCACTATTACAGCTTCCACGCAAAGAACACTTACTGGTCTGAACGAGCAATACACTTGTCACAGACGCGACAGTGTTTCGATCGCAACGGTTTTCTCGCCTGTCGTGACTTAGTACATGTACGTACCTGAAAAAATGGACTCACGCTTACCATGCACTGAATACAGAAAGTCTGGCCATTTAAGCGACCCTCCGAAGCGAGGTCTTCGATGATCTGGTATCAACTGGTCAAGAATGAGACCTTCACGAGCAGCATCATTGCTCACCGACTTCAGCTCGGCGTCGCTGGTGGGTGCTGGACAGGTTCCCGGGTCTAGTGTCATCGAGCGGAAGAAGTTGTAGACGCAGAGTCCGAAGCTCAATGCGAAACTAAGATGGGTGAACGCGTGCGACTCGGTCTCTAGGGATTATTGTGAGAATATGATATCGAGGATTCAAGTCGGGTACATACGTTGCAGCAGACGTGTGACCCATGCGTATGCAACCCATACCATGGATGCGAATATAATGCCTGCAAAGTAAGGGCTCGCTGTAACGCTATCGGTATATGTTGGTCTATTAAGTAGAACACGGGTAACGATCTGTGTTCCAGAGGAGTTAATGCATAGCCTCAGGGGAGTCGACGAATGCCTACGTGATGCATTCCAAAGAATTCGGCCATCGCCAATATAATACCAGTATACCATGGAAGGATCGTGAGAGTCATAAAAATAAGATACAAGAAAATTGTGGGCATGACAAAAATTGCAATTTTCGTGTTCCGCTGAATAAAGATAAACATTTAAATACATTTGTGAAAGTAGGATGAAAGTAGGATGAAAACGGGATGACACACCTCGCTCATGGGTTTTCTTTTCTTAGAGCCGTCCTCCATGAATCCTCCTTCTTCTAGCGCTCTCTTCCACGCGCCAAGGCTTTTCAGCTCTACGGCCATATCTCGCGCAGTCCTGCCCTCATTGTCCTTTGCACCGATCTCGGCGCCTTTCTCGATCAGCCTCCGAATGCACATCCTGTTTCCTCGGACAACAGCCCAATGCAGCGGTGTGAGGCCTGAGTCATCTTTGACAGTGGTACTGGCACCATGCTTGAGTAAGAGGTCGACTGAGAGTGCATCGCCTTGGTATGCCGCCCACATTAGCGCCGTGTGGCCGTTAGTATCACGCTCGTCAACGCTGATGGGTTGATGGAGAAGGTAAAGGAGAGGCATTATTGATGAGGAATGGGTGACGAGGTGTAGGGTATTGTATCCTTGAGAGTCTTTGATGTTGGGATCGGCGTTGTGAGCGACGAGAAGCTGGATGACATAGAGATATCCTCCGCGCGCAGCCCATTGCATGGGGGTAGCCATGAGGTCGCCTCCTAGAGCATCAACTTCTGCGCCCTGTTCGAGCAGGAAGCGACACGCTGGGACATGGGCATTGATCGCAGCCCAATGCAAAGGTGTGATATTCTGCTCATCCCGATCTGTCGCTCTGGCCTTGCCAGACTCGATGAGCTCGCGAATGAGCGCAATATCCCCCCGCTGAGAAGCAACAAAAATGTTTGCCTGAAAGATGTTCTGGTAAGCATGGTAGTGGCACAAAAGAATGGAAAGTACCTCTAGCTCGACTGTTGTCCTAAGATGCGACGTAGGTGTATTGAACGCGGTCGCGGTGGCAGAAGCAGGGGTGATAGACGTTGCAGAAAGACCCCCCTTGGGGTTGACGATTTCATCCATATCAGAGATGTCCTGTGGACACTCTCGAGAATGTCGACAATAGCGGGAGGAAATGTATGATGGCACTGGCGATGACAACGAGCGACTCAGGACAGTACAGCCCTCTTCTGACGTAATGTCATGTGACGACACACAAGCCGCCGGCGTGACCTGGCGGGGACTTTTGAAGACATCCGACACAAGCTTGCCTAGGATCTATCCCCACGATGCAACCAGGCCAGGCCAGCATGAGTCCGTAGAAATTGACGATAACACAAGCACGTGGCCAAGTTTGTAGTCTCCTGGCGGAAAGACAGACCAAAGACAGTCGGTCTGGCAGGCACACCCAGTGCACTCCAAGTAAACACTACCCTTTACTGCCCTGGGGTATTTCTGAAATCGACGTTCGTAGATCTACTGATAGAGTCATGCCATCACACTTCTAGAACGATGTTTCTTAGGTCTCCTTCGACACCTATTATCCCACTCCCACCATTACAATGCAGAGAACAGGTTGCTACACGTATGCGATTATGAGAGTTCGACTCCAGGCAAGAGTTTACGGACTTTCTTCAGCCAAAGGGGTCTATCTCGGTCTGGAGGGCCGTGAATTCGCCTTGTGTTTGCGCTTGGGTCAACCTACTTGGAAGAGCTCAGGAGGCGACCGGTCGAAGATGTCGACATGGAACCAATGTGGTAATCAGATAAACACAAATACATGTTTCTTGCTCGGGTGCGTAGGACCAGAATAATGCTCGACTCCGCTGTTTTCCATGGAAGCTGGAAACTTGTGAGCCCCAAAACTCTGAAGTGTCAATATGACGACCGAAAATTATCAGAAAGGCTCTGATGTCAAGAAAACGGAAGATCGGAGTACTCAATTTATGATGTAGGCTCGGAAGCTGGTGATATATGGCCCAGAATAGTCTCGAGAAGCTTCTCGACGCTGGCCAACCGATCTCGCATTTGCTGTACATCCTCCACTTTTGCAACCCCCTCGAGCTTCTCCTCTAAGCGTCGAAGGCGTTGCTCCACAGAAGGGACATCGTCTCGAATATCAACCTGCTTGGAATATCGGACAAGGAGGTGCGTTTCGTGATGGACCTCCTCGATCCCACAGTCATTGCAAAGAATTACATGGTCTAAGGAATAAATTCAGCATGAGCGACCACTGGCTTGAATAATAGACAACTCTACCTTCACACTCCACGCAGTACCAACACGGAGGTAAAACTGCTTTGGTACATACCGTACATCTCATCTTCTCCTCATACAGTTTCGGCGCCGTTTTTCGCCGCAAGTATGACATACTTCTATCCGACTCCTTGACTTCCTCGGCGCCATTGAATAAATCCTTAACTCGGACGAGAGCCACTTGTGCAGCTTCGAAGACCTTCGGCCCCATGGAAAGGTGCAAGATGAACGGCACTCGAAGGAGGCCATGTGTTGGCGAGTGAGGTTTTGGTAAATCTTCACGGATCGTGAGTGGGACTTCGGCATCGACACAACGGACGGTGGCGCAAAGATCAATATTTCCTTTGGAGTCGCTAGGCGGACAGTCCAGACAAATTATCCGGATCCCATGCAAATTGGTCCGACCGCAATTATCACAATTCTGCCTGCGAACGAATGTGATTAAGAGCGAGAATATCCTATGATTTAAATACTCACGGATGTGCAGCTGATAATGCCAATTTCTCTTTATAAACGGAGATATAAAAATCTTGCTGGAGGAGACCATGAATAATTTTCTCGAGCTCAGATGTCCGCTGGCCGACCATGGCCTCTCTAAGCAAGAGATGAATGAACCGTTTTCGTATCCTAAAGCGATCGCGAAAGAAAGCCCATGACCAAGATCGCCTGCGGATATCATCTAACACAGCAGCACCTGCATATCTCCATAATGCCCTTGGTTTGTTCTCGTCGAATTCAGTTTGAGGAGGACGATGTAACAGCATAGGATTTATCCGTTTGAATGTAAACAGGCCATGAGGACCAGGTTCGAAGAGAAACGAAAATGAGCCTCTGAAAACGCCAGATGATGGGTCCAATCGGCCAATATAGTACACCGGAAAGTCTTCATGAACATATTGTTTTTCAAAAACAATGTGGACTTGGCCGTCTATTGATGAACATTCGCCGGTCACGTTAAAGTCGATATCGAAATGACAACCAGTGGCCACGAATTTGCCAGTACTCGAAGGGAGGATGTTATAGTGAAAGATATGGTCAGAAAGAGTCGTAAAGGATATCCATTCACCCAGGCTATGGAAGCGATAAATTATTAGAAAACATTGGGACAGTATGAATAAGCTCACATTTCAGACATAGGCCAGCTTGTGCCTATATCTTGATCAGGCCAGGTCGGCAAATTGTATGCATCATAAACGATTTCTGGGTGTGCATTGATATTAACATCGTAACGAAGTACGTTCTCAACGGCTCCCTGTGGCATTGCTGGAACGCCGGTAGCGGTATTGGAAAGCTCCTTCAATACCGCAGATGGGAGTTCACTCCTCGTGTACTTATCCGACGCATGTTGATACTGTTCATCGATGAATATGTAGCCAACCTCAAAAGGAGTGAACCAAACGAAACTGACCAGACCGCCCGCAAATATCTTCAGTTCCTTTTCAGGGTCTCGCCTCTGATGCCTGAAGTGGTCTGATGACAGAACAAAGTTATCATCAAGGAACAGGTAGAACCTCAATCCTGCTTACCGCCGATGTCGAGAGCGCGAGAGCGATGAGCATCGTATATCCAGTATAGTGTATCTTTCGCTTCCTGAATATCTTGTTTCTGTACCACACGCAAGCGACATATTTGGAATATTTTGAGGTGTCTGTTGAGCAGAAGATACACCAACGGCATGATTGACTAAAACAAAGATAGTTCATCATCGATTGCTAGACCAAAGGTATCAAGAACTTACATGTTCTAATGGGCCGCCAGTGATGATTTGTAGAGTATCTGGTGCCTCGATATGCCAGCTGACCTTCTCCAGGTTTTCTCTTAGACGTTCTTCTTCGTGTCGAACAAACTCTGAAAATGGCTCTTCCGGGTACTCTGAGTCAGAGATATCGGGGAGGCTCATCCATAGTTTCGTAATGAAGTCCCACCAGTAAATGAGATAGTCATCGAGGGAGCCCCGATTCTGTGGCAGGGTTCCGGGAAGAAGAGTGAACATCTGTTGAAGGATCGTCTTGATGGCCTTGGCATACTTTGCGCATGAAACTTGCCAGCCTGGGTAGATTTACTATCCTGTGCGAGGTGGACCACGTGAGTTGGGATGTAATTCACTTACCGATCGTCCAGAAACATATCCATTTGAGAAGACTTAGAGGTAAGTATAGAAATTAGAGTTTGAGTTTTGCACAAGTTCAGATAGACAGACCTCCAATTTGGTGGCCGAGACTGAGTGAAAGCGTTGACTTCGTATACTGTGATGAAACCGGATGCATCCACATCGATAGTGTCAAGAACAAAGCGTAGACGGTTGACTCGAAGATACTGAAGAGTCCAGTCGTCCTCTGCACTGATTGAAGGGCGAAAGTCTATACCCCTCAGTGAGTCTTCAACCTTGTATCCATCACTTTCATTGATAGCGATATCCGCGGTAGCTCCTGACGAGGCTACAGTGTCTATCTGTGCACCTAGGAGCGAAGGGATGACGAGGGCATGCTTGGCTGTTGATGATCCATTGTGGTAATAATCTCGGAGAGCGAGCACGAAATGTCCAGACTTGACGCTGGCACGCCATCCCTGAACGTTGAACAGAAGTAAGTCCGCATTTGAGGGCTGAATGACGGATAGTATACCATGAAACTCCAAATCTGATACATATCCTGAGGATGGAACAGAGATGAGTTATGTTAAACCGAGAGCCAGAGCAAAGCACACGAACTTGATTCGTCAGAAGCTCATGAGGACCTCTGGATAACGCAGTAATGACTCGATCACCCGTCCGTTCTACCGTCCGTGTCAAACCAGCTTCAACGCGCTGCATCTCGATATTTAATTTGGGGATGAAGATTCTCAGGCTCTTTTCGATGCTCTCTGTTACAGTCTCTTTGAGGTCTTCCTTCAACTTGTCTAGTGCGGAGGGGACGTTCCAAGTTGGTTTGCTATTCTTGCTGGTAGAAGTATCTGAGAGGGGGTTGGGCTGTGAGTTTGGCTGCTTATATCCAAGCTCCATATCGTATAGCCGTTTAAGGGCTTTGTCGTCCTGTCGAAGCTTCTCCCGGCTGCCCGGATATTGGTCGACAGATGCCTCAATGTCTTGCTCTTCAGTAGTAGAGAGTTTTTCTAGAGTTCTTCGAAGAAAGGTGTCAAGCCTGGCGATCCTATCATCGACGGACGTCATGTGAGTGCGATAGGTTGCAACAACATGTGAGAAAGGACACACACTTTCCTTGTATGTATTCCAGTCGTTCGTTAGCCTCGTCCACTCCCCGTGCTGCGTGGGCGGATAGGGCCATTTGGATCTGCGCCTTTCTTTTGATAATGCAGCCGATGCATTCGGTTAATTTGTCTTCCCAATGTGATGATTTGAATACACGGCAAATCAACCGTTCGTTCGAGTATTTGCTGCAGACGCCGTACACTTGTTGGATGTCCTTCCCCGTCTCTTCGAGCACAGACTGCATCCGACCCATGATCGTGTCTCCCGAACATAGCGTTACATCATGGTCTTTGAGGTCATAAAGTCTTGAATGGTGATTAGGTACCGTTTCTGAATGGAAGTATGAACACATACTGAAGCAATACGGCCATCATATCCCTCATTTCAATGAAAAGAAATATAACTTTCCTGTTGTTCTCTTCTCGCCGTATCTCCATAGCATAAACGGTCTGGAATGGGATCAACGCGACTGGTGCAGATAAGTAGACATCAGTAAGGATGCGAGTTTTGACTCACCTTGGATGAAGGGGTGGACCTACGGCGCAAGTCAGGAAAGCGTTGTAAGAAAACGGTTACAGCTTACCTTGGAGACTGCGTCTAGTAGCTTCATCAACGTCGGGATCGATTGCTTGAACTGCTCCATCAAATTAAGCTCCGTTGCCGCAACAATCATGCTTGATGCAACTGCGCTAGTCGTCGATGCCCCATCGACTGTGTTGCCGGGATTATCGATTCGTGTATCAGTGTCTTATATACTGCTATAAACCAGTGTAAGACTCACCAAACTGATCCCAAGCATCCTCCTTTGATGATAGGGCAGGGCCAACCTTCACTTTGTCCCAGATCTGGACGAAATCTGACTTTGCTACCATTGCATTCGACGGTCCTGAGTGCAAAGAAGGAAAAAGTTGTTTTCGTTTGATTGGTGATGCGTGTGTTGATACAGCCCTCATTTGGCCCGAAGAGTTCCAGAATCAGTATTCACGGGCGCTAGACAAATCATGCCAAAAAGGCATCAGACAAGATACTGTTCCGCAGCCGTAAGTTGATTGACCACAGCTCTTTCCGAGAGTTTACCACTTATGATCAATTATCAATTATCGTGGACAAAAGACTATGTCATACGAAGCCAGTAATCTGAGAAATGAGGCTCAGGTAATTGTTCGAGGGTATTGGCGGAGGGAAATGAGATCGCTGGGCAAATTGTCAGAAACTATCCAGTGAGATGGCGAATATGCAAATACCTTTTGTCTATACTAGCGGACCCCCCATAGATTATTCGGTCAAGATTTTCGAAGACAGCTGTGATAGCATAGAAGCTAATTTATACTCGCTGATCATTGGATCTTAGGCGAGCGGATTGCTTGAAAGTATATTGGCGCGGCGATGATGACAACGGTGGAGAAGATGAAGGAGGACACTAGACTTGATGGAGAGTTACTTGACATATTCCGACATAGACTGACGAACAGTATCGCGCATGTTCTAGATACAAGCATTCTGCATGCTTGACGCCCTTCCACGTAGAACGACTTGTCTTCTGCGTATTGTGTCAGCAACGGAGACTAGTTCCAGAAGGACCAAGCGAATAGGACCATGTCGAGGGAGGCATCGAAGATAAGGCTGTTTTGAAAGAAGCAGAAGACGCGACAGATATGACAGGTGTCGCGGGAGCAACTAGTAATGATCGGGAATCCAAAGAGAGTGAAGTTACCAGATGAGATCTGACAGTCTGAGATGAGGAAGTTGACGAGGAAGATAAGCTGGATTCCCCTGACTGAGAGGTCCTGGCGAGGCACCAAACCTTCCTGTCATCGTCGATCGAAGTCTGAGAGATTAAACCTCTTCTAACAGGCTTTACAGGTTTGGAAGCCTGCACTTCGCCACTAGCATGCTCTTCAGCTGTGCTAGATCTTGCACAATTACCCTCGGACATCGACTTCTGAAGAGGTATCGAAGGGTGGGCCACGGTATCACTAACGGAGTCCTGCAGGAGAGCAATGAGGGATGGCGTCTTCGTCTGAGCGTCTGGAGGACTATGAAGGACGATCGAAGGTAATTTTGCGAAAAGATCAACTGTCAGATCGGGAAAAATCGGGGGCGGATAGAGGAGTTCAGAGGGAGCAGCAGGCTTCGGATCGTCCATGGGCGTATCTATAACCCCATCATCGTGTAGATACTTGTATTGTGCGGAATGATCAACGAGGGCCTCCATCGAGCGCTTCAAGAGAGCATCGGGCAGATCCCCAAGTGCCTTAGAGTGGTCCGGCGGCGAGTCATAATCATCTTCCTCCAAATCGCGCTCAAGGCTGTGCAGCGCTGCTTCAATATCCCACGCAAGTTGCTCCGTGCTGATAGACAGCGAGTATACGAGGTCTTTATCCACGGCCAGGTTCCTGGAGACAGGGACATTGAGGTCTTTTTGACACACCTTAAGACGATCTTCATAGTGTGGTACTTCGTGAATGTCCAATAGGTTGTCGTCGACGCTCATCATACTGATGTCAAAAGCGCCTTCGTCCCATGGCTCATCGTCGACGCTCGCCATAAACTCATCGCCATCTGTGAAAACGTGATGAGAAGTGTCACTTTCGCGAGGGATGACAGGATTGTTATAGCCCCAAGACTGGATACAAGCTCCGAGGATACGCTGAAGCCTCGAACGACGTCTGGGAAAATAGGGCACTCGCGCCCGAGCAGGGCGGTCGGCATGTAATCCAAACGCTTTGAAGCCCTGAGCAGTTCGACAAGCAATCCTGACTGGTTGGCAACCAAGACGAGGAAAGTTTTGACGTGCAGAGGTTTCCGGGGTGTGATTGTGAATGATCTTTCCTAAGAGTCGCCGGATGGATGGTGCGACCTTGGATAAATAAATTGTGCGGGATTTGCCGATAGCAGCTAGGCTCATCGAATTGTTCAACAAGTGTGCAATAAAAGACGGAACAAGAACTCACAAGCCGCGCGAGAAAAGCGCTTGACGATGATGAACCTTCGAGTGGGTAGGATAGAGTCTCTGCTCTTCGGCTTTGGAGACGCAGCAGTGCGAAAAGAGGGCATTTAGACCAAGACGAGACGAAAGGTGTGATCCAATGTATGATGATGTACGGAAGTGAGGGATTATTGAAGTCGATGGAGAAAAGTCAGAGTATCTAAGCAAATTCAGATAGAGACTGCAAAGTTTGACAAGGCACCATCACCAAAAGGACTGGCAGATCAAAACTGGAGGGGAGTGCATCAATCAAGACTACATTTACGCTGACACCGAGAAACCCACAGGCTGCACGTTCATGAGTATTCCAAGAAGGCATTGGCACCTCCCGAAAGGATAAGAACTCACGAATGCGAAGGCTTGCCGGCCCATCGAACTTCAAGCTTCAAGCTCCAAGGTTGGACGTTGACACTTGATGGGAAGTCGAAACACTGAAGAAGTGATGCAAGCAGACGCCCTTGGAAACTTTCCAGTTTGATTGCGAACAGAATACCATTATAAAACGGCGCTACTGTACAGCGCGCTAAGCATATCAGATAAGGTTATTCATTTTGCAGAAACTCAGAAACGCACCTCGGTGACGCTTGCCAGAACCTCGACGAAAAGCGATTGAAAGCACGTAGGTTTCAGCAGGTTTAACATGTCGGATGGTGTTGTAACGCAGGGCTATCATGCGGTGTGCACTGTGCATGACATGATCTCACGTAGCCGCGGACCCGCGCGCGCTTATCTAGCGCCGGTAGCTAGTGCACACTGCCTGGACCTGCTCTTCCAAGTTTTTCTCCCTCAGGTCTTGGTTCGTCTATTGGCAGACGCCCAGCTGCAATGATCTCCTTCCTTAATCAGGGCCTTGTGACACGGACACGACTTATGATTGTCGAAATGTTTGATAGCAACGCTGGCAGTAGGGCGGCAGCGTGGTGGAAAATCGAAACACGTCGATTGGGTTGCTGTCGCAATCTCTTCGCCTTAGCTTGATAACTCCATAGATCCGAGCGCCCAACTCTTCTCAAGTTGATAGCAATCAATTACCAGATTGAATGCCGACGCTGCTGTCAGTGATCCGATGGGCTTCCTAGAGGGCGGTGTGCTTTGCGTACGCACCGCCTTGCTCGGATGGTATTCGAGAGACTTAGGTAAAACCCATTACTCCTCCTACGCCTCTATCAAGCCTTGCAGTGCAAGACAGTACCTGTTTTGTTTCTTGCGCTCTGAACAGTCTCTTCGCTTTCCATCCCAGTGAGTTGCTGATTCACTCTCACCTCTTCATCTGTTTTCCCTCAATATAACAGGCGCCTATTTTGATGCCAGCGAACAGCTTCTATAGGACGCTCGCAATTCCCGATGCTTTAGTGCTGAGTAGGTAAGCCACGAGGCATATTTGATTGGAGGCCAGAGATGAGAACAGGTCCATCATATCACGAACGCCGTTTATTTACCGCACAAAGACGACCACGGCGGAGGATTGCATCTGCACCAGGATCATATAAAAACCATGGTCGAGAGGGCGCTGAGGGGCATTCCCGGCTCGCAGCACCCCTTCCTCTCCATCCTCTTCTTCTTGGCCTCTCCTCCACGTCGTCTGCCATGGCCCGCACTTCTGAGAAGACTCCTCTCGTAAAGAAGGAGGCTGAAAAGCTTCCTTTCCCTCTCGGCCTCGTCTCTCCTGGGGTCCGACCATACTTGGAGCTTATCCGCTTCCACAAGGTGTGATGCGTCTCAGTAGGGTCTTGCACATCGTGCTTACATGTTTTTCTCTATAGCCGACAGGAACGATTCTCATGTTCTGGCCATTCGGTTAGTTTCTTCGACTGATCATGCTCTCGCGCATTTCCTAATCCGCACTGCCACCATAGCATGGGGCCTGACCATGGCGGCGTACCATACCGAACTTCCACTCAACCGGTATTGGGTGGAGTTGGCCAAGTCTCTCTTCGCGGCCTTCATTGTTCGCGGCTCTGCGTGCACCATCAACGACATCTTTGACCGCAAGTTTGATGCTGGTGTCGGTCAGTATAACCTTTTATCACTCATCAACGGACGTTCACTTACCGGTCCTTTAGAGAGGACCAAGGGGCGCCCTCTCGCCAGCGGCCGTGTATCTGTTTTCGCCGCTGTTGTCTATCTCATCCTCCAATACATCGCCGGCCTTGTTGTATATGTATCGTACAACGAAATTGCGTACGTGTTTATCCCTTGTCCTGCGTGTAATCATCTTCCTCACCCCACGTCCGCTGGTAACTAGGCTTTACGCAGCTGTTCTCCAGCTCCTTCCTCTGTAAGCATAATCGTCGGGATGTGATGCGTCAAGTCTCTGAAGATTTCTACAGTTTCTTGGTCTATCCTCTCATGAAGCGCATCACCTACTGGCCACAGGCCTGGCTTGGGATCTGCATGAACTTTGGTCTCGTCGTTGCATGGGCCGCAGTTACTGGCAGCCTTGACGCTCAGCTCTTGGGTGTTCTCATGGTTGGTACCTGGGGATGGACGATGCACTATGGTGAGCAAGCGCCTGTTTTCTGATGATCTCGGTATTAATAAATCTGTCAGATACCATCTACGCGTGCCAGGACCGTCGCGACGATGTCAAGGTTGGCGTCAAGTCCACTGCCGTGATGCTCGGCGACTACGTTCGCCCCTTCTGCTTCGTCCTCTCCATGATGTTCGTCGGTACCCTCTACTACGCTGGTGTCCTCAACCACCAGACCCCCTACTACTTCTACATCTCCGTCGGCGGGACTCTCCTCCACATTCTCTGGCAATACGCCACCGTCGACTTGGACTCGCCTGATAGCTGCGGCTGTACGTCGCCCCAATTGATCTTTGTTCATGCATAGACGCTGATCATCTTCTCTCTGTCAGTGAATTTCATTCGCAACGGCCACATGGGTTGGATCACCTGGGCTGGCTTGATGGTCGACTACCTCGTCAAAATCGATCAACTTCCCTTCCAGTTGCCTTTCTGAAGGATTATGTATTGCATTCGTCGTTATCATCGTTATCATCCCCGTCCTTTTCATTCCGGACAATCTCCATAGAAGCTGTCTCTTATTTAGCTAGATGATTGGGCTGCGGGCACCAGACCACGGAGAGGGTGACACTGCAGAGAACAGCATTCGGGATATGTTCGAGCTGCAATATATAATATATTTCCCTCCGTTGCACGTTCGACGTGTTTGGCGCATGTATTGTGATATCAATGCCTTTGGTCCAAAAGGTTGAGGAGTCCCAAAACGCGCGCCAGATGGACCGGGTGACTGGTGCGATTTCACCCCTGAATTGAGCGCCTAGCTTCCTTCGATCTCATGCAATGCTAGATAGCTAGCGCCCTTACAGACCGACTACATCCTATCGAGGCAAAATCACTCACATGAGACGCGGGCTGTATGTGGACTCCATGGGAAACCATCACCTCATGTTTTCAACTTCGAGACCGACATCAATTCTTGGCACTCACATTAAATACACAAGACAACAAAGCAATTCGATAGCAATGGACAAAGAAAATCAGCGAGAGAAAGAGAAAGAGAAACATTTAGAGTTGACGGCCAAGGAATCGAGCAAGCCTTTCCCTCTTTTCTTGAATGTTCCCAGCGGTGGGCAGTCCATAGGCGGCCAAGAGATGGTTTGCAGCTGCAACTATAATCAGGCAGGTAGTAAGCACCACGTTGCTACAGAAAGGCTGCCAAACTTACCAGGTAAACCGGGCAGCGCCGATTCATTTGCGGGGAATTCACCCGCTTGATAGGCAGGGCAACCAGGGCGATGAGGTAGCGGGATCAAGGGCCCATTACGCGCCTGCTGTATGTTATGGGAACGGATGATGGTGCATTCGGACCTGCAGACTTTGATTAGATCAGTGTTACTTGGATGGGGTAGATGAACTTCTCACTCGTATCTCAAGTCTTGTCGGACTTGCTGAACATCTGCTCGAACGGTCTCAACATCTGCGCGAACATTGTTCAGCTGTCCTTCCATTGTGGTCAAGCGTCCTTCCATTGTGGTCAAGCGTCCTTCCATTGTGGTCAAGCGTCCTTCGATTGTGCCCAAGCGTCCATTCGTTGTGTTCAAGCGCCCGTTGATTTCATTGATCTGCACAGATGAATATAGGTTAGCTGTCAACATAGATGATACACATATATACATACAGAGGCAAGAATTTGTTGAAGAATGTTGACTTCATTTACGGCAGGGATATTGGGAAGCAGCGCAGCATTCTGGGAAAGGATTGTACTGGCCTCGGCTTGCATAGTGCTCGCCTGGGCTTGTAGTTCATATGCATGTGCGACATTTGCGATGTCCGGGAGAGGGAGAGCAGCAGGAAGGGGGGCAACCTCAGCCATATTGAACGCGTTGGAGGGGTCTATAGCAAAGCCACTCGGTGAATGGGAACGAATGTTGGAGTTCAACCAAGTCGGAATCGAACTGATAAGTAGCGGGTCATTAGGTTCAGCCTCCGCTTTCCCACCCTTGAGCTTGATCACCGCTTGATCATTGAAGCGCTTGAAGGCCCTTGACTTGCGCTGGCCGACCGTTCTACCGTCCACATATGTCACGAGCCTGCTAAGTCGGTAGATGTCCTCCCTCGTTCCAGGCTGTGAATCATCCCGGAATGGCTCTCAAGGTGGTCCGAACGTCGATATTGGAAACCTGCATACTCGTGTCTATTAGGTGACCAATGGGTCCCGGAATTGATGCGATGGGGAGAGGCTGACCGTTTCAACCTCATCGCCAGGCTCGTCCTCTTCTTCTCGTGTCGCCGATTTGTGTTGGGAAATGTATACCTCGATGGACACTCCCCGCGGGCTCCCAACACTGCCGACTATGTAGAGCTCGACACGCTTCCACCACCATCGACAGTCGCGCCAGAACGGCCAACAATGTCGAAACGCGCTCTCCATTCCAGTCTCTGGAGGAGCCTTTTCTCGCTCTGCTTCTCCGAATGTTGTCTGCTCTTCTTGATGTTGATGTGTCAAGGTCTGGATGTGCTCCATACGGGGTGAGTCGTCTCCACGTAGGCACTGAGCGTCGTTTGACAATTGCGTTCAGGACGCGTCTGATGAATTGGCGGATATCGCTCTTCATTATACTGGCGGTCGTGCTCATTGCGATCCCGCTATCGCTGAGCGTCGTTTTTGCTTCAGCGCTGAGCATCTCTTCGAGTGAGTGAGCTTAGTATCTTGACTTTGAGCAATCCCATCAAAGAATAACCTATATTCCGGCAGCAAGAAGCTTCATCCCTTCCCTTCATCGCTTATTCTGGACTCTCATTCCTCTATTTGGCTACTTCCTTCTCCTATCATACGTTCCGCTACCCCTTGCGCTGTCCTCGTCCCATGGATCTGCCTCCCTTCTTGTAGCTGCGCTCTCGCGTCTTGCCGTACTCGGCACCGTCATGCTTGGTCTTCTTTCTGGATTTGGTGCTGTGTCGACCGCATGGGGATACTTCCCGTTCGTTTGTGGTCATGGAGGGCTAGTACCATGCTTGCTTTCTTCCTCAAGACATACATCCTAATGTGACATTGGTTATGCAGGAAACCTCCCACGGAGGCCCAGATAGAGCTTGCCGAGCAGGGCTTGACCAGAGTGTGTACTGATCTTCAAAAGAAGAGGGAGGAGGTTGGGCTTCTGGAGAGACGGAAAACGGACAACATCACAGTAAGAATTACCTGTAATGACAATGCTCATTCTCGACAGAGAGCTGACGAATCCAAACAGGAAAGCAGCTCTACGTCATGGTTATCGCGCATCACACCCAACTTCCGTGGTGACAGCGGTGCGTGGTTCCTCCGATGTTATTAGAATCTTATAGGCTGACTTCTCGAAGAACTCTCTACTCTGAAGACTGAGATCTCTTCTCTTACAGACCTAGAAGAGCATATGTTCTCTCAATTGCAATGGTTCCGCCAACAGCGCGCAGAGCTAGCATTCGAGCGAACTTTCAGCGGACGGCTTGTCGTCATCGGCCGGAGAGCAATGGGGCTTTACTGTATTTTCCGCGGGCTCACGGTCCGCCTCGCACGCTTGTGTGTCATCATCAAAGGCTCTGATTCGCGTGCATTGTAGTCGATCCTGAACATACTGTTACCCGCCGCGAAGCCGCCCGCACCTGACGCACCGTCACGCGTGTACCCCGGTCTCCTCACCGCACTTATAAGCCTCGTGCTTTCAGATCCTAGCACCGCAGAGGCGGTGCTGAGGCAGGTAAACCTCGCGATCGTGGGCATCATCATCTGGAGCAGCGTGAACAGGGTTCTGCGCGGCGTCGCGAGCGCGCTGAAGGTCACCAGCCGGGCCGCTATCAAGGACGTCGTGCTGCTCGTGCTCGCGCAGGTCATGGTGCGTCTGTTTGCACCTGCAGCTGCATTGCTTCGCGTTGGTTGGATGTTGATCTCGTCCGTTTCGTTCAGGGAATCTATCTGCTGTCGACTCTCATCCAGCTGCGTACGTCGTTTCCCCCTCCAGCCATGTCGAATCCGGACGTCACGGAAGAGACGGTCAATCTGTTCACGACCCTGCCAGCCTACGAGTTTTTCGGGCCTGTATTTGACTGGAGCTTTTTGCTTGCCGCGGCGGGCGCGGGGGTTGGCGAGTGGGCCAGAGGAAAGATGAGGACCGCTGAATGAGTACAATATCATTGTTTTGTATGAAGGATCTACAGGACGCTCAGGGCACTGTTAATGCCGGAGACCATTATAGATTATAATTTGCGAATATATATGGGTATACCCCACCGAGCTTACCATGTCGTTGATGCATATTTTGCCAGCACGTTTGTGCATTCCTCTTCGTATGTTGATCTTCCGTCCTCAATGCGCCGTCCTCTCCCTGGCATCTGATGCAGCTCCCTGGCATCTGATGCAGATCCCCGCAGTCCGCCACCCCTCCACAAGAATGCCTATCTCTTGGGTCTCCAACCCTGCATCTCCGACGCGTCTGCACGGTGCACGCGAGCGTGTTGAAGACGAAGAGCTGCGATCCGCTCGTGCGCGCACCGAAGTCAGCAGTAGCACACATCTCGGTGCTGCGGATGGGTTCACCTCGTCGGCGCGAGCGACAGGTCTCACAGGCTATCTACCCTCATCCAGCTGCGCACGTCGTTTCCACCACCTGCTGTATCGAATCTGGACGACACCGAGGTGACGGTCAATCTGTTCGCGACCCTGCCAGCCTACGAGTTTTTCGGGCCTGTATTTGACTGGAGCTTTTTGCTTGCCTCGGCGGGCGCGGGGGTTGGCGAGTGGGCTAGAGGAAAGATGAGGACCGCCGAATGAGTACAACTTGTTTCTACGACGGTGAAGCGAATCTCAAAAAGATCAACAGGATGCTTGGACGCCGTTGCTGCCCTTATATTCTGCAGATATTACTACCTATATCCCACCGAACACAGTGCAAGAGTAATTGTCTTGTTTATTGTCCTATCGCCATACCAAAGCAACTCTGCTTTCGACGATCATGATACATTGGAATACACTGCGAGTCTGGTTGACAGCTGCTTTCCTTAATAAAAGCTCTTCACCCCAACCAATCCGTAACGCCCTTCTTGATGAAGGCATCGATGCCCTCCGAAATGAGCGTCTCGCCTCCAACGATGTCAATGGCCAATCCAGCTGCATCCGGTCTGTCGACAAGGGCAGCAAGTGCATTCGCGACGTCGCCCCTCTGTGAAACCAAATTAAGCGACAACACGAGCATCAAGTATACATAAGACTTGCCGGAATGGTAGGGATCATGTGGGTCCTGCCGATACTCGCTTTACCAGTACCAGGCCCTTCGGTAAGCCCACCAGGGCGAAGGATCGTCCATGTAAACGCAGTACGTGCAACAAGGTTCTTGTCCGCTTCGTATTTCCAGTGCATATAGTCCTTGATCCTGCTCCGCACGCGCTCAGATACGTTTTTGTCTTCCTCCGTCTACAACCCGGAATGGGATCAGCACTCTTCGGCAACTGGAAGCAGTCCAGGAGTCCGAACTGCTTACATAGTGTTCTGGGATCTTGTTGGGATCGCGGACGTCAAGGGCACTGACAAGGACGAGGTGGGGCTTGGGCCCTGCGACGGCCTCGATCGCGTCGAACACCTTCAGCGCGCCTTCGTAGTCGACTTTGCGTGTGCGCTCTGCGCCGCCGTTGCCTCCTGCGCCGGCCGAGAAGACGACGGTGGCAGCATCGGTGAAGGCGCTGGAAAATTCGGACACGGGAGAATCCTCGAGGGAAAGCACGAGAGGGGTTATGTCGGTTGAGATTGCTTTGAGATCGGCGCTGTGGGCGGGATCGCGGATGATGGACGTGATGCTATGCTTCGATGCTATGAGGCCTGCGAGGCGCAGAGCCACCTAAGCGATTACGATGCGAAAGGCGCTAAAGACTCGAGATTGCGCGTGTTCCAGTTCATAGAATCTCACCTTACCGTGGCCGCCGACAATGACGACTTTCTTCAGGGACATGGTGAGAGGTCGATGGGGAGATACACGACGGTAGCGGCTTATATATCTGTTTCCAGGTTCCGAGAAGCTTCACAACGCCGATGACAAATGTCTTTTCTCCATGAACATTCGGAGATTGCACAGACATACCAAGCGTCAGCATGAACCTGCTGACCTCCGTTCGATTTCGACGCCTGTGACAGCTCGAATGTTGGGGAACGAAAGCCCTTGCATTTGGTAAGATAGGTTCCACCGAGATGAATCCAAGACCGATGGTGCTTGCGCAACTTCAGACACTGATCGTGAGACTGCACAAGCGCTCAAAACTGGTCCTCGATCGCGACTGGGCAGATCATCGATTGCGTCATCGCAGGGCAACGACCAAGGCTGCTCAGATCAAAGAGCCCGATGGCCTGGGGGGCTTGAGGACATGCAACGCAAGATACATGAAAATACATATCGGCAATGATATTACAGTAATATCAATCTATTAACGAACCGTAAGGAGAGGTTCTCGCTCCGATGGGGTCTCGTATTTCCGAATAAGGTGGGTAGTACGAGCACCATCGTCCAACTCCACAATTTGTTCGACGATCTTATATCCACCGAAACGCGGGAGGAGGATGATCCAAGTATAGTAATAGAGCCCGCAGAACTGTAGAATATTGAATTATTATCCACCGGCATCGAGAGGACTGCGGTGCGACTTACGCCAAGTACTGCAAGGCCAACGACGCAATATCTACGATAGTTCTTAATGAACCTCAATCACAGAACGTAAAGCGAGCAAGATACTCACGTCGCATACCAAAACGAAACATCGCCTCGTCCGTGTTCTGGAGGTACCCTTCCATGCAATGCATAAGTGCTAGGCGTAAGTTTTCGAGGACACAACGTACCAGGGCATCACAAGCAAGAATACACATTGCATCAGCCATAGGCCGACTGCAAAGTTACTGACACGGAATGGTGACGGAGCTAGCCCGACTAGAGCACGCGAGCGCCGAAGCCTCCAAACACCAATCGCCGTTGCAGCTGCAAATATCTCGGGGCAGGTCAGACGTGCCGACAAACACGTCGTCAGATGCCCGACGGTGGTACTCACCAGATTCGGATATGAAGTCAGGTCAAGCATGAAGCTGAATGCGTCTTTGGCCGGGAGCGCGAGGAGGACGATGACTGTGAGAGCGCATTTGAGAGAGACGGGGGCCAGAGGCGTTCCGAATGGCTTTGTGGAGGCGAAGAACTCGGGATAAGGAAGGAGGCCTTGACGGGCGACTTCACGCAGCACACGGGCTTGACCGACAGTCTGGGAAATAAAACGGATGATGGGTCGAGACAAGACGTTTTTCATAACATGGTACGACACTCACGACGGCGATCTGAGGGTGAGAGAAATCAGCTATGACGGGGATAGTGTCGGGTTCGACAACTGACGATGTTGCCCACGCAGCTGCACGCTACCATTACAGGCAGGATCCTCGCAGCCCAGTGTTCACCGTACACATGGCTGAAGAATAGTGCTGCAACAAGCTGGCCAGAGCCCTTGATCTCTTCCGCCGGCACTGCGGCGACGTAAGCAAGGTTGGTCAAGAAGAAGAGGATGGTGACCATGGACAAGGAGATCAGCCCTGCATTGCGGACGGTGCGCACGGGATTGTCGCCTTTGACTTCGCTCAGGACATTGTAAGAGTTTGCCCACCCCACGAAGGCGAAATTTGTTTTGACTAGAGCGGTCGCGAGTGCGTTGGGGTTCGTGCTGCTGCCTTGCCATATGTTGCGGAAATTTGCGAACGGATCGCTGATATGCGTGAAGCCAAGAAGGACAGCGGCGCCTGTGCCTGAGACACTGCGAAGGATGCGTCTCGACTGGATTCCGTGTGACGTTGGGGATTTGTACTTACAAGATTAGCGATAGAATCTTGATGGTGGTTAACACTGTGACTATTCGCAGAGCCCATTTTGTCGACACGCCGACGACTGATCATTAAAACGTAGGCAAGAGTGTGCAACGAAGAATGCGATGTAGATCATACCTGCTACACAGAACGTCACCACTCCCAGAGCAAAGGCAGTCTGCCTCGATCCGGTGATATCGATATCAAATATAGCAGACGCGTATTGGGCGAACACGATCGAGTTTGTTGCACTGAATCTTTTGTGCGGGCGTAGGGGTTGCAATCCTGAGCGGCAGGCGGATGAGGAAGTGCTGCTCACGATAGGAGGACTGTGGACACTGCGAAGGAGATTGGCACCAGAAAACGTGGTCTCGGATACGCTTGCTCGAGGAAAACGACCTCCGCTCCTGATCTATGGGGAAACATACTCGCAAGCTCGGTGTAAGCAAGAAGAGCGACTAGAAGCTGAAGTTGATGTTATGCATTCAGTAGAAAATGATACGTGTCGATCTCACCACAAGCGAAGATCGGTGCAATGACCCAGTAGGCAAGCAGCAGGCCAACCGAACCAACGGAGTTCAAGACGACCCCGGGAACTGAGAATATTCCTGATCCAAGCAGCTCGCCGAGATTCAATGTTATCGCAGAGAAAAGGGTGACTTGACGACCTAAAGGACTCCTCTGGATTGATCAACGACGAATTGCTCTGAACGGAGGAAGAACTCGATATACCGTCTCGACTGGAGCGCCAAGTGTCACCGAGACATCTTCATCTGCTGGATCTGCTTGTCCCTCAGCATGGCCACTAGAAGACTCGGTGACAAGTGTAGCACTAGATTCTGAAGGCCTCTTTGCGTTGCTGAGGAGCGACATGACTCGTGCGGTGAAAGCAATCAGTGTGACTAGAATGAGTTGCCTTAAACAGTGCGGCTTCGCTTCGAAGTCCGGTTTCGGAGGCCGAAGCTAGCTCGGAGTACTGCTCTTCACAAACCTTTCTGTGCTCCCCTCATGCAAGAAAATTCTACGGATAATTCTAGTTCTACCGTAACCTCTGCCCCACAGGCTACATCCCAATCTGCTCCTCTCCGCACCGACACATCATGTCCTGCTCGGCCTGCCAACCGTGGTCGAGCTCGACAGCAGCCATTTCGACAACCAGCCATCACCACTTCTCCTCTCTGGAGATCTGGAAGTGCTCTCATGGTGTTTGGTTTTCTGTTCACACGCGATTTTCTCGACTGCTACTGCACGGCCAATAAGATTGGCCCTGTCCGCACCGTCCAGCAGCAGTTCACCACCGACACTGTCGCAATTGATAAAATCCAGTCTGATCTCAAAATGGTCTACACTGGTCAAAAAGAGCCCAAGGAATTTGATTCATGTTTAGTGATTGGGACTAACTACTCAGAAGAAGACAGAGACCGACCAAATAAGCCCTAATCCAGAGGTTTCAGGCTATTGTGGGTGTCAATATAGAACTGATATGGTACCACATCTACTATAGGTCAGTCCCTTCATTCATTTCCCAATATGCAGCTAATGCCATATATAACCCTGCTCTCATTATGATTGTTATTGTGATAATGAGCATGGGTGTGCTCTAGGCACCAATACCCCACTTTTCGCAGCTTTTCAGTATTCTTTGACTATTCAGCATACTTAGGACTGACCAATCCTGATCTGTTTGGCACTCTCAGCTATTTGTCAGGTGCTGGCTTTGCATTTAGACCTCTTCACAGTCATTTGGAGCTGTTCATAGTCATTGTATGCATCTATCAGCACTCTTAGCATTAGGAACTCCCCACAGACTGTTGCAGGTGATCACTGATTAGTTTGGTATGCTTTACATTATTGGTACATTTGGTTGGCTTTAGTGTCCCAAATCAGAGGTGGCTAAACACTTTGTTGACTTGGAATGGATCTGTCTTTCTACCTCTTATTGTCCTTATGCCTTTTATTGACCTATCCTTTGTTATCTTCAGAGCTCCCAAGTTTCTAAATGGTTTACCCATATAGCATGTGGTTCTTATTTCTAGGTCCATGTGTACTCACCTTAGCAATCTCTCTACTTATTCAGACTTTAGAGTTATTGCTTCTTATCTTATAGTGTTTACAACATCACTCCCTTATCTTTTTTACCTTTGATAGCTCTTAGCATATATTTCCAATTGCTCTATGCCTCTGCCAATCTCCCTATCTTGTACCTATTTTGACTTACTATAAAAGGGTACCTATGGCCTCACAATACATCAGCTTTGGCTCCTCCCTTATTTTAATTCCATTCATTGTTATAATACAAACAAGTTTGTGTCTTGGCAGAATAATTTCTAAGATTGTTCTATAAGAAGAAATGACTGTGCAAGTCTAGACCAAAGCAAGAAACATTAGAAAAGAATGGGAAATTGAGGAGCAAGATAATTCAAGAACTATCAGTAGTTACATCTGTGCATAACTCCCTCACATCATGTCCAATAACACTTCTATACACTTATCACTCTGGGGCATATTCCCTTGATCATTGTTCTATCTTTATTGCTATATAGCACTTTGACAGCCACTACTGGACTTCCATCTACTAATTGTCCCATCAGGTCCATAACCTGACTTGCTTAATATATTCTCTGTCTTTCCACCATCTCACTCTTTTATTACCATTCCCTAAAAACCCACATACTACATCAATGCTGTCTCCAATACTCTTTTAACTCCACCATCTTTGAATAAGCCACCAATAATATTAATTCCTCCTGATGAAGATAGAATTTGACTGCCACCAGTCTTAGCTAGAGGAGTATTAATGAAAGTCTGCACCCTTTCTAGAAAAGAGGGGTGGGAGGCATGATCTTTTGTTAATTTGCTAGACCATGAATGCTTTATTCATTCATGATTCATTAAGTTCTTATTCCTTTATTCTAGTGTTTCTTGTTCATTTCTTTCCCTAAAAATCATACAGTCTTCATATTTCAAGTATCACACTCTCACTTGGCTCCAGTTTTATGCTTAGGATGTGGATAGATCTTTTGATCTATATTTGTGAATATATGTAGCTGTCTTTTATTAAACCTTGACTTATCAGGGACTTAAAGTATCTACATTTATTAATAAAGCTGTCTTGATGCTATTTTAATAGACTAGATGAAGCCTAGGAGGGACCAGAGTGGAGCCAAACTAATCTAGACTCTTATAGAATTGCATAGATCTTGTGCACTTTTTGATGCACTGAGAGGCTTTGTAATAGCTTAGTAAGTGAATGAGGAATCAAGAGGCTAGAGAACTTAGAGCTGCTCAGGTGGCTAATAGAGAATCTAGAATAATTCTAGGCCATGCTTTGGAGAAATCTAGGAAAGCCTACTCTATTCTAGTTTAAACCAGACACTTCTTTCTAGAATCTTTAGCACCTAAATACATCTATAAATACCCAAATCTGGGTCTCATGCATAGCCTCTACATAAAGGAGAAGTGCATGTGCCCTAAAATATAAACAGTTTATTGCTCATATTGTTGAAGTTGCTCTTGCCCTGGAAAGTCATCTCTACTTTGTAAGGTAGTTTTTACTAATCACTAAAGTCTCTGAAGTTAACACTAAGTATCTTCTAATATGTCTAAAGCTGTGTTAGTCCAAACAGGACATTGAGTTAGTTCTGAGTTTAATCTGGTCGGAAAATATTTGAACCTACATTAGTAAGAAAGCTCTGAAAACACCAAGTTCAATACCTATTAGTCTGATATCCTGGTCTCATCTTTTTATCATACTTATCCTCTAGGTTCTTTCAAACAGAAAGAGTCTGAATTCAGAAAAGTATCTCTCATGCTACTCTACCAATCCTAATGCACAGCACCTTTATAGAAACAACATACTTTATAGCATGGCTAGTAACTACTTCCTTAGGACTTATATACCTTTTAACACAAGCACATAGCTTTGCATAGTAAGATAAACTGGTACCACTATATAAACAGAGAATTACCCTCAACAACAAATAACTAGGCTGCTCTAAGAAAAAAGGAAAACCTGAGTTGGTCTGGGCAACGATTCTTTGGAATTAGTTGGCATGTCAATTAGACTATTTCCTACCCTCCAACTTCAAAGTATCTCACTATATAATATTATGTACTTGTGTTTATGAGACTTTGAGCTATTGCCTTCTAATCCTTATTCATATTTTGCCCCTTTGTTTGTATTATTGTGTTCAATTGCAGCCCTCTACTAGAGCCCTTATCATCTTGCTCTCTCCCTCTTATCTAGTTTGTCATCCTCTACCAGTGTTCAGTGTGGCCTCATACCTATTCTCTTTCTTTTGTGTACCAATCAAATCCCAATCACACATTAGCTGGCCAAAGATATCAATTTTAGATTTATTTGTTCAGACTACATTACATTTGACTAGTATCTACTCCTTGCCAATTGTGTCAGTGTCACTTTAATTGCAGCTACACTCCAAATACTTCCAGCCATCCTAATTCCAAATGAATGTTACCCAACTGAATATTTCAATTTTGGAGTTGTTTCTATGCTCTGAACACTTTTAGTATGCTCCCTTGTTGGTTGTGGCACAGCTAATAGTTTTTTGCACACTAGAACCAGCTCTTGCCTACCTATGCTTGTAGGGGTGTTTCTTGGATGTGTTTTGTACTCAGAGGCATCACTAGTATATCAGTGATTATACATGAATCTGTATCTCATCAGTAGGCCATTTCTAACTAGTATGCAATATTAATTGGTACACCGTATCTTGTATCAGCAAAAGTAAAAGTGTCTGTATAGACCTGAACAGACATTTCAGAGCCCTAGATACTCCTAGCAAGTCCCTAATTAGATAAACACATAACTTCTGGCCAGGTTTCTGGACAGACATGTTCAGACATACCATCTTTGGCCAGATGCACCATATATGGAAGTAATTAGATAATTATTGTCTATAGAATGACAGCAAAAATTAACCTGCACTGATCAGGGATTGAACCTAGATCTTTAAAAGGTATTCAATAATTAAGAGCAATGTTAGCATAAGGATTATCCACTCTACTATATGGGCTATAATATATAGTATCAACAACCTAATCCTATAGAGCCTTGTAAGACTTCACAGAATTTGGAATGCCTAAACTTAGTAAAACATTATGTATTTTCACATTTTTTTTACCTATTTATAAGGGAACAATGGTATATTATACATTATTTGAAAGCTTTGATGTAGGAGAGTAGCTCAATGCCATTATTAAGCTGATATATAACAGATGGCACCAATAAGAGTCTATTATATTACCAGAACAATTTTCTTCTTAGCTCTTATCAAAGGCTGGATTGAAACAAACTAAAGCAGCATTGATATTATTGAAGACTATAGCTTTTCAGTGGTGTACCATGGTTCATAGTTTTACTCATGAAATAATGTGGAAAATGCAAAATTATAGGCACCTTACTTAGTTCCATCAAAAATGTTTAAAGTCCAAAGAGTGTAGATATATTGGCCTTGAGATGTCTTATGTTGTTTAGGTATATAGTGAAATAGATAACTATAAAATGTTTTGTACATTAGGCTTTTGGTTTAAGCCCCAGTCTATGTGTGTATTTACTAACTTTTTGTAACTGTGGAAATCTTATATACACTGCCTTCTGAAAATGTGCTGCCAGTTAGCTAATTAATAGAGTGCCCTTATCTGGCCATACACAGACATCTAGTTAGATATCCTTAAATGATCAAAGCATTTAGGAGCATTTAGGGCATTTGGGGCTCTAGGACTTGGCTACAGTTTTGCTAATATATTTAGTGGCCCCTAAGGCAAAAAGCAGACAAACCATCATATTGATGGCCTTGGAAATATGCTTGTGATTGTTCCCTCTAACCATGCCTCTATAAGGTTCTGTTTATTAACTTTCTCCTAAAACTTCAAGTTTCAATTCTAGACATAGAGAATGACTCACTAAAAGATGTCTACAGTCTTCAAACTATTGCCTGCAATGTAATAACACTTGCCAATTAGCTTGAGGCATGTAATCAAGATGCTGTTTAACAAGGATTGTTAAGATATCACCTAGAAGGAGAAGAGAAAAAATGTTCTCATGCTCAAGTACTCAAAGAAGCAGTGTATATCCTCTGATAAAACTTATCAAACATCCCTAATTAATGTGTGTCAATCCACTACCATACTCATTTAATGGCCTTTTTTAAGCAGCATTTTATAGGTCTTCTAATTAGACACCAACTCAGAATTCTATCTCACTATTATACTAGAGGCATCTCTAAGTGCTAAGCACAATACCAAAATAACCTCTAATATAGGAGGTGCTAGAGCTAGTATCTGATACACAAGGAATCATTAGGGATAACTTTAGGAATTGAAGGCATACTAAGAAGCAATGGGAAATATGAGATTATAGTGCCTAAATGGTTTTAGAACTGTACCAAACACTGACAAAACATTCAGTTAGTTATGTTAGGGATTTGGTTAGTAATAAAAAAAATAGTACCATAACTGACAACTATGTGGACTTTGACAATATGCAAGGGCAGATGAGAGATATAAGCAAAGAAATAAGTATGAACACAAATAAGGCCAAATAATGAGGATGACAAGTTTCTTGGAAGTCAATGAAGATAATTTCAATGGTTGAGATGAATGTGAATGAGCTCTGAACTGTAGAGCACAAAAACTAGTTTATTCTAGAGTTGTATGTAGGTTTTTATAGTAAATAGAGCCCCTAATTAAATATCAAATGGGAAATAAGAATAAGTACAAACAGACACCAAGACCTAGTAAATAGCAAAGATAAGAAGGTAAGAAAAATGTCCATATGGGTTCCAAAAGTGATAAGGTAAAAGTTTATCAGCGATAATAAAATCCCAAATGTTTGGAATCCATCACCTAAGCATAGATCGTAGGAATAGGTGTTGAAAAGCCAATAAAAAGGAAGAAATATTAAATGTATAACTTGGATAGCCAAGCAATGGTGCATGATTGCATTCAACCAAACATATGAAAGTCAGGACAATAAGCAATAAGGACTGACTGGATATAGATAATGTCAGCCAAATAGGGTGTTTGATCCCAATCCTATTATAGAATATTGTAAGGCTCCTTTAATGACTCCTATATGATCATAGTAAGTATGTGACATGTGTGTAAACTGACCCAAGTGCTGCCAAACATCATTTGGTGGCTTATAGTCATTTGGATAGGGACCAACCATGATTGGTACAAGTTAGTGTCTTTGGTACTTGTCTAGAGCTATTTGGTCTCTTCCCAAAGCTTTCTAAATACCTTTCTCAGACTCTAGAGTGGGTGCCTGCTCATTATTGCTTTTCAATAATAAACCACCTCTTATGGCAGCTGTTTAGACCCAGTGTCTCTCTGGTCCCTCACTGCAACCTACATTAACCACCCCTCTTCTATATTAGTGCCACATAGTACCTTATATGGTATTTGGGTTTCTCTTTGCACCTGAATTTGTTGATTGGTATTGTAATCTGCATAATATTGGCCCCCTCTATGCTTCAATAGAAAGGTAGGGCTGCTATGGGTTTGCAATCACAAAAGTCCGAGTCCAAGCAGGAGTCCAGAGAATTTCTATAGTTTAAGAGGTCTATACTAGTCTAGAAATGCCTGAAATTGCATTGTGCTTGGTGCTTGGAACAAATTACTCAGAAGAGCTTAGGCAAGGACCAAGGAAAGACATGATTTGAAGGGTTCAAGGGGAAATGGGTGTTGATATGGAACCAATGTGGTACTAATATCACAACTAGATAACAGTCTCTTACAATGTGTAGAGAGTTGCCGGTTGCTAACAAGACTTCAGTGATAGCATACCTTAGTCTTCATAAGTTCTGTTATTCTTCCTACCATTGTCTCAAAGTTGTGGAGGCTCATGTCTGCTCTTCTAGGATGACCACTACATAGTGGTCACCTTCTGCTATTGTCTTGATATATTTTGCTGTTATTGTTGACCATCTATTATGTGCATTCTTAGATTGATAAATGTCAATCCAACATACTGTATTAGCAATTCAAATTTTAGGGTGGCTTTATATTGCTGCATTGCTCTGTCTTTGGAAGAACTTAGGATGAATGAGATTTGCGCAAGAACTAAGGTAGGCCGCAAGCAAACACAACTACATCACATGGTGTTATATTTACATGACATTGAGTGACCATAGAGTGACAAAAGACTTATTAAGTAGTTGATTAGTAGTATTTGCTGACAATAAGTGAGCTAGGGGATAGGAGAGACAGAAAGTGGGCGAGGAGTGGTATGTGTAATGAAAGTGATACTGCATAAGTATCTTACTCTATGTGATGTTCATCTAGCTGCTCCAAAATTGAGTCCAGAAGCCTGCAATGGCCATGATATCTTTTTGCTGCCCAAGATGCCAATAAACTTATGATTAAAAATATATATTCCACTTCCAGTCATAGCAACACTCAAAAACATTCAAAATGTATCTTCTCTTTAACTGGGTCTAAAATGGAAAAAGTGGCACAGAGCAAATGTCAATAAAACTGATATGAAGGATCGCTCCGTGCCAGATTTCTCAATTTCTTCTCAGTGAGTGAGAAGATAGCATTTTCTTGCGAATGTAATGCCTTCCCCCGCCAAATGTGACATCTGAGCATCACGTGATGTAGTCGCGTTTGCTTGCGGCCTACCTTAGGAAGATGAGTGGTGAATCTCCGGATTACTAAGCCCAAAGCCGTCAATCCAAACTCCGCTGCTCCGACAGGCTCCTTTGGAGACGGCTTTCTCGGCTGAAGCAACTCCGACGAGAGCGAGCCGTAGCGATTCAAAGTCAGGCGGCTCATTCCGCCTGGCAAGCACGAGGCCCGGTTTACCGGCTTTTACCTTCGGCGCCTGATGCACTTTCCCCAGGTTACCCCGCACGTTTGAACTGTGTTTTACGCGGGACAACCTGGGCTTGCTTTAATTTCTGAGAAAGTTCACCTCTCTCTATATTTTTCCAGCCATTCTTCAATAGGACCAGATAATATCATGTCAGATGCTCAAACAAGCTTGGAACTATTATTTGCTCGTTTGACGGCAAGCATCAACGTGGTTGTGGTACGAGGATATTTGTATGGTGAGTGCTCGTCCCGAATGCATTGATGGTATGGTGACATTCGGCTTCATGGAAGGGCGAGATTCATGGGAACAGCATGAAGGCATCGTACGAATCTTGTCTTCAGACCCCGCTTTTGACAGATCTGCGAGGTAAATGCCATCATGAGAAGACACGCAATTTGGAAGGACTTATAATGATCTTATCTTAAGGGCATTCATGAACCGGAGCGAGCAGTTTAATCGAGCGCTCGCGATGACGAAGCGAATATATGAGCTTGAGGAGCAGCTTGAGTGGTCCCCTGCCGACACTTTGCATGCGCTCAGTATCCTGGACGATGGAGTGCCGATGAACCTTCACAACTTAGGTAATGGAATACTAGGAGACTAAACGGATAGCTGATTGATAATATCGTGAAGCTTTTGAGCCCGTGCTCAAGAGCCAGGGTTCCGACAGCCTTCTCAAGAAATACGGGGCGCTTGTCCAACACCACGGTATCATAGGTTGCTATTTGCAGACCGAACTCGGACACGGTAGCAATGTATCGGCGCTGGAGACCACTGCTACGTTTATTATGGAAACACAGGAGTTCGAGATCCACTCACCTACCCTCACCAGCACCAAGTGGTGGATCGGAGGACTGGGTAAGACGGCTACGCACGGAGTCGTGCAGGCAAATTTGATCTTGCCGGATGGGAAAAATGTTGGGCCCCACCTCTTCTTCGTGCAGTTACGATCCCTAGGTAAAACGCTACAACCCGTGATGTTTTTCTGCAGCTTATATTGTACTCCAGAAACCCACAACGTTCTTCCAAGTATCACGCTCGGCGACATAGGTGTGGAGAATCTCCCCCGGAAACCGATTGCCTCCTTTTGATGACCGTGTTTTATCAGGCCCAAAAGCCTTGGGAGGATGGGCTAACATGGACCACGGGTATGCGCGTTTCAACCATGTCCGCATCCCACGAGAGCATATGCTTTCAAAGTTTGCAGAAGTCACTCCAGATGGGCGGTATATGCAACCACCACATGCGAAGATGAGCTACGGAGGCGTAAGCAACGCTCGTTACTGTCATGTCGCTCAAAATAAAATTGATTGCACAGATGCTTTATCTTCGCTCCGGGTAATACTATACTCTTGTCGTCGTGATATATCATTGACACTCTGATTACAGCATGGTGACATCTGCAGGGTGGGCCATTGCGAAAGGTACGTGGCTTGCGTTGACGAGTACATGTGGTGCTCAACTAGGGTACAGCTGCAACAGTTTCTCTTCGATATGCGACCGTTCGGCGACAAGGGAACAAGTCTGCAGAGGGTCTGGAAAAACAAGTCATCTCGTATCCGTCGACATACTACCGACTTCTGCCCATCCTTTCCAGAGCATACGTTTTTGTGCAGCTTGGCCGACAGTTGGTGAGCAAGACTCCCCGTTCTTGCCAGCTCGTCTGACTCATTTCTTACACAGAGTGATGCATTTGCGAACACGTCTGCGCGCCTCGCGAAGGGCGATACATCTACGCTGGCCGAGATGCACGCGACGAGCAGCGGGCTCAAGGTACTGGCGACAACCGCTGCCGCGCGCGACATTGAGATTGCACGGCGCTCCATGGGTGGCCACGGATACAGCGCATTTTCGGGACTCGGTAAGGTCTATGCCGAGTATCTTCCTGCTGCGACGTGAGTTTTCTGTTGCAGTGCATTTCTCACGCTGGGCTCTGAGGTTTGGGCAGGTACGAAGGGGACAACTTCGTCCTCGATCAACAGGTTGTGAGGGCGGCACTGAAGGCGTATCGCGCGCTGAAGAACTCCATACCACAATCGTCTGCGGAGGCTATGTCCCCCTCGTCGTACTACCTTCGTCTTCTGATCGCACCTAGGCCTGCGCCTCCGTCTTTTCACTCTACATCAGCTTGGACGGACCCGGCTGCGCTGATACTTGCTCTGGAATGGCGCGCCGCACTCATCGTGCAGACACATGCGCAACTGAACGATGGTGAAGGTGACGCCAACGGGCCTCAGCGTGTGTCGAGCGCCGTCAGCGACGCGTTTGTAGCAAGCCAAGTGGGTGAAATGATCAATAACTTGGCGACTTCTTCTCTTGGTTCGAAGGAGAGAAAAGTCGTCGAGCAGGTATACATCTTGGTGCGTCATTGGTTGTTCTCAAATCTTTATCAGTGGGATTGACTGCGTCCGCAGTATCTCTTGGTAACGGTGGAAGCTGGTCTTGTCGATTTGTTGTCATTCGGTTTATTGCCTTCCACTCCATCTGGAAATCCCGAGATCGTCACAGACCCTACCCGTGGACTCCGGGCTGCGATCGCGCAGACGTGCCTATCACTCCTTCCGGAGGCTATCGGACTCAGTGACGCTTTTGGTTTCTCCGACTGGGAGTTGGACAGGTCCGTTGTGATATCAATATCCTAAAAATTCACACTCATGAATGACTTCGGATACCGCGTCTCCAGCGCACTCGGTGTCTATGACGGTCGAGTGTATCAGGAGCTGTGGGAGCGGATCCAGCACGAGCCACTCAATGCGCAGGAGGTTACCCCGGGCTATGAGGTATGTAGGCCTTTCTTTGTTTCCTTTGCCCTGTTGTAATTGTGCTCCTTGTCCTGACGCGCTGCAGAATTACATCAAGCCGATTCTTGAGCGCGGACAGAGACTTGCCGCTGGTAAGGGGGCCAAGTTATAGACAGATCTTTTGTGCTCGTTAGGATGTATTTAACGAAGTTGGACATCATGCTACTTCGGCACTGCTACTGTACTCTGCAGTGACGATTCCCTGCCGTTGTTTAAACACTGACTATATCTTATGTATCATATATCCACGGAAATTGCATTCGAAACCGTCTTATCCTGAAGGAACGTTGCACAATCACGGCGACAACAATGCGAGACGCATGGCCTCACTTTAAAGTCAGTTCTCATGCACGCTCAGTAGGGTAGGAACATTGAATGATATCAAATTGGACTTTCCCTCATATCATACGAATAAAGTACATACAAATTACAGCAAGATGATTCAGGGTGATGGCCCCCAGCCTCAGTCTTCGTCGCCCTCCCCACCCGACTTCGCCTCTTCCTCTTCGCTACTTTCCTTCACCACTTTTTTCTTGGTTGCCCTGGTCTTGGATCCTGTGGATGCTTTGGAAGAAGGGGGTTTGGAAGAGCCGGGGGCGGGTTTAGACTTTGCCTTTGTGGGGGCCTTCGGGCTTTTAGCACTCGGTTTCTTTTTTCTTTTCGGCTTCTCCTCCTCCTCTTCGTCATCGTCATCATCATCATCGCCGGGCAACTGCTGGACTTTAGTATAGTCGACCCGAATTCCACGCGTTCTTCGCCCGGTACTGATCACATTGGTCTGGTCAAGAGCGGCGAGCTCGTCTGTGCAGTGCGCCAACTCAACGGCTTTGGCCACCAACGGCGTGGATGCGACGCTCACCTGCATTCACGCCGCTGTCCGACGACTGATGGCCTTCAAAGTCCTCTTCGTCGTCATCACGCTTCGCTCTGTTCAAATCGAAATCGACGAAGCCCTCGCATCGGCAGGTCGTCAGCTGAGGCTCTGCGTGCGAGCTCACTTTTTGGATTTACTGCCCGCTGCTTTATCGAGGTCTTCTGCTCCACGCTTGGTCTTTGTCGCCACCATCGTGGAAATCAACTATCCTAGCGACTGGGAGTGGTTGCGGGGCGAAGGTGGGGCTAGTGGCTAGAGAAGGCGTTGAGTTCCGGATGGGGATCGGTTTAGGAGCGCTCCTTCTCCGCACCGGTCTCCGCTCATTTCTCCATCAATCATCGTCTCTCGCTCCAACCAGGTTGGCTTTACGAGGACCCAACACAAGCTAGAGCGTATTTGTGCATAGCATCGCCTATCTGCATTATTTCCGCTTTGTCTTGTCTAGAGGACAGCTAGCGTCATGAGGTATGTTAGCCACGGCCAAATGTCAGCGCCTTCGAATTGGTTTTGGAGATCACCTGGCTTGGGAACTCTCCTTCGCTCTTCACTATCTCGCCTACACGCACTTCATCTGACCTCCACTTCCAGCTCCTGGGTCGCATCGTCATACCCACTGATCTTGCAAGGATCTCCCTGCAGTTATCTTTGTCGGTCTTTAGGACATTGTCAGAGTGCATTGCAACGACACGTTCACTATGTCCGTCCGCTCTCCACATTTGGATTGCCTGCCTCGTGCCGAACCTCTGGATTGACAATGACGAGAACGCTGGACACATACGGAGGGCAACTCGTCTCCTGGAGCAACGCCTCCCCTCGGCGCAAAGCAGAATCAGACCGAACGCGGCTAATGCTTGGCTATTACCATACCCGTGAGTAAGTACGTGTAGTCAATCGCTTCGACCCCTGCGCGATATGACGTCGCCGATCCCTTCGACTTGTCACGTCGGGCACAGTCTGTTCCCACAACGCGTACTCGGGTTTCATCTATGGGTCCTCGTCTCCTTCTCCTTCTATGATGGAAGTTATGACTACGCCGAGGTCAACTGGGCAAGACGCACGGCCGCCAGTCAATGGCCCTCAGACCTCAGGCCTCCGCTCTGCATCATTATGCGCACACGCGTCTCGACCTGTTCTCCCGATGACACACGGCTTCATTCATTCCCACCTCCACGCCGACTATGCTTTTCCTGTTCGTTCCAGAGGCCCTGTTCCACGGGTCTAACCTGACAAGACGACACCATCTGGACCTGGGCACGCCATCATCGGCATCGTGAAGCCCCTTGACGTAGCCCGCCTCCTATCTTTCCGTCCTTTTCCAGAGCCCGCCTGACGCTGACGCGCTTGGGTCTACTCCCGTGGCCTCAGCGGGCCGTCAGATGCTCTCACCAGTACTCCCCAGCGAGCGGACGCTCCTCGATCACCCGTCATCGTCTACCCCCAATAGACGATCGCGAGACGATTCTCGGCGTCCAGACTTCTAAGCGTCAAAGCCGCAGCCAGCGCCCGGTTACGCCGGCGTCGGCGGCTCTCTGCGGGACCTGAACGACCTGGACGGGACGGGAGTCGAGTCGCGGTCGCGTCACCTCTTACGCAGACGGACGGAAGCGCTGCTGCATGCCGCGCTACGAGGTACCGTACCATGAAGCACGGATTGGACGTGCCATAAGGAGCCTTACGTCCGCCCCCCCGCGTGTGTCAACGTACGTCGTTCTAGCAGCTCCCGCAGAGGTAAGTGAGAACTCGGGATGCAGAACTCGAGACGCAGAACTCGGAGCGCAGACAACAGCGGGACCCCAGTTGCAGCCGCGCACGGGCGCACAGGCTCAGGCACGCGCGAGATGCCTCGACTTCGTTTCTTTTTGTCTCGTCATCCGCATACACACAGTACATAGCTATCACTCACACAGGTTCCTTCCCGCGTCGACCTGAATGAATGAATCGCGCGTGTTCTTTGACGTCGAATGATTGTTCCCGCGTACAAGGTTTCCACCGCGCTCGCATAAGTGACGCCCGAGGACGAAGACGCGTATCCTCGTACGTGCACGCTCCATACTTAGCACTTACTAGGCCTGGGGACTTCTCCTTTTGGGCACCGGAGGCACTCCTGCGGGCCCTCATAAACGTCAATCAGCGAAGCCGGAAATTGCGCGTGAGCGCTCCTGCGCAACGAGCAGCTTCAGAACTAAATGGACGCAGGGCTCGTGTACGATTCATACATCAAACTCTCGCGATGTGGCGTTTCTTCCAGGGCATTACGTCGCTCCAAGGCACTGGCAATAATAATTTATTCGTAAACGAGCACGGCCGGGACGGCGTAGGTGGGGGTAGGTAGGCAGGCAGGCAAACAGGTAGACAGGGGTAGATATCAACGGGGGTATGCAAGCAATGAGTCAACGGGAGGAGAGAGGGTAGGAAGTATGTAACGGCTACAGAGCACTGCGAGACGGCAATGAATATATATTGGTGAGGCTTGAACCGCGAAGCCCTTCGCGAACTTCTTCATACATGGGTTGTGTCGTCGTCCGAGTCGAGTTGAGTCGAGGGTAACAAGGCGGATAGTGAGGAATGAATAGAAAAGGTCATGACGGAGCAGCAGCAGAAAGAGGCGCACAACAAGGGATGTGAGGACGTGGAAGCAAAGGGAAAAAAAAAAGTGGCGATACAGGATGGAGAGGAGAGACAGAAACAGAAACAGCAAGCATGAAATGCGAGGTATGAAATGATGTCAGAGACGAGCGAGACAAGAATGCTACGGAAGCGTGCGACGATGTCTTGGGGGAGGAGGAAAGCGATGAGTGATTACCGGGAGGGATCTAGGACAACACCACTCGGCACGAGGACGATGCTGAGGTAGATGATGATGTGCAAGACGGGAACGCCTCGACTTCGACCTGGAGGAAAACAAGGATGCGAGCGCCGACGAGCATGGATGCCGACGCTAGTCGCGGAGGCGGTCGAGAACGGTAGTGACCGCAGTGGCGGCGAGGACCTCGGCTCGAGTCCCGCTTGCCAAGCAGCTGAGCCGCGCTCGACGGCTCCACCGGCGTCCCGCTCAGAAGGACTGCATGGAGTTTTCTGAGTACGAGTTGCCACTCCACTCACCCGAAGCTACAGGCTGCTGTGGCTGGCGCAGGGAATGAATACCCGAATCCTCAGGCAACAACATCGGTGGGTGTGGCTGAAGGAAGGAGGAAAATAGCGAGTCTTCGTGGTCGGGTGGGAGCATGGGCGGGTGCAAAAAGTCCATGGGTGACTCGTCGGGGAGAAGCATGGGTGGATGGACGTTGTACTGTGGCGACTCGTCCGGGAGCAGCATGGGCGGATGGACGTTATACTGTGGCGAGTCCGTCTGGTGCCAGAACGTGTTGTTGTTGCTGTTTCCACCGCGCAGCATGGGGTAAGTGTACGAGAACGGGTATTCCATGGACGAGCGTTGCGAGCCCGACGCGGAGGCGCTCGAGCTCGAGAAAGATTCACTGAATGAGGCATACGACACAGCGGATGACGGGGGCTCGGTCGCAGAGTCGTTGCTCATTCGGCGCCGCTTATTTTTCCTAGAGTCCGAGGCGTCAGCATCCGAAGATTCGCCGGCGAACGTTTGCGTCTCAGTCCGCGAAAGCAGGAGCTGCGAAAGAATGTCGGGGTGATATGGGCCAGGGAAATTCGGGAGATTGAGGGAGTAGCCGTCCTGGACAACAAAGCCGTCGTTGTTGTTATTGCCGCCGTTCGGGTTGCTGTCTCCGCCGAGGGCACCCACGAGTTCGGATTGCGTCGGGCGGTAATCAAACCCTTCACCACCTTCGAAGCCCATCTGCGTTGTGGAGTCTGGGGCGAGGATGGGGGCGACGTCCGCATTGGGGGTCGCACGGCGACTCGCACCGGGGCTCGCAGAGGGCGTCTCGGAAACGCCGCTGTTCCCCACCCTCCTCGCATCGTGTCGCGAGCGCTTGCGGATGACGTCCGACTTCATGGAAATAGGCCGTGCAGAACCATGCAATTTAAAACTGGGGGTGACCAATCAGTAGCGGTCCAGTGCACCGGGACGCGATAGCGAACTTACTATAAGCCGCAGCTGCAGTGTGTGGATTTCGAAGCACCGTCATGAGCTTCGATCAGATTGCACATGACAGGGGAAAACTCACGCGTTGCAGACGGTCTTGCCTTCGTCATCTTTCCTCCATAGGGGAGTCGCTGTGGTATGACAATTGTAGCATTGGGCTGGAAAGGTCCAAAAATGTCGGCAATTGCTTCCAAAGCAGGAAATTGACTGCTATACGTACCCATGACTTCCGATGACTCTTGACGAGGCGCAACCTGGGAGCGCCCTTCGCCATGGCTGTTCCGCATTGTCTTTGGCCGAGGACGTTTGTGCTGAGCGAGCAAAGATAGATGATGAGCACACGCATGAGCGCAGATGAACGTGATTACCAAAAACGTACCAGTTTGCAATAGAGCCCGCAAGCGTTGCAGTTGAGCTCGTCATTGAGGCCGCGGCGCCACAATGGCGTGTGCGTCGCCCCGCAGTTGGTGCACTCAGCCTTGACACCCCCTGGTGCAAAATAGTTGTTAGGCACGTGGGTAGCCGGATTGGTGGCCGTCGCACCAGGTGCAGACGAGCGCGAGGTGGCGCTCTGCGTCCGGAGACTCAACGACGGTCGACCCGACGATGTTGTCGAGGAGGGTGTGGTTGAGCCGAGCTTGGAGGGAGATACGGTCTGGGGGAGAGGCTCATGTTGCGTCGCAGGAGTCGGAGGAAATCCCGCCTGCGAGTACGCAGCAGCTTGGTCGTAGGCGTCAGTGGTGTTCGTGCCGTTCATGTCGACGTCTTGTTCGTGAAGAGAGCTGTCAATGAAGTCTTGTTGTCGCGAGTCGTTGTTGACGCCACCCATAGTCCAATCCCCAGGGCTGTCGGTAGACTCGATGAGAAAATCTTCGAGGGGAAGCTCGATGGTAGGGCGCCGGATGCTGAACGAGTCGCTGTGGAGATTGCGGCGAACGTCCTCGCCATAGTTCATGGCGTTGGTGACGGTGGGGGAGGGATAGAGGAGGGCCGAGGGGCCGAAGTCGCTAGAGAAGAGAGATGGAAAGCGGAGAGAAGCGGGCTCTAGATGACCGAGGTCGAGAGGGGAGTCGACGGTGGCGACAGGCTGCTTGCGGCCGCGCTGGGTGAGAGGTGGATCCTTGTCGTTGGCGTCAGGGAGGGCGGGAGGGGGGTCGGCGGGGTCTTCGGCAATGGTGTGGCGAGTGGAGGGTCGGCCGCGTCGTGAGACGTTGTCCTTGAACTCGGCGGAAGGTTTGAGGTCGGGCTTCTTAACAGGGCCAGCAGAAGCCGCGGGGGTGGGTTGATCGACGGAGAAAGTGAATTGCATGCGCTTGATCGTGCCGGGGGCGGTATGTAGGTTCGCCTCCCGAGTGCGTTCCTTTTCTGCGGCGCGTTGGCGGATGATGTCGGTGGAGTGGTTGCGCTTGAAGCCGGGAGCCTCGAGCTCCTCGATGCTCCTGCGGTGGCGACGAGGAGCGGAGGGGAGGTATTAGGGTTAAGGGTTTGGGAGGTGGCGGCGGCAAGCACGAACCGTCCTTTCTCCTTGTCGAGCTTGTCGCCCATGCACTTGGAGAGCTTCTTGAACTCACGCTTGGACCTCGCGTTGTCGGTGTCGACCATGAGATTTTGGAGGTGCCATAGACGCCAGCTGAGGTTCTCGAGGCGTTGGCCCTGCTCAAGGTAACCGGCTACCTTGGTGCAGACCTGGGGGGGGGGGGGGGGGTGGGGGGTGCGAGACGGGGCCCCGGTCGGCAAGGGACGTGTGGGGCGACGAGGAGAACGCACCTTCCATGTCTTCGTGAGGGATTCTGTGTCGCCGAGGTTGGAGAACGCGATGAAAGACTTGTTGCCCTGGAAGGATTGAGGCATGAGATGAAAAAAAGTCAACAGGTCGATCATGGCTCGTGCGCGGGGGCATAAAGACGACCGACTTTGAACTTGAGGTTGAGAATTGAGGGCATTTAAAGGCAGAGGAGACGGAGCAGGGAGAGAAGGGAGAGAAACAGTCGAGCGCGGTCGTCGAAAAGGCAAGGAATACCGCGAAACCTCCCGGCACGGATTATAGCCTCACGCTCTTTTCCTTTTCCTTTTCTTTTCCCTTTCCCCCGCCCGCCCGCAATTTCCCCATTGCAATATTCGTCCTTTCCCACTCCGACACCGCCCGCCCCGGCCACCGCCCCGAACTCCCCCGGCCCGCAGCGCCCTCTCTCTCGTTCCTTGTGCCTCAGCCTGAGCACAGCGCCCACACGTGTTGCCCACCACCGCACTCGTCCTCGGCTCCTCGTCCCGTCCCCGTCCCCACCGTCCCCCACATTTCTTATTTTATTCCCCCAATAATTCAGTCCGCGTCCACGCCCTCTTTTCGCCCCGACATCCCCCCGCGCTCCCACCCGCCTGCGGGGGCGTGCACGCTCCCACCGCCCAATTCAGAGCCCCCTTCTCTCGGTGTACACACACTCCACACAAAGCAGAACGCGCACTTCATCTCCGCAGGCCCCCTCCTCGAGGCGGCTCATATTACGGCCCACACGGGCTTCGCGCTGCATGCACCAACGGCCCACGCCTGCCTGTCCGTGACATTGCAGGACCGCAGAAGCCTTCTCTCTCTGATGCGGACTCTGAATCCGTCCCAACGCCTGATGCAGACGGACGCTGATGGACGCGCACCGAACGTGCTTTCGCCTTCCAAGACACTCCAAAAACCCGCGCTAACGTACCTGCTGTTCCGATCCACGCTTCTCCCTACATACGTCAGCCGCGACCCGTCCCAGTTGGTCGTCCTTCCCATGCCTCCACGGAGGCCAGCCACCCCCAGTCCAAGTCCGACGAACCGATGAACATATAGACACAATTATCGCCTCTGCATCCCCGCATGCGTCATATCATTTCTTGATGTATTAAAGCGGAAAGTCAGCCCCGTCTGCTCAATATATCGCCGATTAAATAAACCACAACGGCCGGAGCCGCACAACCCAATATCATCGTCATCATCATCCTATCTCGCTCCGAACCCTTGACCCTGCGATGGCCTCAAGTCTCGGAGCGGAAGCTGAAGCCCTCGCTTTTTGACCCGAGCGCGACGACAGGCGGTCACGAGAACAGGCGCAAACGCCTCGAGGTCGTGCTGGGATTCAACTCGCACCCCGCGCGTCGGCTCCCTGCACGGCGCAACACAACAATTCCCCGTTTTGGATATATTCTACGGTGGCAATCCTCTTCGCATGGCGCACCCGCGAGCTCGAACGTTCTGCTTGGCCCTTCGAGATGCCGGGCGGGGTGCGATTCGCTGGTTCCGCTGCGTAGCACGTACTTTACTTATCGTGCAAGTAGACGTCTATGTACGCGACCCCTAGAGGTGACTAAACGGATGCGTCGCCGTCGTCAGCATCAAGGCCCTCCTGCTGTCCCATCATCGCCCAACGTGGTGCGCAGCCTCCCCCCGTCCAGCGTCGCTCGCTCGCGCGTCTCGGGTGGCGGTTGCCAACCCCACCACGCCGGCTGGCAACTGTAGTCGAATTCCTTTTGATGCCCAAGCCGCCAACGAGCGACATAATCCGCAGGCCCACACGGGCCAGCGCTTCTTTGTTCCGTTCGATCAGAGCACTCCCGGGCGTCCACCCTCGAAGATCCGGGTGGAAGCGTATTAGAAGCTTCGCGAGCCCCCAACGGCTCGGCACGACATGGACGCACGCAATAACTCGAACAATGCCAAATATCCAAAAGCCACAAAAAATCACAAAAATTAATCAAGCCGCCTCAGCAAATGGACATACCCGATGCAAGTCCGTCCAGGTCCGTAATACGTCCCACACACTCAATCTTCGTCACCCATCTTAGCCTCCTCGAGGCAAGCTCGAGCGTGTGCGGCCCTGGTTTAGGGTGTCCATCGACAGCCCACCACCGCCATCGCCCATCGATAAGCGACATGCCCCACGCCAAACTTGCCTTATTTGGCACGTTTGCGAGTTACGCGCGCGGGCTGTGCTGTGCCCTCGCCTGCCCTCGCCTGATAGTGGCGTTGAATTTGACGAGCGGCGGGTCGATAGCATCCTGCGATGCGCCCGCCATCGCACTGGCGAGCCTTGGTACCCGCTGGCGCCCGATGTCGTTGCTTGCCTTTCGCGTGATCGCACTGGGCCACCCATCTAAGCGAGGAAATCAGCGGGCGACGCCGAGATTAACATGCCAGCCTGGGGAAGCCCGCACGCGTGCCCTGCCATATATTGCAGGTGCAGCCCCACCCAGTGGGCCCAGCGGGGCACCCTCTTACATATCGTCCTCGTTGTTGACATGCTCGAGGGCTTTCAGAAGGCGTCCCAGACGCAAATTCTGCGAGCCGACGGCATCTTCCACGAAATGCTCGGGCAGTGGGTCCTGATCCGGAGACAATTTGGATTCGCACTCAGCCTCCAAGCCAGCGGCGACGGACTCGGGGACGGAGCAGGATGGAGCGCGTCGGCCAACCAGGTGAGCGATAAGACTGACTCACCCGAGATCACACAGACAAACGTCATACCTCATACCTAGCCGAAGGAGGCGCATATTCACGAGGATTGTCGCGGGTCGGGTCGTCGTGGGGAGATAACAAAGGGCACACGTGATCGCGACTTACCAAGTGACGGGATCGCGAATGCCGACAAAGCTTCAAGAAGGCTGTTGGGACCTAATAGATCCTCCAGAAGGCCCGAACGAAGCTCTGGCAGACAGGTGCTTCGAAAATCAGCTACTGATAATCGTGCGGCGGGTTTGGGGACGGAGCGATAGAAGCGGGCACAGCCGATGTGTGCGCGAGCGAGGGAGGGGGAAAAGGTGTGTGCTTGTTGAGCATGATCCTGATTCGGGCGGCGTGTTGGGGCGAGCGGTCCGCCGAAACTTTCCGTGCACTCTCCTGAGGAGAGCCGGGCGTACTCGATGCCGTAACGAGGTTCGAAGAACCGCGCGTCGAGGCGAGGCGAGCGACTTGCGCGGCATATGCGCTACAACGCACGCGCAGGCGCGCTTTGAACCGGGGCTCGAAACGCGTAGACTTTTTTTCGAGAGGGTTCGATAGGAACGCACCTCATCGGTAGCGTTCGATGACATTCGAACGCGTCCCGAGGTGCGTGAGACGGTAGCTCAGCAGGATAGGAGGAGGACGCGTTCGAAACCATCCTGCGTGCAACTTTGTTTTTGTGTTCCGGGTTAGGGTCGAGCCCGAGGGCCAGGCCAGGCATCCGAACGAGCAGGCGGAGTTTCTCCCCAAGGGTGCATTTGGACGGTTTCGCGGATGGGGTTCTTCGGGGCCACGTACCTGTAAGTGGAGGTCCCGGTTTCATGAACATCAGGTGTGTTCGGTAGCGGGGAACGTGTACGGAGCTTCGAGCCATGGCGGAGCACTGGAATGTAGATAACGGCGCGCGCGAGCGTCAGTGCGAGCGGCCCCGTTGGTCCTGGAGAGCAATGCGGACCTCACATGGAGGATGGTCTGATCCTGTACGACGGTCGAGCTCATCGGGCAGCGCTCGGCGAGGCGGACAGGGGCTTTCTTCCATGATAGTAGCTATTCTACAGTGTAGCCTGTTTGTCAGATGATGAAGATGGTACGCGGTGGAGTCTGAAGCCCTTCCGACCTCCCCTCTACCCGTTACCGTGGGTGGCCTGCTGACCCCTATACGAGAAAACGTGCCGACTAAAAGATGGAACTCAGGTTCGAGCACTGTAGATCAAGAGAAGCGCACCGTTTAAATAAACGCCCTCCCCCCTTCCTCCATTGAGCGCCACTAACTTCTCGAGCGCTCGAACATCGGGACAAGTGGCCCGCATGTATCTTTGTAGATGGAGGCTGTCGAGGAGTTGAGTGAGAAGTTCTCTCCAGCATCAGAAGGGGGTGTAGGTGCTTGGTATGTGGGAGAGGAGGTCTGGGCCGGCATGCGTCTGAAGATGCCAACGGACGTGTAGCCACAGAAGGACGACAACCAGATCGGGTTGCCATGTACGAGCACGAACGTGTTCTCTGCATACGATGAGCAGCGCGTCTTGAAATGCTCTTGATTCACGGCATGAGGATGGTGAGAGGAGTCGTGAACGACGACCGAAACAGGCCAGCAAAGTCGCGAGACGCGTTTGGCTTCCCATCACGTGATTGTGGACGCGCCCACGACGCGCCTGGACGCGTCAGCGCGTCTGCTCCCGTGAGTCTTCGAGTTCTCTGCGTCTCCCACAGTATTTCTTCTGTGTCATGCTTTCCGAGATTTCCCCTTGTTTATAAGAATAGTACACCGGTATTCCCACAGATGATCAGCTAGCCACCTGCACCGTTCACAAGAATCAGACCATGTAGCGCTGGCTACTACTAGGTGTGAAGAGATGTACGGACGGACGGGTCTTGAGTACACGAGTCTGGGAAGTCTGTGATATGAGCACTATCTTGTGGCTCGAACATCACAAGCGTCATGACGTATGCGAAAGCAAACATGTTGTCGTCATCGCTTGCTCTCCCGGAGCAAAGAAGCAGAACTAGGGTACCCACGATGGTCCATTCTTGGAGCCACTGGACTGCACATTTCTAGACATATCTAGAGTGTGAAGATTCTCATCTTTGACAAAGGAAGGGTAGTACTGCTGAAACAGATGTACTCGGTCCCAGGAAGTTGAAGTTTGTGACACAGTATCCTGTCCAGCTCACATCCTAGTGGATTACTTCGATCACTTATATAGCGTCAGCTTGGAGCCGCAAGTTTCGTGAGCATTTTGCAGAGGGTACTGGAATGAGAAATGGAGAGAAGAATCTGGAGCATCGTACGATTATAAAGGGTTAGGTATGCTGTGGTCACGAATTCTCGCTTTTAGCGAGCATCTCATCGTTTCTCGTGTTCAGCGCCACTTGCGCTTGCTCTGCCTTTATCCTCGCAAAATTCGTCTCCATGTCCCACGCGAACGGACTCTTCGTCGCGAACAACCAGTCGATCTCTTCCAGCGTCCGATTTGCGGTCTCGGGATAGAAAGCCCACACCAGTGGGATGCTCAGGAAGTTGACTACCGCGAAGATGTAGAGCGTGTTTTCTGCGATGGCATTGAACATGACGGGGTTGAGCATCATTAACCAGCCGTTACCGATGCTCCAGCCGACGACGCCCCATGCGTTCCCTTTGGCTCGAACCTCCAACGGAAATGTTTCCGTCGGCCATATCCAAGGTATGGTCAGCCAAGTCGCACCGAATACTGCGGTGTAGACGAAAATGAAGAATGCGGAGGCCCCTCCAAATTGCGAGGCCCTGTCGGGGTGGTCCTTGAGCAAACGACCGAATGCACCGGCAAGAAATAATGCGACGCCCTGGCCAACGGCACCCCACCAAAGTCCAACACGTCGTCCCCAACGATCGACGGTCACAATGGCAAGGAGCGTGCTGAGCATGTAGGTAATCTGTAAGCGATAGACAGGTGTGTAAAGCAATGCTTATATCCGATGCAAAGATGTCACCAACGTTATTTAAGCCCGAGAGCCATTCGGACTTGCGAGCGCCGTACCCCGCTTGAGCGAAGATCGTGGGGGCATACACTGTGATAGCGGCGATTCCCACCCATCTTTAATGGACAGTGTCAATGAGAGTCGGGTGAATGCACACAAATCACGCACTCTTGAACAATTTGCAGCCATATTGAGAGCTGCACGCGTCGAGCGATGTGTAAGTCTCCAGAATCTGGTTGAATACGACACTGAGAACAAGCAAATAACAGGTGTAATTTCGGATGTTCACTTACTGCGTCCGAAGAACATGGCAATGTAGGAGTTTCGTCCGGCGTGCTTCTTCTCCAGTTCGACGATGCTAACAATATCCTCGTACTCCGAGGTTGCTCGTCTGTGTTCAGGGTCGCCGTCATCGCGCAGAAGGCGCAAAATGGTGCGAGCCTCTTCATTTCTTCCCGCCTTGACCAACCAACGGGGCGACTCGGGCATCCATGGCAAACAAGCCTAGTGCTAGTGTCATTACATGAGCTGAGGAACGCACAGTGGAGGCGTACCACAAATGCAAGTAGCGGTACGAGTTGGAATGCAATGGGAAACTAGTCGAGATGTGAGGGCATATCTCAACTACATGTATGGACACGTACCCTCCAACGAAACTGAAATTATACGTCAGCTGTGTGGTCGGAGAGCGTGGGTTTAATAAATACCTGCGTGTTTCCTTGCCCTACAAAACCGAGGCTAAACTCTAGCCAATAAGCGACGACGACGCCGAAAATGTTCAGTGTGAACTCGGTAGCAATGAAAGCGCCTCGGGAAGTGTGAGATGCAACCTCTGCGCTCCATACCGGGACGATGGCATTAAGAAAGCCTGTGCCTATGCCATTGATTACGCGCGCGAGGAGCATCCTGGGGGACCGAAATGTCAATCACTTATATGGAGGGATAAAGGTGGATAAACATGCCATGTCAAGTTCTGTGCAGAGCATTGTAGTGACGCTCCTAATAGCACCCAACATGCACCCTTTATGACCTCCTTGTCAATAATCGTCTCCACATGACATAGGACTTACGATTGCCATGGTCTTGAGTCTTCCGATCCTTGAAGGAATCAATCGGTATGTTGTCGCAATCAACTAAGTTCAGATACATACCTATCGCCTATAATACCTGCAGGAAGACATCCGAGGAGGGTTCCAAAGTAGTATACTAGTTTCTTCTTTGAAGGATACTTTCGCGTATGATGAAGAAGCGACTCACTGCTGACTATTCCGCCCTGGCGTGTGGGGTTTGTGATGGTCGCAACCCACCCTTCTGAAGCCCCTTCATACCTGATTGCTTTCTCGATTAGCATTCATTATTGAATCAGGTGAGTTCGAGAGTGGACGTACTGAGCATCCCCTAGTCCCATTGTCCGAACGTAATCCGGGGATGTATTGACGCCCCCCATCATGCCCTGATCATAGCCAAAGCTTGAATTCAAAAAATGTGAATGTTGAACAACTGAGCGTGGATGGATACGCCTACAAAAAAATAGCTATACCAGCTACAAAATTGATGACGAACACCAATCTCCTTCCACTCAGCGGGTTCGTACTGCTCATAGTGTCTTCGTGGATCGTCGTCAGCTCTGCTCTTGGAAGTGAATGGAATGGGGTGGGGGTGAATGGAACGGGTGCACAACAACACACCCCGCACCCCATTTCATTTATATCGCACTTCTGGCGAAGATTCAAGCGTCCATCACCGGCATTCCGTACCCCATGACAGCCCTTAAAGTGGATGGAGTGAGATGGCGCTTTAGTGAGAGGGGTGGTGATAATGGGTCGTGGTAAAATACGGACCGCTGGAGCCGAATCACGGTGTCGAACTAATCTACCAATCTGGAGGACAAACAATACTAATGCTTTTGTATTCGGCGTCGCATATCGGTGAAGAGTATCACTGCAGAAAAGGGACACTGTAACCCGGCCGAAAGGGCTGCTGAAATGGCGTCCGAAATCAACTGCCAGTCTGCAATTCAGTCCGTCTATCAAGGCGCCAGGTTCTATGAGGTCATAACAACTCAAGAAACATTAAATCTTGACCACCTGGGTATCGAGTGCTTCCGTCCGATGTTTGTCCTCATACGCGGTGGGAATGCATCGAGATCTAAAGTTGAACTTGAACATAGTTATCGCTCCTTTGTGGACCGAAGAAGCCAACACAGAGCCTTCTAAAAGGGTGCGTCAAGAACATGAAGCGCACTCGGGTCAATTTTCGATCTGACCGTAGGCATATGCCTAGCGCTCAAGTGTGCTAAGCCTTGAAGCTGTTTGGCAGGCTGCGGTGCAATCGTGATAACGATGATCAAAAAAATATCGAGGTAGCAACGAAGAATGAAGACCTTGAGAATTTTGTCACTGGATCCCAGCAAAAGTAAAATCGACACTTGGGTAAAATCAAGAGGATCGAGGACCTTTCTAGTACTGCTTGAGAGGCATATTTCAAGGTTCGCGATAGGACGTTGAGGTCGTGTATACGGACTTGCCTGAATAGTTAGGATCCGCTGACATGACACCCCAAGGTCACTTGGGGAAGAAAGGGGACGGGCTAAGTATGTTGAAAGAAGTTGAATGGCAGTGGCAATTAGGTTCGTGAGTCATGAGAAATGTACCTGAACCGACAGATGATTGAAGGGCTACGCTCTCGCGCTGACATACCATACCAAGGTTCGGCTCCGTTGACACAGAGTTTCCGGGAGTAGACATCCCGAGACAATGCTCCAACGTCAGGTATCACCAAAAGGAACGGTTGATCGCACTATCGTCCTTCAAGCTGCCATCTGTTCGAGGCAGATATATGTGCGTTCGTATGCGTAACAAATGACATAACTTCGAAGGTGAGAGGGCCAAGCATCAATCGGTCAGGGGCTCCTCTCCAATTGTCCGACAGCCTGAGGACACAATATACGCACGGTCTCAGAACAACAAGCTAGTTTCGCCACAAGGTCCGATATTCTTTGATACCATACTTTGTACGTTGTCGATACCTATGAGACACCTTAATTTAGATCTGACATCGATGGGAGATATAAGTATCACAATGAGAGATTGATTATTATTCAACTGCTCAGGATATCTTACCTATGACAAGGACAGTTATTCTTCGCGACACGCAGTCTCAATTCTATGAGGATAACTAGGAACGGGCTGTGGAACGAAAGATGGTTAAAACGTTCAGATATGCATTGCAACTCTCCAGGTTCTCACCTAAAGCAACTGGTCTACTCCCCTTTGTCACACCTACCCTCATACTATCAATGGACTCCTTCTCTACCACGTCTTCTTCCATTTCAGTGGACAATGTCACTGCCTCTGTCCCCATTGACTCCTAGAATGGCCCTAACGCATATTCTTGGTACCTCGTGGCATGAATATCGGATGTCCACTCTCTTCTGTTCGTTATTTGAAGCACAATAGTATGTACCTTTGTGTTGATGGATGGAAGGCACCGTTATTGACCTGCGATCTCTCCAAAGAATTGCAGAAATTCTATGTGGTCGACTCGCGCTACCACATTGTCTTTGAGTGCCTGAGGTTATGCAGACGTTCGTGGCGGAAGCGACATGTGGAAGTATCGTCGCAGCTGGCGTGTATATTAGGTGTGGGACTCGGCATTGAAGTAATAGTCAATTGGTGGCTCGGAAATTATGGTGGTATTCGGTCGTCCAGGAGGATCTGAGAGTCAATGACAGATATAGATTAAGGGTGACCTTGTGAATTAAGAAAGGGATTTCACTGCAAACGGGACATCGACTGATCTACGGCGTGTGCGAACGTGCGCAAAACAGTTCACTTATCATCATCGGATGTCAACCCAAGCAAGGTTTCGAATGAGAATCGTCAGTGTTGCTCAGATCGTTTCATATAGTGCCTTCACATACCTGAGCGCGGAAGGGCGCTGAAATTTTCAGAGGCAGTCGACGTCTGTCAAAGCGGGTGCTTGCCATAGATTGCCAATCCTGACTGAACCAATTCCATTGGCGAGTCGTTGTCGACGATCAAGATGGGCCCGGAGGCGGCATCTCACGGAATAACAGCTGGTTCAAACTCCGAAAGGGTTCACTACTACACATGGTGATGCGCGGTTTCTCGGCTCTTGCAATCGTCTTCATGCGCAGCTGAACGTCCTTCATTCTGCTGGTCTGCACGGTCAACAAGGAGTCGGAGGCTCTCGGTAATTGACATCAGTTCATGTCTGATATCCCTTTGCACTCGCTAGTATCAAATCGAAACTCCAGGGCTGGGTACGCCCGCGTCAGCAACACCGAGGCTCACGAAACACCCGACACCCGCCAAGACTCTATCATGCCCGTGGGACTCAAAGTCGCCGCGTCAGTTTCTGCAAGGAAGAACGGAAGATTAGGGAGGCGGCGTGACGGGTACAATGGAGAGCCAGAGGAGGAGGCAACGTTGCTTGGAGAGGATGCTGAAGACGGGTATTCGCAGGAAGATGAAGGGGATAGACGAGATGGAGTTCTTTCTGATTCTGCATCTCAGGTATGTCGACTTTGTCTTGAATCAGCGCTAAATCCTCATCGTCTCTAGCGGTCATCTGTTTTGCGGAAGAGCGGGTCAAAATCCTCGAAGGATAAATCTCGAATAATTCCTCTTCGCCCACCAGGTACGTCTTTCCTTCCGTCAATGACATACAGTTCCTTCTTCCGAAGGGTTTTGAAACCGAACTGCCCGAAGGAATTATCCAACTCCTTTCCTTCCTGAAGCAAACGCCTCCGCGGCATGATTCACTCCGGGCTCATCATATTGTTTCGCAGAGAAATTCCAGAATCGATATTCTCCCAACATCGTCCGCAATCAAAAATACAATGTCTTCACCTTCCTCCCCATCGTCTTCTACGAACAGTTCAAATTCTTTTTCAACCTGTACTTCCTCCTCGTCGCCCTGTCGCAATTCGTTCCTGCGCTGAAGATCGGTTTGTTCTGGTGTCTGTATCAAAAAATCACATCATAACTGTCTTCACCAGGCTTCATTGCAACATATATTGCACCCCTGGCGTTTGTACTTCTGGTGACTATGGGAAAGGAGGCATACGATGACTATAAGCGCAACCTTCGCGACCGGGAAGCCAACTCCCAACGATACCTTATCCTCGACTCTTCAGACTATCACCCGTCCTCACCGCGCGATCTCGAAGACAACATGCCTCATACACGCTCGGTCCCTTCTTCCTCGCTGCGTGTTGGCGACCTCATTATCATCGAGAAAAACCAACGCGTTCCAGCTGATGTCGTCCTCCTTCGAACATCTGACAGTTCAGGGACCTGCTTCATCCGTACAGATCAACTAGACGGCGAGACTGACTGGAAGCTGCGTGTTGCGGTTCCCGCCACCCAGAAACTTCGCGCCGAGAAGGAGCTTTTGAGCATTGACGCAGAGATATACGGTAAGCCTCAATGCAGCTGCGTGATCCTTCGAGTATTTATCATGGCTCCCTAGCTGATGCTCCCATCAAGGACATTCACACCTTTATCGGCACATTCACTATCAATTCTCCGGCTTTGCAGGCACAGTCCATCAACGACGTCCCTTTGGTGCAAGTTCCTGCCGTTGAACCATTGTCTGCGGAAAATGTTCTGTGGTCCAACACTGTGCTTGCAGCTGGCTCTGCTGTTGGACTTATAGTCTATACCGGCCCCGAAACTCGAGCGGTCATGAACACAAGCCATCCGAAAACGAAGGTTGGTCTCTTAGATGAAGAAATTAATAGACTAGCGAAAGTAAAATGCCCCTTTCTACCTATCGATTGCCAACTTATTGATGTCCGGACAGATTCTCTGTGCGGTGACATTCGCTTTGTCATTAGCCTTGGTCGCACTCAATGGCTTTAGAGGGCTGTGGTATATCTACGTGTTCCGATTCCTCATCCTCTTTTCCTCTATCATCCCCATCAGGTGGGTGATCACGGTCATCGTCTCTGATGATGGCTCATCCCGTTTTTTAGCCTGCGCGTTAATTTGGACATGGGTAAGACGGTGTATGCTCACCAAATTATGACGGATAGCGAGATTCCTGGTACGATTGTGCGGACTAGCACGCTCCCCGAAGAGCTCGGTCGGATTGAGTATCTTCTAAGCGATAAGACGGGGACCTTAACCCAGAACGGTACGCTTCAGATTCTATCGAAACCGCAGAAACAATCTCAACCGGCGCTTTTTGGGGCTAGAGATGGAGATGAAGAAATTGCATATGGGGACAATGTCCTTTGGCTTTGATTCGATGGACGAGATCGCGCATCAGCTGGCAATTGCTTTCGGGGGATCTGGGGACCAAGGTGACGGGATACTATCTCACATACAACCATACCTGACCTTTGACACTACAGGACATGCCAGACACGGCTCAATCGTCACGGGCATTCAGCTTGGGACTAGAGGCCGCCGAGATATATCATGGCGAGTCAAAGATGTTGTGCTCAGTTTAGCACTGTGCCACAATGTAGGTCCTTGGTTCTCAAGGAGCGAACGCGTGACCTCATTTTTGGAATAGGTTACTCCGGTGACGAACGACGATGGTTCCGTAACATATCAAGCTTCGTCTCCAGACGAAGTGGCCATCGTGAAATGGACAGAATCAGTCGGACTTACTTTGATTTTCCGTGATCGCACGCGCATTGAGCTGCAGACGCCTTCCGGCAACACGATCTCGTTTGAGATTCTGGAGATATTTCCGTTTACGTCTGAATCGAAGCGTATGGGGATCGTAGTGCGGGACACTCAGACTGGGGAAATTACGTTCATGCAGAAAGGCGCGGATGTCGTGATGGCGAAGATAGTGCAGCGGAACGATTGGTTGGAGGAGGAGACTGCCAATATGGCCCGTGAAGGATTGCGGACACTTGTGATGGCGCGCCGAAGGCTCAGCGAGGCTGCGTATGCGGACTTCAAACAGAGACATCATGCCGCCAGCGTGCGCCTCGACGGGCGTAGCGAGGCGATGGCCACTGTTGTCTCTGAGACTCTCGAACACGACCTCGAGTTGCTCGGGCTGACAGGCGTCGAGGACAAGCTGCAGGACGACGTCAAGTCTACGCTGGAACTGCTGCGGAACGCTGGTATCAAGATTTGGATGCTCACCGGCGATAAGATCGAGACGGCAACTGTCATCGCCATTTCGACTAAACTTGTGGCGCGAAATCAATACATCCACCAAGTAGCCAAACGTGAGTATTATAATGTTGTTCGGATGTTGCCTTTACTCATCGCACGTTCAGTCAAGACATCGGATCAAGTCAGAGACGAACTTGACTTTCTGCAGAACAAATTGGACTGCTGCCTAGTCATCGATGGCGAATCACTTCAGGTCCGTAGGGTTTCAGATACTGCAAGGGATATCTAACATGGTACTTTTAGTTGTGTCTGAACTTGTTCAAAAACGAGTTCATTGAGATCACGACCAAGCTCTCCGCTGTCGTGGCCTGCCGGTGTTCCCCAACTCAGAAGGCAGACGTTGCCAGATTGATACGAAGCTATACGAAAAAACGCGTATGCTGTATTGGTGACGGCGGTAATGATGTCAGCATGATTCAGGCGGCTGATGTCGGTGAGTGTCAGCAGTATCTTCGTGCTCGATAGATGATCCGAACGTTTTGGTGGGCAGGGGTTGGTATCGTCGGCAAGGAAGGCAAACAAGCATCGCTGGCCGCCGATTTTTCTGTCACCCAGTTCAGCCACTTGACGAAACTGCTTCTATGGCATGGCCGGAACTCGTATCGACGCTCGGCAAAACTGGCCCAGTTTGTCATTCACCGCGGTCTCATCATCTCTGTGATGCAGGCCGTGTTCTCGTCAATTTTTTACTTCGCTCCCATCGCGCTGTACCAGGGGTGGCTCATGGTCGGATACGCGACTTTATATACAATGGCCCCCGTCTTCTCTCTCGTTCTCGATCGCGATGTCAACGAAGACCTTGCGTTGCTATACCCCGAGCTTTATAAGGAATTGACAAAGGTGAGCCCCGTCGAGTATTGGTCATGGCAAACCTCTCATCTGTTGCTTGAAGGGTCGCGCGCTGTCCTACAAGACATTTTTCATGTGGCTCATGATCAGCGTCTACCAAGGTATGTCGTCTCCAACGACCAATGGAGCACGATGTGACGATGCGCAGGCGCGGCAATCATGATCATATCTCTTGTGCTCTTCGAGAACGAGTTCCTGAACATCGTCGCCATCTCGTTCACGGCCCTCATTCTGAACGAGCTCATCATGGTGGCGCTGGAGGTCACGATATGGTCAGTCGTCATCTACGCGGCCAGGGCCCCGTTACTGACATCTGCCGTAGGCACGTTTACATGGTGATCTCGGAGATCGCCACCCTGCTCATCTACACCATCAGCATGGTGTTTTTGCCTGAATATTTCGGTAAGAAGAAAATTTCATTTATGAATGCCATGTTCTGGTTTCATTGACATCCCGCCCCAGATCTTGGTTTTGTCGTGTCGGTGCGCTTCCTGTGGAAGGTGGCGGTGATCGTCGCCGTCAGCGCGGTTCCCCTGTATATTATTAAGCTCGTAAAGAGTCGAGTGGCGCCTGCCGCGTCGAGCAAGCTGCTTTAATCTAACTTATGACTCCATCACGAGCTTGTCATCTTTTGAGCGCACGCGAGGGCGTCGCCGTGTTCTCTGCCTCTGCGAAAGAAGTGGCCGAAAATCTTATGAGGTCGGCACGATCTTGAGCTTGATCTTTTTTTGCAACGACGTCTCATCGGATTCACATGTATGTATGTATATCAGTACGAGAGCGCGAATCGGCGCCCTAGAGACGCCGGCTTTGGACGTTGCGGCAGAGATGAACCAGGCAACACTAAAATAATGACCAAGAACAAAGCACGAGCAAGGATATCATATAGCCCTTGGCAGCAACATCACATCTGAAACCTCGTCTTCCCTGGAAAGCTCCGCGCTCGGGCGCGCCTATCCCACCAGCCGCCATCATGATTGCACTCGCCCATGCGGAGGCACCCGCTCCTCTCGGACGCGTCGAACGTCGCGGTCGGGCGCACCTCGCGCGCGAGCCGGAGCGCGAGCTCGGCAGACGACGCGTCGTGGTACGGCCCGAGCTTCAGCTTTATCACGGAAGACAACGAGGTGTGGTTGGGGTTGGGCGACCGGGGCGCCGGCGTCCGCGCGGTTCACGAGCATGGAGTGCAGCGCGGCCCGGGAGGGGGGGGGGGGGACGCTCGCCTGGAAGTCTGCCTCGCGCAGGCCGACGGAGCGCACGCGCGGGAAGGGGGCGGCGGCGTGCTGCGGGCGCTGTTGGCCGCGTCGTGGGTGCGGGCCCGTCGTCGTCATTGACTAAGACGATGAGGGCGGAGGGTCCAGCGCGGCGCACAGCAGGCCCGCGGCGGCGGCGCTTGAGAAGGAGACGTGCTGCAGGGTGGTGCGGGCGGCGCTGGAGAGGAGGGCGGGCCGGGTAGGCAGGAGCGCGGAGCTGCGCCTGTCCATGGTGACGGCGAGCGTCTGGAGGCGGTCGAGGTAGGGCAGCCGACAGAGGTCAGCGAGGACGTGCAGGACGCGGTGCTGCTCCTCGGGGGAAAGGTCCACGCGCGGCTCGATGGACGGCGCCGAGCGGGGGACGACGCCGGCGAGGTCCGTCGAGCTGTGGGATCGCCGGCCCTTGAGCGCGAGATGGCCGTCCGCGCGGTCCGCTTCGCCATCCGCGCGCGGCGCCCGCCTCCGGATCGCTGTGTCTCGCGATCAGGGGCAAGAGCGAGCCGGCGATGCGCACCAAGGTGAAACCATGGCCCAGGATGGCCAGCTCCGTCAGTACTGAGAAGCGGAGTCTGTCGACGAGGGCAAAGCAGCTCGAGAGCGGTCCTTCGAGCGACAGACGCAACAGAGGCGAAAGCTCGATGGGCGGATATATCGTCTGACTGGAGAGGGGGGCCTTGTTCGTAAAAGGCAAGGCGATGGACTCTAGCCGATGCATGTCCGCTAGCCCATTGAAGAAATCGTCTTTTGACGGCGAGTCGCCCGTGCTGGAGGGGGGGGAGGAGATTACGAGGGGCTTGACCGACAAGCTCGTCAGATCACACAAGGTCGTCGACGACCAGGGGACTGTGAACTGTCGAATCCGTCCAAGGCGACTGAGCGTAAAAATGGAGCATCGTGCGCAAACGGGTCGGCCGGCAGGTGCATGACGCCAAAGATCGAAAACAGATCGAGAGTCTCCAGACGGCACGCAGGGTACGCGAGAAACTCGAGAGAGGACGATTTCCTCGCGTCGAGGCTGAGGCGGAGCACGCTCGTCTTGCGAAGCAAACCGGGACCGAGGAGCCCCGGCATGATAATCCTGTCATGCCATCGGTATCGTTCAACTTGGTTCGAGACGACAAGGGGGACGTCCCTCGATCGATCGATCATTGTGTATGTCCATGCGTCACGAATTTCGAAGGATATTCTTGCCCAGAGCGTCGGATCTTGCAGCGCGGCCTGTCTCCAGCGACGGCAGACATGAGTGACCAAGATCCGCCCAAGCCGTGGTCGTTCCGGATCATCTTTATAACAATGCGGAATTTGTACTGTCGCGAGCAAAGAGGATATATGCGCCAGAGTCTCTGATGGGAGACGGGAGACGGGAGACGGGAGACGGGAGACAGCTCCCTGCGCCGCGTGGCTTCGATGAGTAGGCGTTCGTGGATAGTGTGCTCATCGCACGTGGTTCGAGAGGGTTCTTTGTAAGTGTCAAATTCGGCGGATGTCACGGGAGATGCGTGAGTCGAACTGTTGAGCTCGAGCTCGAGCATAGACTCACTCTTCATAGGCATCGTTCGAGCCTCGAAGGCCACAAGTCAAGCTGTCTAGCAACCTGGAAGAGCGAGTTGTGAATGAAAACTGGCGAGGCCGCCGACCCAAGTGAGGTGATTTGAGCATAGCTGCAGTGGCATACCATAGACGAACAAGATATATAAAGGACAGGCGCGGTGGCATAGCCGTGCTGACACTGCTTTGTGGCGGCCTGTGGCGGACAACGATACGGTGCTATACCTGAATAACTTCATCGCGACGACCCTCTGAAGCTTGGAAGGAGCGTCGCCATGTAGGCTTTTGATGGTGGGAGAACGACCCGTCCGAAATGTTGAGAATGGCCGACCGGCCTGTCCTGCTCAAGCCGCCAGTGTCACGTGGAGTACGCGAGCGGCCAGACAAGGTTCGGCGGGACCAGACGACGCAGGCGCACGGCGATGGCTATACCCCAGAGGGAAGGTGTTGAGCGAGGCGGTCCCCCGACCCTCGAGCAAAAAAGAGAGAATAGACAACCGAGACTTTTGTGTAGACGAGAACAGCCCCAAAGATCGCAGCGCGGTGCTGCAACGTGCACGGCCGTATGCCGGCGCAGGCCGGAAGGGGGCGGCTATTCTTAGACGTGCCGCAGGAGGGTTCGTCGATCTGGAGACAATAAGAGGCAAGGCCGAGGGAGCCGAGCAGAAGGGCGGGGTGGCTAGGGAGCTGGGCACGCCGCACGTCACCACGACGCAGATCAGGGCGCGTGCGTGCATATGAGAACGGGCCAGGACAGGCCAGGACGGCTTGGAGGATGAAACAGGCGACGGACGGCCATCGAGCAACAAGGGAGAGGAGTGACGTTTCAGGGCGTATATACATGCTGGGACGACGTGGAAGCGGGGGGTTCGTGGGGCTGGGGGAGACGAGTCAGCGAAACAAAAAGGCCCCGGCGGCGTGGGGATGCGCCGGCGGGGGGTTGGCCGAGAGGCGGCGGCTCGGTGGGGACGACGGGCGGGGGGCGGGGCCACCGCTAGTGTGCGCAGAGCTCCGGGGTCGAGGGCGTGCGCGTTGATACATATACATATGTGGCAGAGGGAGAGCGCTCGGCCTCGGGGTGGGGAGGGGCGTGGGAGCAAACTACCCGATCGGGGAGCAGGCGGGCTGGCTTGAATTTTGAGCGGTGAGAGCGCCGACCGCGGCCGCGAGTAAGTTACGAGCCTGCATTTATCCGTTGCTCAGGCCCTTCCTCGTCGCTGCCCTGCACGATCCCGACGAGCCATTCTGCACTTGCTCGTCTCAAAGCTTCAACCACTACAAGGTGCGTATCCTCGCACCCCCCCCTCGCCCTGCGCCCTCCCCGTCCTGCACGCGGACGTTGGCTGATGCGCAGATCTTTGCCCGCCTTTATTTGATCGCGCGCGCCCTGCCAGGCCGCCCCGCCGCGCACGCCTGCTCCCTCGTCCTCCAGCCTGTCCTCGAGCACGCACAGCCCGTCTCCCAGTCACACATCCTTCGGCGGCCTTTGAATCGCAGCCTCAACAGCAACAACAGCCAACAACGCTACACTCCCGTGCCAGCCAGCCAGCCACCGCCTCCTCTCCTCTCCTCCCTCCTCTTCTCTCTCCCCTCTCCCCTCTTTCTCTTTTCTCTCCCCGAAGCTCATGGCAGCGCCCAAAGCCCAAAAGCCGCCCGCCCGTCCGCCCGCCTCCACCGCCGCCCGCTCCACCCACTCGCCCGTCATGCCCGCGCTGATGCCGATGCCGATGCCGATGCCGATGCCGCCGCCCCCCGCGGTGCCGCACGCCGAGGGCGTGAACGGCAAGAAGAAGAAAAAGCGCAAGGGCAAGGGCAAGGCCCACCCGGACGACGACGCCCTCGCTCCGCCCCCGTCTTCGTCGCCGCCCGACCGCGAGCACGAGGAAGACGAGGGCGCGGGCGCGCTCGATCCCGACGCGCTCGACCCCCGCTATGCCTATGCCCGCGGTCACGCACACGGCCACGGCCACGACGGCCACGACCATGGCCACGACCACGACCACGCGCACGCGCACGACCACGACCACGACCACGGCCACGATCATGGCCCCGGCGAGGTGGACGCAACGGCAGCGGTGACGCGGCAGAGCGCGACGGCCGCCGCGCAGGCGGAGCTGCTGGCGACGGCGAACGAGCTCTACCGGCGGATGGACGCGGACCCCGCGGGGGGGCTCGCGGCGGACGACGAGTACTGGGCGTCGCTGCCGGCGCACATACGCAACTTTGTACGGACCACTTACTCTCAGACGGGTTCAGGTGGTAACGAGCGGGCAAAGGCGCAGGCTATGTATGCGATCGCGCAGCAAATGGTGGGGGACGCCAAGACGCACGGACACGGACACGGCCACGGCCACGGACGGGACGGGGGGCTGGTCGGCGTTGGTGTCGGGGTCGGGGTCGGTGTAGGTGTCGGGGTTGGGGTAGGGGTGGAGGTCGGGGTCGGGGTGACGGGGGCGCCGGCGGGGTGGACGGGCCAGCTGCAGCTGCCTGTGGACCCGTCGATCTTCTCGGACGCGGCGTTCCACCTGGCGATGGAGCAGGACGCGAACGGGCGGCTGGACGGACCCGGGCAGCCGCCGCGGAGCCCGCTGCCATTGCCGGATGACGTTGTGCTGGTGGACGAGGACGGTGAGGGCGAGGGTGAGGGCGAGGGCGAGGGGGACGAGTACGACAGCGAGGACGAGGTGGACGAGAACGTGCGGGACGCGGACGGGCTGGCTGCGGTGCGGCGGGCGGTGGCGGCGGAGACGGCGGCATCGCAGGCGGCGATGGCGGCGGCGGCAGCGGCGGGGTCGGAGGAGGAGCGGACGGGGCCGGGACGGAACGAACGAAAGGGGAAGGACGGGGCGGGGTCCGGGCCGGTAGTTCGCACGGGGGTGGGCGGGGCGACGGTGGCGGGGATGGTTCCGGTTCCGGGAGAGATGGCCAGCGTGATGTCGGCCGCGCGCGTCGTCAACCCCGCCCTCAACCCGCCCTCGTCCCGCGCAGCAGGCAAGCAGCCCATGAACTACGCCCAGCAGCCCCAGCCAGCACACCCCCCGCGCACGACGCCCACAACAGCGACCACCCCCACCACCGCGCGCGCGGCCTCAAAAGCTCCCGTCCCACACCCCTACCCCCACCATCACCCCCATCACCATCCATCGCCCCCCTCCTCCAACGCCTCCGCACACCGCACACAGCCCCCGCCACAGAAGAACAGCAAGATATGGTCCACCAGCACCACCGAGGACCGCGAGCGCATCAAGCAGTTCTGGCTCGGCCTCGGCGAGCAGGAGCGCCGCAACCTCGTCAAGGTCGAGAAGGAGGCCGTCCTCAAAAAGATGAAGGAGCAGCAGAAACACAGCTGCAGCTGCGCCGTCTGCGGCAGGAAGCGGTCCGTCCTCTTTCCCTCCATCCTTTCTCTCTTTCTCCTCTTCGTGAAAATTTTCCCTGCTCACGCCTTCCGCCCCTCCGCCCCCGTCCCTGCCCCCGCCCCCCGCGCGCGCGCCCACACAACAGCAACGCGATAGAAGAAGAGCTCGAGGTACTGTACGATGCTTATTACGAGGAGCTAGAACAGTACGCGAACTACCAGCAGCGCTACGTGTCCTCCGGCGGCACCCTCCCGCCCCCGCCCGGCCCCGGCCCCTTCCCCGGCAGCGTCGAGCTCGACAAGAACGGCGCCGTCGTCGGCCACCCCCGTCCCCCCAACACCGCCCGCTCCAAGCACGCCCACGCCCACGCCGTGATGACTAATGGTCGCACGACCGCCCACGCCAAGGCCGCTCAGCACCAGCAGCACCCACAGCACCCACAGCCGCCGCCGCACCCGCACCCTCCCGCGCACCCCGCCGCGGCGAACGCCAATCCCGCCGCCGTCGCCGCCGCCAAACAGCACCCGCAGCACGTGCACCCGCATCCGCACGCGCACGCGCAGCCGGACGAGAGCGAGTTTGACGAGGAGGACGGGGACGAGGAGGAGTACGAGGAGGAGGACGATTACGAGGACGAAGAGGAGGAGGAAGAGGAAGAGGAGGACGAGGAGGACGAGGAGGACGAGGCGGGCGGCGAGGAGGACGAAGACGCGCCGGTCGCTGCCAAGGGCGCCGCGCGCCGGTCTGCGGCTGCCAATGCGCGCGGGCGCAGGGGCGCCGCGACGGCGGCTGCGGCGGCTGCGGGCGGAGGCGCGCCGAACGGGAAGGCAAACGGGCAGGGGGGGCTGTTTAATTTTGGGAACAGCCTCGCGGTGACCGGTGAGTGCGCGCGCTTGTGTGTGTGTGTGTGTGCTGTGCGCGTGGGGCGCGGCTGACTGGATTGGGTTGGGCTGGGCTGGGCGGCAGGGAACATTTTGACGGTCGCGGACGATTTGCTGAAGAACGACGGGCAGAAGTTTTTGGAGATGATGGAGCAGCTTGCGGAGCGCCGGATGCAGCGCGAGGAGGAGGCGACGCAGGATATGGAGGACGAGAGCGACGAGGAGGAGGAGGAGGGCGAGGGGGATGCGGAGGGAGAGGAGGACGAGGAGGACGAAGAGGACGAGGACGAGGAGGACGAGGAGGAAGAAGAGGAGGTGCGTGTTGAGCGTGGCTTGTTCTCTTGTCAAGCGTGCACGCGCTGATCGTGTCGTGTTTGCTCTCGCGCGCGCACAGGTGCTGACGGAGGAGCAGAAGATGGAGGAGGGCAAGAAGATGTTCTCCATCTTCGCGGCGCGCATGTTCGAGCAGCGCGTGCTGCAGGCGTACCTCGAGAAGGTCGCGCAGGAGCGCCAGCTGCAGCTGCTCCGCGAGATCGAGGACGAGGCCAAGGCGAACAAGGAGCGCGAGGCGCGCAAGGCCAAGGAGAACCAAAAGAAAAAGGACAAGAAGCGGTGAGTCCCCTCCTCGACTGGACGCGATTCGATTCGGGACTCGGGCTGACCCGACCCTCGGGGCGCGCCAGGCAACAAAAGCTCGCAAAGGAGGAGGAGCGCGCGCAGCGCGCGGCGGAAAAGGCGGCCGAGGACGCGGCGCTCAAGGCCAAGCAGGCCAAGCAGGAGGAGGTGCAGCGCAAGAAGCGCGACGAGGAGCGGGTGAAGCGCGAGGCTGCGCGGCGGGCGGCGGAGGAGGAGAAGCAGCGCAAGGAGGAGGAGCGGCGGAAGCGGCTCGCGGACGAGAAGGAGCGCGAGGCGGAGCGGGAGCGCAAGCGCAAGGAGCGCGAGGAGCGGGTCAAGGCGGAGCGCCGCGAGAAGGAGGAGCGGGAGCGTCGGGTGAAGGAGGAGCGGGAGCAGCGCGCGGCGGTGGAGAGGGCTGCCGCTGCTGCGGCGAAGAAGGAGCAGGTGGAGAAGGAGGAGCGGGAGAGGGAAAGGAGGGCGGCGAAGGAGAAGGAGGAGCGGGAGGCGAAGGAGGCGAAGGAGCGGGTGGCGCGCGAGTTGCAGCAGCAGCAGCAACAGCAGCAGCAGCAGCAGCAGCAACAACAACTACAGCAGCAACAGCAGCAACAGCAACAGCGTGCAGCCGCTGCGAAGAACCACCTGCGCTCGCCGACGTCGCCTCGCAATGCGACTGCCTCTGGGTCCACCCAACGCTCGCCGAACCATGCCGCCCCCAAGAAGATCCTCAACAAGCCAGTGCCGACGCCCGTGCTCACGTCTGCGACTCCCATTCCGCTTACACCGCAACAGCAGCAGCAGCAGCCGCAACAGCAGCAGCCACTGCTCCCTCGCCCGCCTCTTCCCTCCATCACGCCTCAGCTCCCGCCCTTGACGCCCCAGATGCCGCACTTGGCGGCCCTCGCACCGCCCATGTACTCTCCCGGTGGACCCAACCTCTCTGGCTCCTCGATGACCCCTCGCGGCTTCCCGCCGCAGACGCCGTTTGGCAACTTTGGCCCCGGTCCTAGCCCGTCCGTCGCTCAAGGCCCGCCGCCCCCACCTCCTCTCACGCCGTCCCTGCTCCCTCCCTCCTACATCCCAGGCCGCCCCTTTGACCTGACCTTCCCGCGCGACCAGCCGTCGTTCAATCGCCAGCTCGGCCCGCCCACCCCGATTGGCCCACCGCCAAAGGGCCCGCAGGGCTCGCTCATCGGCTCGCCCCCGCCCGCGACGAACCTCGCGCCGGGCTCCGGCCGCCGCGCGTCCGTCAACGACGTCGGGCCCATAGGCCCCATCACCCGCCCCGTCGCGCCCATCGCGCGCCCCGGCACCGTCGGCGAGGGCGTCCCCTCCGGTTCGGGCCCAGGCTCCGCGAGCTCGAGCGCACCGGGCACGGCCACGCGGACGGCGAGCGGGTCTGGCCACGCGTCGCCCGTGCGCCGCTCGCCGAGCCCCAAGGGCGTCGTGCTCGGCTCGTCGGCGCTCGCGGCGGACGATGACGAGTTCGTATCGGAGCGCGCCCCCACGCGCGTGCAGGGCGCAGCGCCGGGTGCGCTGTGGCCGGCAGCCTACTCGAGCCCGCGCAGCGCGGTGGGGGAGGGCATGCGCCCGCCGTGGGGCGCGCCCTCCGGGCCGCCGGGTCCACCGGGCCCGCCTGGGCATCCTGGACCCGGACCGAGTCCTGGGCCTGGGTTCGGGATCGGCGTCAACGTTGGGATGAGGGCGAACGTCGGCGTCGGCGGGCAGCGCCCGCAGCCTATGGGGAACATGATGTGGGGCACGCCTGCCGCGGACCCTCAGTGGCACCCTGCCGCTGCTGCCGCCGCCGCCGCCGTTGCCGCGAACCATGCGCACTTTTTCAACAATGGGCACGCGCCTGGACATGCGCACGGGCATGGCCACGTCGTGCATCCGGTGCATGGGCACGGGCATCATGGGCACCAGCACGGCCCGTTCGTGGCGCACAATCCGCCGGCGTCGCCGCACAACGGGAATTAAATGCCGCCTTGTTTGTTCTTTCTTTTGTATTGTTCGCTTTTTTTTCTTTACTTTACCACCCCACCCATCGCATCGCATGCATTCTTGACATTGCTCATCGCGCTCCCGACCCGACTCCGACCCCCCTTGTCCCTCGCCAACACCGCGTCCGTTCGTCTGTTTTCGACGTTTCGTATCCGTCCCTTCTTCCTCTCCATCGCTCGTGCACTGTCCGGTCCCGGCCTTCTCTCTTCCTTTCATTCAATCTTTCTCTGCCTGTCTCTCCCTCTGTCTCTCTCTCTATCGCTGTCCTAGTTGCCCCCCTCATCCCCCTCGATTTACCTAGTAGTAGTAAGCAGTAGCATAGCACGACGCTAACAACATGATCTCGAAGAACATTTTTCTCAAAAGACTGAGCGCGGGTGTCCGCGGCGGATGTGCTGGCCTTCTTCCGCCGACCGCTATCGCAGGCGAGGGGGCACATGATGTAGTCTCCCAGAGGCAGAAGCGTATGTGATCCTCCTTCGACTTCCGACTGTTCTCCGGATATTTGTATCTGACTGCAGGATGGCGCCCACATGAGTTCGCGAACGCGAACCGCGATGCTTCTCTCTCTCCGTAGTGTGACTTATAAGTGTTCGTGAACGGCGGTCGAGCGTGTGTGCGAGCAAGATAGGTCTAGCGATGATAATGCGCGCTGCAGGTGCGCTCCTCCTCGTTTTGTGTTTCTCGCCCAGCGCGCACGGCCAGACATGGTGCGGCAAGGTCTACATGGCGAACGAGACCGTCGTGCCCCCCGGCAACCAATTTAAATACCCCGCCTCGTCCCCCACGCCCCTCCTCGCCCTCCGCTGCGCCCCCGCCCTCATCCCCTACCTCCCCGAGGACGCCGCCGCGTCCCCCGCCATCCTCGTCGACGCCCCCGTCCGCTACGCCGCCATCGCCAACGCTAAGCCCATAGCGACCGCCGCGGCCCTCACCCCAGGCACCGCCGGCCCCACGGACGCCCTCGCTGTGTCGCTCGCCATCGACGGCAAGCCCGCCGCGCGGGGCCGCGTCCCGCTCAACGGCACCGCAGCGCTCCCGATCGACCTCGCCGGGCTCGGGCTCGCGCCGCGCGCGGAGCCGTACGCGGTCACGTGCGTTGCGACGACGCCGGAGGGCGAGACGTTCACCGCGCGCACGGAGCTCGTGTACCTCCCCGCGCCGCGCGCGGACCAGGCGGGGGCGGTCACGAAGAGGGATCTGCGCACGGGCGCGCTGCTGGCGCGGCCGGTGGGTGCGCGCGCGACGGGGGCCGCGTACGAGCCCGTGTTTCCGATTGGGTTCTATACGAACTTTGGGGGGTATTTGGATTCGAATCTGACGCTGCTGGACGGGATCAGGGACTTGGGGTGCGTCGGGCGTGTTTCGGCTTCGTTGGGTGCTGACGGGCTCGCCGTAGGTTCAATCTGGTGCGATGTTCTTTGAGATTTTTCCTAGGCACGATGTTGACGAGTGTGCGCGGTAGGTCCATCCCGTGCCGCCGTATGACAACATGACCGCGTTTGATCTCGTCGCAAAGAGGATGGAAGAGCTCGGGCTGTACCTGATGTACGACATGCGATGGTGAGTCCCCTCTGCGATCTCTATCTACAGCCGCGGCGTCCTGAACGTCTCTCGAGGACATACACGAACCTCTCCTCCGTCGCCACCCAAGTCGCACACGTCCAGCCGCGCTCCAACCTCCTGCTGTACTACACCGCGGACGAGCCCGACGGCACCTCGGACCCGTACAACGCGTCCACGGACTCGTACGCGCTTATCCGCGCGCGCGACCCGTACCGCCCGACGTCGCTCGTGCTCAACTGCCAGGACTTCGGCTTCGCGGGGTACGCGCCGGGCGCGGACGTGCTCCTGCAAGACGTGTACGAGATCGGGAACAACGTGACGTGGAGCAGCGAGTGGGACACGCCGTGCACGCGCGTGCGCGGCGACTGCGGGTGCGACAACTGTGCGGGCCGCTTTGAGGACATCCGGGAGCGCGTCGTGGAGTTCAGGGCGCGGTTCGAGGTCGAGGGGTGGGAGCGCACGAAGCGCGTGTGGACAGTCCCGCAGGCGTTTGGGAACGGGCAGTGAGTGCGCGCGCGCGTCGTCGTCGTCGTGGTGCTTGTGTTTTGTTGATCGTTTGCGCGCGTAAAGGTACTGGAAGCGCATCCCGACGGGCGCGGAGTGGCTCGTGGAGGCTATCGTCGGTGTCAACGCCGGCGCGCGCGGCATCGTGTCCTGGAACGACCCGACAACGGACGACATCCGGGCCGCGGCGTCGCTGCTCGCGCTCGCGCTGCCGCGCATGACGCCGTTCATGTTCCCACCTCCGATGTCTGCTTCGTCGGGGGTGGACTCGAATTTTCAGCACGTGGTTACGGAGGACCGCGTCGACCTGGGCGTGTGGGCGGTCGGGGCCCGGCGGCTGGTGCTGGCGGCGAATTTAGAGTATGCGGGACGGAGCGCGGGCGTGCGCGAGGTGCTGGGGTCCGGAGTGGACGCTGGGAAGGTGGAGACGCTGTTCGAGGCGGGGGCCGGGGTGAGCGGAGGAGAGATCGCGTTTGGGAGCGTCGCGTCCGGGGCGTGGATCTTTGGGTAGAGCGTCTGGGGGATCACTTATCGCGTTTGTTTGTTGTGCGTCCGTTTTATTCTTGTTTTGTATACTGGCTAACGCGCGGATTCTGCTGATGCAGCATGTACAAGTGTCTGGTTTTGCTGTATGCTACGGCTGGGATATCAAAGGTGTATTCCATTGTATACATAAATTGAACGGTTTCGGCCCGTGGTGTGGCGGGCGAGGGCAGGCGTCAATGCTGCTGCTACCTTACTAGGTACGACTTCACGTGTCCATCAAACTTGCACAGAACACGTTTCCTTTCATCACAACAGGGCCTTACCTTTGCTTCGTCGGCCGAGGTGAGCGCCGCCGTTCACCGGCTCTGATCAGTCCAGGACCGTGCACATAGCGTGACAACGAGAAGTATACATCCGGATGCTCCCTCTGGCTCCCGCAAGAGAGACTTTTATCTTCAAGGATGCCATCTGGCTTGGCGGAGATCACGATGGTCATCCACTCACGCCTTACAACGAGTATACAAAGATCCGTCGCAGGGCTACATTGAGCGTGATGGAGAACGCTGCCCTGTCGCAATCCTTCTTTACGTTCGGGCTGCTGGAAGCGGTATTGGAGGTGTCGATCGCGGAGAGTACACTGCTACGTATGAACGGCGATGGCAAGGTCGTGATGACGTGCGCGAACCTGCCTCCCCTGCTTCGAGACTGGCGGCACCGCATCCGCCAGCTGGGAGATGGCGACCGATGTCGTGAGTGGGCGAGCCGCGTGGACACGGCGCTGAAGCATGCTTACGGCCTCCTCCATCTCGAGGTCATGCATCCTGCGTACAGCGCGTTTTTTAGGAGCGGGTTGCCCGCGGAAGACATCACCGCCATATTTCACGTCATAGCGTCCATCGCAGAGGCCGTGACGTCTTCGCGGCGCATCTTTCCGTCTTCGTCTGTGAGTCCGGGGCACTCATGGACCTTCATGGTGGATTTGTACAACTTGGTGCGGCGAGAGATGGTGGCCAGAGGGTGGTGTCCGTTCATTGTCACGGTGCTTTCTGACAGCGTCTGCATGCTGGGCTACGCTAGCACGCAACAACCGTACATTCGGGACTCTGCCAACGGACACGACAAGTGCACACAGAGAGCATGCACCATTCATAGGATCGACCCCACCACGTATCGCAACAAACACGCTACGCCGACGTGCAGGTGTCCACGTTTGAAGCCACCGTTGGCACAAGTGGTCAATCTGTTGGAGAATCAGAGAATACCAATTGTTTGTGAGACGCTGGACGGCGAGCTGTGCTCAAGCGATGCCTTCGACACTCCATACGTCGCGATATCTCATGTTTGGTCGGATGGGCTTGGCAGCACGACCGAAGACGGACTGCCGGCTTGTCAGATCAATCGTCTGGCGGCGATCGTTCGCCAGTTGGTCCCCAGCGGCGCGTTTTGGATGGATGCGCTGTGCATCCCGGAAAGGAGGAATATGCGAAAGCGCGCGATCGGATTGATGGCCCAGACGTATCGTCAGGCGCAAGCGGTGCTCGTTATCGACGCGGGCATTCGGTGTTGCTCTGTTTCTGCGCCCTTGGAGGAGAGGCTACTTCGAGTGCTGTCCTCCGGGTGGATGCAGCGGCTGTGGACCCTTCAGGAAGGATTGCTGGCCCACAAGCTCGTATTCGAGTTCTCGGATGGCCTGGCTGCGATCGAGGAGTTGATCCCTGTGGGAGACGACCTGCTCGACGTGCTGTTGACCTCCCTCGCCAGCGAGATCTTCCGCCTGACGAAATACAAAAAACACCCCTCCGCGGCGGGGCCTGCCGAGTTCGGGCTCGGGGACGTCGCGCGCGCCGTGCGCTGGCGGAACACGAGCAAGGGAGAAGACGAAACGCTGGCCATATCCGGCTTGCTGGACATTGATGCCTTCGAGCTAGTCAGCCTTCCTCCCGCGCAGCGAATGAAGACCTTGCTGCTCAGAGTCCGGAGGCTGCCACGGAACATCATCTTCATGCTCGGCCCCAAGCTGGACGAGCCCGGGTTCCGATGGGCACCGCGGACTCTGATGAGCGGTCGCAGCCCGTCCATGGCCATCGGCAGAGACTCGTGCGAAGCCGAGTGCACGTCCAGCGGGTTGAGAGCGGAATATTCAGCGGTTTATTTCGCAGATGCTACCTTTGGTGGCGGCGTGCAGTGGTTTGTTCGAGACCGCCGTCTCGATGCCGAGCAGCGCGTTTATAAGCTCACGGACCTGCCTCAGGACGACACCGCGACCTACTCGTGCAACACCCTATTGTTGATGGCCCCGCCGAGACGGTCGGAATTGACTCCTTGCGTGGCGGTTTTTACGAGGGCACCCGATGCAGAGGTTACGGTCGGCGATAGCGATAGGCTCATATGCGAGTTTAGGAAACGGCTGATGTTGGTGGACATGAGTGAGAACGAGCTGAAGAGAGAGAAAACATACACTGGCATGGTGGAGGGGAAATCGGGGAGGATGCGGGTGCTCGTGGTATGACGGCAATTTTTAGATAGTTTTCAAACTACGAATATATGCGATAATGCAAGCAGTGCCGCTCAGCGAGTTTTGTTATGTAAATTCAAGCGTAAGCGTGAGCGGAGTAAGTCACTTGCACTATGGCCGGCACCGCGGTAGAAGCCGCAAAGCTCTCACGCGTTGCGCTTTCGTTTTCCTTCCTTCCGTCCCCTTCTGCGAGCGTAGTGGTGCTCATGGGCTTCCAACAGGTCTAGGTTGCCAGGCTGGTTTGTTCGTGTGGATCGTCAGGAGCTGTCGACCGGCCCTGAGGAGCATCTAAAGGTTGTTTAGACCAGCTGTCGGTAGTGCGCGCGTTGTGGAGGGTGGAGGCTAGTAGAGGCGAAGGTGAGTGGCCGAGATCGATCGAGCTTCGTAACACTACATCTGGAGTGTGGGTCTTTGGATAACAAGTCGGAATATGCTGCTTGTACGTGTCTTCTGTTCGTATCGTATAAACGGTATCGAACCTCATCAATTTCATGCAGAGTTGACAATTATTGTCTCGTTTCACCATTCACATCTCCCTATTTCACCCTTCTTGACCATTTTTACTCTCTTTCATCTTGATTCTCCCAATGCTTCTCGAACTCTGCCATCGTCGTCAGGATGTCTGCCAAATGCTAGTCTGAGAGCACTCCCAGTGACGAGACGAACTGCGAGACTCCGTTTCCAGCGCATTTACTTAGATGAGGTTGGTATCCTCTTCGCATATATCACTCTCATCTGCCAATCCGAGAGCTCTTGAGGAGTACCTCGAATGTGTAGCTGCGCTTTCCGAATGTGGGTTCTTGATCTTAGGGTATCGCCCGCAGTGATCTGCGCTCGACGCAGGTCGAATATTCATCTAGTGCAGTTGTCACACCAGTTGGTTCATCATCGTGAATCTCATCAATTTGAGTCAAGAGAAAGTAAACCCTCTTGACCAGGTTGTGCTCTGTGATTACTAGATTAGCTGCTTCTTGATGCACAACTTCCTGCGCACTGCGCGCTAAAGAGGGCACTTTACCTCCTCTCGTCTCTCCTGGGCTACTTGCATGTGTGATAGACACACCCTGATCCCACTATCCTGCACATCCTCCGAATGGGTAGTGCTTACATGGCAGGTCTGCTGGCATATGGACATCACGAGGCAGGAGCGCAGCAACCCGAGGCTGCCTGCAGTTGGAGTTTGTACGTCTTCTACTCGATCGTGCTGCGGAGGCCACTTATAGGATTTGGGAGCCTGCTTTCCCCCTTCAACTCTTTACTGTTGTCGAAGTCGTGTATATATGAGAGTGTTCGCCATGGCTCTTCTCTCGTCACTCCTCACAACATGGCCCATCCTGACCTCGACGAGCTTTCCGCCCAGCTTTCCCAGCTTTCCACGAAGGACACCAAAATGGAGGCCGTCTCGACCTTCGTGAACAGTGCACCGCAAGGTCCTGGACAGCGCGAGACTATCGTACACCTAGCGGGAAACAACGTTTCCAATTCAGCTGGCCAGACCGGGCTTCGTGATGGGGATACTGCCATACTAATGAGGTTGCTGAAGCAGCACGGCCTCGATTTCGACGACTACATGAAGGTAGTGTCGGGAAGCGAATTTGACGCCTCTCTCTCTAGGGCTCCCTGCGCTCATGTAGTCCCTGAAGAGGCATGGAGCTGCCCGAACGAGGGTAGGATGATTTGCAGCAATTGCAACATTGTGGCATACTGCTCTAAAGTAAATGCTCTTTTCTTTGTGGACGTTGAGCACTCAACATTTCGATAGGATTGCCAAAGAAACCATTGGAGAACTCATAAACAAGGTAGATAGTCTACTTAGCGCCACGCTTCATTGTCTAATCTGTCTTGTTTGGTAGACTGCAAGGATCCGGTCCGTGCGAGTGACTGGAAGCCTGCCTGGGTTCTGGAGATGCGCGAACCTTCCTTTGTATCCGGGCAAGAATCCTCGAATTGGCTATCTAGGTTGAAACCTATCGCGCTTGGCATGACCTTGTAGGTTATTTATGCATTGAATTCATCTGTATCCCCCGCGATAATTCCGTGCACATAGGTGGGGCAATGTGCCAGCTATGGACATCGTCAACTTAACGCACAACGAGATTATTGCAAAGGATCTTGTGCTCGCATTTGTTGGTGATTCGTCTATCTCAATCTTGAAGTCGTTCCCATTCCAATTTTCTGTATAGCCTCCGGCGATCTACGCAATCTCATACTGACTGTAAATCGGTTGCCATCCGATTATTCCGGACAGCTCACCGTTGTCCTCAACGATTACAATCCACATATTGTCCTGAGGAATGTTTTGCTTCTAATGATTCTAGGCACATACGCGGATCGGCATAGCGCAGTCGATGTTGCTTTGCATTTCTGGTACTCAGCATTCATACCAATACAGTATGAAGTCCTTGTGCAAGAGGCCATCTTGCGGTTTACAAAGCAGTTGGGCTCAGGAGGGACTATCTCTTGCCCACTGTCTTCGACTTCAAGCATGACTGGCCTTATTGGCCCTAAGATTGTTGAGCTCATTCAAACGAGCTATGGAGCTTCATATGGGTTTGATGACGTCGTGAACGAAATAAATCGTGTTCGGTGAGTTTTGTTCTGGTTTGTTTGGGTACAGTGACATGAGATTTAGTTACAGTTTGACACTTACTCCATTTTTGTAGGTTTGAACCTTCTCGCATTGATAGACATCATCGTCAATATACCAGACTCGAGCCCTCTCATCGTCTTGCCTTTCTTGAGTTCCGCAGGTTCGGGATCGTTCTGCCATTCGGTGCCCGCAACGATCATTTCAACACACCGAACCGCTTTTTGTTCTCACCAGAGGGCACGTGGTTGCAAAATGATTTGGCCAATCCCTTGAACTCATGGGAGTAAGTCATTGGTTGTCCGTATTTGCGCAGGGCTTCGTTTGCTGATCGCAACTCTTGTGCCTTGTCAGCCCTCTAGCTGTCGTTGAAGCGGGGAAAGCTCACGGCGCTGTACGTGCCGACCTCTATGGCTGCCTCTACTTTTACCTATCGGACCTACTTCGTGAATTTGCGGATCGGTTGGGTCGCTTTCGGATCTCCTTCAGAATGTTCCAGTCCGACGCAGGTGAACTTTCGAAGGCCATGCGGTCCGGCGCCCTGTCTCATTATGGCTTGCCTGCGACCACACGTTTCGACCGCATTGATGTTTCCAACATCATCGATATTGAATATATGGGCATACCGCGTGTTCTGTCTGATTGGGGACCACAACTCAACTCGGATGCGAATAAACATGCATCATTGATTGGTTATTCTATGAATTGGGCGGCGCACCAACAGGGTGCCAAAGCTGAACAAGATGATGATATCAAGCGGTCGATCGAGATACTTAGCAGCCGTGGGAGAGTACGTCACGTTCAACTTTACTCCTACGAATGTCGTTGATCACGATTCATCAGATTCCTACCTCATCAAATATTGCATCTTTGAAAGAAGCGCAAGGTGTGACCTAAATCTCTCGCTGCACCGCTGATTGCTTATTCCAACGATTTCTCAGAATACGCTGGAATCATCTCTGCTTATCATCATTCGTTCACTGCCGTCTATGATAATTCGAGTGCATTTGAAAAGTATCTAGCCAGTCAAGATCTGAAAAAAGTCCTCCTCACCTCGAGACTCAAACGCAAGTCAACGCATACAATCTTCCCTCATGTAAGCAGTCTTCTACATTGCCCTGCAAACAAATCACTTACGGCTTTGGACAAGCGTCTATGTGCACCATTCGATGGCCCTGCAAGCGCTCTTCCCGTTTTTGCAAATGATGAGAGCTGGTATCTGAACGTGTGTCCTATGGTCCATAACGCTGACACTTGCTGATTGGTCAAAAAGGCTAATGTCAACGCTCCTCTTTGGTCGGAGCGTTTTGTGGAGTTTTCTCGCACTTGAAAGTCGATGATTTGTCTGTTGCTTCACTGCTTGCTGTATGTCAGATATCTCTTCGCCTACTGCTGGGCTACGGTGCTCTACAATCCCAATGTGTGTTGCTACAACAAGACGCGATGATGCTCCGCCTGCAATGACCCCCTGTCCACACGGCGCTCCAATCATCAAAAACAAACTTAGAGATATCCTGGCATAGTCCTTCCAGACTTTTTTTGCCTGCCAGAGGCATCTGATTTTGCCTGCTCCTTGGGGTTCAAGGCGGCTCCTCGGCATTTTGGCCTTGCTCGTGGTCTTGTATGTTTTGAGCCGAAGTTATCGGTCTCCGAGCGGAGATATGGGCATCAGTTTGTGGATCATGAAGTTGAGCGTCAAAGTCTCTCGAAATAGCACGCATTGATACTGACCTTTTTAGTCGAATTCTGTCCTGACATGGCAAAAACACGTTCAAAATGGATAAATTATGACATGACTCTAGATGCAGTCTAGCGGTGCGTCCGAAGTGCATGGTACATCTGGAAGCAGCAGCGAGCCTGAATACTCCGCTCCATTTTTGTTTGAGCGCTTCAATACCATTCTTGTCGAAACGCTCCGTCTCTATTGATACATGATCTGATGACAAGTACACCTTCTACCAGTGTGTCATGCGGTCTTCGGGACACTCGACTATCGGTGAACGTTCTCACTTTCTCTTCCCACTGCGTAGATCAAACCCAAGTCACTCCCATGCCTCAGACCCCATCGATCAATGGAACGCAGGAGGACTTCGTTCAGTTCGGTGAATTTGGATCCGATGCTGTGAAAGTTGGCATCATCGCGGTCGCATGTCAGAGCGTAGTTTATGGTCAGCTTTATCTTTCTTCTGCCTCATTCAACTTCCATATCACTGAGTATTGCATAGGTGTATATGCGATGCTTTTCATACTCTCGACCTATATCCTCTTGTGAGCGATCTTCATCGACTTGAATATTCATATTCATATTCACCCCATATGCATACAGACGTAGAGGATTTCAATCGAGGGCAAACATGGCACTGTTGTCCGCCACTACCGTCATGTTCATTGTCTCAACAGCATACCTGTTTCTATGTGTGGTTATCACAATTATGGAATTGACACAAGCCGGCAATCAGCATTATGCACACACCCTCGACCAACTAACTGTGGTGCAAGTCTATGTGCCCGCAATCAATGTTCGTGACTTCCATCAATCTAAGATGCCAAGTGATTTTGACACTCTGCAGTCTGCAATCAGTGATGCGGTTGTCATTTGGAGGGCCTGGGTATTATGGGAAGACAATAGAAAGGTCATGATAGTCCCGCTCGTGCTTCTGGTCGGCTCTATCGGTTAGTGTCATGTATTTGGCCCGAGCCAGCAAATGAACAACTATACCTCCCTCTAGCCGCTATGTGTACAAGCGCAGGATACGCAATCTGCACCTTCGTCGTTCACGATCTTTCTAGTTCAAACCACTGTAACCTGATGGCCATGCCTACCGAAATGATCGCTTGGGTGCTGTCGCTTGCGACAAATGTGGCGACTACATGCTTGATTGCATATAAGGCCTGGTAGGTGCTTGTTCGTCTTTGGTGGCTCGAGGGAGGCTATTGATCGCCGTGTTAGGGAGCATCGTCAGTTTATTAAGACTAATTTCGACCATGGCACCGTGAAATCAAAAGCACAAGGGATTCTCTCTCTCCTCGTTGAATCCGGTACAATTTTTTGCATCTTATGGGTAAGTTAAATCGTCTCAAGAGTTGCTACCAATTTCACACCGTTTTTCGTTAGATCATAGGAATTTCTACAAACGCTTCATTCATGGTCAATTCGCGACTTACAAAAGCGTTGTCCGCAGGCGACGCGATTGCAGATACATCTGAGATTCACCTGATGGTAGGTATTATTATTTCTTCCACCCCTTAAATTGAGGCTCAACACGCTCGATGCGATTAGGGCATTTACCCTACCATAATCATTCTGCTCGTAACATTTCAGAAGACTGTATGGGGTGAGACAACCGGGGATAGCTGGACGATCCAACCAGCATTCTATATCCCGGATCAGTCATCAGGATCAACGTCAAAGAGCAGCCTCGAGCGACAATGCCCTAACTCCGAAACCAACGATGTCGATGACGAAATTCTCCGAAGTGGTTCTACGGCTATCACGCCCCATGCGAGCATTCAGGACAGTCTCATGTGGAAGCCCCGGTCATCTAGCATTGATCTGCCACCGCCAAGTAACTCCGTGTAGGTTGGAAAGTGTTTCATTTGTCAAACAAGTCCAAGCTACCAGCAGATGTCTGATATTGAAGGTGAAAAAGCATATATACTCTATTTGTAGATTGTAACCGGCAGCAGATACCTAATTACTAGTATACAGTACGTGTAATAATTCTACAGCACAGTCGTCGAATTTGAGACCACTGATGAGGCTCGTTTTGAACGATGCTCAATTGTAAAAGTGCGCAGCTGATATGCAGGCATCATAATCAAAGACTAAGTAGTTTTATCTTATCCTATCAATCTAGCCTCACGCGAGCTAGCGAGGTCACCGGTCACCATTGCTCACCATCTTCAACCTTGTAACAACCGGCGTTCGTTGAACATGACTACGAAGCAGCTATCCCTTCACCACGTTGTATTGACATGCGCAAGATATCCAGCAATTGATAATCATGCGCACCCCCTTTTGTCTGCCTCCAAGCGTTCCGCATTACCTTTCGAAGGCCTTGTCTCCGAGGCATCTGGCCGTGCACTTGATGACGCCGTCCACACCCTTGCATGCTACCGCGCGACTTGCGAGTTGGCACAGCTGTATGGTATACAAGGAGATCATCCAAGAGAAGTGGCATGGGATGAGATAAAACGAGTACGGGAAGGTATGGACTACCAAAAGCTCTGCAAGTTATGTTTCGAACCAGCGAAGATTTACTGTCTGTTATTGGACGACGGCCTCGGCGGGGTGGAAGAGATGGCGGAAGGGTATCAGTGGCACGATCAATTTACCTCAAGCCCTACGAAGAGGATTGTCAGAGTGGAGGTCGTTGCTCAGGTATGCGTGCTTTATCTCGTTTCCAGACCTCTTATGTGGGTATGTGATAGCGTCTTCCTACTAATTATCTGGGTCCAGGAAATTCTGCAAAGCCTCTTCTCAAGCCTACCAGAGGCTCTGCCATCAGATGTTGTTAACATTTTTTGTCTCGAACTGGTAAGACGCATAGAACAGCAGGCGCAGGCGAAGGACGTCGTCGGATTCAAGTCCATCGTGTGCTACCGGACTGGCATGAACGTCTCCATGTCCTGCACTCACATTGAACTTGAAAAAGCTCTCGATGCAGTATATCAAGCATACCGCTCAGAACCGACCACACCCATCCGTCTCGCGGAAAAGGTGGTGAACGATTTCGTCGTGCGTACAACACTCGAGCTCGCCGGCAAGTACAAGAAACCGGGTATTCTTGTCGTCTTCTCCTCTATGCATGAAAAAGCCATTCACCACCACCTTGTAGTTCAATTCCACACGGGTCTCGGTGATTCAGATATCACCCTCGGGCTCTCAAGTCCCTCACATCTCCAGCCTATCATGAAAGAATACCCCAACACGCCGATCGTCCTCCTCCACTCGAGCTACCCATACACACGCGATGCTGGGTATCTTGCTGCAGTGTACAAAAACGTATATCTTGATTTTGGCGAGATCTTCCCTTTTCTATCGAGGAGCGGGCAAGAGAGCGTCGTTCGGCAGATGCTAGAGCTAGCACCGACCAATAAAATTATGTGGTCCAGTGAGAGGCTCTGTAATAAAATTGACGCTAGGCCGGTGCTGACGGCCTCAAATATTGTTGTAGCGGACGGACATTGGTGGCCTGAGTCTTTTTACCTGGGAAGCATACAGGCACGATCGGTCCTTGGCGAGGTAGGCTTTCCGGCGGATTTGAAACATCTTTCGTATAGGGCATTGACTCGCGTTTATGATTACAGGTGTTGTCTGAGTGCAGCAAAAGAGGAAGTATGAGCTATCTCCGTGCCATCGAGATCGCGAAGGACATACTGTTCAACAACGCGAACCGGATCTATAACCTCGGGCTCCAGGCACCAGATATCGATTTATATGAGTAAGAAGAGATAGTAGTTCTACATTGTTATTGGCCTGGTGTAGAGTGTTCCTCAGAAAGGTCTTCAGTACAATATGCGGTGGTGCGCAGGATTGAGCTCTTCGTCCTGAGGATCTTGAAGTGGTGCATGCCTCGTAGTGTGAGGGTCCGATCTCGCGCGTCCGAGGTGGAAAGCCTTTCGGTCTTGAGGAAAGGCGATTGCCTTCGTAATTGTATCAACAAGTACGAGAACGGCCTGTGTAAGGGAGCCATGGCTGCAATGATGAGACGGTGAGTGCAGAATATGGAGTTTCAATCTTATTTCTATTGGTTTTCAGCGTTTAGCATCTACATAGAGCCGCATTGTACAACGTGAAAAAGAAACCTGCCGGAAAGCCAAATATGGTATGGCACACCATAGTCAGGTTCTCAAGAGACGGTCGATCAGCAGGATCCGCTTACCTGTCCCCCACCTAACGGGTGACAGAAACAGGCCCACTCGGCCGGGAGTGCGCTTGCTTATGCCTCCGTTAGGTTGGGGCGATTCGATAGTTGTATCATATATCTCATGGGACCTCCCGAAAATTGGACCTAGAGAGGCCTTTGGCAATCCAACAAGACACAGTGGATACTAGAACTCTTTCCGTTGTCAGACATTGCTACTCGTAGACTGATCGTGATGAGAAAGGCATACAATAAAGTGATGTGGGCCGGATGGCCTTCGGGTCGATGCTGTTAGAGGAAATGATGGTGTTGACCTACATAGAAGCCATTCTTTGAGCTGAGATGTCAATGATGGAAATACCCGAAGACCTTGACCTGAATATAGTAGTCAGAACTCAAGAGACTCGATCGAAGAAAGCCTGCTCGAGCGACATAGACAGAATCTTTCCCGGCCAAGAGATTCCATCAATGCCGCTCAATACATGGCAGGAGACGCACCCGCACATAGACATAGCAAGTTGGGCATTGACCACAATGAACTTGACAACATGCCGATACCTGACCAAGAGTAGGTACTCAATTAGACTAGTACAAGTAGCTCATAAAGATGTTGAAGGCAGGTTTGAAGGATGCCTCGGAAATCACAGTGAAGCGGCGAGTGAACGGTCCATGTCATACCCTGGACTTGACGCTGAGTATGGCAAAAGATCGACATATGGTCTCGTGTGCTGTGATCGAATCCGAAAGGACAATCGGATAGAGGAGTGTGGTTTGAGCCTGCCTCTCGTCTGATGAGCGGTATTAACAGTGCCGCTCCTGGCCGAGCGATGCTGTAGATGCCGCTCATTAGACGAGGCAGAGATGCTTTACTGTCAAGTTGATCCATTGTCGTTGATTGAAGTCTTGGAAAGCTGATCGTTAGGATGTCGCTGTTGGTTATGTACCACTTGTTAGATTTATTTCTGCTTATTGAACTAAGGCCAAAGGTCATACCGGTTGTTAGATATCGATCAGGATTGAGAGAATTTGAGACGGCTGGGTCAACTTACCGGATCCGACCGCAGAATGGAGCGCTGGCGACTGCGTGCGATGGAAAAGCTGAATCCCTCTTGTGTTCTGGCACTAGATAGTTGAGCCAAAAATCAACAGAGTACACACTGGATCACAGAAACGGAAGCATACCTAATTTTTGGTTGTGAATTGAAAGCCGTAGCAGTCAAAAAATTACAACCTGTCGTCCTCTTCACAATAGTCAGAATCGAAAAGGATAGTCGATCAGGGGAAGGTCCGCTTACCCTGCCTCCCGCCTGATGAGTGGCGTAGACAGAGTCGCCCCCGGCCGAACGACCCTCTCACGCCGCCCATCAAGTGGGAGAAGTAGATGTATAAAGGTTATAGTCCTATAGGTATTCGTTGAAGCATTCTTGCAAGATATTTGAAGTTATGCCTTGTGAAGATGAGCGCCGGCCTTGCCAAAATTCTTAAAGTTTTGTTCTTGATATCGACCTTTCTTCGAAACCCTCTCGGAAAATTGCCTTCTATGGCGGATGAGATTTGTATACCATATTATATTCAAAAAATAAACTCACTGCAGAGTCTTGACGCGATGGTGAGGGATCAAAAGAATATGAAATACACACCTTGTCGACAAATGTTCAAACTGATCTTGATTATTGACCGACGTTCTATACGGGGTGTAAATATCGCGGGTAGTGAAGGAAATACTTGAGAGAGGTCGTATCGTATTGATCGCAGTGACACTCATCTCTCTAGCAGAAAATAAGCTTATAACGATAGTTCCGACGCACCTGTCAGTGTAATTATGTGACTTGATCCTGCGAGCGCAATGAGGATGACAGTCAATGGAATGAAGGGAGTGAGACACACCAAACTTGCAGGAAACGTAGCATCGTCCTTTTCCGCACCTATGATGTGCACCCAAGATTACATTAAGACGTCAGGCTGGGAATACAAAAAGAAGGCACACACGAATTGGTTTGAAGTGCTCGCTAGATGTGTTACTGTCAATATTTATAAGGACTGTGGGTCAACCAACAACTCACCTTATATATCTTCCATCTCATGAGCAACACAGACGAAAGTCCTCCCGGCCGAGGTTCCGCCTATGCCACCCACTCGATGGAGGGCTCGCTGATACAATGCTGAACCGGGCCGCTCGGGAATCATGGACGAAGTCTGTGCACCTAGACAAATTGAGGAAAACATATAGCGATGGGGGGAGTCTGAAAATAAGGCCATAAATCCTCTCGATTCATCTACGACGTTCACAAGAGAGCCTACCTGCATTCGAGACAAGTCCCACATAACCAATTCCAAACCAGACCCACGGACCACTACCGTCGGCACCGGGAATGACCCACCACAAAGGAGAAGAACAAGGAAAGGTGGCAGGAGAAGAAGAATGAACGATGGGAGGAGAAGGGGAGAGGAGAGGAGAGGAGGAGAGTAGATGATGAGAGGAGAACGAATGATGAGAGGAGGAGACGGGATGAGGAAAGGAATGGGAAGCGGAGAAGGAATGGGAGGCGAAGAAGGAATGGGAAGAGGAAAAGGAATGGAGAGAGGAAAAGGAATGAGAAGAGGGGAATGGGGAGAGGGCGAGGAATGGCAAGAGGGAAAAGAATGGCAAGAGGGAAAAGAATGGGGAGAGGATGAGAGGGAGAGAGGAGAGGAGAGGGGATAGGACGAAGCAAAGCAAGGAGAGAAATAGAGATGAAGAGAGAGATGGAACGAGAAGAGAGAGAGAGAGAGAGAGGGAGGGAGAGAGGAGAAAAACACAGCATAATTGAAAAGGAAAGGAAGGAAAGGAAAAGAAAAGAAAAGAAAAGGGAAAGCTCTGCGGTCCCAAGCGAACAAGATTTCCACATGCCGTCCGAACCTTTGTCGCGAGCAAAGGCAGTCCAGCTACGCTTCAAGAATGCCGCCCAGGATGCTGAACCGTTTGGAAGGGGAGTGATTAGAGAAAAAGAGATGATAGTTGGAAGAAAATGAAGAAGTAAAGGTCCATATGGCCTAGAGACGTGAGTTATTAGATACATTTTGCGATGTTTTTGTGCTTTTTGGGGTTTCTGAAAAGAAGGGAAGAGAGACGCGGCGCCTGAAGAAGGAAAGCCCTGGACACAAATGCTACACGATTCTCGTTAGAATATGAAAGTCTCATAGATTGGGCTAGAACTCACCGATTGCTGCATCCAGAGCACTTGCCTTTGCTTGCAACTCATCAAGGCAAAGGCGATTACGCAGCCGTCCCCGATGTCTCCACATACGACACCTTCAACTTAGCTAGAAGGTCACCGATGAATGCGTCAAATTCAGGCTGTCTTTGCTTGCGGCTACGAGAGATGGGGGTACGTTTGGGAGGCGTCGCAACGTAGGCATCGTTAGGCGCATGGATGACGATGGTGGGGATAATCATAGGGGACTCGGCGACGACAACGGGTCCTGCAGAACGTTCCTGAAGGCGGGTATTATCGGCAATCTTCAAGGAGGAGACGGTATGGGGGATATGGGAAGGCTGAGGGTTTTTCTTGCGAATCCGCAGGGGTTGAGTGCTACCGATGGTTGGGACAACAGGACTGACGGTCGAGACTGAAAAGTTGGCGGGGTTGACTGTGGGCTGGGATTCTAGGCGGCCCAAGCGAGCTTCTATGTCGCGAAGTAGTCTTCTACGTTTCCACATCTCGACTCTCGCAACACTATCGTCCAAGGTATCGGTTTCGTCGACATCAAGACCCGCGTCGGCATTGTCATCCCAGCCGTCAAAGAAAGCGTTCGAGCGTGCAGAGAAGGCCGGAACGGCCACGGAAAGTGATTCTACAACTTCAACAGAAGTGGAGATCGGGGACGAGACCTCGACGGTCCCGATGGTGGGGTGGGATATGGCGACGATAGAGTCATTACTGCTCGTTTCGGGGATACGCTCACAGGGTATAGACATGAATTCCTCTTGAATCTGATTGTTACGGTTCTGGCTAGTGAGACGCTTGCTGGCATGGCGCTTGCGCAGGACATTTCGGCGAATAATAGGTGCAGGTCCGCCTTGCTCGAGGTGGACCCAATCGAACGAGTCAGAGCGGGTTTGGGCAGGAACCTCTACGACTTCCTGAACGACCTTCTCTGCAGCAACGGGAGTCTCTTTGGGCGAAGGGACATCAGCCGACGCCTTTTCAACGACGTCCGAGTTGAGCTCGCGGAAAGGCTTGGGCTCTAGGGAAATCCCTCAGCAAGAGCTCGGAGCGAAGCGATGGCTGGAGTGACGAACCTTTTGCTGCTGCAGCTCCGGACTTTTCTCGCTTCACGAAAGCGGTCAAAGTGAAGCGAGTGCTTTGAACGCTGACGTTCTCCTCTGTGGATGGTCGTGTCAGTAAGAGTCCATGACCGACGATGAATGGGCTGCTTACTGTCGGCTTGAGCGCTGGCGCTTCCCTTGCCCTTCCGAGACTTCTTGGAAGGGGCGGGGGTATTCCCAGCGGACCGTTTGCCCGTCAGTGCACGGGTGGAGAGCAGGCCAGAGGGGACGTAAACTGAAGAATCAAAGAACATGGTCAGAGAGAAGGGTGGAGGAGAGATGGGGTGTGTGGAGAGATGGTATATAGAAAAGAAAGAAATATTTAGAGATCGCAAAGATCGCAAGGAACACAGAAAGAAGCGGTTGTAGAAGAACAAACGCTTGAGGCTCTCGGAAGGTCGGAGGAGGATTATACCTGCGGCATTCGCATTTTGACCATAAGGTCATCAAGCGTCAGGGTTTAAATTCTCTGTCATCTGCAGTTAAGACTGATATATGTCGCAGAACAGACAAAATCATGCCGAACGACAGCATCCATGATCAGTCCAACAACAAAGCCCCTCGAAAGCGTTGAAGGGAGATCTTTCTCATAGACCTAGGAGTTACCTAGCATGTCATTTGAATTGCCTTCCAGTACCTGTCTGGACTAGGAGATATCGCAGAGGTATGACGAAGAATGACTGGTTGTGTTCCAAATGGACCTTCCGGTCAGCGACCACGATGCACGCGACAACATCGCCGCCAAAGTCGATTGGCTGTTGGTGTCACTAACACGAGATCTACATCGACACACCCCAGGGTGAGCATGGCACGAATGAGTGCAACAACACAAGTACATCCGAGTCAGATTATTTTCACGTCGAGTTCGACGCGCAGCACTTAATTTTCAAAGCAACGGTTGCAGCAGGTGACGCCATATACCTGGCAAACTGGGCTAGCGAGCGCGGACATGAAGAGGAGACGACTTCACGCACTCAATACCCAATGGCTGTTCATCTTGGTCGACGTTGACGCGACCGAGACGACGGGTCCCCAACGGGGACTCCAGATGGGCAAGAATCTGTTCTAATAATTACTTGAAAATACCCAAATTGTATACACCAGGTCCTAAAGCTCGTCGTGCGAGTGGAACGGCTCCTGCTCATCGTCCGGACCAGGCTCGTAGCTCGATCCAGCGCCCGCGCCCTCATACATCTTGCTTGTGATCGGGTTCACGACCGCCTGCACTTCGGTGAGCTTCTCCTCGAGCTCCTCCGCAGTCGCCGACGCGCCGTTCTCGTCGATCCACTCCGTCGTCTCCTTCGTCAGCGCGAGCAATGTTTTCTTGTCCGAATCGCTGATCTTGCCGCCGAGCCCTTCCTGGTCGCCAAGCTGCGCCTTGAGGCTGTAGACAAACGACGAGAGCGAGTTGAGTGCCTCAATGCGTGCGCGGGAGGCTTCATCCTCGGAGGCGAAGTCTTCGGCTTCCTTAATCATGCGCTCGATCTCTTCCTTGGAGAGACGGCCCTTTTCGTTGGTGATCGTGATAGATTCGGATTTACCACTGTCAATTGGCAAGCTTAGCGGCGATCAGATTGTGAAGCGACTATAGTACTTACGTTCCCTTGTCGGCGGCGGAGACTTTCATGATACCGTTCGCATCAACCTCGAAGGTGACCTCGATCTGGGGAACACCACGGGGTGCAGGTGGAATGCTGGAGAGCTCGAACTTTCCAAGAAGGTTATTGTCCTTCGTCAGCGAACGTTCACCCTCGAAGACCTGGATCAAGACAGTGGGCTGGTTGTCTGCGGCCGTCGAGAAGCTAAAAACTGCTATCAATACAAGAAAGAGTTAGGTAATGGAATGTACTGACATCTGGGACTTGCGCGTGGGGATGACAGTGTTACGGGGGATGAGCTTCGTGAAGACACCACCAGTTGTCTCAATACCAAGGGTAAGGGCGGCAACATCGACAAGAACGACATCCTCAGTACCAGCCTCGCCAGAGAGGATACCACCCTGGACAGCAGCACCATACGCGACAGCCTCATCGGGGTTAATACCCTTGGAGGGCTCCTTGCCACCAAAGAACTCCTTGAGCAGCTGCTGGACCTTAGGAATACGAGTCGAACCGCCGACGAGAACGACCTTTTCGGAGACAAGTCAGCATTTGGCGGAGTATATCAGCGTAGCTGTGCACCTCATCAATGTCCTCCTTTTTGACACCGGCGTCCTTAAGAACCTGTTCAACAGGCTTCATCGTCTTACGGAAGAGGTCCAAGTTCAGCTCCTCGAACTTGGCGCGAGTGAGGGTCTCAGAGAAGTCGTTGCCGTTCTCGAACGCCTCGATTTCAATGCGGGTGCTCTGCTGCGAACTGAGAGTACGCTTCGCCTTCTCAACCTCACGCTTCAGTTTGCCCATCGCCCGGAGGTTGGGGGTCGCGTCGGTGCCGGTCTTCTTCTTGTACTGCTTGACGAGGTAGTCGATAACACGGTTGTCGAAGTCCTCACCACCGAGATGGGTGTCACCGGCCGTGGCCAATACCTCAAAGACGCCCTCGTCGATAGAGAGGAGGGAGACATCGAAAGTTCCACCGCCGAGATCGTAGACGATGATCTGAGACTCGCCGCCTTTCTTGTCAAGGCCGTAGGCGATAGCAGCGGCAGTGGGCTCGTTGATGATACGAAGGACAGTGAGACCAGCAATGGTGCCGGCATCCTTAGTCGCCTGACGCTGGGCGTCGTTGAAGTCTGAACGTCCTGTTAGAGTGAACGCTTTACATAGGAGAATCTTGACTTACAGGCCGGGACGGTGACGACAGCATGGGTGACCTTCTTGTTAAGGTAAGCCTCGGCAGTCTCCTTCATTTTCGTCAAGACCATGGCGGAGATTTCCTCAGGGCTCTGCGACAGGACACTCAGTAATGTTGAAATGTAGTAATGTCATAGAGCGGACATACGAAATCACGCATTTCGCCCTTGTACGACACGGAGACCGCGGGCTTTCCACCTTTCTCAGTAACCTTGAAGGGCCTGTCGAAGTGCGGACGATGAGGGCGGGCGGGATGGGTTTGGGAGCAGCATATACATACCAGTGCTTCTGATCGCGCTTGGTCTCAGGGTCGCCCGCCTTGCGACCGATGAGTCGCTTAGCGTCGAAGACGGTGTTTTCAGGGTTAGAGTGGAAGGCATTCTTCGCAGAGTCACCGATTCTGCACGAGACGAATGAGCATGCGCGCGGCGGGCTCCTTGTTGAATACGTACAATCGTTCCTCGTCAGTGAAGGACACCCATGATGGTGTGATACGGTGGCCTTGGTCATTCGCGATAATCTCGACACGTCCTCCTCGCTGTACTCTGTGGGTCAAGGCTAATCAATAACTGGAAGGAGGGCATGTAAAATAATCACATACCCGACACATGAGTAACTGAGCGACAATCAATAAGATCAGTATAAGCGCAATGCAACAGGAGCATCAGACATACGTAGTACCCAAATCTGTAGACGATGGTGAGCGAATGGCCCGAAGTATGTGCAGAGGATGAAGACACGTACCAATACCAATTACAGTGCCATATTCCTGCTTTTGGTCCTCGGCGTTGACGGGAGGGCAGAGACAAATGAGGGCGAGGAAAAGGAGGAAACAGAAAGAGAGGCCTGTGGCCAGGCGGGAGGATTGTGTCCGCGAGGGACGAGACATGGTGGTTGTGGTCGTAAGAGGTGGTTGCGGAGGTCTTCGCCCAGAGCGACGGTTTATAACTCCCCGCCACGTCTGTTCGCCACGTCAACACCCTCCAGCTTTCCCACGCTCCATTTCTCGTTTCTTCCAGTCCCCGCACATTTTACTCTTGGCTCCGTACCGCCGACCGATTAGTGTCTTTTTTTTGTCCAGCTGTCCCCAGAACGCCTTCGATAGCGTGTTCGTCTCGAGTCTCTGTGGCACTACACCGTCTTTCGAGTCTCTCGAACTGCAATGTCATTGGCCACGTCACAGCTCGCAACAGAGCCGTGTGGCTGAAGCATTATTCTCCGACATTGGCATTGCATCACTCTCTTCCGCATCACAGGCCATCTAGCACCGGCAAGACACTGGATATGCGCTGCTCTGCCGGTCCAGGGCGTATAGCTGACACGTTTCCATTTCCTTTTGTAGCCTTGAAGCACTTCGTCCCGCTGGACTGTATTGTAGCCTTGAAGCACTTCGTCCCGCTGGACTGCATTGTAGCTCTGACGCCTGAGTAAGCCTCTGCAGACCTCCTCAGACAGACTGACGGAATGAATGCTACCAATCATTGTAGTCGTAGTACGTATCATGCTATAAATCATTGCGTAGGTAAACCAAGTGTTGTCCAACAAACAATCCGCTCAATGGCTCTGGCCCAAGCATCCTCTTCCGCAATGGAGATGTATTGAAGTTCCCGACGAGTCACTTGAACCTCGTGCACAAGCCGGGGAACCTCCAGATCATGTTCGCACTTAGCGCTGCCCATAGTACTTCTTGTGCCGCTGGAATGAAACTTCGTTTGTCGACAGCGTACCACAGGGGTGATGCATACGAAGTTTCCACCCATCATGGCTAATGTAAGGCAGTATATTTTGGGTCTGTACAGGTTGGAGAGGTGATACTTCCGGAGGAAGAAAGAGGAGTTTGAAGCTCAGACACGCAGTGGTAAGAAAGAAGTCGACCGCTTAGAATGGTAAACATAGCGCAGTGTCTATGGGCTAATGGATCTTTCATAAAATTTGAACGACTTGTACTATCGCGCCCATTGCGGCTGTCGCGAGAAAATGTACGGACATGGCGAAGGTAGCGGCCAAATTGTCTCGTCTTCGTCTGTCGAGCGTAGTTCTGTCTGTTTCTGCTTTTTTTCTGTTCAATTCAGGTTACCTGTGTAATGGATTCCTCATGCACAGTTCGACATGATTGGTGGTACGACGGAAGAGCGAATGCAGACAGTCTGCAGACGGACGCGATGATGACGATGACGCGTGCGGTCACGCGTGACGACACGCGTCCTGATGTTGGCCGTGCTGAGGTCATCAAGTCCTGCGTTGAGCGAGCTCGCGGCAGCGCCACACATGATCATGCACGATGCCCGCACAACACACAGAACAGGAAGAGAACGCGTTTATGCGAGACCTCCTCCATGGCCTTGACGCATCCTTCTTTGACGCAGCTCCCTCTCCCTCTCCGTCCTCCACGAAATCTCGCCGGCCACCACCATCACCGCGTCATGCCTCTCCTGAGCGCCCGCGACACCACGCGCATCCCCACCCATTCACCACGCCAACCAAACCTCGCTCCTTAAAGCGTGATTTGTTGACTACTCCTAAAAATAAAACTCCACTCCGGTTCAACGCCGTGTACGATGCGGGCAACATCAATGCGGACGAGGTTGTGGCTGGCTGGGACTGGGACGCGTGCTCAGACTATGTGCCGACACCGCAGAAACCGAAGGCCGATCACAAATATCTCATTACAACAGTGAGCTCCTCAAAGACCATTCTCTTTTGGTTTGTGCCATGACAAGTCAGCAGGCATCAGTCTCAGAGGCGCCCGAAACGTATATTCCAGACCCATGTACGCGCTGTATCGTGATTACCGTGACAGGAGTTTGGGTCAACCGTCGTTTCGAAAAAGTCAGCGTTTTATGTTTTCTTGAACTTGATCGTCTTGTCTTCATGTGCTTGATGCTTGATGCTTGATGTTAGCATCTCGCAACTAGAACCGACCCTGCTCGTGAAGGCCGCATGGTGACTCTGTGCGACGACTGGGTAAACTCAAATATCATGCCCGGTATGCATGACTATGCTCGCACCCTCACATGTCTTTGATCCAAATTTGCATGCTTGACATTCCAGGCGACACAATCAATGTAATCGGCGTGTTCTCCTCTGCGGACCCTGATCTCCCTCCCTCGATATCCATTACAGCTTCCGCTAATCTTCTGATCCACCACCCCGACCACCTTCTCACTCCAAGCGCCCTCTCTTCTGCGCCACACTGCACCCGACGTCCCGTCCTCACGTCTCTACTCCGCTCCACGTCACCCTCTACTCCGGTTCTTGTGTATGGTAATATCCTCCACGAGATTTTTCAACAGTCTCTCCGCTCTGGTCAATGGGATACTCACTGGATCGAAAAGAAAATAGATCAAGCGCTTGGTGCTAATCTCGGTGAGCTGGTGCGTGTGGGCGTCAGCGTCGAAACTGCGCGAAGAGACATCTTGGATCGCGCGAAGGGGGTAAGCATATTTGGCCAGAAATACGTCAGCGATACTCCCAAGGTATATAAACTGTCTAGGAACTCATGAGAAACTCACTCCTATTATGAATGCTAACAAGGGTTTCTGAATCGCAGCCGGACGCGATCCTGACGAATACGCGCGCGTTGCAAAACGAGACTTCGCTGCTTGCGATATCACATCTGCACGATATCGAGGAGGATATATGGTCTCCCGCTTATGGCCTCAAGGGCAAACTCGACGCTTCTGTCGAAGCCGTCATCACTTCTCAAACGTCATCTTCATCATCGTCTGATTCCTTATGTGCTCCGTCCCTATCGCGTCCGGTGCCCTTCGAGATTAAGACAGGCCGTGCCACTGCAGGGATGGAGCATCGCGCCCAGACGATGCTCTACACTCTCCTAATGTCAGAACGGTACTCCACGCCGGTGCAAGAAGGGTTATTATACTATACTCAGAGCGAAGAGGTCATCTGCGTCCCTGCTGCACGGCACGAGATACGCGCGCTGGTGAATGTGAGAAACACGATCGCCGATACCGTCGCTCGGCGATTTCAAAAGGGCTTTAGCCGGCATCAGGACGAGGAGGAAGAAGGATCATTTTTGCCTGAGACGATCGACGATGAGAGGATCTGTGGGCGATGTTATTCTCTCGACGCATGCATGCTTTATCGGAAGGTATGCCGACCGACGCGGCATCGAAAGATCATTCATGTAATTTTTTTGGGCAGGCCGTCGATAAAGTGGAAGATACTTCCTCACCGATTGCCGACATCTATGCGCTCAAAACCGGGCATCTCACATCTGTGCAAGCAGATTTTTTCAGATCTTGGGAGCGTCTGATCGCGCTCGAGGAGCACGACATGGTGCGCTTCCGCAAGGAGCTCTGGACGATGGGCGCGCAAGAGCGGGAAGAAAGGGGCCGATGCTTTGCCGATATGGTCTTAGATCTAGGTGGGCCAGATCCAGCGGTGCCCATCAAGTCGCGCGGGATACACCAGTATACTTATCGTTTCCGCCGCCGCGACGAGGTCAAAGCCGGGAGCCTTTTGAGCGGCCACATGAACGTCGGCGATGCGGTCTCCGTGTCTGTCGAGCCTCATCTGCTCGCCCTCAACCGCGGCTTCGTCCTCCATCTCACGCCGACGCATGTCCTTCTTGGCGTCGACCACGAGCTCGACGAAGCTACGCTTCGCGAGCGCCTGCAGAGACGATCGCGTGTGCACCGGACTTCCGTCTCTACGTTAGCTGCTCCCGACTTTGGCGACGCGCCGCAGATCGTGTTCCGCATAGACAAGGATGAAATGACGGGCGGGATGGGCCGTATCCGGGAGAACCTTGCGCACCTCTTTTTCGCGGGGGGAGACACGACGCGGTTGCGGCTCGTCGTCGATCTCGCTCCGCCTATCTTCGCTGAACCTTCTTCGTCCACGCTCCTGCAGGACGTCCGGAATTCTGCGCGCTGTCAAGAGCTGACGTCTGACCTCAATGCCTCCCAACAACAAGCGATCGAGAAGGTGCTGTGTGCGGAGGACTATGCCTGCGTTCTGGGGATGCCGGGAACGGGGAAGACGACGCTCGTGGCGTGCCTGATCAAGGTGCTTGTGGAAATGGGCAAGACTGTCCTCCTGTCCAGCTACACGCATTCAGCAGTAGACACCATTCTTGCGAAGCTGAAAGGTGCGGATTTCGGGGTGTTGAGGCTGGGAAACGTGGATAAAGTCTGCTATCCTCTTCTCCCCCTTGAAACGATCCTATACTCATCGACATTGGCGGATTAGGTGCATCCGGATGTGTTCCATTTTACGCTCGCAGCGCGGAAGAAAGCGAACAGTATTGAGGAACTTGAGCGGCAGCTGATGACCCCGCCCGTCGTCGCGACCACTGCTCTCTCTATCGACCAGTAAGTAGGCCCATTTCGACTCACAAAAGATAACGAGCTCACGTCAGATTTTCCCCGTAGCGAGTTATTCTCCCGTCGCTTGTTTGATTACTGTATAGTGGACGAGGCGTCCCAAATTACATTGCCGACGTGTATTGGTCCCCTTCGCTTCGCGGCCAAATTCATCCTGGTTGGCGATCACTATCAGCTGTCTCCGCTGGTAGGTCGTTTTGTATACGTTATATTAGCTTGCCATTGAAGGAGATTCATAGGTCCGCAATCGCGATGCCCGTAGAGGAGGCCTCGACGTCTCGCTGTTTCGCCGTCTCTCTGAGGCTCATCCACAAGCTGTCATAGACCTTAATGAACAATACCGCATGAACGAACAGATCATGCTCCTTTCAAATCGTCTCATCTACAGCAATCGATTGCGCTGCGGGTCGGCTGAGGTTGCGAACCAGAGTCTAATTCTTCCCGATTCGACATACCTCCACTCGTTGCATAAGAACTCATCGTGTCCAGGAAGACAGGATTGCTGGCTAAAGAAGCTCATGAATCCAAAGTGTGTATGTCCATGTATCTCTATTCGACGCAGACGCTGACTGAGCTTCAGCACAAAAGCCGTCTTCGTCGACACAGACCTAGTTCCGGCGTTTGACTCAAGCGTTGGCGACCTCGTCCAGAATGAAGTGGAGGCAGCCCTCGTGTCACAAGTAGTGGAAACGCTTCTTGAGAGCGGCGTGGGAGAGGAAGATGTGGGCGTTATCACGCTGTACCGACAGCAGATCAAGCTCCTCTCGCACCTCCTGCGTGGGCGTACCGGCATCGAGATTCTTACCGCGGACCGTAGTCAGGGCCGGGACAAGAATTGCATCATCGTATCTATGGTTCGATCGAACGATGATGGACAGGTATGATGCAGACCGGTTTCCCTAATTGTTGTATATATTGACTAGCAACCTCGCAGATCGGTGAACTCGTCAAAGATTGGCGCCGCATGAACGTTGCCTTCACCCGTGCACGGTCCAAATTGGTCATCTTCGGTTCGCGCAGGACGCTCCAAAACGACTCTCTACTTGCCGAGTTCCTACAACTAATGGACGAGCAAGGCTGGATCTTGCAACTGCCAGCCGACGCTCACACCTTTCACCCGCTATCTTACCACCCATCTGAGACCCAAGGCAAACGTGCAAGGTCAAACACTGTTCCCTCCAAAGATCAGGTGCCCATGCCAGACCTTGACAGCCGCTCAAGACCCGCCAAGAAGGTCAAGACAGGTGGGGACGAAGGTGTGCTGCGAGGAAGGCCTGTTCTGAAAGACTTGGTGAACGATTCCCTGTGACGTGCCAGACACTGGCTTGATTTGTACAACAGCTTCTGTAATAAAATCGTCACGTCGGGTACGGGGCGGTAGTGCGTATCTTGACGGAGCGTGATATTGATATATAGGGGCTCATGGCTGGGAGAAGATATACTCCTGTGGCTGACGAGTTAACTTAGCGTTAGGTGGTAACCTCGAGTTGGCGATCATGAACCGCGGTCCGCGGCAGACCGCCGCGGCGCCGAAAGAGAACTTCTTTACATAAATAAGCCATCGTCGGGATCATGCATTTCCTGGATACAGCTGCCAATGCGCGTGACGTTCCAGAATGGTCTATTCGTGCTAAAGAGGCGATACTCTGAAGAATGGACAGGAGACATTGTGTGCCAAAAAGCGCAGGAAATGCGGAGAGAATATGAAGCACGTGACTGGCGGCTTTGACCTCGTGGAATGCCTGCAGGCTGCCTGTCGCCGTGTCGCTAGCTATTACTAGTAGCGGCATATTCCCCAAGCTTGTCGTTTCCCCTCCGCCCACTCTATCTCTTCCCTATACCACCACAATAGCCGCTACTATGGAGGACATAGTCTACCGTCAATACAACGGCGAAACCGACCTCTCACACATCGTCGCGCTCGTCCAGAACGAACTCAGCGAGCCATACGTGATATACACGTATCGATACTTCCTGCACCAGTGGTTCGTTCATTTAGCCGTCACTTCTCCCCTTGATCACCCACTCAACTTACATACAAAATAAGGCCCCATCTCTCCTACCTCGTAAGTTGCTGACCAGCTCAACACGAAGCGAGCAGTCATCCATTGACAAACGACGCGTGTGTCCCGTAGGCTTTCCCCGCAGACCAACCTGACGTACCCATTGGCGTGATAGTCTGTAAGCAGAGCATGCACCGCGAAAGATCAAACCGTGGTTACATTGCCATGCTCAGCGTCTCCAAGAACTGGCGCAAGCGTGGCATCGGTGTGTTCCTTTCGCTCATCACCGCAACCTCCTACTCACTCCTGCTTCATCTGGCTTTGGTGGTCATTCATTTGTTGTTGTCGCGTGTATATCTTGTGCCCTGTCTCTTCTCATCGCGTGGACGGACGCATCAACGTGCGTAGCGAGCGCCCTCGTGCGTCATTCCATTGATGTCATGAAAGCTAGTGGTGTCGAAGAGGTGTGTGCATTCTCTAGTTGTCACAAACCTCCTCCGCTGAAGCGGTCGTTCTTCGCCGCACACCTTTATCATCCATGGTCCTTTGCCCGTCGCCGCCGATTCTCTCCCATGCCCAATGCCCTTTCAATCTCTTCCGCGTATGATATTAACTAACATCCTTGTTTCAAGATCGCTCTTGAAACCGAATACGACAACACCGCTGCGCTCGCCCTGTACGCTTCTATGGGGTTCGTCCGTGAGAAGCGCCTCTTCCGCTTCTATCTTAACGGCAAAGATGCCTTCCGGCTCATCCTCGCTCTTGGAGACGGAGACGATACGTCCCAGACGTCTGCCTCCTTCTCTGACCAGGACGATGGGATGGACGAGAGCGGTGTGCCAGGCCCCGCTCACCTTTCCAAGCTGCGATGGAAAGTGAGCGCCTTGCGCGCGAGCCGGATGGTAGCTCTCTGGCCCCCGGACGAGGAAGAAGTTTCGGGGAGATAAGGCGGAGAGACGGGTAAGAACGGTTCGAATTCATTAGCTTTCCACGCGTATGATATCAGTCGAAATTTTCTCAATGGCCTGCTCCGTCTATCTTGCTCCCTTCTTGTACCACCGTATCGCCGTATCCGTCCTATATTAGGTCCTCGCGACTTCCAGTACCTCTTGTACCCTTCACTGCTTGTCGGACATCGTACCGTAGCTGTACAATTAGTTTTTCTCTCTGCTGTCCTCCCCTCCACTCATGCCTTTTAGGTATACCATTGCCTGTACTTCTTTTTCTTCCTCGGTCCCGCTTCTTGTCGCTGTTGTAGGGTATTGAGAGGCCCATAATGTGATATATAATGCTGTTCTGTCATTTACTCACTGCACGAACGACGCCCCGTGTACTCGGAGGTGTGGCCGCGCAAAACCGCGGGCTCCGGTAGCTCCGCGGCTCGGTGGTGACAAACGGACGGCTGTATACCAAGCAGGCTTCGCGTTCAAGTCACAGGTCTTGTGAGCAGCACGGCATGCACACGCGCGAGTGGCATTCCAATCCAAGAAAGCAAGTCGATTTGTGATGAATATATGCGCCGGCATGTGCGACGCGCGGGGGTAATATTAACATGTATATATATCCAAGTGTCTTTTTATTCTCAGCCGCGAAGGCTTCCGCTCAATCGTCCGCGGGGACGACGCTATCACGCGTGCTCGCGCCCTTTTTCTCGCTAACGCTGCTGCCCTCGCCGTCGGGGCGCTTCTCGCCGGGCGTGCGCTCCGCGTAGCCCTCGACAGTTGGCACGGGGCCCGTGAACCAGTGCACGCCGCCGTACTTGGGGCAGTAGTACCACGCGACGGAGAGCAGGAGGATGCCGCCGAGGACGACGACGGTGTAGTTCATGTCGGGCACGTCCGTCGCGCGCGTCGTCGGGAAGAGGAAGACGACGGTCATAAAGCACATGTAGGAGACGGCGACGACGGCGACGGGGATGCTCTGCGCGGGAAACGAGACCGTTCGTCAGCGTTCAAAGGAATCGTTCGTGGGGAGCTGGAGGCCGGGGACTCACGAAGGCGCCTAGCGAGAACGCGCCGGGCGTCCAGCCGTTTTGCTTCCGCCACACGACGCGCGCGGCGATCGGGATCGCGTACGCGATGTACAGCGCGGTGACGGAGATGGCAAACACGGCGTTGATAGCCTGCGCGCCCGCGAAAACGAGGAGGCCGAGGAGGAGCGCGAGCGCGACGACGAACCCGACGGTGTTGACGGGCGTGCCGGTGTAGCCGTTCATGCGATACAGGATCGAGGAGAAGGGGAGCGCGCCGTCACGGGCAAAGGCGAAGGACTGGCGGGAGGCGGCGAGGACCATGCTGGAGCCCATCATGTACCTGTGGGAGAAGGGGAGAATGGTCAGACGCGCGAAGGTGGAAGGCAGAGGGGGACGCACTGGACCATGACGACAAACGCCCATACGGCGAGCGTACCCTTTTGGCCGAAGCTGTTGAACAAGATCTGCGCCATTGGCTGGGGCGCGTCCATGAGGGCCTGGAGATCTGTGCCCATGCAGAACGCGAGGGACACGTTGATGGCTGCGAGATTGACGTTCAATCAGTGGGATTTGTGAGCGAGGAGCAAGACGCTCACCCCAGCCGAGGATGCCTGCAATGGCAATAGCGAAGACGATCGCGTAGGGAACGGCGGTCGCGGCGTTGGACGCTTCTTCGCTGATGTGCACGCTGGAATCAAAGGAGCCTGGAAGCGAACCACGACACAGACGGTTGTGCGCCGTTAGCACCCTCAGGAACGATTCGTGAGACAGGGTAGGGCGTACAGATGGTCCAAAGTGGGGCGAGGAAGCTGAGGATAAACGCGTAACCGTTGGGCCAATCATACACTGAGATTTGCGCGCATGTGAACAAATCAGAGGAGACGATGAGAAAGGAAACAAAAACATACGGTTGGTGAAGTTCCCGAGCGCGAACTTGGCAGTGTTGCGGAACTCCTTGGGCGTGGCAGCGGGGAGCGCGACGATGACGGCAAGGCAGAGCCTATCGCACCGCAGTACACGTGAGAAAAGCTGTGTTAAAAGAAGCGTGCGCGAGGGACTTACATGACGTTCAACACGACGTAGAGGCTTTGTAAGCGGGCTAGGACGCGAGTGCCGAGGCAGCAGAGCACGGCGTGCGAGAGGAGGATCGCAGCATACACGCCACTGTATTGCAGGTCAGTGAGAATTACAAGGAACAAGAAAATTAGAAAGGCGCACTAAAGCTGGGCATTGGTCGCCGAGAAGGTCTCGTTGGACCCGATACTCGCGGCAGCCATCACCTGCACGGCGCAGCCCCAGTCGATGGACGCGACGGACGCAACGGAGCCGATGGTGTTTGCGTCTGATTAACGCATGTGAGGAGAAGTTTGTCAATGAAAGAGGGGATAGCCCACGTACAGCCGACGATCCAGGCGAGGAGATTGCGCCATCGGGGAGCAGAAAGCGAGTGAGTCCAGAAATAGAGCTGTGGGGGCACGGACAGTGGTCAGGCCCGGAGAGGGATGAGAAAGGGAGGGGACATACGCCGCCGGAGGTAGGAGCTGCGGAGGCAAGCTCGGCCATGGACATGCCGACCAAGAGGATGAAGAAGCTCGCAACGGCCCACTGTGCAGGACTTTAACCTTTGAAACGATCAGACGTGCGAGAGAGAGAGACGTACACCCCAGACCATGGCGGCCGGTCCCCCATTAGGGATCGAGTAGAAGAGGACAGAGCTGAGGGGACATGTGAGGGAATGGGAAGAAGGCAAAGAGAATAAACTCACGCAATGGACGGCAACAAGCCGATGATACTGAACGCGATACCGAACACCTGCGAGGTGGATCAGGGACGGTTATCTGGAGGGAGTGAAATTGGGGAGACAAACCTCGAGAGGAGTGAACGCGCGCCGGAACTCCTGCTTGTAACCAAGAGCGGCGAGCAGGTTCTCATCTGCCTGCTCGACCTGAGTCTTCTGGGCAGGGGCGGTCGGGAGGTAGTTCAGATTGGCTTCGTCAGACATGGTCAACTGAACGGAGCTGGTGGGTGTCTGTGGGTGTGGTCTCGGGAGTCCGTGCTTGCTCAGGGCGAGCAGAAAGGCAGTCGGAGGGAGAGACGGGGAAGGGTTCGTACGAACCGAGTTTTGAAGGGGCAAGCAAGCTTATCGGGGAGCGGGAAGGGCGCTCATTCTGCTCTCGCCCGTCGCGTCGACGGACTTATCTACTGCAATGGCGATAAGGATGCGCTGTATCCAGATTGGTCAATAGACGCTCGGCCGTGGAGCAGCAGTCGGAGTGTAGTCGGCGAACGTTGCTAGACGATGGCGTCGACGTTGAGGAGCGGCGAGGCGGACCTTGGTGCACTTGGTGGACCATGGAGCTCGGTGGAGGAGGTGCGAAACGCGTTCACATGCACACGACCCTTAACCTAATCTCGTCTCATTCCTCCACTATCGTACAAATACGCTCCCATCCCATCCTCGCTCCGGAACGCCCATGGCCCCCGCCGCGACCCTTACCCCTTTGCCTTCTGCGCTTCGTACTGCTTGGGTGTCATCGTTCTCTGCGGAGCCCACGTCATCAGTACATGACATGCGGGTCTGAGCTGAGCTCAACTCATAGATGGACAGACCTGCGTGAACGCGTGTATCTGCGCGATCTCCGTCTTGAGCAGCTCGTTCACTACGCTCCAACGAAAAGGACAACGGCATCAGTCGGGAGCCGCCCGGGAGCACTCAAGCTCGATCACGGAGCGTACCTAGGCGATGTCTCGCCAGCGTCGTCTTGCCTTCAAACGCCTGCGCCCCGGCGGCCGAGCGCGATCAGCAGTGGGTCCGGCCTAAATGTGGGTCGCTCGCACCTCGCTCACGATCAGCACGTTGTAGTTCTCCCCGCACCCGCTCGACTCGTCCACGATCTCCAGGTGCGCGACCGGCAGCGCCGCCCGCAGCTTCGCATCCAGGGCTTCCGTAGTGACGGGCATCCTTGCGGCCGTGTTCTTTGCGATAAAAATAGACGATAGGTACTAGGCTGGCTTCACGAGAGGCTCAGGAACTCGATAGACGGGCGAGGTTGGACTTGGGTTGGGCTCCGTTGCACTTTGCGGACGAGAGATGATCTGATAAGATAGTCCTTCGCCGCCTTTTATCGCTATCGCTCGGCGCTTACCTCGTCTTCCCATATCTTATCGCTCCCACTGCGCCTTCCGTCTTCTCATCGCAACGTGCTCAGACTGGCTCAGATAGGGCCTGCTCTTCCGTTCTGAGCTAGTCCGAGCTGCGCGCTCGTACAGGCTCGCACGGATGTGAGACTCGAGGCATCGGCTGCGCCACAACTTGACTTGCCGGTGCCAGCTACACCCCAGTGCTTCTAGAGGGGTACGAGGATACCCAACCCTCGGACAGGATGGATCAGGCAAGAATGGTAGGTGTGGGATTGCAATGGGATTGCACGGAAGAGGTAGAAGACAGTAAGGGCAGGGGTAAAATGGGGGTTTGGTTGATACTGGAAAGGGGCTGTACTTACATCAGGAGTCTGTATAGTAGCTAAAATGGTCTGTATAGCTGTACTAGACCACGAGAGGCCAAAAGTAAGTCCGGGGTTTGACAGTGTTCACTTGATGTGATTTACAACTAGTGCTGCCTCCCTAGACATTACTAGATTACCCCCTACTTGTTTTGGACTTCACTTCTAGAGATGTCTTAAGAGATGCCTGTCTTCTGGACAATCTTGGAAGATTTCCTCATCTGGGGAGTCTCTACAGACAGCACCAACAGTAAATACACCTAGGATATTTCTTCTGTTTCTGCCAATGAATTGGCTCTTGCTCTTATAATTACATTCATGAAAATCACATTATAAATAGGTACTTTACATGCTCTTGTCTACAGACCTTACTGCTCTATAAAGTGAGTGCCAAAATAATAAAGGAGAGTGAGGAACAGGAAAGTAAGGGGAAATAGAAGAGACTAGTATAGGCAGAGGTTGGTAGTGGTGGCAAGAGAAGATGAGCTTATACATGGGTAAAGGAGGTAGACAATAGTGACAAGACAAGATAGGCCCATACTTATCTTGTATAAGCAGTGGTAAAGGCAGATAGCAATAGTGAGGTAAGACAAGTTAGCCCATACTCATAAAAGACAAGCATAGGCAGAGGTAGACAATAGTAGTAGGAGAGTACAAGTATGAACCTAGGTGGTGGAATCAAAAGGAGGTGAGTCTGAACTTGTCTTTTATGAGCATGAGTAGGGATTGGCAGTAGTAGAAGTGAGAGGGTATAGGCATAGGCATAGGCTAGCAATGGCTGTAAAAGGGTATGGGCATAGACAGGGGCTCAAAAGAGAATATGGGCCTACACTTGTCTTATGCAAGTGTAGGTGGAGATTGGCATTAGTGGTAGAGAGAGATCATAAGTATGGGCAGGGGTAGGCAGCAGCAGTAAGAGAATATGGGCCCACATTTGTCTTATAGGAGTGTAAGCAGAATCCGTTAAGCTAGAGGCTTATTATATACACTGATGTACTAAGAGGGGCTCCCTAAGCTATTTGGATTATAAGGCCCCAATGAATAAAGACAATGGATCATCTTTGAGCTTGCAAGAGAAAGTTGGGATCACTGTTTGCTTTATCCTCAAAAAGATAAAGTAGATAGTCTTTAAGGATATCTTAATGTTTAGCAGGTATTGAACTATTTTCACCAGTTCAATAGATAACTCTGGGTGGTATCCAACTTAGAATGCAAAAAACAGCAAGTGTCTATCTATTTATGCATAATTAAGAATGATTAGGATTAGAGATTATTTGCTTACCCCACCCTAAATCTGTTCAAATTAGACATAATTTTCCTAAATTAGGAATTATTAGGATTGATTATAACTTGAAATTTCGGAAAAATCATAATAAATCAAGCATCACAGTTCTCATAGCCTTCTTATAGAGTCATATCTATTAGAGCACTAGTTGAATACCTAAACACAGAATATACCTTATAATAAACTTGCCTTCTGCCAGAGTTGAACCAACAACCCCAGGACAGATGCTCTAAGCCACTAAGCCACAAGGTCTAAGATATAAACTTGGTAATCTAAATAAGTAGACATAATATAGGCAACCTCAACATCTCTGATTTTATTCAACATTTATCTTTCCTCTATCTTATAAATAAATAGGTCAATAAATACCTAAAAAGTCAGGTCTTTCAGGATTTAGTTTAAACACTAGCTAAGAAGATAATAAACCAATGGAAAATTGATAATACACTTTGTATAGGATAAAAATAAATTATGGCACTTACACAATTTGGACTGAGAATGTATAAAACTATGATTGAGTATAATATTCAATGGGACTCTACTAGTATAGACAATGCTACCTGAATTTGCAAATTTGATCAAAAACATGATTATGAATAATCAAGATCCAATAAGAGAGAGGGGTTTTCCAAATAGCCACAGTCAGGTCTTTCAGGATTTAGTTTAAACACTAGCTAAGAAGATAATAAACCAATGGAAAATTGATAATACACTTTGTATAGGATAAAAATAAATTATGGCACTTACACAATTTGGACTGAGAATGTATAAAACTATGATTGAGTATAATATTCAATGGGACTCTACTAGTATAGACAATGCTACCTGAATTTGCAAATTTGATCAAAAACATGATTATGAATAATCAAGATCCAATAAGAGAGAGGGGTTTTCCAAATAGCCACAGTCAGGTCTTTCAGGATTTAGTTTAAACACTAGCTAAGAAGATAATAAACCAATGGAAAATTGATAATACACTTTGTATAGGATAAAAATAAATTATGGCACTTACACAATTTGGACTGAGAATGTATAAAACTATGATTGAGTATAATATTCAATGGGACTCTACTAGTATAGACAATGCTACCTGAATTTGCAAATTTGATCAAAAACATGATTATGAATAATCAAGATCCAATAAGAGAGAGGGGTTTTCCAAATAGCCACTAGTGAGGTAGAGGATGGGGACAAGAGTATATGTATGGCATGCCTATATATAAATAAGCACAAGATTGTTGGAGGTGATCTTAATATGCTTAATGCATATATTTCCTATATGGTAGGCAAATATACCATTCTAGCACCATATACCAATATGACTGTCTTTTCCACAGCCTAATAGCTAGAGGAAAACACCAAGTTTGAGCATCTTCTGTATAACAAGGCAATGAACAATATAAATAGTGCTAAAAATTGTAATATCAATAGTGATGATGATTGTGTGCTACACAAGACAGTATTAGCCACTATACTGATAAACAAGGTCTATAAGGCTGCATATAGCATATCCCTAAGTCCAACCCACATATTGTGTCCTATAATGACTAGTAGCAGGCATTGGCTAACAATGACAACTTTAATAATCTTGTGTGCAAGGCCAAGGTACCTAGGTCTTTATAGCCTCTTGTGGCAGCTGCCAAGCTGCCAATAAAGTGGCTGGGGGCATCAATGCACATTTCTCTCTTTCTATATCCCTTATAAAAGCAGCTGGAAAGTCAGCAAAAGAGCTACAAGATAATGGTATAGGCATATATAAAGGAGAATAATATGCTAAAATAGTATAGAATATGCCACATCTTTACCTTCTCACTGATAGAGCAGTAGTACTTACTATTTTCTACTAATAATTAAAGACTTTTTAGTATAGAATTAGTGTTACGAAACGCTTCACCTATGCTTACCTACTTTTTCACCTTCTTGATAAGGACTCATAGGACCTTTCTCCCGACTACACCTCGCGTTCCTGCTCCACTGATACTTGGTCTGTGCATCTGCTTGTACATATTTATAGATACTACGGCGCAGTGTGGAAGCCCTAGGCTATCCACTTCTGTCCAATCTAAGAACTGCTGTTCACACAGTCTTCTCTGATTCTGAGACATTAGTTTGATCAGTCCTGATCATCCTCTCTAATCCTCTCGTATTATTTGTGGCCTAGGATCCTCTCGTCCCGAACAGCCGTTCGTGACATCTGGATAGCCTCTCCACACACAATCCTACTCCACCCTTTTCTTTGCAGCAGAACACCGGCTAGATACATACGGCGCTAGGCAGTCCCAAAAGACAAGCGTCCGTCGACCGTAGTAGTTACTATACACTTCGAGCGAACGGTTGGACGATTCCACTTCAGTGTGGGTCGTTTCAGGTTGTAGAATACTTCTATCTGGTAATTAACCCAGTGGAAGTACGACCGAAACAACTGCACTCGACGTTACGTACAGTACTATACCAGAAGCAGAAATACCGTACCCGGCTAGGAAGAGCTGCTGTTGCCTTGACCCTCGAACCTTGATCAGGTCGAGACTAGCGCGGGCTCTTTGATCCAACAAGACGACTTCCAAAGGTTCAGGAAGAAGCGTAGGGCGAGTTCCACACGGAACCGACTACTTGAAACACTCCGACACATTTGTCCATTTCGGACAACCGATCAGAAGAACATCCAAGGGAAACTGGGTTTACGTAGGGGGACAGAACAGCGGAAAAACAGTTGACGCCCCGCTAGTACCCTGGGAAGACAGGAAGGCACCCCTCAGAACCGTTGATTCCCCCACTCGCACAAAACCCATCCTATCACCAGTCGACATCCCCAAGGAGGATATCGAAGAAACCCCAATTCCCGCAGGAGTGTTAACCCCGGTTGACGAAGAAGACCCGGAACCTATAGCAGGACCGAGCCAACCAAACCCCAATCCAAACCCACAACCGAACCCTTTACCAACCACCGGAACCACAGACGACAAAGACAAGATGTCGGACAAAGGAAACAAACCGAAAGACTTCGATGGCACGAGGTCGAAATATTGGGAATGGATTTACGAATGTCATATGTACATCCTTACCAACCCGACCAAATACGACACCGATAAGGACAAAACCCTGATGGTGCTATCGTATATAAGAGAAGGAACGGCATCACTCTTTGCCCAGAAATACTACTTCGATAGGGAACTCCGAGAATACAAGGCAACAGAGACAAGAAAAACATGGGGAACGTTCAAGGACTTCCTGAAAGAACTGGCCGCCGCATTCAAAGATGAAAGTCTCGAACAGAAGGCAAGACAAAAACTATTCACAATGAGAATGGGAAAGCGATCAGCAGACGAGTTCGTCACGGACTACCTCATGACGGCAGGAGAAAGTGGATTCGATCTCGAATCCACCGTCGACTACTTCCGTCGCGCCATACACCTGGAGATCCTCAAACAAATTTACAGACTCCTGGACATGCCGACAACAATGGACGATTGGGTAAAATACACCCGAAGGTTCGATAATCAGTGGAGAGAGCTGCAGAGCATAAAAAGCTCCATACCCTCCGCTGCTGTTCGATCCAGCAACCCTTTCCGCTACAACTCATCCAATGCCCCATCCTCCATGAACAACTCTGTCATCCCTATGGCTGTAGACTCAGTCCGGACAACCCTCACGGACGAAGAACGCAATCGCCTCAGGATGGAGGGTGGGTGCTTTTACTGTCGACAGAAAGGACATATGGCAAACCAATGCCCTGTCAGGGGTTCGTCTAGGATATATGAAGGGTCAGCTAGATATGTTCAACAGGGTAGTGGAACGGTGGGGAACCGCTCGACTCAGACCGGCAGAAGGATGGGAGGCGGAGGAAGCGGCTATGGCTGAACGTTCTCGGCAGGAGCTTCAGGCGGTACTCAGGGAGGCGCTTCGGCGCAAAGTAGAGGCGTAGCGACGACTAACCCGTTCCAAGCCCGACTCGCAGCTCGCCAGGCCCACGCACCCGGACCGGATGCGCCTGTATGTGAGACGGAGCCTGAGATTAGCCGAGAAGAGATCCAAAGGGTCATCGGGAAGATGAGATGGGACGAACAGGAAGCACTCCTTCAGGAGTTGAGCGAGATAAGCAAGAAGAAAGAATCGGATTTTTAAATAGGCCTATGGCTCCGGTGTACCGTAGACCTGTCCCAGACCCTCCTGTAAAAACATTTGTACGGCTCACGAAATCCAACCAGAAATCGTCTATGCGAATAAACGTGCACCTAAAACACAGAAAAGGAACCACCGAAGCCCGAGTATTGATCGATTCAGGAGCAGAAGGACTCCTCATTGACAAACAATTCTGCTTAAATAACAATATACCAACGCAGAAAATCGACAACCCTCTCCCTGTGTTTAACGTAGACGGAACAGCCAACGACGGAGGAAAAATCACCGACAAAGCCTGCGTGCTTATGAGGATAACAAACGAAGAAGGCGACTACCACGATGAACAATGCGAACTACTAGCCGCTAACCTAGGAGGCGAAAACGTGATCCTGGGAACAGACTGGCTGCATGAACATAACCCACAAATTAACTGGGTAAAAAACAGTCTTACATTTTCAAATTGTGCCACCACATGCCTAGTCAGCCGGCCTAAGTTTACCATAAAAGCACTAGTACCTACCCAGCAAAGAAAAAACAGAACGATCGGGTACTCCAGAATAGAAGATGACCCGGAAGGAGATGAAATCAAAGATACCTTCTTCTCCGAATTCTACGAGGAATGGTACTACCAGAATCCACTAGAAGTACATCCCCTCGAAGCAATTCACATCGGTTCCATCGGAAACAAGTCGCAACAACTGGCAGAAAAGGCGAACAAAGCAAAAACGGAACGACCTATCGAAGAAATAGTTCCAGCATACATTCTTAAATGATTTGCCAAGATCTTTAGCCAAGAAGCTTCACAGCAACTCCCAGAACATTCACAATGGGACCATAAAATCGATATGAAACCAGGATGGGAACCGATGGGATATAAACTATATCCACTAACAGAAGAAGAAGAGGACCAGCTACACGAGATGCTCCAAGAGCATCTAAAGCGAGGAACCATCCGGATATCTAAATCCCCGCAAGCGTCACCCTTTTTCTTTGTAAAAAAGAAGGAAGGAAGCTTACGACCGGTTCAAGATTACCGAAAACTGAATGAATGGACTATAAAGAATAAATACCCACTGCCCCTAATTGACGACGTAATAAGAACCATCGCCAAATCGAAGGCGAGGATCTTTTCCAAGTTTGACGTAAAATGGGGGTACAACAACATCCGCATAGCGGAAGGCGACGAATGGAAAACGGCCTTCATGACCAAATTCGGCTTGTTTGAATGCCTCGTAATGTTCTTCGGTCTATGCAATTCACCCGCCACCTTCCAAACAATGATGAACATCATCTTCCATGATCTCATCGTAGCACAAGTCCTGGCGGTTTATATGGATGACATTCTAGTATTCACGAAAACCATCGAAGAACACCGACGTGTGACAACCCAGGTCATGCAGATACTCCTGGATAACGACCTATTCTTGAAACCCTCCAAATGCACTTTCGAAACAGACACGGTCGAATACCTCGGATTCATCATCTCCGCGGACAATATATCTATGGACCCCGTCAAGGTTGATGGAATCGCCGCCTGGCCAACTCCGAAGAACCTGAAGGAAGTACAATCCTTCCTGGGCTTTGGAAACTTCTATCGCAGGTTCATCAAAGACTTCGCCGCTACGGCTCGACCCCTTAACGACCTTACGAAGAAAGACGTCCCATTCGAGTGGACCCCCGAGAGGAACGAAGCATTTGAACGACTAAAGCACTGTTTCATGACGACTCCCGTCCTTGTTTACCCGGACGGCAATCGCCCATTCCGTCTTGAAACTGATGCGTCAGATTTTGCCTCAGGAGCCATCCTATCGCAAGAAACGCCAAACGACGGGTGGCATCCCGTCGCTTACCTGTCCAAGTCCTTCAATGCGGCCGAGCGAAATTACGACATCTTCGATAAAGAACTACTTGCTGTCATACACGCCCTTGATCACTGACGCGTATACCTTGAAGGAGCACGACACCCGTTCGAGATCTGGTCTGACCACAAAAACCTCCTGTACTTCTCCACGGCAAGAACTCTCTCCCGCCGCCAAGCACGCTGGTCACTCTTCCTCTCCCGTTTCGATTTCACCCTCGTCCACAAGCCAGGCATTACCCACTGGCCCGATGCTCTGTCCAGGCGTCCAGACCTGAAAGAGGGGGTAAAACTCGACAACGAAAATCGAGTACTACTACAACCTCAAATATTCGTAAAGAGTGTAACAGGACGAGGAACAGTCGAAATGCTTGATAGCTAGCTGAGACGAAAGCTAAAAGAAGTCACAGCCAAAGATAAAGAAGTAACAGACGCAATGGAACTTATCAAAGCATCAGGACCCAGAGCACTCTCAAAAGGCCTACAGGAATGGAATTACGAAGATGATCTTATCTGGCACAGAGGAAAAATATACGTTCCACCAGACGATGGACTTAAACGACAAATCACAAAGATGTACCACGATTCACCAGCCGCGGGACACCCGGGAAGATGGAAGACCTATGTCCTAGTGTCCGATAACTTCTGGTGGCCAGGAATGTCCACAGTCATAAAAGAATACGTAACAGGATGTGCAACGTGTCAATACACCAAGAATATCACGCACCCCACACGCACCCCACTCATTCCTAACGAGATACCAGAAGGACCCTGGCAGACAGTCACAATGGACTTTATCACGGATCTTCCACAAGCCGGATCCTATAACGCAATACACGTAACAGTCGACAGAAGTACCAAAGGAGTCGTCTACACCCCGTGCGACAAAACCATAGATGCCGAAGGAACGGCCGACCTCTACATGAAGAATGTCTGGAGAAGATTTGGACTCCCACAAAAGATCATCTCCGACAGAGGCCCACAATTTGCCGCTCGATTTATAAGAGAACTATGGAAGAAGCTAGGAGTCACGACAGCGTTATCAACCGCCTACCATCCCGAAACAGACGGCGAAACAGAAAGAGTAAATCAAGAACTAGAACAATACTTGCGAGCGTTCTGCAACTACGAACAGACGAACTGGCCGGAGCTACTGCCATACGCCGAATTTGCACACAACGTAAGGGAACACTCAGCCACACATCAGTCACCATTTGAACTCATGTACGGCTACAACCCGACCTTCGTACCCCAAATCACACCAAGGTCCGACATCCCCAGAGTGGAACTGAGGCTAGAAAGACTAGAACAGCTTCGAAAAGAAACAAAGGCCAGCCTGGAAGTTGCGGCAGAACTAATGAAAAGAAAAACCACCGAGAACGAAGTCAAACTAGAAGCAGGACAGAAAGTTTGGCTCTCAGGAAAAAATATTACCACTACACACCCAAAGGACAAATTAGCCCCTAAACTACATGGACCGTTCCAAATAGAAGAGAAGCTAGGGCCAGTTACGTACCGATTAAAACTCCCGCCGACATGGAAGATACACCCCGTGTTCCATGCCTCCCTATTTACACCATATAGAGAAACAATAGCCCACAGCCCCAACTTCGAACAGCCACCACCTGACCTGATCGAAGGACAAGAGGAATACGAAGTGGAAGATATTCTCGACAAGAGGAAACGAGGACGGGGATACCAATACTTAGTACATTGGAAAGGGGACCCCAGTTCGGCGGACGAGTGGATCACTAGGGCAAACCTGGGGAATGCCAAAGAACTTTTGGAAGCATTCGACCAAAGACGTAACGCTTTGCCTCTACGAGAAGCCCTCGTAAACATAGAACCACGGAAGCATGAAACATATAAAAACCCGAATTCGATCCTTGTAATTCCCCCAGCACTTCAACCACTCCTTTCTGACCCACCTTCGACAAGACATGTCCTCCAACGAATCTCCCTACCTCTCCTCTGCTGACGACACCCTCATCGACAAACGAACGTCGCTCCCCAGTCACCTCTGCTCCCCCACCGTGTCAGAAGCAGGAGACTTCGAGGCTATACTCCGTAACGAAGACACTCCCATGCTCAGTGCAAGGGGACAAGAGTATCGAAGAGAGGAAGCAGCAAGGAGGTATCAGGCTCAAGTCGACACTGACGCGGCAGAAGAAGCAGCTGTGGCGCAAATCCCTGGATCCCCCGTCATAGATATATCCACATCCCCTTCGTCCTCTCCCTCACCGCCCCCTTTGATCCGTGAAGCTAACGAAGGCGTCATCTTCCCGGATAGGGAAACCTATCTCACGACCCCCGTTGCGTACATGATGGGACTTATCGAGGGGACGCCTAACACAGAGTTCGTGTCAGGACCGACTAGACCGGAGATTCAGCGAGCGTTGGAAATCCTGGAAGAAGAAAGAAGTTTTGTTCGACATGCACAGCGAGCCTTGCAGATCAGAGAGGGCACGATCATTGCCCGTATCAATGCAGGGCAACAAAAACTCATGGGCTTGCAGAACCTTCGAGATTCCTTTCACCCTGCTGACGACCCTACCCCTTCCACCGAGTATCACATGCCTACCACGGCTGTGGTATCTCGTGCCTTGTCTTCGGCCTCAAATGGCGCTCCGCTTCACCCGATGCCGGGGACTTACCCCACAAGGACCGACAGAGAGCGAGACGTATATCGGTTTGCACAAGTCTCCCCCCGTTATCACATCATCCCCGCACGTCTCGGCCTCATCCGCTCCTCGACACGAACCCGACCTCCTCTTCCCTTCACTGAGTACGACTCTAGCGAATCCGATACCGCGCCCGTTGTACTCCGCCCTCGTGGAGCTTAGAGAGCGACAGACGCCTCCGTCCGGTATGACGTAAAACTGCCAGGGCAGACGACGGTTCAAATCCGTTGGGCCGGTACCCACTGCCATGATGAGAAGAGGGACTCAGCTCTAAGACGCAGTCCCCGCATGGTTGGTAATGAGGTGGGGTATCATGACATCCGTACTCAAGGGCTATCGCGTCATGACTCGACTGTGGGCAGTGAGAATTTGTGCCCTAAATATTATTTTGTATGACATGACTCTTGTGCATTGCTTATGTTTTTCTTGGACTGTTACCTACCGTCTCTGGCACTGACGGCCTAGAGGAGGGGGTAATGTTACGAAACGCTTCACCTATGCTTACCTACTTTCTCACCTTCTTGATAAGGACTCATAGGACCTTTCTCCCGACTACACCTCGCGTTCCTGCTCCACTGATACTTGGTCCGTGCATCTGCTTGTACATATTTATAGATACTACGGCGCAGTGTGGAAGCCCTAGGCTATCCACTTCTGTCCAATCTAAGAACTGCTATTCACACAGTCTTCTCTGATTCTGAGACATTAGTTTGATCAGTCCTGATCATCCTCTCTAATCCTCTCGTATTATTTGTGGCCTAGGATCCTCTTGTCCCGAGCAGCCGTTCATGACAATTAGTGCTAATATCATGAAATTAGAAACCAATCCAATGCTCACAATGTGTTGCTCCTAATTAGGAAATTAGACACTTTTAGATACTATTAACACTTTTAGATACTTTTAGACAGTATTAGATATAATCTGGAGCTAATACAAGGGGGTGTTTTTCCAGATGTATGTGAAGTGTGGGCAAACTGACCCAAGTACTGCCAAACATCCTTCAGTCAGTTGTGGTTGGTTGGGTGGGAACCAACTATGTTTGGTGTAAGCCAGCATCTTTGGTACTTGTCTAGTGCTATTTGTTATCTTTTCAAAGCTTCCCAAATATCTCCCTTAGACCCTGGCATGGGTGCATGCTCATCAGTGTGTATTATGGCTAATAGTTCTTTGTTGAAGATGTCGTAGTTCTGTTCTACAGAATTACATGATTTGGATAGGTAAGCTACTAGGTGCCAGCCATCATCCCGGGATTTCCTATAATAGAATGGTGCTTGATGTGAAGTCCAAAGCACTAGTTTCAAGGCGGAATAGGCAATTGCTATCAGGATAAGTAAGTACTGGTGCTGATGTAAAGCACTGTTTGAGGGTTTCAAACACCTTGTTGCACTCCTTAGTCCATATGAATTGGGTGTCCTTTTTTTTGTTTGCTATCTCTGCCAGCTCTTGTGATTTGCTATGGGTAGATCTAATATGGATTGCTTTGAGTGGGTGCATTTCAAAAGGGTCTTGGTTGTACCATTCTTCATAGAATTTGGAGAAGAAGGTTTCATCTTCTTTTTCTCCTTCAGGTTTGTCTTCTATTTTTGAGTATCCAATTGTCTCCATGCTTCTTTGCCATAGGAAAAGTTGTGCCTATATTGTGAATTTGGATTGGCTTACTATACACATTGCTGTGCATGAAGAGAACATAAGGCAGTTTTTTACCCAATCGATTTGTAGATTATGCTCATATAGCCAGCCTGTCTCCAAGATGACATTTTCTCTTTCTAGGTTAGTAACAAGTAGTTCACACTGTTTATTGTGGTAGTCTCCTTTATCATTTGTCATCCTTATCAGCAGGCATGTTTTGTCTGTGATTTTTCCTCCTTCATTGGCCATGCCATCTATATTAAATACTGGAATAAATCTGTCAATTTTTTGGAGTGGTATTTTTTGTTTTTGGCAAAATTGTTTGCCAATAAGGAGTTCTTTTGCTCCTGAGTCAATTAATATCTTTGCTTCAGTGGTTTCTCTTCTGTGTTTTAATCATACATTTATACATATAGATGATTTTTGATTGAATTTTATAAGTTGTACAGCTGTTTTTACAAGGGAGTTCTGGATAGGCCTATTGTAAGGACATAGGCCAATTTAAAAATCCATATCCAATTCCTCTTATTTGCTCCCTTTGCTTAGCTCTTAAAGGAGTGCTTCTTGTTTTATCTACTTCATCTTCCCTATAAGCCTCTGGATCTCTTCTTGGCTAACCTCAAACTTCTTCTAATGTACAAGTGCATTCTCTCCGGATACATAGGCTTGGCACTAATAAGCATGTACCTATATTAGGGTCTGAGAAAAGTATTCGGGAAGCTTTAGGGATATACTAAACAGTGCTAGACAAGTACCAAAGATGCTAACTTACACTGAACATGGTTAGTCCCTACCCAACTGACTGCAACCCACTAAAGAATGTTTGGCAGCACTTGGGTCAGTTTATCCACAATTCACATACTTACCATGACCATATAGGAGTTTTATGATAGGTGTTTACAAGATCAGAGCTAGTATTCTATGTCAGCCAATATGCTTCATGAGATAGTCAGTCCTTATCGCTTATCATCCTAAATTCTGCATCGTTGGTCAAACATGATCTTGCACTATTACTTGGCCACCCTAGTTGTTTGTTACTTTTTCTTTATTTTTATTGGTTCTCTAATGCCTGTTCCTGCTACCCACACTCAGGTGATAGATCCCAAATATTTGGGATTTCACCATCACTGATTAACTTGTACCTTATCACCTTTGGAACTTATATGAACATCTCACCTATCTTCTTATCTTCTCTGTTTGCTAGGGCTTGGCACCTATTTGACATCTACTCTTATTCCTTGCTCAATATTTTAATCAGGGGCTCTGTTTACTATAAAAACCTATATACAACTCTGGAATAAACCAGCTTTCACACCCCATAGTTTAGAGCTTATTTTTACTCATCTTAACCATTGAAATTATCTTTGTTGACTCCCAAAAACTTGTCATCTTCATTATTTAGCCTTGTTTGCATTTGTACTTATCTTTTTGCTCATACCCCTTATTCTCCCTCATATATTGTCAGAGTCTCATGTGGCTCTTGAAGCACGTAGTTGTTGGTTATGACACTACCTTCCCATTACTAACTGAATCTCTGACACAACTGACTAAATGTTTGGTCGGTGTTCAGCACAGTCCCAAAACTATTTGGGTGCCATAATCTCATACTCTTATTGCTTCCCAGTGCACCTTTGATTTCTAAAGTTATCACTAATGATTCCTTGTGTATTAGATACTAGCTCTAGCATTCCTTGCTCTAAAAGTTGTTTTGGTGTTGTGCTTAGCATTTAGAGCCACCTCTAGTGTGACATTTTAGAGCCCACCATGAGGGGTTAGTATTCAAAATTACCTTAAGGAATCTACATCACTCATCCTAACCAATAGCAGAGTTCAAAGAATAACAAATAGTTATGGACAGCTTCAATACTTAGGAAACCTTTGCCAACCAAAGTCTGTTTAGAGGCACTGATATAGTCCCAGAATATTTATCCCATTATCACTATCTTGTTCTTGAATCCTCACTGTTGCTCTTACCACCACCTAACTTCACCTTCTTCTTAACCCCACCTTCGTCACTGAACTGATCACTACTTCTGCCGATTTCCTTTATCCTTGATCTTGCACTCTTAGAACAATCACCCCTATCTCCCATACTCATCTGGAAAAACACCCCCTTGTATTAGCTCCAGATTATATCTAATAGTATCTAAAAGTATCTAAAAGTGTTAATAGCATCCAAAAGTATCTAATTTCCTAATTGGGAGCAATATATTGTGAGCACTGGATTGATTTCTAATTTTATAATATTAGCACTAATTCCATACCAAAAAATCTTTAATTAGCAGTAGGAAATAGTAAGCCCTACTGCTCTATTAGTGAGAAGGTAAAGATGTGGCACATTCTATACTATTTTAGCACATTACTCTCCTTTATATATGCCTGCACCATTATCTTGTAGCTCTTTTGCTGACTTTCCAGCTGCCTTTACAAGGGATATAGAAAGAGAGAATATACATTGATGCCCTAGCTACTTTGTTGGCAGCTTAGCAGCTGCTACAAGAGACTATGAAGACCTTAGTACCTTGGCCTTGCACACTATAGGGCATAACATGCAGGGTTGGGCTTATAAATGTGCTACATGCAGCCTCATAGACCTTGTCTATTAGTGCAGTGGTCAATACTATCTTATGCAGTACACAATTGTTATTACCATTGATATTATAATTTTTAGCACTATCCACATTGTTCATTGCCTTATTATATAGAAGATGCTCAAACTTGGTGTTTTTCTCTAGCTATTGGGCTGTGGAAAAGACAGTCATGTTGGTATATGATGCCAGAATGATATATTTGCTTGTTATGTAGGAAATATGTGCACCAAGCATATTAAGATTATCTCCAACAATCTTGTGCTTATTTATACATAGGCATGCCATATATATGCCCTTGTCCCTACCCTCTACCTCACTAGTGGCAATTTGGAAAACCCCTCTCTCTTATTAGATCTGAGTTATTGATAATTATTAATAATACTAATTTGAGCTAATTATGGCTAATTACTCATAATCATGTTTTTGATCAATTTTTTTTCAAATTAAGGTAGTGTCTATACTAGTAGAGTCCCATTGAATATTATACTCAATTATAGTTTTACACATTCTGAATCCAAATTGTATAAGTGCCATAATTTGTTTTTACCCTGTATAAAGTGTATTATATATTTCCATTGGTGTATTATCTTTTTAGCTGGTGTTTAAAATAAATCCTAAAAGGCCTAACTTTTTGGGAATTTATTGACCTATTTATTTATTAGATAGAGAAAAGATAAATGTTGAATAAAATCAGAGATGCTGAGGTTGCCTATATTATGTCTACTTATTTAGATTACCAAGTTTATATATTAGATCTTGTGGCTTAGTGGCTTAGAGCATCTGTTCCGGGTGCTTGTATACATGAGGTTGTTGGTTCAACTCTGGCAGAAGGCAAGTTTGTTATAAGGTATATTCTGTGTTTAGGTATTTAACTAGTACTCTAATAGACATAACTCTATAAGAAGGCTATGAGAACTGTGATGCTTAATTTATTATGATTTTTCCGAAATTTCAAGTTGTAATCAATCCTAATAATTCTTAATTTAGGAAAATTATGTCCAATTAGAACAGGTTTAGAGAGGGGGTAAGCTTAAAATGTCTCATCCTAATCTTCCATAATTTAGTATAGCAGAGCATCAATTATAGCTAATTAGAGCTTAATACAAGGGGGTGGTTTTCCAGATGGCCTATCCCTTCACAACTCTATCCCTCTATTAATTCCATGTAGCCCTATCTTTTGGATGCTGACCATCTGACTGACTTCACTAGAATGCTCCTTTGAACTAGCAACCCCATCCCCAATCACCTTAGCAAACAATATCTTTTCCCCTACCTTTGACTTTCTCACTATGGTGACCTAGTCTATGCCCACTTGTAAAGATCAAATGGCCCCAACCTTTGACTCCTATCAATCCTATGAACTGAGATGATGTTTCACTGATCTAGACTTCCACTTTGTTTGGTCAGTGGTAGTAGATGAGCTGGAAAGGAAGAAACACGCTTGCTAATTCCTGGACATTGACACTTGTAAGCTTTGGAAATCACTCACCACTTTCACTGATACCATGGAGACATTCAAGGACTTTTGTGAAGAGGTCTACAGGCTATACTCCAGATCAGAGGAAAAACACAAATGGTCAGTATCAGATATAGACAAGCTAGTTAGTGAAATAAGCAGGGTTGGCATCTTGTCCCTTAGCAGGCTTGGTGACTATTATTGGTGATTTTTGGTGATTATAGTATTCCTCCTCAGCAAAGCACAAATCTTAGTCACTTAACAAGGACATGCCTTTGCTAGAGAATTCTAGCTGGAGCTATGGGCAAGGATCTCTCAATGTCTATAACTCAAGTTCCCCAATCATTTCCCAGATGACCTATACAATTTCTAGGGTATTCACAATGTGGCCTGATTTGTCATGCATGGCACCATGACTGCCTACAGTATTACCTCAACATTGTCTACCCCCGCTCTCTTGAATGACAGCAATAGTGAAATTATCAAGCCTATACCAGATAGCGATGAGGCAATTAACTTTGTGTCCTTTTCTTGACCTCCCCTGAAGCCACTCACACATGCAGACTACCCTAAGGTCATGTACTGGCACATGCATGAGTGGATGTCCACTTCTAAGACCATGAAAGCAAATGCTAATGATCCTAACAAGAAAAAAGGGCCATAAACTAATAGAAACACAATGATGATGTGTGTTGAAGACAAGGACAGCAATTGCATCAATGGGCACAGAGCAAAGAAGATACACTAATGAGTATGCACCTGCACTAAATTCTAAAGGAGGTATTTGGGAAGCTTTGGAGAAATACTGAATAGTGCTAGACAAGTACTGAAGATGCCAACTTGCACTGAACACAGTCAGTCCCTACCTGACTAACAACAACCCACTAAAGGATGTTCGGCAGCACTTGAGTCAGTTTGCCCACACTTTATGTACTTACCATAACTACATAAGAGTATTACAATAGATGTTTACAAGATCAGAGCTAGTATTTTATATCAGCCAATGTGCTCTGTGAGTTGGTTGGTCCTTATCACTTATCTTTCCAACTTCCACATGGTCAGTTAAACATGATCTTGCACCATTACTTGGCCACCCTAGTCATATGTTACTTCTTCTTTATTTTCATTGGTTCTCCAATGCCTGTTCCTGCTACTTATGTTTGGGCAATAGATCCCAAATATTTGGGATCTTGCCATTACTGATCAACTTTTATCTTATCACCTTCAGAACCCATATAAATATCTCAGATACCTTTTTATTTTCTTTATTTGCTAGGGCTTGACACCTATTTGACATCTACTCTTATTTCTTGTTCGATATTTTACTTAGGGGCTCTATTTACTAAAAAAACCTACATACAACTCTGGAATAACCCAGCTTTTGCACCCCACAGTTCAGAGCTCATTTGCACTCATCTTAACCATCAAAATTATCTTTGTCAACTTCCAAAAACTTATCATCCTTGTTATTTGGCCTTGTTTACATTTGTACTCATCTCTTTGCTTATACCCCTCATCTTCCCTCATATATTGTCAGAGTCCAATATGGCTTTTAAAGCACGTAGTTGTCAATTGTGACACTACCTTCTTGTCACTGACCAAATCCCTGGCACGACCAACCAAATATTTGGTTGGTATTTAGTCCCAAAACTGTTTAGGTGATATGATCTCACACTCCTCACTGCTTCTCAGTGTGCCATTAATCTCTAAAGTTATCACTAACAATTCCTTGTATATTAGATACTAGCTCTAGTACCCCTTGTATTAGAGGTTGTTTTGGTATTGTGCTTGGCACTTAGAGCTACCTCTAGCATATCAACATGCTGTGGTAACACAGTTTTGGCTTTGGCTGAAGAAGGTGAATCAATTGCCAAGGATGTAGACACAACTAGACCTCAAGCTATTAGACTTGTATCAACTCAAAATGGCCTACTGACTTCCTGAGCCATAGCTCTACAAAAGCAGATTGAAGGCTGACATGATTGCAATCCACTTATACTTCTAATAGTATGGAAGATCTGTTGTACAAGGCCCCCATTGAGTCAAGAAAAAGGCCCCCAACCAGGATATGCTTATTGCTCAACTCACTTCAGCCAAACAACAAAATGAAGATTCTGATAGGCTTTTGAGTGAGCCTCACAAAAAACCAAGGCTTGATCTATCCTAGCATAGCACAGTTGCCACCAAGGATGGCAGAATTCTTGCTCTGGACAATAAGGTCACCTATGCTCCAGATAGCAAGGCTATTGCTATAGATAGTGACAGCATTAGTCTAAATGTTGGTGCTACTGCTATGGATGGCAGGGGCATTACTTTGGGTGCTAAGATGGCCACAACAAGTATTAGAGGCATTGCTAAGGATGCTGAGAATGCCACCTAGGGTAACAAGGGTTCTGCTTAGCCCAACACAATCACCAATATATCATTAGCTGACAGCATCTTACTAGCATCCCCTACATTACAGCTATGTGGATCTTAACTAGTTCCTCTCAGACCAAGAATTGTAACAAAGGTCTATGTCATATATCATGGAATCCCTATTCACAAGAATTCACTCATATCAATTATCTAGCCAATGAACCCATTATATGTATTCCTGATATTCTATTATCTTGTCATTCTAATCATATCTCCATTCATGCTTTTGTAAATTGAAGCTTTTCCAAGGCACTCTTACTAGGCCCCTGCCAACACTTGATATCAACATCCTTGGCCCTTCCAATGCTGCTCCTGCTGCTAACATCTCTAACATGCTATCTATGACACATGACACTGCAACTAACAAATTGACACCCATGTTCACAAGTCCCAGTGTTACTACTGGCAGTGCTGATGCCACTACAAATGCAGCAGTGGCAACAACAACAACAACAACAACAACAACAACAACAACAACAACAACAACAACAACAATAACAACAACAACAACAACAACAACAACAACAACAGCAATAGTGGCAGTAGTAGCAGCGACAACAATAGCAGCAGCAGCAGCACTAGCAGCTGTTGCACCAGCTGTACTAGCCATCACTACTACAGCAGTAATAACAGCAACAGCACTAGCAGCACTAGTAGCACCAGCACTAGTACTAGCAGCACTAGCAGTGCCAGCTGCCTCAGGTGACATTGTTAAATTTGATTCCTTTTATCACACAATACTAAGTTCTTACAATGCTCAGTTTCAAGTGCTTCTTCATCAAAGGCTCCTAGCCAGAAAAAGGGCAGTGGTAATGGTATGTTGTACATAGGGAAGCAGCTTGTCACAAGGTACGAAGTTTTCCAACTATGAGAGATTACACTCAGCAATGCTGCCACCTACAAACTAATATATCACACAGGAATATATGTGCATGGCAATGGAAAAAACAATTTCTAAAAGGAACGACTAACAAATTTAATGTTTACTGGTCCAGTCTCTCTCCAGATGAACTTACAGTATGTTCAAATTGACTTTAAAAGACATCAAACTCAATAGAATTCTAAATCTACAGGTATATGACCATCTCAAGCAAGAACAGGTATGTAGTACAACCACCACAGACATCACATACTAATACTGTCCACTCTTTCTAGAAAATGAATATTGTACAGTTGTGACATAGAAATTAGAGTACCTGGGTCAAGGTAGCTAGATAGGATTTGATACAGTGAGATTACTAAGGCAGGTAGTTAGATAGGATTTGAGGAGGTTAGATAGCAGGGATATGATGAATCAATGTGGTTCAATATCAATGAATATATTCATGATCTTAATAGACATTGATCTAATACACAAAATGTGGAAAAATGTCAGTAGATTATGAACACACTGAAGCCTATCCAAGATTAACTGGAGTTGATTTAAAGAGATGTTAGTAGTTGAATCACTTATTGGCATGCAATCAACAGTCTAATTTATGCATGGCTAAGTGAGATGAAAGTCATTTATATTTAATTAACATGAAACTTTTCTAAGCAGATCTAGCTATATCTACTTGTCTGTTCTCATTAGCTCTTGTTAGATCTGACTATACCAGATTTTCACTGGGTTTGATTAGTAAGCTCTATAGATACTCTATGATTAAAGGTGTAGTAATAGTAGAGGAATCATAAGACTGGATTGGTTGATTTTTTTCGAAAATCTATATGATAAATTAGCTTTAATTAGCTCTAATTAGATCTTATAATTTCAGAATTAGGGAGAGGGTAAGCTAAAAATCCTTAATGGTAACTGGCAAAAATCTAGCTATATTTATGCTTAACTATGGTTAATTTGATGTGGAGCTTTTCTTTAATATATGGCCAAAGAGTCCGGGGATAAGGAATTCTTGTATTGGATTGGTGATAGTAATACCATTAGAAAGGGCATTAGAGTTAGAAGAGTTAATGGTGATATCGGAGGTTATAAAGATAGGATGAAGGATGAAGTTGGAGGAGGGAAAAGACAGAAAGGTAAAAGAAGAGAAAGTAGTCATATTCAGATTGTTGAGAATATAGTGAGGGGAGTGATTGAGGTAGTATTTGACTATGATAAAGAACATTTATTGGTAGCTGAAAAGCTAAGGAGTTTGTTATTTGACAATGACATTATATCTATATGAGATCACTGGCAACTAGAACTGAACTATGATAGATAGTGTAAATGAGGCCAAGAGTGAGTGAGAGGGTGAGGAAAGTAAGAGTTGCAATGGATATGCAAATGGCTACTTTAGCTAATGTGGGTTTTATAGTTATTTTTCTGGCCATGCCAATTCTTGGTTTGTCTGCTTTTGTAGCTCCTAGTTTGAATGGGCATGCCAATTAGAGTTGTTCAATTGTTTCTGCTAAGGCACTGATCAAGATGAGTCTATATTGGGCTTCTTTGGCCATGGGCTTCTATTATTAATCTTTGGTAGTAATGTATTTGACTGTGAAATTAAGAAAGGCTTCTTTAACTGTATTATCCACTTGTTGATTGCTTCCATGATCTGGGAAATTGCCAATCCTGTGGAAAAAAGTCTTCTTCTAATTGAATGCTTCTAAAGCTTTTTTCTAATTTTGTCTTCTTTGGCAATCTTGTTATATTCCAGTTTGATCTTTAAAGCTAAAATGGATGCTTTTATTCTTTTGACAGCCCAAGGGTGCCTTTAGTGGAATTTTGTGATGGCTTTCTTAGTGTTGGCAATATTTATATTAGATTTCCATGAGTTATCCAATTTAGAATGGCCCTTCTATTTAATTAGGTACTACAGGGTCTTTTATCACCCAAAGTGTTGGGCATTAACAATTACTTCAACTTCAAATTTTTCTTGGTCTTTAATCAGGTCAGGGGCTAGTTCAGGGTAGTTTGGGCTATAGACCTTGTTTTCATTGTAAGTGTGAGCTGACTTGCATAAAAGACATTGTGAATATGTTTCTAGCTGTTGGGCAGTTTTAGCTTAAAGTTAATAGTTTCAATAGTGTTAATAATTTTGAATGGTCTAAAGTGTTTGGGTCTTAGTTTTTCTGAGGGATGATTAGTGTTGATATTCTTTCTATCTAGCCATACTTGATCTTCTTTCTTGAAAGATGGCAGATCAATTTCAAAATGGTTATGCCATATTCTTATGACTTTAGCTGCAATTTTGAGGCTGGATTGTGCTTTCTTTCTAGCATGTTGCAGAGCTTTGAGGTGAGTGTCAGCAGTTGGGATATTTGTGTTTCCAATAATAGCTAGGTAGGCTTAAGGTTGATATTTGTAAAGAAGTTTGAATGGCAACTTCTTGGTAGCTGAGTGCTAATATGTATTGTAGGTGTATTCTGCATAAGGAATCAATATTGCCTAATCATCTTATAAAGAGCTGCAAAAGGCTCTGAGGTATTATTCTAATTCCTGATTAATTCATTCAGTAGTGCTGTCCATTTGTGGGTAATAAGCTGTGCTTAATATAGATTGGATTCTTAGTTCTTTAAGCAGGGCTTGTACTACTTTCAAAGTGAAATGGGTTTCTCTGTCCAATATAATTTTATTAGGTAGTCCATATCATCTCTAGATATTCTTGAGTAGGATTTTAGCTATTCTATCTAATTTGATTGCCTTTAGGCATAAAATGATTACTGCTATTTTAGTGAATCTGTTGGTTACTATGTAAAGAGAGTCATCTCCATTTGATTCAGGGAGATTAGTGATGAAGTTCATAGTGATTATTCCAAATAGTCCATCTGGAATTTCCATTAGTTGTAGAGGGACCATAGTAGAATGTGTGTTATTCTTGGTAAATTGACATATGGCATATCCTTTTATATATTGATAAATAGTGTTTGAGATTCCAGGCCAAGTAAATTCTTGTTCTACTATGGCTAGTGTTTCTCTCTGTACTAGATGTCCTATAGCTAGGTTATTGTGATTTAGTATCATAATATCTTGACAAAGTTGTTTGTTCAAGGGAACATAGATTTTTCCTCTATGTAGAATGAGCCCTTTTTTATTGTTCCATTCTTTTAATCCTTTTTTCATGCTGTGTAGACCTAATGTGGGACTCAAGAGGATGGTTAGAAGGTACACACATGATTTGAATGCAGACTATGAACTCAGTTTAATTACTGTTAACATGCTTATATATGAATGCTTACTGTATATGACTTATTTACATGCTTTGGCATAAGCACTTACTTATAATGATTATGATTGGTTCCTGACCTACCAATAATGTGGACAGACATGTGATATATTTACTACATATGGATAAAGTACAGACTATGGATTACTGATTACTAGCTTTTTACCCATCGCGTTGCAACAGTGCAACCATGCTTAATCTGAGTTTTTGTTGCAGTGCTTGGTCTCATGTGCTTGTAAAGTCCAGTGCCCGTAAAGTCCAGTGCCCATAAAGTCCAGTCTCTGTACAGTGCAGTACCTATAAAGTGCAGTGCCTATAAAGTACAGTGCCTATAAAGTCTAGTGCCCATAAAGTCCAGTGCCCCAATATCCCTATATAGCTCTTCTGTGATATTCTATAAGGTCCTTCCTATAAAATTCCTATATAAAGCTCTCTATAAGGTCCCATCCATTAGATTCCCCTATGAGATTCTGCCCTATGAGGCTCCCCTGTGAGGTTCTCTGTAAGGTGCTAGGATGCCATTTCAAGCTCTAATGGCTGCAGAGGCATAGCCCACTCTAGTTGCTAGGGTTGCTAGGAGCACTAAGACATGGCTTACTCTGCTCACCCAATTTATCATGGATGCTTGCTTTGCTTGCATGGTTTCTTATGTGGCCTACATAAGTGTAATCAAGGACATATGACTCAAGCTATTAGCCTAGTGCCACCATTTCTTATTGTCCCCTTCTATTTATTATTTATTTACATAAAAAAAATACCTGAAAAAAAAAACCAAGAGCCCAAAGTGGTTGTCAAGCTAAATACTTGCTGAATGCCCCCTCATAGTTTACCTGAAGAAATCACTGCAAGACAGTGTCAGGAGAAGAGAATTCCCTATGGTTAGGTCAGCCCCAGGCATGCGTGTGCTGACCCACTTCACTTCAAACTCCAACATGCTCTATTTTGCATCCTAAAGCCTATAGGATAGTGGTCTCACGTGGTTTCTTACGTGGCCCACATGAGCATAAGCAAGGACACATGACGTGAGCCACTAGCCCAGCACCACAATTTTCTACTGTCACCCTCTATTTATGGATTGCGCTTCTATGCTTCTGTTTACTTCTTGGCCTGGTCTAGGTTTTCTTATGCCAGTATGGGTTCTCTCATACCCTTGCACTTCACGCTTAGGTTCTCACGTAGTTTTCATGTGTTGCCACATGAAATACTGCCTTTCTATTCTTTTTAGATGATCAAAAACTTGATCATCCAGAAGTCCTAATACCTGCCAAGTAGATTAGCATTTAGAAGCATGAACCAGATTCAGGTCCTATTCTAAATAGCTTATATATATAAATAGCTAAGATGAACTTTTAAGAAGCTTAGTTTGTTTACAATGTATACAACTCAATCTCTACACTGTACCCAGCATCTGGCTACCTTCTAAGCTTATGCATTGTGAACTTTGCCAGATCCATAGTATTATACTTAGTCTAACAAAGCACTGAATTTATTCTAAGGCTCTTATCATCCTTTTGTCTCTATAATATACCAAGGACTCACTGCATATGGAGTGCTCTCTTAGAATCCATCCCATATTATCTGTTGGACAGAAAAAGATGATCACATGTAAGAAAATAATTGTCCTATCCTTAAAAACCACCTTTTTCATCTATTCAAAGACAAGATTGACAGTAGCCTAGAATTCCTTGCACAAGCTCAAATATGATCAATAGTCTTTATTTCTATCATGAACGGCTGTTTGGGACAAGAGATTCCTAGTCCACAAATCAGTACAGACACAAAAGAGAATGATGGCGAGGTTGATGGATCTGAAGAGGTGAAGCTGATCAGGCCAATGCTTGAGAATCAGGGAAGACTGATGAATAGCAGTTCCTAGATTAGACAGAGGTGGATAGTCTAAGGCTTCCCTACTACGCCGCAGCTGCTATAAATATGTACAAGCAAGAGCATAGACCAACTAGCAGTAGATCAGAAACGTGAGGTATAGTTGAGAGAAAGGTCCTATGTGTCCTTATACAGATCATGGGAAAGGCAAGAAAG